AAGCCTCCTTGTTGAGATGAAGGTGAGCACCTTGTTGTGTTTCTCCCAAGCTTGGCTAAGATAGTGACTATTCTGACCTAGCAAGCAACCTCGTGAGCACTTAGGCGAATTCTCATGCTTCGGGGGCTGGGCAGAATAGTGACTATCCACGGGTGCCAGAATAGTGACTATTTCATGCCTCACCCTACAATAGTCACTATTGAACATGGCCAGAATAGTGACTATTGGAAGCCAAGCTATTTTGGAGCTATGCAGAGCCTCTCACTTGACTGGCATGGTGTAGGGGGCATGCCTGGAGCTCATTGGGGTCCACAAGGAAGCAAAGGGGGTGGGGCCAAGGGGGCACACCTCCAATGATTGCCTTAACCATCATGGAAGGCCCATCATGAGTCATTGATCATCATCCTACCATCATGCCTAGCCATGCTTGAAGTATTGTGGGCCTTCCAGAGGCCAAGCCCCCACTTTTATGTCAAGTTGGTGTCACAAGTAGAGTCTTTGAGCCTGAGTAGCACTAGGACAAGGTCTCCCTTGCCCATTTGTGGCCATTTCAACTTGGCTAAACCTCACACTCCTGAAAATGAGCCGTGTGTGCTACTCCGGTGCCCGCGGCCGCCGCGGCGAATTGCCTAAGGCGGCCGCCTGGCCGGCCAGCGGGCCAGCCCGGGCCCGGGCAGCGGCGGCCGCCGCGGCAGCAGCTTCTAGAAGTACTCCAATTCGGAGTCATGGCCCAGGGCGGCCTTTGGCCATTTGTGGCCACTTGCTGGCCTCTGGCTGGCTTGCAACATTGTCTAGCAGTGCCACTCAGCGAAGACAATTATAGATAATGTATTTGATTTGCTTGTGTTTCATTGATCATGGCGTTGTGTTCCATAAATATATTCTAGAGGCCTTGTGGATTTGTACAGACATTCTGTTACCGAGCATTTTTTGTTTGTGTAACAATGGAGACCACTTGAAACACAAGCATTACTGAAACACCTGTGGAACGCAAATTACAGGATCCTGTAACAGTTCTTGTGTTACATAATCCATACTTGTGTTCCGGTCATGTGTGCCAGGAACACAAGCAAAGATTCAGGCTTATGTTCCACAGACATTGTTGTGTAACACAATATCGTCATAACTTATGAAACAGAAATGACCCTTATGTAACATAAGTTTCCTTGTGTTACATTAAGTACTTGTGGTACACAACGGCAATTTCACAAGCCAGGAATTCTCCGACGTCATTAGTCTATATAGCCTATCACTCACTCACCATATACATGCATGCACTCCCTGCCCCGGATGAGTACCCCTCTATATCCGGGGCCTCTGGCCTGCCAGCAATGCAACACCATTGTAGGTGACGTTGAGGGTATCTTGAAGGAAACCCAGAGTTGGGCAGACAATCACAGACAAACATGTGTGTAGTCAATCACACACAAGACAAACCCTGGTCATCATAAAGGTAGACATTGAGCTGAAGTCACCGTGCGGACAACAAAACAGTTCTATGTGACACGAGGTCAACAAGGAAACTGTCCACAAGACGGTGGATCGCAGGCAACTGATCAGGAACCTCTGACATGAAATTGTCTCTCAGAAAAGAGGCGGCTCGCCCGAAAGGCAACAAGGCAAAGAACGCATCAAACAACGCAGCTCCAGCTAACTGCATCAAAGACTCAAATAAGGCAGTCCGCAACTCTGCATATGCTGCACATTGAAAGAATACATGAGGCACATCCTCCATAACATCTGCGTGGGCACAGGTCGGGCAAGCATCTGAGTCCTCCTCGTGGGCATGGTTGCGAAGGTAGTCAACGCGATGGTGTGCAAGCATGGAGGTGCCAGACCGAAATTGGAACCGGATCTTCGCTGCCCGATGCCCATCCGAATGCCGGAGCAGATACTCCTTTAGACCTGCACCCTCAGTGACACGGTTGTACAGTCCAAGCCGAGGCTTGGTTGAGAGGACCCCCGCAAGCAGCGCGGTGTCCCTCTCCTGAACAGCAGCATCAAGGGCAGTGACAAAGGCAGAATAACCTGCATTTAACCAGTCACGTGTGAACGAAGTAAATGATGACCAAATGCCATCACACACCTGACTCAACAACCGCCTCTTCCTACCCCTGACACCTGTAGGGACCTCCTGACTATATAGGAACCTCTCAAAGCGACTCTCAGGCATAGCCTGCAACCGGTGCTGCCACTTTAGCTTCGCAACATCTCTGCGCGAGCTATATTTTTAGGGTTGGATGATAGTCAATGATAGTCAGGGGTTAGGGTTCAATGCAAAATGATAGTCGAGAATGATCTGGGTACCCGGTTTTGGGCTGAGTGCAAATGACGGGCAGTGACAAGTTCTGATGATTGCGGGTTTAGAGATGAACACTGGATGATAGTCAATGATAGTCCGGGTATAGGGTTCAATGCGAAATGATAGTCGGTGATGATCTGGATTTTGGGCTGAGTTCAAATGCTAGTTAGAGACAAGTTTTGATGGTTAGGGTTTAGAGTGAAGTCGGGATGGCAGTGAGTGATAGTCCGGGTTTAGCGCTGAGTTCAAAATGATAGACAGTAATGATTAGAGGTTTGAGCTCAATAAAAAATGACAATCAGGGATGATCAGGGTTTGGGGCTGAGTGCAAGGACGGGCATTGACAATTTCTGATGATTTCTGGGTTTACAGATGAACACTGGATGATAGTCAATGATAGTCAGGGGTTAGGGTTCAATGCAAAATGATAGTCAGGAATGATCTGGGTTTTGGGCTGAGTGCAAATGACGGGCAGTGACAAGTTCTGATGATTGCGGGATTAGAGATGAACACTGGATGATAGTCAATGATAGTCAAACCCTGAATCGTCAGGAGGCAAACATGAGACTCTCGGAGAGAGGCAATATTGTGCAAGAGCTGGGGTGCGCGTCTGTCATAGTGCAACAGCTTTCGTATGTTTTATATCCACCGTTACATCTACCATAAAGCACAATCAATTAACCAAGTTTTAGAGCGCTCAAAAATATATGTTCCATGCTTGCTTCCTTGCACAATCGCCCCAATTCTGCAATTCCACCATTTGGGGAAAGCTCTGTCACACACTTGCACTTGAAGAGCCTCAATGAGTCCAGCGCTTGTCCGGACTGGCATGCTTCAGTCTCTTCATAACGCACAGCCATGGCTTGCCATCGCAGGCCACGAATTCGCCCCACATACTCGACAACATCATCTTCTTCTCCTGCATTACAACCATGCAAGAACGAAATCACAGTTCCACATGTAAGACAGCCAGCTGTGTGGATTTTGCGTGTTGTCCTGCATCTACATTTCACTGGTGCCTTTCAAGAGGGGTGCGTCAACGCCTGAAGTTATCCCCAAAACAAATCATGCAATGAGGGACTACAAGCAATTGAGTGGGCTTCCATGAACAGACCTTCGCAAACAAGGACACCAGGATGCCCAGGCACACAATAGCCACCCAGCTCCAGTTCGCTGCCCCAGTTTATGATGCACTTGCGCTTAGTCGTGCTGAGGATGTGGTGAAACCAGATGAGCCTCCTGGCTATCTTCTCAGATCCAGTGGCTTCGCCTTCTGCGCAACAACACATGTCGACAGTTTGCATAGCCTCTTCTCGTTGCACAAGGACCCCATGATTGCCTGCAATTTGGTACAGTTGTACCCACCTGCTCGTTGCCTTTCTGTGTGCGGCGATGTGTGAGCCCCGTCTGCCTCTGCTTGGTCGCATGTGTCATTGCGCAAGCTGCAGACGTATTCTTGTCCTGAAGCCTGTGCAGAAGAACTGCTGCGGTCAGCCCGACTATTATTGCCGCTCTTTAAGAAATGAGCTGGAGACAGGAGCAATCTACAATTAGCACAGGATGATCAGTTTGAAGGTCGGAGACATCCGCAAACGGGCAAAACCTGTTCTGTGAGGTTTTGGATAGATTGTGTGAGGCAATCCACAGCCACCAGCAGCACTTCGGCGCCAGCTTGATCCTCAGCGCAATGAGTAACATCCCTTGTCAATGCATCATGCACGCTTCGGCTGGCATTGCATTCGACCTGCAAACATGAAGGCAAAATTCAGCAGTATTGGTGGTTCAAAATTGAGGAAAAGGTGCAGGACATTGATCTGTACTGTATTATGCATTATGAATTATGGATTGTGCAGTGAGGAGAGATGTCACACAAATGAGTACTGCTACACGTGCCTGCAATGCGGGGCTCACAAGAGGATACATAGCAGGCAGCGCAAAGCGCAGGTACACTGGCTGGTCCCCAATTGAGACCTCTGGGAGTCTCACTGCGCCACTGAGCGTGGACAGCACATCCACGCGCCCTTTGTCCAACATCTGGCTGCCAGGTACCCACCGTTTTAATCTCGGATTCGCCAAGAAACAATCATGGAATCTTGTCATGAGTGTGTAGGTATGCGCAGGCGCTCACCTGCCTCGCTACCGCCAGAGTGTGTCTCTCTGTCTCTGAGAGCAACAGGCCTCCATCTTCTGGAAATACACATTGCATGGCCTCTATCTCTTCTACCTAACAAATGCAGCAAAATATGTAAGAGGAGGCACATGATCCTCAGTGCAGGTGAGCACTTCTGAGAGCAATGACCCTTATGAAGGTAATCACCTGGCTTTGCAGACACTCCAGGTAGGGCTCTCCCATCCTTGATGATCCCGAAATACACCTCCGATTCTTTGTAACTCTTTATTTAGAATAAATTTTCGGCACAGATCAGGTGGACATGATCTCAGACCGGACTATTGTAAATAAGGACACAAAAGCTGCTGCATCTTGAATGAAAAGTGCACCAACAGGACATCCAGAAGAATTCAGTTTCAGGGAAGCACACTTGATGGTTGAAATAGAGACTGAACTAAGTCAGTTGAACATTGCAGAAGACTCCGCTAGGGTTTTCCATATCCCTCGATGCAAGGGCGTTTATGGTGTCAGGACAGTAGCTCCTAGCCATCGAAATATCGCGCTGAATCCTAGATTATTAGACCTTGCGCCCCGCGTAAGAAATTGCTCGTTGAGGATATGCCTACATAGTGTGCTGTTATCTGCGGCTCTGTGTTGAAGGACACGGCCAGACTCAATCTTCGATGCTGCAGTCCAGTGGCTGGAGTGCAGCGGGCTCCCTGAACAGCAATCCCTTGCTGCAGGGCAGGACCTGCACTACATCACAATTCAGAGCAGCTTCCGCACCGCCATTGAGGCGGACTTCTTCAGGCAAGGACCCGCGTTGATTTTGCGTGTTATTCGTTGATACCTTGAGACCTACTCAGTCATCAAAGTCCTCACTTTCAACACCATAATTTGCATGTTGTCGCCAGTACTCAAAACAATGAAGATTGTGTTGTTTTTAGCATTGGACTTTGTGAATGCCAAAGGCACTTGACGATTGGCTTGGATTGTGTTCAGGACTCAGCAATGCCATCAGTCGTCGCAACAATGGTAAAATGCACGCAAAGCCCAGCACCAAGGTGACAGAAGAGCTGTCCCCCTTGGAGCTTCTGCGCCGAGAGAACGAGCTTCTCAGGGAGACAATAAACTCTGCAGACTCTGCGATCGAGGAGCTGGAAGCACAGCTGCAGGTGAGTGCAAGGAACATTTCAGGGGTATTCTTGTTCTGATAGACATCGCATTGATGCGAAGGTCCTGGATCGCTTTGCCTGTCACCTCGAAGGGAACACTTACACCAGGTGATCATTTCTGGGTATTGGATCTGAGCTGTACCTGATTGGCCTTCAGGAGGAGGGCGTAGATGTGTCCGAGCTGGAGAAGAGCCTGGCAGAGGAACAGGCTGCAGAAGCCAGCAAGCTTGAGGCAGAATCAGACAACCCAGAGGATTTCTGGTCTCCAATCGCTGCGCCCCTCCCTGCAGGCACCAAGCTGGACGAGTATGGAGCCCTGTCCCCGATTCCGCAGCATGACGGCACTGAGTGCCTGAAATGGGATGACTCTCTCTGGTCGCATGCCGACCACTTCAAGGTAGGCGTTGCTTGGCGAGCTTCTCTTTCATCTCCCTGAGACCCCAAGCTTGCAAGCTCTTCCACTTGTCGGGATCTGTGTTTAGAAACTTGAGCAGAAATAGCGGATGAAAGCATGCATACTGACCTTTGATGCGTGCCCATTCCCTGCAGTACCGGTGGAATGTCTACAAAGGCATTCGCGATGCCATCGAGAAGAATGAAGGCGGGTTGGATAAGTTCTCACAAGGTGCACTGCCGGCCACCCTACATTTCAAGCACTACTTGTTATAATATTTGTTCCTTCCTGATGGTAATCGAGCTGTGGTGTGAAGATCAATTTCCCTGCAGGGTACAACTACTATGGGCTGAACCGAGGAGAGCACGAGGGAAAGACAGGCATCTGGTACAGGGAGTGGGCGCCTGGCGCAAGGGTGAACGCACACATTGTCTCACCTCCTGCTAAGCATCCATTAGCGCATGGCTGCGGTGTGCTGCTTTAAGTATACCAGAACACCAGCCACAGAAATATATATGCTCTTTGCTTGAAATTTGCAGGCGATTGCGCTTATTGGTGAATTCAACAACTGGGACCCGCTTCCCGAGCACTGGGCCGTGAAGAACGACTTTGGCGTGTTCTGCCTATTCCTGGCTGACAACGCCGACGGCACCTCACAGATCCCTCACAGGCATGACACTTCCAACTCTGCAGCTGAACCCCTGACTACTAGCTGCCTTATAGGACTTATCCTCCACTGACCGTGTGAATTTGCCAGCTTCAGAAACCGTTGTGTCTGCTCAATAATGTGCACCATTCTCGGGAAGAAGCTGGGCAGCATGCTCTCAGGGGTGCACGGCTCTTTGATGTGGGTGTTTACCGTGCGCAGGACAAAGGTGAAGTCCAGGGTAGAGACTGCGTATGGCGAGTGGGTGGAGCGCATCCCAGCCTGGATCAAGTGGGCCACCCAGGTGCGCTTAAAACCTCCCGAGCGAGCAGGTTGCTGCCATACGCTTCTGAAATGCCAGTTGCTGCCCACATGTGGCAAGCACTCAAGTGTCCTGGGCACTGACCTCCTGAAGTTGTTTCCTCAGGAGTGGAACGAGATTCAATTCAATGGAGTGTACTATGAGCCCCCGGAGGCAGGCGCCCCTGGGGAGGTGCCCACCTTTGAGACATCCTACACCTTCAAGTACCCTCGCCCCAAGCGCCCAGAAAACCTGCGCATCTACGAGGCCCACGTGGGCATGTCCTCCGAGGAGCCAAAGGTGCACCCTGCCATCTGACAATTGTGTTGTGTCTCATGCTCCTGAGATTGGGCCTGCACTAGCATGGATACAACATTTCCTTCCTCAGTAGACTGAGGGTCTTTGCCTCTATGTGCAGATCAACTCGTACATGGAGTTTGCAAAGGAAATGCTGCCTCGGATCCGCAGCCTGGGCTACAACACAATCCAGCTGATGGCAGTGCAGGAGCATGCCTACTACGGCTCCTTCGGCTACCACGTGACAAACTTCTTCGCGGTATGCTTTCCAACTATGAATGGAAGCAGTGACAGCTGCCATGTGGCAAAAGTGCCTCATTGTGCCCTTTGGGTACAGCGTTTTAAAATGGTCAAAGAACAACCGCATGGATCAGAAGCCTCTGCAGTATTTGTTATTGCTGTTCAAACGCAGCGGCTGCATGGCGCAAAGGGGTGTGTTGTATTCTTGCAGGCGAGCAGCCGGTGCGGCACGCCTGATGAGCTAAAATTCATGATCGACGAGGCGCACAGGCTGGGGCTGTTTGTGTTGATGGACATCGTGCACAGCCACGCCTCCAAGAACACCAACGACGGCATCAACATGTTTGATGGCACAGAGGCCATGTATTTCCATGGTGGCGGCCGCGGCTACCACTGGATGTGGGACTCGCGCTGCTTCAACTATGGTGTGTCACCTCTGCCAGCCCTGATCTTTTGCAGACCAGTGCTTAAAAGAGATCATGCAATATTGGGAGCGGTCATTTGGTATACGAATGGGGAGTGTCTGTGGCTGCGGCACAGTGTCTGTGCAAGGGGGACTTAATGAGCAGGACCTGAGCTAATAGCTTTGTATTGGCGGCAGGCAACTGGGAGACGCTGCGCTTCCTGCTGTCCAACTCGCGGTGGTGGGTTGACGAATACAAGTTTGACGGCTACCGCTTCGACGGGGTCACCTCCATGATGTACCACCACCACGGCCTGCAGATGGCATTCACTGGTGCGCTACGTTTTGCTGGTGCATGCTGGCTAGGCTGTTTGGCACCGCTCACTCACTCGGTCATCAGGCATGTGTGGCACCTGAACACAGCTCAGAGACATCCTGCCGTTTGCAGGCAACTACGACGAGTACTTTGGCATGGCGACCGACGTGGAGGCGGTCACATACCTGATGCTGCAGAACCAGGTGCTGCACGATCTGTTCCCCACCGTCATCACCATCGGCGAGGACGTCTCCGGCATGCCCACCTTCTGCAGGTGACCATCTGCATGTGACCCCAGCCGACATAGATGCTGCGTGCCCTCACACTCTGATACCTGCGTTCAATCACCAGAGGGGTGGCTGTCAGAGATCAGTCTCTGGCTTTGGGAGGTCTTCTGCAGATTTGAGAGGCGCATAAGACAACCAAGTTTCAGAACAAAGCATTACAAGTGCTTTTTGTGGGATGCAGGCCTGTGTCAGAGGGAGGCATTGGGTTTGACTACCGGCTGCAGATGGCCATTGCGGACAAGTGGATTGAGCTGCTGGAGGAGAAGACAGACGACCAGTGGGAGATGGGCAACATCGTGCACACGCTCACCAACCGCCGATACGCCGAGGCCTGCGTCGCATACGCCGAGTCCCACGACCAGGTGATCCCTCTCACGATCTGACATGCCTGCTCAACACCTCAACCCAAGTGCATGCGCATGACTTATGAGGCAACTTCATGACAGCTGCGCAGAGGTGTTGCAATGTGAGGGTACACTGAGCTTTGAGATGGGTATGTCTCATGAGCTGTTCAATTTTCTTTGTGCAGTCTCTGGTAATGAATTGAAACTGGTTCAGCTTGTTGCATGCATGACTCGTGTGTGGTGCGTGTGTCCTGAACAGGCGCTGGTGGGCGACAAGACGATTGCCTTCTGGCTGATGGACGCTGCTATGTACGACAAGATGTCCATCGATACACCCAGCAGCGTGGTGGACCGGGGCATTGCGCTGCACAAGATGATCCGCCTCATCACGCTCACACTGGGCGGAGAGGGCTACCTCAACTTCATGGGCAATGAGTTTGGGCACCCAGAGTGGATCGACTTCCCCCGCGATGACATTATCGACACCTCCACCGGCAAATTTGTGCCAGGTACGGCTCTGCGTGGGCAAATCGGGGCTCAGCACCGGCTCTGCATTACAAGTGATCACAGACAGACATGCTCTGAAGCCGCCATGCTCTCCACCATGAGTGTTTTACAAGCAGACTGGCGTCAGGGTTTACAAATCCTGATGCACCATCAGTTCCTCAAATCCTGCTTCTTTTCCACTGGGTTTAGGGTGCATGAAGAGCAGTCTTGCATTGGGATCCAAAAGCTTTATCGATTTTTTTTCTGGCTCCTCACAAATGTCATGGCATGGTGCAGGGAATGGTGGCAGCCTGGAGAAGTGCCGGCGAAGGTGGGACCTGGCGGACGCAAAACACCTGAAGTACAAGTTCATGAATGCGTTTGACCGCGCCATGAACCACTTGGACAAGGCCTTCTGCTTCTCCGACGACCCCCACCAGTGGGTGTCGCGCAAGGTGCCCCCCGAGTTCCTGTTGCGAAGCTGTAGCAGATCACGCTCATATTACAGCTCGTAAATATTGCCTTGATCCATGAGACTTAACACAGTCCTAATGTCACCGCTGTCGTCCGGGCAGACGCTGCTGCCAGGGACAGATATTGCTGACTCTATGCGTATATGAAAGCTTGGAACTAAGGCGCTGACTGAGCCAGTTGCATGATGTGTCAGGACGAGAGCGACAAGCTGATAGTCGTGGAGCGCAGCGACCTGGTCTTTGTGTTCAATTTCCACCCAGTGCAGTCCTACACCGACTACCGCGTCGGCACCTGCCTGCCCGGCCCCTACAAGGTGCACCCCCTCACACCTCTTTCTTTGAGCTACTGTAGTAGTCATTCTAAAACCTGCAATAAATAATTATCTTTTACCAAAAAGGGTGGATATATAAGACCCCATCTCCCAAAATATAAAACCTAAGATACTTTTGAGACCAGATTCGGAAAGCTCTCGACAAGCTCATTCCAATGGAGAATGACCCTGGTATATTTGATTTCAGGAACACCCCAAAAGTTGCTTTGTAAAAGTGTCCGCACCTCCGAGGGTGCGGGTTTTCGAATGACTACTACAGTATTCCCCTGTATTCACGTGTTGACGTAGTGGCGTCATGGCGTCTTGAGCTCGTTGCTTGCTTAAGGCGCCATGGCGTCTTGAGCAAGCAACGACAGGCGGAGTCTGTGAGGTCTCTACTGGACCTCTCCCTCACGCCTGTGCTTGCTTGTGCAGATCGTGCTGTCTTCGGATGAGGCGGTCTTTGGCGGCTGGGAGAACGTGTCAAAGAAGTATGACGTGGCGTATCAGACAGACGAGGGCCTGTACGATAACCGCCCCCAATCCATGCTGGTGTATGCCCCCTCGCGCACCGTCGCAGTCTACGCCAAGGCCGAGTTCTGCGATGCCACGGGCGACCAGTCCCCCACCGGCATCCCCGGCCTCGGCGTCAAGGGCCGCGGACCCCACTGGCAAGCGTGAGAAATCACTGCAGACCACCAAGACTTTATGGGCCAAAGAAGAGCAGCAGTGCTGGTCTCGACGGCCTATTTGGCGTCGCTTGTCTTTGATCTGGTGAATGGCGCGCAATATAAGCAGCGAGGCAGTTGTGTTTGCCTCTGGGGTTCTCAATGGGTCTGCTGATGCCCTGCACTGAGGTTGTACCCAGTGTGACGAAAGCGCAGCTGCTTGCCTGATTGGCACCTTGTCCGTGGGCTTGGAGCATGGGTGTAGAGATGAAGTCTTTTGCATGCTGCATCAGTTGGTGGATTTTAAATTTTGTTGAGACACAGACCCGCAGGAACGCTTAGAACATGGCACAAGCAATTATTGCCGCTCAACGTTGCAGAGCAATTCGCACTGCGGTCAATTCTAAAATGAGCAGCTGCAATGCACATCAGCCAGCTTTGCGCTGGAAAAATGGATTTATATCTTTTGGGGATGGGTCAGGGAGAGAGTGTGTCCTAGACGGCAGAGCATGCTTCCTGCCATTCAAGATGTGTATTCCACAGTTGGTCAAGGTTCTGGCAACCTGACCCAATAAAGTTTGAGATGCAACTTGCTGCATGTGTGATTAACGATCTGGAGTTGTGTGAGCAGAGTGATCCTGGAGCATCGAGTGATTAGTCCCTGAACGTGGCTAAATGACAGCTGAGTGGCAAATGCTGATAGCCAAATGGTGCACGTGAATGTGCAGAGAAGATCATGTATTTTGTAAAAAGATTTCCCACACACGACAGGAGTCCCTTCCATCTTGATAGTTCCTGGAATAGCTGAAAGGCGTCGTTTCTGGACAGCCAATCTGCAGCAGCATGTGATCACAACAAACTCGAGCAGAAATATATTTTGGAACTATGTGTGAATGTGCATGTGCGCCTGATCACTTGCCAGCGAATTTCTCTGATAGCCAGTTGCAACGAGCACATTCATGCCATTTGTATGGCGATGTACTTTGCAATGATGCACCACGACACACCCTGGCCCTGTGGACTGCAGTGCATGGATCGTTTTTGTCTCTTTGCTGCAGCGTTTTCATGTACACGCGTTTTTACACAGGGTTTCCAATGCAGATGATTGGAAAGCCGGTCAAATTGAGCATACTATAGACATCAGTAATATATACACGGCGCTGTGTGTTTGCTAGCTTGAGAACTGGCAAACTTATGGATCAGTGTCAGCTTCTAATATCAGATCCCAAAGGAGTCCTATACAGGCTATTGGACCTGCCAGTAGTTTTCTGGCAGCTACTTCAGTATACAGATGCCAAGCAAAAGTTTAAAGTGTCTTGCAAGCAGTACTTGGTCGACGCAACTTGCTGGTATGGTAAACCATGGCAAGCGTGCTTATTTACAGTGCTACTGATGTGCTCTGAAAGTGCTAAGATAACTTGGTATCGACATACCAACATGCACAAAGCTCATTTGTTGATGTCCTGCAGCGCCTTTTTGATGGCTGTGCTGGTGGCATTCTTTGCTCCCAGCCATGTACTGCACTGCTCCAACACCTCAGCCTTCTTCGTTTGGAAGTGCGCCCTGCAATATTCAGCAAGCCATCAATCTGTCAGTACAGGTAGCGAACAGGCAGCCCCGCATGTGCAGCTCGGTAGGGCTCACACAAAAAGCGCTACATGCAGAGCACAGTTTTTTCACAATTTTGCCAATGATCAGCAAACACTCTTGAAGCAAAGTGCCATGCATCCAGCGCCGCGTACCTGATGACTTCTGCAAACGCGGCGCAAGGCTTCTTGAGGGTGTCCAGCACAGCATGCTCCAGTGTGGCCCTGCGGATGTTTGCATTGTAGCTGTTGCTGTGCTGTTTCCCACTTGGTGTGTTGCGCGAGCTTTCGTAGCCCGGTTCGTTGAAGTAGGGATCCTCCACCAGGATCATGCTCTGGATGCTCACAAGCACCTGCACTTAAATCTCAAGACTTCAAATGCCTGTAATGTTTGCAAAACAGAACCAAATGCAGGATACCCAGCACTTTGAAGAAAAAAAATACAGCGGACCTGTAGCAGTGTGGAGGTGCCAGGGTCCCAGGAGGGGCCGCTCCATGTGCCCAGCAGCGAGAGGCACACCTTCCCACAGTTGTACAGGTTCGGATTGAAGCGCACGCGGCCTGCACCTGTGGTCAGAAACTGCACCTGCAGCATCATAGAAGGCATGATGTAGCACCCTGTCGTTGCGAGACACCTGTCACAAAAAGCATGGGCGGGAAATGCTGCAACATGCCAGGGAGGGTGCACGCGCATGCCAGGTGGCAAACATGATGTGCAAAGCTGCACCACGATGCATCCCCCTGCAAGGCTTTATATGGAAATCACTGACAGAGCTCCATTTCAGGCTCGCATGGGATAGCAGAGTAGTGTGAAAAGTGTGAAGCAGACCTCGGGAGGCTTGTTGGGGTACTCTGGCGGCAGCAGGATGTCAAACAGGAAGCAGCCGTTGGCGTAGGGCGTGCCACCAGGGCCGATGATCAATGCCCTGCCACATCAGCCAGGAAAAGGTTTGAAAACAGACAGGTGCTATCGATTAGCACACTTGCAATGCGCACTGATAATACACTTGCAGCTTCTAAAAGCACTATAAGACTAGAGGGCATTCTTTTTATCAACCGGGCATTCCTTATATCAACAGCATGGGCAGCGCACGAGATACAATCAGATCCTTGAAAATCACTCAGCTGCCTGTGAGGAGGGCAGGTAGTTTCTGATATAAGCACAATCTGTATATAGGAAAGCTGCAGATGAGAGTTGATGGCCAGTTCCTAAATTGAGCAGAGGGGGTAAAAACGAGGGTCACCTCATGACATTGACGTGGGATGAGTCGACAGCCAGGAAGATGGATGTACTCCAGGCCACAGGCAGGCACGTCGCCAGGGAGCTCTGCTCCTGCACTATCCTCCGCAGCCACGCCGCCCCACCTGCTCAATAATCACAACAAGAAGCTGAGACAGAATACAAGGGTCATATCTCTCACTGGGGTTAAGGTCACAGGAAGGTCTGTTCTACTTATTGCAGATGCAATTTGTCATAGGTGAAAACTTGACAATCTTTGATGTTTTGGGGTACTGCATAAAAAGAGAGGATGTTTCGGACAAGCTGCCTTACCTCCTTTCTCCTGCCCTGCAGCTTTGCGGAAGTAGAAGTCGCCGCCATCAATCAGTGCATGGTCCCTGAATCTGAGGCCCAACATGGTGTCCGTGTACCTGACCAATCACAGTGGAAGAAGTGGCTATCGATATGAAACCTGACTAGTCGGCAGGTAGCTCCACAAAAACAGGCAACCTTGCTGCTAGGGGGATACTGTTCCTAACAAGACCCCACTTGCGTCGGTCAGCCATTGAATGCAACAGGCGCTCATCATCAATGTGGCTCACCTCTTCTCCAGAACCGACTGCTCCTCTGCGCGCCCTGGAGAGGCTCCTTCTGCACGACTTGCACAAGAGCTTATCATTTTGCGCTACAATTGCAAGGTTTCCCATAAGCAAAGACTTTACGAAGGGCGCAATGCACTCTCGCCTTTAAGCACGCAGAAAGCCATGCATGCAAGCAGTGTGTCAACAGAAAGTCACCATTAATGTACATCAGGCCTGCATCAGCCTCACCTTGCTCTTCAGAAGCAGGCACGCCGGCGACAGTGGACCTGAACATGGCCACGCTTTCGCTCAGCTGCTCGTAGGTGGACGCAATCTCCAGCGCAACTGACAGGGCCTCCATGCTGCTCTCCTCCCCATCACCAGCTGCACAACACACCGTCACTCGTTTAAAAATGGCCCGGGGAGGCTGCACAAAGCCTGTTTGCACTGCAGTACGGTCTCCCAGAATGCCAACCTTGTTGGTACATCTGACATCAGTTAGTCCAGCTGCCATGTGCTGTCACAATCCCACCCTGCCAATGCCGCTACTGTTTGCACTGCAGACTAATCTCCTTTGGCAGGAGGCTGCTCGGTAGCCTTACAATGCCTTGATAAAATGAGAATTAAACATGCATGCTTAGGAAACTTCAGGTCAATGCTGATTGCTGGCATGCGTAACTGGCAAGGCCAGCTCTGCTAAAACAATTGAGCACCAACAGGGACCCACCGAGGTCCTGGGCGCTGCGTTTGAAGATGGTGCACTGGGTGTTGAGTGTGGTGAGTGCGTCCATGGGGCTCGGTGCCGCGGCTGAGGAAGATGGCGCGGCGGCCGCGCCACCCCGTTGCCAGCCGAATGCCGCCAGCGCCTCGTCATGGTCTGCAGGCTGCTGCAGCACCGGCAGAAGCTCCATGTGCGCGCCTGCCACGCATCAGTCAATGTTACGGACTCGAGTGTTCTGATGCAGCTATAAAGTGACACAGTGCGCTCGTGATCAATCCGCACGTCTATCAATGGTGTCAGGGGTGCTTGTTGACAGTTGCTTTTTGGACTTACCAAACTTGGTTGTGGAAATTGGCCAGAAACACTTTTAGTACTATATGTTGATGCTGCACAAAACAGCCAAATGCGCTACCAGGTTGGTTTTCATGCGTTCTGTGAATTGTGAATTTGCTGTTAAAGAGCTGTACAGGGGAGTGCTGCGTTTCTGCGCACCCAGCTTGCGCAGCAGTTGGATGAGTTCAAGATAGAGGGCGCGGCGCGAGCCGATGTCCATCAGCGAGTCGTTCTGCAGCAGTCGCCGCATGGACGCGCCCAGGCAGGACGCCTGCACCAGCGCGCACATGCCCACCGGCAGCCCGGACCTCCTCCCTGGTCCCATGTCCTGTACAAGCCACATCAGGACCCCACACTCAGCCACAATGAAGACCTTGAGATTTCAGCTACTCGTGTAAAAATGGTTTTTGTGGGGTTTCATGCAGGATCTTGTGTTCACCTTGAACCCTGAACCCCTCACAAAAAAACGAACGTTGGGTCAAACTCAAATCAAAACGTCTCTCTTGTGGTGCAAAAAAGCCGTGCAAGCCAGAGGTCCCACATCGTTCCCTGCAGAGAACGGGAAATAGAATAGGCAACGTGAAGACACCCCTTGGGGAGCAGTCAAAGCGTGCACCAGGCATGCGCGGATGTCCGCCAGCAGGCGAGTCATGGCGGCGTCAACATCGTTCTGCCGCTGGGCCGCAGCAGCTGTCGCACCGCCGCTGCCTTTTTGGAAGAGCGTGTCGCCGCCATAGCCGGTGCCGGAGCTTGTGCCGCCCTTCCTCGCTTTTGGTGACGCCACCTTCTTGGATTCTGATGAAACGCCTGCACAAACGCACTCACTCATCGTGCATGTTCACGCTACCATCAGGCAACACCCCTAGAGGCCTATATATTGGAGCTGCTCGTGGGTAAAACTAAAAACTGTGGGGTCCTCTCAATGCACAGTAGAGCCCAAAGACACTCTTGGGTGGTGAGGTAATATACAGCATGCGCTGACCAGGCATGCGCTGGTCAACGGTGAGCTTGCAGTGCAGCCGGTAGATGAGGTTGCACAGCCGCACGCATCGCTCCTTCTCTGCCGCTGCGGCCTGTCCCGAGGTGCCCACGGCGCCGCCAGTAATAGCGGCTCCCGACCCAAGCCTGGGATCCTCCACTGTGCCAGTGGATATGATCTGCGCCACAGCCCAAGCTTGAAACGGCATGGTTGTCATTGTGTCTGTCATTCTCTGGTGAAAAGGTGATGCTGGAATGGCCCAATTAAACAGTTCTTTCGCCCAAGTGAGAGGTGAATCCACACACCTCGCCACCGTTGCGGCTGATGCCAGCTGGACAGACAAGGCAGATGTGGGCTGCTTCAAAGCATAGGCCTTTTAGCTGGGCAGCCGCGTCCGCAAGTTTTCTAGGAGGGCTCGCCACACTGCGGGTTCTGCATTGACACACATGAGCTACTCACCAAGAGACAAAAGACGGTTTCTTTACAGAGGTGGAATCTCTGCTTTGTCATTCAAGGGAACCAGACTTGGATCCACCATTTGAGGACACTGGCATAGTGTGCAGAAACAAGTTTGTGCTGTATATGCACGAATAGCTGATTGCTTGTGATAGATAACATTCGAGCAGCACCGTCACAGCTTGGCTTCCTTAAGCATGTGCGCAATCGTGAAAGAAATGTCACCTACTTGAAAGGCTCTCACCTGAGTGCCGCGTGCAATTCAGCGACTTTCAGATTGGCTACAGCGGCGACCATTGGCATGTCGGGGCGGTCAGGGCACAGCGGGCACTGCAGCGGTACCGCCCCAAAGTCCTGCAGGTTGTCGCGCGAGCGGCGCGCCAGGATTGCTGCCTCGCGCAATGCCGCCATGCAGATGCGCCCATCCATCTGCACCAAGAATCTCACCTCTTATTTCCTCTCCAACAGCCAGGGTCAGAAAAAGACCTAGATAAATTTTGCACAGCAGACACTGCAGTCAGCTTCTTCATCTTCCAACGCAGGAAAGTGAAAACGATTGCATTTAGCGATCAGTTTAGGTCACGCATTATCCTAGTACTGCAGTGAGACTTCAGACAGCCGGGCTTGACATGATCTGGCGATGTCATATGCATAAACATGCTTCAGGTTGTTGAATGTCGGATTTGCTGTGCAGGAGGTGCGGAGGATCGATAAAGTACCTTCTTCAGAGCTGCTGGGTGCATGAGGTTGCACAGATCATTGCGCGACAGTGGCCTGCGGCAGGACTGCGCAGGGCAATGGATGTGGCCTAGCAGCGCTCCTAGGTTGATAGGCAGGCTGGCTTGCAGGGCGCCCACACTGTCCTCCAGCACACCCCTGCAGCATACAGATGTCTCACAACTCGCATTCGAGCCCTTTCCATCAGTTACATCAAACTGCATGGTTTGGTCCAGTCAGCAAATTCTCATGCTTCACATGCAATGCAGCATTCACTGTCATTAGCTGCTGACATAGTCCAGTGTACATGCCCACAGTCGCAAGAATGCAACAGAATAATGAGAAAGTCCTGCCACATTGCGCTGCAAGAGACCATGAATTTCTGTGTACTGTCAAAGTGCCCTCTGCAAAAGTATAAAACAAAAGGGTGCACATTGCGAGCTGAGAGCATTGGAACAGCAGCTGTACCTGCTGTGCCGGCAGCCACAAGCGTCCAGGATGTACATGTCCGTGCTCGTGAGCCCACTGCTTGGACCAGCATCCGATCCATCATTGGCCACCACTTCCTGCATTCATTTGCATCTGCCTCTGGACTCCAGTCATGTGACCAGCGCTTATGCTCTGCGTGATCTACTGGTGGACACAATAAGGCAATGAAAGTCAATGGGATAATAGATCCGACATGTAAATGAAAAACTCCAGATAATCGACTGTTTGGCCAGTATGTTCTGTGGGGCACCTTTGAGGAAGGAGCCTCCGCATCAATGTGCACGACTTCGCAATCAGCATCCTTGGCAGTGCTGCCCTTGGACGCTATGCAGAGCTCGCAGTTGAGCAGCTCTGCGTCATTCACAAAGGTGCATTGCAAACACTCCCAAGCGTCTGCTGAACCTGCAATTCCAGCATTGAATGTCAATGAATGAGCAGCTGCCACAGGTCCATATTTCCCCCATCAGTCAGCGGCCCTGGAGTGGTTATGGGAGTCCTTGCCGGAATGGGGCAATCATTCTGCATGGTGTGGCCAGACTTCCATGTTTAAATTGTGCTGGGCAATTACCTTGCTGAGGGCGAGCAGCTCGGCAGACCTCACAAGCAGGGACATTCCCATTTATGAAGGTGCAGGAGTTGCAGGTCCAGACCGAGCAGTGGTCATCCACCTCCACCTGGCGCTGCTTCTTCTGGCCTTTTTCAATTGCAGCTGCAGGCACACTGGATGATTTCAGGACAGAAATGCATTCATAAACCAACCGCATTTAGAATTAAGGAAGTTTTGATCTTGATTGAGCCTTATGGCGGGGTATAATCCCATGTTTGCCAGCAAAAGTCTTGTTCGTCTTTTAAGAGCCTTCTTTTTGCGTGCGTATCTTTCGCCGACTTAGTGTCTCTCTTCCACATAGTTATTTTTAGTTCATGTAAGGATAATGTGAGCGGCAACCGAGGCCCATGTCCCGTATGTTTGTCAAGATGATGACTGCCAGAAAGGAATGCTTGCCAGTTTATACAGTGGTGATGCATTGTTGCGTTCGCGCTTCACCACGTTGATTTTCAACATGCAGCAACTGAAAAGTTGCTCACCGAGTCGTGTCTTTGAAGTCCTGGGCCTCTTAACGTTTGGATCCTGAGATCCACTGTCCTCATCAGACACTTGGACGACCTCATCATCGCCCTCTGTCTGACGACGATGGCTTGAGGGCGTCCCAGAGCTTAGACATGCCAAGAGGCACCCCGTCATGCCAGTATCCCTCTGCCTTACCGAAGGATGGCCAAGGAAAGCATTCAGTAGCGTGTATTTCGAGGAGCTGTGGGCGCCTTAAGAGTGTGCACCCTTCTCATCCACCTTTATGAGTCGTATGTTAGTAACTAAGTGCACAATCGTTCTCTTCTGTTTTAGTGGGGAGACACCCTGATCGTCTCAATTCTGTTTCAGAGCTGCTGACTGGACATCGACTGGACGCCTGGCAGATCATGGATTGCCAGAATTCCTGAGGAAATTACCTTTTGAACAGAGTTACTTCGACTGAACATACAAAATCAAATATTATTGAACGACTAGAATGCTTAAGAATCAAATAATATCTTATTAATATGTTTTAGAGTGTCAATGGTTATCCGTCAATGCCGATCCTCATCAACGCTCTCGTCGCAAGCAGCAATGTCACTGGGGCTTACCTGTGCTTGAAATAAATTGCACGTTTATCTAAGCAGCAGGTGGCTTTCTCGGCGAAATGGTGCGCGCGAACGTTGATCTGCTGCATGCCGTATTCAAGCTTCTGCAGCAATCACAAGAGATACTTACACGCTTCTTGGAAATTGAAGCAGGAAGAGGAAGAAAGACTTCGGGCTCGATTGCACATGATGACCGATTACCAGTCCTATGATTTTTCTTTCAAGGTTCTGCTCAACCTCACCTAGATCGGGAAACAATGGTGCACTGATTTGCATCGCATTAAAGCCTCAGGTATCTGGGGACATTGCCTTGCATGTCAGCTGGCAACGTTTGGAAGGCAGCTTGCCGCTTGGCTGTTGAGGCCAAGAAAATACCTTTTCTACAGTGATCTTGTCAGTGAACTGTGCCTTGCACGGTGCAGGACACAGATCTGGAGAGGGAAGTGCGCAAGCGCCAGAGGAAGGCAGAGGCTGCCTGCGTGCAGCGGTGGCGATGGCTATTGGTGCTCTGCATTGGCACCTCAGTGGCAGCTCTGTCAATGATCCTCAACCTGGGCATTGCAGGCCTGAACTTGGTCAAGATCAAGGCCACTGAGCGCCTCATTGCAAGCACAGGTCCTAGAGCACTGTCATTACTTACCATGCCTTAAAACCTCCCTTGATTGCCATGGCAGATGGTGTCTTTCAGTCTGGAGTCTCGGCGTGCAGGGGGTTTCTGGCGGCCATATTTTCTGTATGTTGGTCTATCAGCCGCCTATGCTGTTTGCGCGGGTGCAATTGTTGCTTTTTGGGCGCCTGCTGCTGCGGGCTCTGGAATGTCTGAGATAAAGGTGCACATCTCCATTCATGCTGCCATGTAGTACAACAATTACACCTTGCAACAAGTAGAAATCATCTTGATTACAGCTACAGACAACTTCATTCCCAGATGATGCTCAATGGCAGCCCTTTTTTCGCCAGCTGTTCTCTGAAAATTGCCTGCTGACTTTCTGCTACCTTACAAGATCTGCCTTCAGTGGCACTTGCAAAATTCCCATCTGTCCTCTGTGAACAGGACTGTTGTCCATGTGCTGTCCTGCAGGCGTATTTCAATGGCGTGCACAGCCCAGGGCTGCTGTCACTGCGCACATTGGTGGGCAAGCTCGTGAGCGCATTGTTTGTGCTGTCAGCTGGGCTCATAGCGGAGGGAGAAGCGCCCTTTGTTCACATTGGGGCCGTTGTGGGTGGCGGTTTTGCATCTGCTGGATCCAGGTGAGTCAGCATTCAGGTGTTTTCCTTTTCCCTTTTTACAGAACAGTGCTTTCACAAGCTAGAATAAGGCACTCCTTCAACGCGATGTTCTGTGCTGAGCCCAATTCATAGCAACAACGGCCATGGCACTCACGCAATTGCTGGGTGTCTATGTTATAGCACAGGTCCCTCACAAAGCTGCTGCGAGGCCGATTTGAAGTGAAGCTGCCACGAAGCTGGGGTGGCTTCTTTCGCAATGACTTTGACCACCGGAATTTTTCTGCCATTGGTGCAGCTGCCGGTGCGAGCACTGTGGGGTCCATGACCTCTAGTAAATATCCATGCATGATGCTCTGGACATTTTCCTGACAAATAAATATCTTGGTCAGGTATGGCGGTGGCATTTGCAGCCCCAGTGTCAGGAATGGTCTTCATTGCGGAGGAGAGTGCGGCCAATCTAGGCGCTCCAACTTATTACAAGGCGCTCGCAGCCAATTGTGTTGCCATTCTCATTTTCAACCTGCTCTCTGCAGCCTACAACACCGGCTCGGTTATGGGGAATACAAGGTAAGGGGCAGCCCACCATGAGTCCACTGTTGTTGCGACCACAGCATGGGAGTGAATCAACGCCACGCCTACGTCACACTGTACCGTGCATCTTCTCTTAGCAATGTCAGCGATGTTAAGCTCGCATCGTGCGCCTGAATTAGTAGCAGATTTGCTGGGCAAATAGAGGCATGTCAATTGTGAGGTGCTGATCGGTGCATTACTTATCATTTTGTGTGCAGGTTATTCTCTCTGCTGGACACCTCGACAGCAGATGTACTGGGTCTCTTTTACGTCCGTCTTTGGGAGCTCCCGATAGTGGTCGCAATGGCATGTGCAATTGGGGCGCTGGGCTCACTGTTTGTCGCGCTCAACTCGCACTTGGTCTACGCGTTGCGCAAGCGGTTTATTCCTTCCACGTCCCGATTCAGGTGTTTTTTCTCTTCCGCCGCAGTCAGTGTCTGGATTTGTGTATGCCAGCAGGTGCCTCTTCAGGGTGCCAGCCATGACCAATTTTGCAGTAAAGGCTACAAGTCTATCATCCTTTGCAAAGCCAGCTGCCCAGCATGCTTCTTGCATGAGCTGTTGCATCTTTGCATAGAATGTTGAGTATGGTGTATTGTGTCTGCATAAGTGACATTTCGGATTGTGTGCACGCCGGAAAAGAGCACCAGATGGAGGTGGGGAACGTTCCAGACGACCATCCTTGATGTTCATGCAGGCGCACCCTGGAGGTGGTGGGGCTTGCCGTAGTAACAGGCACGCTGTGGTTTGGTGTCTCTTACGGCTCCCCTTGCAGCCCCGTGCCTACACCAGAGCAGCAGGCGGTGCTTTTCCCCGAGCCCCTGCCCTCCAACATCGTCACCCTTGCGCGCTACCACCCATACCCACAGCTGTGGTGCCCGGCCGGACAGTACAGCGTTTACGGGCAGGTGTGTCTTCTTCTCCTTCTTTTTTGTCATATTTGGGATTATTGACCTGAAGCAAATATCACAGTTTTGTTGCAAGCTTCTGTGTGCGCAGGTGTTCATGCGGCCCCCACGCTTGATGCTAAAAAATCTGGTAGGCTTGAGCCAAGGCAGCGCGCGCGGTCTGGGGCGTTCCCTCCTGGACGCCCCGACCGCCGCACTCTACGGCGCTCTCACGTTCGCTATGCTGACCCTCACCTACGGCGCAGGCGCCTCTCTCGGCGTAATTACCCCAGTGCTGCAGGCAAGCCGCTGTCTTCATGTAATTTTTCTGAAGGACCCTTAACTGTTCTGATTTTCCTCTACCTATGTTATGTGCCGCATCATTCATGCTTGATCAGCAGCCTGTTGTGCAGGGGAAATCCCATCCCACATTTACTCCTACAACATAAATGTACAACATACAATATAATGATATATATATATAATATTGTACAATACAACACAAATGTGTGCCGTGGTAAGAGCTTTCTTTTGGGTTGCAGTTTGGCGCAGCGTGCGGTCTTCTAGTGGGCCATGGCATCGCCTCACTCGCTGCCACCATTGATGACGCCGCCACAGTGTCCCTGTCAACATATGCTGTCATTGGCGCAGCAGCTTTTTTGAGCGGCTGCGTCCGCTACAAGGCCTCAGCTGTGCTCATTGCTGTTGAGAGCACGGGCGCCTGGGTACTTGTTGTCCCCGTCACCATAGCAGGTTGATTTCAAGTTCCTTCAAAGATCCTTTATGCCATAATATCCTGCCAAGTTCCACATCGTTCGAATTGTTCGCAGGAGAGCAGTGGGCAGGAGAAGTTTCAGGCCAGAGCTATTCATATGTAGTTGCATGTGCTTGATTGCTGGGGTGGCAAGTCAGACTGCAGGGATCTCAGAAAGGAGCCAGGATGCCTTGCTTCTTTAAATTTGGCACAAGCAGAACAGCCCTTCTTTACGGAGTTTGGGTGTGATGTGCAGTGTTTTGCGCCAAGGTGGTAGCAGACCGCTTCAATCGGGGCATCTTTGAGGCGTACCTGGACTTGGCCTGCGTCCCCTTCCTTCCTGAACCAATGACATCAGCCTCTGTCAGCTCGGTAACTAATCAGCTTACTGCTGCTGACGTCATGGCCACCGGCGTGACAGCACTGCCACCTGTGGTTGCCATCACAGAGCTCCTCCATGTGCTGCAGTCCACCTCATTCCAGGTGCACCCCTCCCTTGACCAGACATGTCTTTGCTCCAGCATTATTGCCATTGCCACAATGCAAGGCATTGTCATGCGTAAGAGGCTGAGGTGAAGTGGTAGGTGGTATGCACAGTTGTCGTATAGGTGTCTGTCAATACATAGGGAATAAGCTATGAACCACAGACGACGGTGCTTGCACTTGTGGCCTGTATGACCATCCCCCAGTTAGTCAATGCTGTCATGTAACAGTAATGGGTCATTCTGCAGGCGTTCCCTGTGACAGAGGAGGTGGAGCAGGCAGCGCAGCCGGGCGCAGAGTTCCATGTGCTGGGGGTCATAGAGCGCAAGGCCATGCTCAAGATGCTGCAGCACCGCATCGGCTTCTGTGAGGGCCTTGTCGCCGCTGAGATATTAAATGCTCCGGGGCACAGCAGAAGCAGTACTGGGTTGCCCGAGGACACTGAGGAGCTGCTGGCACTGTTGGTCAGCTTTGAGCAGCGCCCCTTCAAGGCTGACTCGCCGGAGGACCAGGCCGCCATTCTCAGGTAATTTGTCCATTATTTTAGTGATCTGCACTCCACATGATTTCTGCATAATCTCCTGCGGAGTGCTGCTTTGCGTAAACAAACGCGTTGGCCTCAGAGAATGTGGGAGCACGTAGCTTTCCACCCGTGCCCTTGCTGCACAAGAGTGTCTGTGGCCAATTTTATTACAGTGTGGTGTTTCTTATTTCTTCCTTCACGCACATTATCTGTAGGGCAAGCTTGGCACTCCATGTTGGCTCGGCCATGTGGGCCAGCCACTCAGGAAATAGGGCTCCTGCACTGCAACACCATGCTTGGTATGACTGGGCGAGGGACAACAGCTCTCACCCTGAGCATTGCTGTGAGCAGAGATGTGGGCCAGTCGTGTGTGGGGCGCTACCTCAACCTGCGCCCTTTCATGTTCCGGGCGCCACTGCTGGTGCAGCAGGGGGCCAGCTTGACGCGTGCACTGTCGCTGTTTCGCCAGATGGGCCTGCACCACATTCTCGTCGCTCCCCCTGACCCCCGCGCCATCGGTTTCATCACCCGCAAGGTACCCTACCATTGATTGCTTTCGTGATGGCTCTGCAAGAGCTGGCTCAGCAAACCTTCAGGGGCATCCAAAGCATATTTGAGCATCTTCTGTCATGTGGGTGGATTTAAATAGGTGGTTCCAGCTCTTGGAGTCTCCAGTGTGATTGCAGCGATGAGAAATAAACTTTCGTACCTGTGCCTTGGATGATTCCTGTCCACTGATCAGGTGTATGCAACACTGTCGCCTAAGAAGGACCAGGGAACACAGAACATCATGCGCGAATGGGATGTGCATGTGGGCTGCAGGACCTTGTCTATGACAATGCATGCCTGGCAAACCTGCGCAAGCACAAAGCCGGCCAAAGGGAGACTCTCCCGTCAAATGGACAAGATATTTGCGATGATAAGGAGCAGCACCCAGGAACTCTGGATGTGGAACTGGCGGAGCGCAGGCAGCAGTCGCTCAATGCTCTTGACAATGCCCGTGAGCATGGATTTTAGCAGTTGAGCAAGCAGCAACAAAGACATCCCTGAATTGGACGCTTGCAATATGCTTGCAGCAGCTAGTATGAGTGCTTCTTCTGCATAAATGACGATTGAATTCCTGATCAGAGTGCACTTCTAGTGCTGTTTTCTGCGTATTTAATTAAAATTGATTTTCACCAAGAATTGATCACTAGACTCTCACTCTTGAAGTATTCTTTGCAGATGCCTGGCTAGGCTATATATAGGCGCCTGCGGGTCTCAACCTTGGGCGTCAATTTGAACCATGGTCTGAAGGCGACTCAAGGCGCAATTACCTTGACTGCCATTCCTTTCCTTTATGCTAGTTGCTTCCAGGCGGTTAATGTTCGTCATTCTTGTGATATAAAGTTGGCGAGGATTAGTCCAAGATTGCTTGGTGAAAGAATTTGGGCGCAGATGGCACATGCAGCCAATCTTGGATTTTTGTCGAGGTCGGCGTTACGGCCCGTTAGCTATCCGAGGTATATTTCCCCAATGGCTACACTCTTCTTTTGTCACTAATCGATTGAAGTCTTTCAATATATCTTTTGACAATGTATGAACCGTTCCGTCAGTCGCGAAATACACCTGAACACGAGTCTTTCCTACGACTCGTTAATTCAGCAGACTACATCGCAGCCTATGTAGACGCAGATGGATTTGAAAAGATTGTACCTAAGGCGAGGTGTAACATTGAAAGATTCAGCACTGTAGCAGCAGATGTGATTGCCTGCTTGGTACGTGTCTTCTTTTGTTGGCAGCGGCATTACAGGATCCTTCGGTTGTGGGGTGGAAATATCTTGCCGTGGCTCAAAGTCTCTAATTCTTTACTAACTTCCACTCTATGCGCTGGCAGGAAGATGGAGGTCGTCCGATCATCATCACAGACGCATTTAAGAACTGGCCAGCTGTACAAAAGTGGAATTTTGAGTTCTTCAAACAGAGATACGGCCATTCGCCGGTCAAGGTGAACGACAGAGCACCTGCCAGGCGCGCAGACTTGAAGTCTGGACCAGGAATGCTGCAAACACGCGACACTTCATTGGGAACCTACATTGACTACGTTAAGGTGCGCCATGCCACCTGGTTTTGCAGTCTTAAGGTCCACCCATTCACCGTCGCATCTAAATGCCCACGGATTCTTGTATGGTTTGCCTTGTCTGCTAGTGCACTCACTGCAGCACTAAAATCAGTATCACTTCTGGGAGATCACCAGCATTGCTGGCATGGCTTGCAGAGTCTGCCGTCAACCTTGGAGGAGCTCAGAGACAGAGCGCAGTCACAGAACGATGCGTCCACTTCCGGTTGCTCCTCCCCTTTCTATCTGAATGGCTGGAGAGCGTTCTCCCAGCACCCAAAGTTGGCAGGTAATGTCAGCAATGCACCAGGTTCATGTATCTGCTGGACAGCTTCATTCAATATTTGGATTATTCTCCTTCAGTGCACCCATCATCTCTCCTCTACTCATGCAAAGCAGTGGTAAAAACGCTGGCGGCAAGAAACAAGACCAGTATGTCCATGCAGATGATTGTCCTGGGCCGGAGTTTCTGTGCGGCGTGGACCAGAGCACAGAGATCCTGTGTGCTTTGGAGGCGACACTTCTGGGGAGAGCATCACAGAAATCTGAGGCACTACCTCAGGCAGATACATCAGGCGCCTGGTCTGGTATCAGCCGCAACCTCAAGAAGGTGCGCGGCTTGTATCAATGAAAACAACACAGGCAAGCTGTACGTGATCTAGAGGGGGCCCACTGTAAAAGAACCCCGTGCAAGTCCATTGCTACCCAGGCAGTTTCCCCCAGTGTTGAAGCAGATTTTAAGCTTTGCATGGACACTCGCAATATGATTGCAGAATGTAATGTGCAGCTCTGGAGATCTCGAGTCTGCAGAATGCTAACAAAAGCGCCATTAGTACTGAACGAATCTCATATTGACAGTGTTGCCATGGACCTTTTTGAAATGCACACGCCTGTCAATTCCTATGGCAGGGCAGAAGTGACTGAAGGAAGGAAGAAAGATTAAACACGGGCTCCAACCGCCTGATTTAACATGAAATGCAGGTGTTCATGGGCCCGCCGGGGACAGTGACGCGGCTGCACTACGATGCCGGCGCTGCTCATGGCTACCTGGGCCAAGTCGTGGGGCGCAAGCTGTTTGTGCTGTTCCCTCCCACCGACACGCCATTTCTGTACAGGTGTGGCCTTCGCCACACTGTCTGCCTTCTACTGTGTGCAGGCAGCAAAGTGGCCAGCTGTCATCTGCCTTCCTTTGCATGCCTCCTAATGAGACCCTTGAGACTGCAGAGCACTCAGCTGAGCTTGCACGCAAGCCCAGCTTAAATTGTTTACTGAGGGTTGAGATAGATGCTGTCAATTGCGTGGGTCCTTTGCCCGTCCAGCTAGATGTCAATCTCTCATTATTGAGGATAATATCACAGGATGCAAACAAAATGGGTGGCAATTCATGCATGGCATGGTTTGAGAAGGGTTAAATCAAAGCCATTATGTGCATGCAGGATTGAGGGAGAGAATGAAACAGTACAGTCAGCAGTGGACCCTCTGGATCACTGCACAAGCAATGCGTTCCCCCTATATAATCTCGCCTCCCCTATCGCTTTTGTGCTGCACCCCATGGAGGCTGTCATAATCCCACAGGTGAGCCCCCTGATATCTGTTTGGAGGCTTCATATGAAGAACGTATGGTGTCAGTCATATCTGCGGACAGGAGAAATCGGCGATCATCCCTGATGCTGTTTAAATTTCTGCCGACCTGTGGACAGCTCATGCATGCGATGCGTGAGAGATGCTTTTTTCAGAGGTACATGATGATGTGATGTCTGATGTGGGTGGCTTGCCAGGGATGGTGGCATTATGCAGTGGCGCTTGATGCGTCGATCACCGTGATGCAAAGTTTCTATCATGCACCCACAAATGCGGCGGGCATGGTCGAGCTAGTTCTGAAGAGCATTGCCAGCATCAAAAAGTCGCGCGGATGAAGGCTTCAGCACTTTTTCGCAGAGAACTCTCTCTCACGCGTGCACCGTACTGTACAATAGTAGACAGGATTGGCAGGCAACATGTGGGTGTTGCCAATCAGGAGGAAGCCGCATATGCAAGGGGCACTGGCACTATGCTGAATTTATAAGACTGGATTATTGAGACATTAGCCTCCAGAACAAATTCAATGCTCACAAATATTGAGGGCAAGTTGCTATGATTGTATACAGCATCAATCCTCACAATTGATCTTGGACTTCCATGGGTGGTAGCCAAACCAAGACAGTGCAGAACCAATCACAATTGCACTGACGCAATTCTGACTCACTGCTGGAATCTGGCTCGAGGTCAGCGGTAAACCAACCAGATCTAATTCTTTGCTGGGAACTGACCCCAACAGTGTTCTAGTTGTAGAGTTCTGTCTATAACATGCCGGCCAAATAAGAAAGGCTGCTGTGCATGAGTGAGGTTCCATCCAAGTGCAAGGGGGATCCTGCCATAGCTTCTATGATTCTATGATACACGGCACAGCATCTAAAAACCCAGAGCTTCCACAAGAAAGGACAAGAGACCAAAAGAAAGACAATATTGCAGTCTGGGAGATTTTCTGATGAGACAGACATGATGCAACATCAACAACCCTTGCAACAGCCCGAGGAGGCCTCATGCGTTCCAGATGGAAGCCACTCTGCCTCGTACTGCTGCCACCTCACGCACGTAGCGGCCCAGAAATAAATACTTGACACTGACAATTCAACTGGGCGTGCTGCATTTGTTGTATCCTGAGCCTCAGTGCTTGAGGCAGTTCCTGCCGCTGAAGCATGCCATGAGGAAGATGATAAAGGCAAGCACAACCACCACAGCCGCAATGATGAGCTTCATCTTCATGTTTTGCCACCACATCTTGCTGCGCAGCTGGCGCCCTGTCTTGTGGAACCTGTCAGCCTGCAGTCAGGACCCAAGATCCTATTCAGCCCTGCATCTGTTTCACATACACCTTGCTTCTGCCTGCAGACATGCATTGTGGGCATCTTCTGCAACATACAAAACTTTTTGGCAAATCACTGACATGCAGCCTAGGCTTCTGGTGTCCTGAAATCCCCGAGAGTCTCTACTTAATTGGACAGCAAGTGGCACGCAGGCCATCACCAAGGTTGCCAGCTGTACAGCAGAGGAATGCGCACCTGGAAGCGCAGGTTATCTGTCTTGTCCACGAGCAGCTCGATCTTTTCGCCGCGCTCCAGCACCTTCTCAATGTTGTCCACCATGATGTTCTTCACCTCGTCCACCTACAGCAGCATGTTGTCAAAGGCCGTCAACTACTGACATGCAAGAAATTAGACAGCCAGCATCATCGTTGCCTGCACAGAAATAAAAAAGAGCAACTAGTAGTCACCACTGACTGAAGACAGCAGCTTTGTGACCTGACGCAAGGGGCACTCAAAACACCAAACATGATGAGCACATTGACCATAGCAAGACGCAAGCAGAACAGGACACCACCCCATCATGCATAGGCAGTGAAATTGCTCACACAACATGGGGCACATGAGTGGAACTCACCTTCTTCTGCACGGACGCAATCTTGTTCATCTCATCCGGGTGCTCTTGGCAGTAGTCCATCCAGTACTTTAGCCGGGGCCTGTACAGCAACACTTTGTGACGCATGCTCTTCCCATGCTGACATTTCCAGCCTGTGTCTTAAGGTAAACTTTGGCGTGAAGCTCCTCATGTGCTGCAGTGCGAGCATACTCTGCCATCCTTGCCAAAGTATCGTGATTCACCACAATGTATTCCTCTACCAGGTGCACTAGAGCATGCTGCTCTGCATGTGCTGCGCATAATGCGTTGATTGTGCAACGAAAGAGGAGATCAGATGCCTTACCCAAAGATTTTGTCCAGGCTGTGGGCATGGAGTGTGCGGCTGGACTCTGCATGCTTCTCGGCAAATTCAGCCTTGACCTTGTCCAAGAACGCGAAGGGTATCTGACGTCCGAACTTCTCGTCCGCCACTACCAAGTATGCTGCAGCAGAAAGCACCATACAGATTCAGATTTACTCGACAGGCATCCTATGACATGTTTATTTTATGGGGGCACAGGGCGCACTGGCCATTGGTGCAACTAGCCATCCTAATTCTTCTATAACAGGAGATACATCAAAATATGTATGAATCCTCAGTTGACCGCCGTGAGGTCCACTGCTCAGAACATCAGTATTTTCTTTTAGGAGAAATTTCAAGGCACGCACTGTAGCCCCCGTCGACAAGGTAGTTGAAGGTGTGGTGATCGCAATTGAAAGCGACCTTGGAATTTGCAGAAGAAGTGTTTAGCTTATCCAAGCACTGAATAGCAACAGTTGCAAAGTTGCCTGCGCAAGTCATGTAAAATGATTCAATTAATAAGCTCGCGAATACTAACGGCTACTTTTTCTTGAAATGATTGTTCAGACTGTTTTCAAGCTTCTACAAGGCCAGAACCGCGAGGTAGATGTGGCATGTGTTCACCGGTGTAAGTTGTGTAGTCCGCCAAGACAGTGGTCCCTCTCGACACGAAAGCGTAGATGAGCGGCATGATTGCTGTGAAACCAACGACAGGACCACACCCAACCCAAATTTGCAAGCTGGCCGAGGAAACGCTCCGATACACCGAAACGAGGAGTATGCCCAGAAACGCCGTCGAACAGCTGCGCGCTATAGAGTTCACAGCTCAGCATGCATCATTTTGCCAAAGATCGTCGCTAGCGTGCAATTATCCTCTATTATATTTATAATTAAGTGAAGTAGACATGCGAATAAGTACTACGTGTCGCACAGCAAGACTTACGAGCCGCTCTGAAGGGCCTGTGTGACCCGATTGTGTCCTTGAGATGACCAGTAGTATAGGGAAGATAACAGAGACAGTCAATGGCCTTCACATCACATGTCCAAATGGCGGCTCACTTGACCTTTCGGACACCGAGGAACTCCGAGGATCTCGTAGCAGCCGGCAACGCAGTACAAGGGGGCGGGCACAGCCATTCTTCATCGGCGTTGCTGGTCCGTCAATTTCCTTTGCATATGGCTACTTTAGATGCTCATAATTGCTCTTTTATATTGCATTTGCACGTTTCGCTTCCTGCCCTTTGAGACTGAATCTGCAGGCCCCTGCTGCAGGTGGCACGGCGTCAGGCAAGACGACCGTGTGCGACAAAATTATGCAGCGCCTTCATGATCAAGTGGGTGACATCGAATAAAAATGTTCCCTTAAGTCGTTTAATATCAGTGGGCTCATCCTACCGAGCTTTTTAGCTGGGTATTCCTGTTTTTACTGCCGACGCTGAAGTATAAATGAACAATGATGGTGCTGCAGTGCGTGGTGATGCTCAGTCAGGACTCATTCTACAGAGGGTTGACTGAAGAGGAGCTGGCAGATGTCGGATGTAAGCTCCCTGGCAGATATCGCCTGGCTAAGCAGTCTGCCAACAACTTGTCGCCAGTTGCTGCTGTCAACAAAATTTGCCTTACACAGGTCTCACTGTTTTCCTGACCTCCTCGTCTGTGGTTCAATATTGCAGCGTACAACTTTGATCACCCAAACTCGATCGACAATGATGCGGTTGTGAAGTGCCTTGATGACTTGAAGGTGAGCCCTGCACCACCCAACATTCCCTTGTTGCCAGCCCAGACCCCACAATTGCGAGAGGCAGCTGCAAACTTCGTGGCACAAAGTTGCATTGCCCTGCCAATGGCTATGACGTACATAGTCAGTCAGAGAATGTGATAATCTCCCAACAAGTCATCGCAAAGATCTCCTCCTTTCTTCAAGCCTGATGTGAGGGCAATACAGGCACAGCCTGTCTCCTAGTCTTGGTTCCCAGCGTTCAAGCAGGGGTAAAGGACCGCCACAAATGTGCTTCGCAGAACATGAGGGCAGTGGATGTGCCGATCTATGACTTCACATTGCACGAGCGGTCTGCAGAGGTGAGGAGGGTGGAGCCGGCAGATGTGGTCATCGTAGAGGGCATCCTCGTGCTGCACATAGAAGAGATCCGCTCGCTGCTCAACATGAAGATATTCGTGGACACAGACGACGATCTGCGGCTTGCCAGAAGGTGCGCAGCAGCCCAGGCACTCCCTGGCAGACTCGCATCGCATCCAAAGTCAGTGGGATTAATGGAAGCACAATTGGGCAGCTCTGTAAAACACAGCATGTGGCTAAAATTGCGGCTTATGGCTCGCTGCTCACAAGGAAAGCATCGTGGGCTCTCTGAGGCATCTTTTGCCCTGGCAGAAGGTCATTCCGCTGAGACATGCGTGTCTGTGGTGCAGAATACAGCGGGACGTGGCACTGAGGGGGAGGGACATTGCCGGTGTCATTGAGCAGTACACAAAATTTGTGAAACCAGCCTTCGACACCTTTGTGGCACCCAGCAGAAAACATGCTGACATCATCATCCCTTGGGGCAGGTGTGCATGACTTCTTCCAGTCCCCCAGTCCCTTGCTCCTTTTCATCTGTGATTGCTGTGTCTTCATTCGAATTCAGAAGGGACTGTGACTGCTGTCTCTTCTCATTTCATACCATGCAACAGCTGTGCTGCAAAAGAGATGGTGGTGAGATGGCATGCTGATGTGGGAGCTGACATGGCGGGCAGGATGGAAAATGAGGTGGCGATCGATCTGATCACGGAGCACATAAAGATGAAGCTGCGGCAGCCGGAGCTGCAGCGCCTGTACCACAACCTGGAGGTCATCCCCAGCAACTTCCAGATCCGTGGCATGCACACCCTCATCCGCGACCGCACCACCTCCAAGGCTGACTTTGTCTTCTACGCAGACCGCCTCCTGCGCCTGGTGCGCCCCTGTCCTCACCTGAGATGTCCGGTATACTCTTGTCAGTTTCCTCTTCCCTGTCCTATCATGGTTGCGTGGGATGGGGGAGAGGAGCAGAGGAAGTATATTGGACATCTTGAGTTGCAATATCATGCACGCAGTCAGCACATCAGAGATGCATCGATGTCCCATTGACTTATTCTGCGAGCAAGCAACACTGCAGACTTGCAACTTGACCCAATCCTGGGAGTGTTCCTTCAAGCCAGGAACGGCAACTAAAGTTGATGGCGAACGAGAGCCGGCTGGAGTGGCTTGAACTTGGTGCAGGTGGTGGAGCACGGCCTGGGGCACCTGCCGTTTACGGAGAAGTGCGTGGTGACGGGGACAAAGCACCCATACATCGGCGTTGACTTTGCCAAGAAGCTGTGCGGCGTGTCCATCATCCGCAGCGGGGAGAGCATGGAGAATGCCCTGCGCGCCTGCTGCAAGGGCATCAAGATCGGCAAGATCCTGGTGCACAGGTGACCGCCTTCTGCACGCTTGCCATGCATCTCTGCCCCCTGTTTAGGAGATGACAGAACGGCGCAATGAGAGCCTTTCTGTACGCTCGCTATGCATCTCGGCCACTTGTTCAGGAGATGACAAAACGGCAAAAATTTACACCAGGCCCCTTGGGAATACAGGTGGTCTATGAGTCATGCTGGGTATGTGACAAGATCTCAACAAGCAGGCACAATGCTCTGAGCTTGTGAGATATTTGCAGCAATGCTCTGAATCTGTCAATCATTTGCTGCGCAGAGAACTTGGGTGTTTGGGGTGATTTATAAGGGAGCAAGTCCTGGAATGATTGCGTGAGGGATGACCTGGATTCCATGGGGTTGACATGCCATTGGTGGAGAAAATGTCAAGACAGGAAGACTGGAAGGGAATTATTGAGAGGTTGCTGCAACGCACCTAGCCCTGAGGGCTGGAATAAGCGTGTAATAATAATAAGGGAGCATGTTGTGTTTGCAGAGTGGGGGACCATGTGATGGAGAAGGAGCTGATCTACGAGAAGCTGCCGGCAGACATAGCAGAGCGCCACGTCCTGGTCATGGACCCCATTCTGGCCACAGGCAACTCCGCCGTCAGGGCCATCCAGGTACACTCCCTTTCTTGAGCTCCCTTGCAAGTGAGACAGATTTTTCCCATATTCCAATAATGGAAGGGATTATTATAGACCATTTACCCATCTGCACCTGGTTTCCAGTACGGATGCCTGATTGCTGCGTGCGCTGCCGACAGGTGGTGCTGTCAAAGGGGGTGGATGAGGGAAAGATCCTGTTTCTGAGCCTCATAGCAGCGCCGGAGGGCATCCACATGGTGTGCAGGAAGTTCCCCCGCGTCAAAGTCATCACCTCAGAAATCGATGAGGGCATCGATGAGTCAACCTTCCAAGTTGTCCCAGGTGAGTCATTAACTATGTGTTTGTTTGGCTGCAGTCGTGGTTGTGTTTTTAATCCTGTTGGAGTCTGGAGGAATATCGATTTGCTGCTGGAAGATTCTGAATGCTGTCTCCCCCTTGAAAGCGCCATTCATGATGTATGGGCACCCGCAGCGAACTAACCATGTTTGGCATCTGCTTGGTGGCAGTCCAGCTCAGCGCTGCAAGAGTAGGTACATAATGATGATATTGCATTTGTTTCCTGTACAGGGGTTGGCGAGTTTGGCGACCTGTATTTCTGCGATTAAGGCCAGGAGTCGAGATTAGGTAGGAGCAGCTCTGAATAAGAGAATTGCAGTCAGGAGATTAGCAAAGCACCGCAGCTTACTTGCAAGTGTGAGAGATGTAATTTTAAGAGAGTGTGCAGCGCTATGTACCAGGCATGTTTGTATACTGACAGAATTGCATCAGGCCCCGCTGCGATGGATGAAATCCAGGGCTCATCAGCCAGTCTGCAAAATCTGGTTTGTGTTGTTCTGACCATTGGGCAAACTGCATGTTTGTGTTTAGCTTGCTTTAAAACCTCTTTGAGTAAATCAGGCGTTGCTTATTGAGTTCTGTGGTGAGTTCAGTGTGACTTGCCAGTCACCACGCATGACATAAATTAGGCAGCTGTCTGACGAACAACTCTTGAAATTGTAATCTATCTTAGCACATGCAGAATTGCTCCAAGGGGTGCCCCTTAAAGAACCACGTGAGAAAGCTGGCAAACTGCATTTGTTATTTATTTAGTCGTTGGATACCGTCGTTTTTACGTTCATGTATGATGTCTGATAATAAAATGGAAGAAAAGTCATATCATTCAACACATTGATGAACTAGAACCGCTGCGATAAGTCATCAGTGAAAAGTACATGGCCATGTCCGATCAGGTCGCCTGAATCGTTTTAGACGAGCTTGTCAATACGTTCATGTCAGCCAGTGAAATCAGATCACTATAGAGAGGTTATATAAAGGAAATTGATGTCTCAAATTGCCATGAGGCCGCCGCTAGATGTGTCCAAGGTTAGGGCTATCTTGATTGTCGTCTGGACGACCATTTTCCTCGAATCCATCAGCATTGGTGAAGGCGCGCGGGGCACTGTGCTTCTGCACAGGATAGCCAACACTGCAGCCTCCAAATCGATGACCCGCCGAAGGAATGTCGCGGTGAGTCTCTTCGAAGAAATTGACAGCTGTCCTACTCTTGGACCATGAACTAGGCCTCGAACTAGCTTTAGCCTAAATCTATACCATACTCTAACTTGCTTGCAACATCAGCATTGTCTTCTGCACGTCGATCATCGTTTTGACAATTGAGCTGAGGTGTCGTAGTATGGCTCCACACATGCACTTCCCCTGTGAAGAACCTTCAACTATCACCCACTGGGGCTCATGTCATATGCAAAGGCTTTCCTTCCAACGAGACAAGCAACCTTTGTAAAGCTGAGCTCTCATCAGTACGCCTGGTGACTTCAGCCTTCAAACATCTATTGCTGCTACCAGCTGAGCTCTTAGTAGTGTGCCTGATTCTTTTCCTTGCAGTACTATGGGAACATCAGCATTGGCACGCCGCCCCAGCACTTCACAGCATGCTTTGACACCGGCAGTGCGGATCTGTGGATGCCCTCTGACAGCTGCCAGAGCGCCAGCTGTGCAGCGCATCAACAGTATGTACAGCGCAACTCAACAACATTTGAGGTGAAGACTTGCTGCACTTTCAAAGCAAAGTCTCTAACGTTTACGCCTGCGTTCAAGTTCAGTGTTGCCACACTTTTGGTCTGGCCTATTTAGAGAAAACTGAGGACTATAGATATCAAGGCAGAGTAAGCAACGGAGATGAGGAAAAGGTTGCCCTGCAAGGATTTGACCGCTTTTCTCTGCATTGAAACTTCAAGGACTTGAGGCTTGCACTGTGCACAGCTGCCGTGCACCCAAACCCAAATACCAGCCACTGCCCAAAATTCAGCTCACAAAGAGCCAAAAGGACACAGAAGCAGCTGCCATTCAAATACTCTGGCAGCTGAACCTCACTCGAAATGAGTAGGACTGCCTTACGGTGGTCTAATGGAACCTGCAGAGAATGAGGAGTTATGGTGGGACTGCAGGGCACAGATGGGGTGTTCTTCATAGAGTATGGCACGGGGGCAGTGGAGGGGACAACGGTGTATGACTCCCTGCAGCTGGCCGAGCCACTGATTAACATCGAGCGGCAGGGATTTGGTCTGGCCGACCAAGCCTCCATCACTTTTGCTGTCGCCAGCTGCGACGGCCTCTTTGTGCGTCCCCCTTTTCCAGTCTAATCTTCACCATATATCACGATCATGTATTTGCATGTGCAAACCTGATGCACGCCCTGTTATAAGATGCCCCACCTGGAGGTCGGGCTGGCCTTGGGGTCCACTTATCAGAATGTATGTGCTCAAAAGACGGGCAACACAACAAGTACTGGGATCTCTTTCAGTGTTGCCCTCTGACTTTAGACATGCAGCTCCCATTGCAGGCATGCAAGCCAGCTCAAGCTTGGTGTAGGTACCTTTCAGGGCCCTTGACCGGTGACTGCCAGTCAATGTGTGTCTGCCAGCCAAGAATGCGGAACTGGGCTAATCAACTGCTTTGCTGACTCACAGGGGCTGGCTTTTCCTGCACTGTCAAAACAAGGGGTGGCTCCGCCCTTCTTCAACATGCTCCAGGAGAGGCTGTTGGACGCTCCAGAGTTTTCCATCTGGCTCAACAAGGACACCCGGGAGGGGGTGTTCCCTGCTGGAGAACTGCTGCTCGGGGGCATCAACCCTGCTAGGTACAGTGGGGAGCTACAGTACCACCAAGTCATTGGCACAAGGTGACGCCTTCGCCCCTGTATTTGCTTACATTCATTATCATGACACGCTGCTCCTACCGAAGGCTGCCACACATCCTAACCCTTCATGGACTCGCCAGATCCAAGCAAGACCAAATCAATCGTGGGCATGGCGCTCGGTATTCATACCCGCCACCGCCAGCCAGGGTCAATTTGCTTACATTACAATGGTTGTTTCTTGGATTAAGTACAAGCACCCAAGAATCATGGGAAATCTATCTGCAGTTGTTTGTCAAAAGCTCGCCTTGATAGCACTCATGAACATAATCGTTTGTTAAGTTTGTTATGGACAAGAGTCCCAGCATCGATTGTGCACGTGCTTTCAGTTTCTGCAACTGGGACTCTGCAGAATATCCTTTTTCTCCTGCAGAGGATACAGCAAGTTTTGTCTGCTGCCAGGTATTGGCAGCTGGAGCTGTCAGGCATCAAGGTGGCAGGGAAAGGTGTCTCAAGCCTGAAGTCCAAGGGAGTCATTCTTGACAGCGGCGCATCTCTCATCTTTGCCAGCACTCAGGACGCAGACACCATCAATAAGGTGTGTGGCCTATCTCAGCTTCAATTTCACTGCAATTTCAAATCACCACCCATGCGAATAGGATCAGGAGGAGGCAAACCAGGCAGTGTCCAGCTACAAGAGAACAGTATTTGCTGCCACATGGCATCACTCAAAAATTTCAGGAGTCCTGCAGAACTACCGTCTTCCATTCTTTGATGTCTGCATGTGTCTCTGTGTTCTGTCAAGGCGGTACGAACGCCTTGATTGTGAATGTTTGGACTTTGCTGTGCAGGCCATCCCCGGCATGGTGTTCTGGGAGGAGGCAGGCCTGTACAATGTGACTGGCGGCTGCGCAGCCGTCCCCTCGCTGCCGCCCCTGACCTTCACCATCGACAGCGTTGACTACACACTCAGCCCCCAGCAGTACATCCTTCAGGTGATTGGTTCACGGCATAAGCAGCATGTTGGTCATATTGAAAGTAGAAGAGGACCACGATTTGGCGCTGAGCCTTACAAAAGTTTACACGAAACCGACTTCACCCTCATCTTTCGACCTGACAAAGTTTGCTTGCCTAAGATGCACCATACTTTGGATCACAGAGCAGAGAGGCCGACGCCTCTGCAACAACTTCAGGACATTTGGCAATGACCTTTTTATGGATGTGATGTGACTGCTTGCGTGCATCTTTCTATTGACAGGCATCCCATGTCTACTGCGTGCATGGGTGCCATACTAGATATGGCAATCAAGGCTGAGCATCCCATTTTGCGCTTGCATGTGCAGCTCCCAGAGGACGACCCTGCCTACTGCATCTCAGCGGTGATGGGCGGAGGCACTCAGCAGTACCTGGTGCTGGGCAACTCTTTCATGCGCTCCTACTACGCTGTCTTCAGTGTTGGCGCCGCTTTCAATGGCTCCCGAGTGGGCCTGGCGCCCTCCACATAGCTTATAAGGAATCAGGAAGCTTAACTTAGGTGCCATGCATGCTGTGAACTGTTGTTTGAACTGAGAATATCAACATCATGTTGACTGATGCAGTCATTGTCACAGACGGTCTGCTTGCGGATACAAACTTGTGGAGACTGCTCACATGCTGCTCGAGAGAAAACTGCTAGTGCTGAAGGTCCCCAAGTCCCTACTCCTTCCTTGAGCCTCAGGCTTTTTAGTAGTTTGATTGTGTTGCGGCAGTCTATAGATCTAAGGTGACGGGCAAGCTGTAACGTGTTGTATTAGGATGCCAGGTGTGTTGTAGATCACTTTGCTGTAGGCGAGGCCCAATTATCATGTGCTGGCACTGTCAGATAGACTTGAGGCTTAATGACGAGTTAGAAATGCAAGTTTTGAACAGGCTAGCGCTGTTTGCGGCCTTGTTTCGGCATGAAAGCTTTGCATGCGGGCATTGGGGCGATACCTTTCCTGTGCGAGCCCATGGGCAACATGCAAATTTTGCAATGGCATGTAAAGTTTCAAAGTGATACCTGTACTTCCACTGGCTTTGCAGTGGCTCAAATTGGTCTCCTAAAGGACATGCCCATGGGAAAGGTCGGCAAATGGCGTTCCCTTCGATTGTTCTTTTTGGCGTTTAATTCTTAAAACTATAATGTATTACACGAACGCAAGACTTTGTTGAAGCACAGTACATCTTAAAGATTTTCAAGAGATCTCATCCATCTGTCCGCTCTTGAGCCAAGGGATGCGATCAAGCCTTTCTTGTGTGGCCAAAAGACATCTTCAGTGAGCAGATACTATCATATTGATGATTCTAGTTGCTTTGCAGCAGGCATGAACACAATATAAACGTTAAATGTTTCATAGGAAGGGGAACCAGTCACCGTGGTCAGAGTGGCCATCATCAACCTGTTCTTAGATCGCACGTGCTACGATGGGGAAGAACAAAGGAGGTTCCCTGCAGACACAAAATGGGGCGTCCTCTAATTCACTTCAGTCCTTGGACAAGACAGAAAAGGAAGAAAGGAAACCAATCAAGTCACCACCGTCCCTGAAACAGAGAATATGGGCCAAAGTTGAGGCATCCTTGTGGGTGATCGGTGCTGTAAGTGCAGCGATCTACGGGGATGGGCACTCCAGTTTGCCAGAATTATTGCTACATGACAGACGCATCAGAAGGTGCGAACGCAAAGCAATAGAAAACCGATGTTTTTGCTGCAACTTGTGGGCTCAGAGTCCTTGGTATTTGTGAAGAACCCCCTTCTGATGTTCTGGAAACAAAATGAAGAAAATATCATCTAAATATTGTGACGAAGGCGCAGGTCGAGCTTGTTGATTGGCATTGGATTCCTTGTGGTCAACTTCCTCTTCAACGTGTACCTGAGAGTCTGGTGAGTCTGACAGCCATTCAGCAGCAACCTCGAAATCATATGCATTGCATACGAGCACCCTGCACATTCTACGGCCAGTCTGTGGGATAGCTTGATGTACCTTCAAGCTAAAGTTTTGCAAGGGCAGGCAGAGCAACTGTTGGTATCCCCCAGCCATTTCAAACCAAGCTGGCTGTTGTGACACAGGCTGCAGTGGCTGAAGGGCAAGGAGGACTGGTGGAAAGCGGCGCCAATTGCCACACCTCTGGCTACCTTCAGCGGCTTGTGTGCAGGCGTCGCGTGAGTACTCTCATATTATGTTCTTGCATGCTTGCACTGTATCTTGCCTGCCTGATAATGTCAATGTCCTTTGTGTTGCAATGTGAGGGGTGATGGCATATGTTCGGTGCAGGTTGACTGTGGCCCTGTGGCCTGCACTGAGATACACCGCACCCCTGTCAGTGGTGCGCCCTTTTCACCCAATCTTCAAATTCAATGTTAACAGTCATGCTTGCCCTCTGCTGAACATATGTGCGCAGATCTGATGATGCATGAGTGTTTGCAAAGGTTCGTTCTACTCATATCAAGCAAGAAGCCGTATTAGAGATCACATCAGAGAGCTCTGTGAGCTTGCAACACCAGATTCACAATATTCACTATCTGACTAGCACATGCACAGGAAAAGAGCTGCATTAGTAATGACCCGCACACATTTCCATGGCAGGCTGTAATCTTCATGGGAATCATCATGGCGCCGCATCTGCTGCCCTCCAATCTCTTCGCCACCCCAAGGAAGACGGGGCGATGAATTCCTGGAGCATCTAGCCCCATGCAGAGTCAGTTGTCCAGACATACAGCACGTGTTGTGCATCAAATCTATCAAGTAATGAGTTAGAAAGCGCAGTCCAAAGGGGTGTAGTCATTCCATGCAGATCCTGCAGCAGGCAGCAAATGTCTGCCTGGTTGCAAGAGCAGCCCATTCGGTGGCAGTCTTGATCAGGTCAGTCTGCATCTTGCTGGGGTATACAGTGGCTTGAAAGTTGACACTTTCCGATGGCATCTGCTGCAGAATTTGCACAAAAGAAAACTGTGGGCTGAGGAATACCTGCTGTACTGGCCAAAGCGTGGTGCAGTCAGGTAAGATTTATATGGGACAAATAGGGTCTTGAAGGCGCTGCTGCAGATGGCTTTTGTGGCGTCTGCTAAAGCAGAAGTCCTCCTTGGCCTCGTTGGTAGTTGATGGAATGAGTAAGGAGAGGGTGTCACTGTCAGCACAGCTGGTTTCAGCAATGTTGGAAGCTTGTATGAAGGTTTCTTCGTGAAGGGAATGTGTCCACTGTTTGTCGAGCCTTAGGTAGGTGCACATGTCAGGCCGCTGTGCTGTCCCAATCAGTGTAGGTTCCTTTGTACATTACAGTAAAGGGGCTTTGGATTCTCCCGATTGGATACTCCCGTCCCAGCAGAGTTTAGATGCCAGATTCCTTGCCTTTCGCGCCTGGGGCCATTTGGGTTTGAGGCTCTTGGATGCACCTGAAATCATATTGAACAGTCGATTGCATGTACTTCCTTCAGGTCTGGATTTGGACATGTCATGACATGTGCATATGTCTTCTGTAAGGTAATTGCAGGGCCAGCATTGCCAGTGCAAATCAGCTTGTCTGTTCATGGCACAAAGTTGCTCTAGAGAGGCTCAGATCTGCCAAAAAGCCTGGACGAATCCAATGCCCACGGCTTACCTTGAGCAAACCTTGCCTTTCCAGAACACATTTAGCATGCGATGCATTCTTCCATAGCAGGTCATGCATGTTCACTTGTCGAATCAGATGTGAAAATTTTCATCTTCAATGCCAATTCATTACAAAGAGGACAAGCAAGCTGCTCATTGCATGGATTTAAGTAGATTCCATATGCGCACATGTTGTGATTACCGTCAGGGTCGTAGGTCTAGAGTCTCACAAAGTCACCCTACAGTCAACACACCATCGACATGCTATTGCTCCAAAGATGCCATCTAAGTTATAGAACGCCAGAGAACTGGCGGTAAAGCACACCTGTGATATCTCTGATTGTACAACTCCCCCACCAGAGGGTTTCAACACACTGTTGGAGCCAAAAATCCCTCACACTCCATCAAAGTGGCATGTCATCACTTCAATTTCCTGGGGTGAATCTTGCACCCTGTGCACTTCTCCCCGGACAGCATTAAGCCCAAATGATCCAATATTCAGATTTCGAAGTCATATAGGAAACACCACCCGCCACCATTTTATGTCTGCAGTGATTTTACCGTTGTTCATTTCAATACGAGTACGAAAGGAATCAGTAAGGGACTGTCAATGCGGCCCAGCAGACCTCAAATGCAGCAGCAATGCAAGCCTGCCACTGTCGAGCCATAGCAAACAAAATCACTCAGCTTTCTATGCCCCAAAAGTATGGGGGATGGCCGATCGCGAAATCCCAAAAAAGGACGCCAGGTCTTTGAAATTGCCTGCTCACGGGCCACATGTCGCCATGTTCCTGGGCCCAAAATTGGCGCAACTTGTGCAGAATGGGAAATCCATGGCACCAAGTGCCACAGCAGATGTCTTGATTGGAACATGCTTACGTGAGCCGACACTATACAATTCTTGCTGTACCAAAAGTTCTTCATTGTGGGTGGCTTGCTGCAGCTGACGCTCAAGCACATCATTATAAGGGGTTAGTTGCAAACCAATATTCAAGAGGCGCGCAATAGCTACTAGATTGAATTGAAGGTGTGCCTCTTGCTGAGCGCCTCTGCTGGCGCCATGAGCCTGTGTGTGAACTCCCAGAAATCATACCGCTGGCACTGCTTGCATCCTCTTGTGGCTAGTAAGAATGCAGACGCCTCGAAGGGGTCATGCCCTGTCAAGGCTATTGGGGATGCCTTGATGCAAACAACCGCCAGATAAAATCCCGGCTCAGCGCCTGCCAAACTTGACGTCCATTCGCCCGATGTAAAATCTCAACCGCTGCGCAAGGGTGGCCTCTGGCATGAGGCCCTCTATTCTGTCCACCGCGCAGCCGTCCCGGAATAGCAACAGCGTCGGGAGTGACTGCAGTTGCACAATTCTGTCATGTCAATACTACAGCATGTGAATTCCGCAAACTCACCAAGCTTGAAGATATCAGACAAACTAATGTGTTGTACAGATCAACCATGCCTATGTTCTGTGCCCGAACCCGACAATGTGTCTGAAGATCGGAACACTATACACTTGCATTTGCAGCAGTTCTGCCACCCCCCGACAGATTTGTCCTAGAAGCAATCCCAGGATGCGGGTCTCTGTACTCGCCCGGCCCAAAACGGATGCGGAGCAGAATGTTGCGCACCTTGATGCCGTATCGCGAGGCAATGCTGGGGTACTTGTCTGTGTCAATCTTCACCACGCTCAACTTGCCCTCCATGTCATCTGCGATGCCCTTAACGCAGAAAACTCATCCATCTCAGAAAGCTGTCAGCATAATGCCCAACTCGGCAGCAGGTCCTCCCCCGGAACTAGCAGGTACGCAACGAACAACATTCTGGGAAGCTAACCAATACATCATCCCAGCACACACACCAAGACAGTCTTGTGCACAGCAAACATGGGGAAGGACTGCCAGCTCAGAAGATAATTCAACAACGCAACCAGCCTGCGTGGAAAAGATGGAAAGGATGCCGTGAGGCAGGGTGACTCACCCGAAGAGAGTCGCCCATGAGCTTGCAGGGGCCGCACCACTGCGCGTGGAAGTCAACGAGCACGGGCACCTTGCTGGAGCGCACCATGTCCTCAAAACTGGTGAACTGCTGCGTCTTCACCGCCTCCACTGCCATCGTGGCTGACCTCCCCACTGTGCTGGTGCCCCTGGTGACAAGCATAGAGCAATGAGCATGTTGAGCAGAAGTAGCCTGCTGGGGAGAGAGGCGGAGGCTGCTAGATACTTGGACACACCAGCACACTCCTGCTCAGGATTGCGGCGAGCAGGCTGCTGTAAACAGGGCCAGGTGTCTTAATGTCAGGCAGCAGCCAAAGCCACGCTCATGCAACAGGAATGAGACACCCGCCAAGCACAAGCAGATCCAAGATCCTACTGTGGCGACTCTCATTGTGCAAGTGCTGTCATGTACCCTTGCAGGAGCAGCACGAGGGCATCTATGTCACTGAGCAACGCCGTGTCGAGCCTACAGGGAGAAGAGAGCAAGCCACACACCTGGCGGGTGCAGGCGTCTTGACCTTCCAGGGCTGCTGCTGAGCCCGGATGGCTGATTTCAAGGAGCTGCGCCGCAGGTGTGGCCTGCCGGTCTGCCAAAGCTGGCTGTGTGACAGCGGGCATGAGGGCAACATAGGCTGCTGGAGCTGCTGGTGAAGGGGCAGCATCTCTGAAAAGTTTCTTCTGCGCAAAACAAATTCATGCTCAGCACGACAAGCCTGGACCTGGGGCAGGAAGGGACTCAAAGACGGCCTAGCTAATGGGGTTCAGTAGCCGGAGTAAAGAGAAAGGTTCCTTTTTGCGAAGCCATATACATACGACCATCTTTGCCTAGATGATTCACCTACCAATGGGAGCCAGTCAGGAGGAACAAGAGAGAGCTGATGTTTCAGAAGTGGACAGCTTGGACAGCAAAGACCACGGCCTGCTTGCTTTCTAGCAGAAATGAGCGATAAAATTGCAGGAATTCCACGTTGACCGCAGCACACACAAAGTGTATCCACGGCGCTCAGACACCTGCCAAACAAGGAGGCTGCTGCAATGAAAGCTCCAAACTGCAGCAACACAGGGGACGCAAATCTCCCCGGCGGCAGGCCACATTCAAGCGAAGCAAAGATACATGAGAAACCTCGCTGAATCAAAACCCGTGGCGCCACGACAGCATTGTCCAGTACAGACCGGCAATCAAAACACAAACAAATAACCCTGCTGCGCAACGCCTTGGGGCCGCCTGTCGAGCATTAGCTCATCACAAGACGCACCCCCCTCCTATTGCCTAGCTCTGACCGGCACACGCCCACCAAAGCAGACCTTACGACTCCTCGCTCGTGGCCGATCGTGGGACACGCAGCAACCCAATTTGCAGGGGACGGGGTGAGGCGGTACAAAGTGCCCTCTCGGAAGGGTGCATAGCCCGCAAACGCTCCAACAGCTCACCTGGATGTCCTAGACGCCTCCGGTGCGGACTGCGGCGATTGAGGGCCGGCTAGAAGACGCGGTGTTGTTCCCCGCCCGCGGTGATGCCGATACAGCTCTTGTGGACTCGCCCGCCGCTGCCTCTGCTGTGCTGGCTAATGTTGAATCCCAAGACAACAATGCGTCCCTTGTGTGAATCTGAAGATCTTCCTGTGGTTGGTTTGCCCGCGCGAATGGAGATATTAGTGCGACCAGCTCGATTGCAGCTGCGATTGTGTTTCTCGTAATGCTTTGTCATCAGTACTCATATCGATGTGGCGCCCTGGATCCGCCTGCCACCAAGTGCATTCACCCCATCATACTCCCCGATTTGATCTCCTCTCGGCTTGTGACCAAGAGTACGAGCTATCTGGATCGGTTTGTGCAGTATATAAGGAGAGTTAGTGGGTGCAAGTAACAGGATGCAGATCACCATGCAGTCAGCAGGCCTTGCAAGGACCCGGGTGGTCGCTCCACGCGCGTCAGCACTGCAGGCCAGGCCCGTGGCCAGGGTGCCGCCTGCTCAGCGCTCTGCCCTTCGTGCCCAGCCGAAGGTGCGTCAATGGCGCTCACTTAAAACCGTCCATTTCTTATCTGTCCTAGGCTACCTGCACTTGTTCATGTCGCGTCAGATCATGCGTCCGGATAAGCAATGCCCACAACGTAGCGCCCAGCTCCTGCATTTATTTCGTGTTACCACTCATACCGAAGGATACATATTGTGTGAAAGGGCCATTGAAACTCCAGTCTTGGGTGCTACAGACCGCCCCACTGGACATTGATCTGAACCTGGTGATATATTGTGAGGAAACTCCCTTTTTAATCTTGACGGCGTCCTGACAGACTCAGCAGCCTTAGAGACTCGGTAATGGGACAAAGAGTGGGACAGCTTGCAGGATATCTTGCATGGCACCCCCAGAGTGCTCCTCTCACATTTCAGCAGATTCAGCACGCTGGACAAAATGTACAGCTCTCAATGCTGAATTTCTTGCCATACGATTTGTCTCTGCAGGAGGCTGTGGAAACGGTAACTCAGGACGACAAGGACAAGGATGCTGATACAGAGGTGGGCCCTGCCTTGATCTGCTGAACTAAAGCAGCCCACAAACCAAAGCGCGGTCAGCCTTAGATCATCGTTCATGGTGTTACTCATCGTCCAATAGATGCCCTGTGCTGATTGACAGCAGGAACAGAAGCAGCCGCAGAAGCTGGAGGAAGTCGTGTACACCGACCCTCTGGAACTGTACTGTGATGACAACCCCGAGGCGGACGAGTGCAGGTAGGACACAGCCACACTTTCAATCAGGAAAAATAAGCTTTTGACTTCGACCAGCGCAAGCTGTGTCTGCTGCATGCACCGGCGCATCTTGTAACTTTGAATGCTGTAAGGCGGCGCACGAGTGCCGTCTAGAACTTCATGGCGCATGCAATTCGTGATATTGTTATGATGCATGCCGGGACCCCAGCGCATGGCTCACATCCCTGGCTGCCAAAGCGCTAAGAAGCATAGGTAGCTTCATGTGCTTTGACCTTGTGTCAGGCATGTGTTTATATAACTGAATCGCTGGTGTATTATGTAGGGTGTATGAGGACTAGATGAGATGTCCGGCTCCAGATTACAGGATACCCTTTTGGGCACCAGCACAATTTTGGCCACATGTGAGGTTTTTTGGGCACACGCGACCACAAATGCGAACCGCAGTGCTGAGGAGAAGAGATAGAAAATTTTGGTGACTTGACTGATACAACCGCGTGAGCGGAAAGCCAGATCTGGCTTTCCTCTAGAGTGACCAGAACTATTAAGAGATTGACTTGAGTGTGTGCACAGATAAGTTGCCAATTTCCGTGGCCATGCATATTCGTCTACTTTTGACTGTCTGACCCCGAGTGTGGCACAAGCTTCTTGTACGTTGGCCTTGGTCATGACCATGTGAGGGGCTGTTATGGGACGATTCACTGCAGTGCTGTCTGTACAGATGCAGACCTCTTGACTGGGGCCCAGGCGTTCATCCTTCAACAGAGCCATCAATGCATTGCTGCGTGCTTAGCAGTGCTGCTGCATACCTCTGGCACGCCAGGCTGAAACTGGGCTATAGATTCGGATGTGTTACCATAGAAGTTCTCTGAGTGGGAGAATCTCACATCCTGAGAAGACTGTTGATGAACAATTGCGTTTACAGGAGACATAAACACCATAATCTAACCAGTTCCCAAGTCCCTGGCCTGCAATGGCGCTCTCCATATGGAACTGCATGCACTGTGAATGTGATGTCAACACCTGTATGGAGCTACAAAATTGCCAGGTCTGAAAGCCCACACAGCAGAGCTGTCAGCAGTGCAACCCACACACCACTCGTCTCACATGCAAAACCAAAGTCATCAACAGGATCTTGCGTTCCATATAAAATACCCGCCAAGAATGTTCAAGCATTCCCAAACCCCCGAAGCTGAGCCGTTTGGGACATTGAACAAAATCTGCGAATGAAAGATTGGCAAGCAGCACGCCTAAGCAACACGCAACTGCAGCAGTGCAGTAGAATAGGCCACAAGGCGATAAATGCTTGCACATATGGGGCCATAAAAGGAGCTCGCATCCCTCAGTACTGCTGGTATCCCCCCTGTGGGGGGCCCTGCTGCAGCGGCTGCGCCTGGTACTGGGGTGGCAGTGCCCCCTGGTACTGCGGGGGCGGTCCCCCCTGCGGTGGAGCCTGCTGGTACTGCGGTGGCGGCTGCTGCTGCTGCGGAGGCATCCCTCCAGGACCTGCATCGGCCAACCACCCACTCAATGGTCAAACACAGAGCGCGCCCTATCATCAGAAACTTGCTTTTAACATCGATGCCAACCCAGTGATAATAGTTCACAAGTACAGGACACGCGGACACTCATATGTCCAGACCAACGCTTGATCTTTCCAGAGCAGAGTGAAAAACTAATCTGTGCTTGCCGCGTTTCCAGGTAAGCTTTAGTGAAGAACATGTTTCTTCCTCTGACAACATGTGGAAGCTGCATTGCCAGATCAAAATTCGGCAGATCAGGGAGAGGTGCGAAGGCAGGATCAGAAGTATTACCTGGCTGGCCGTAGGCGGGGGCACCATACTGCTGCGGGGGGCCCTGCTGCTGCGGCTGCCCGTAAGCGGGGGGCCCGCCCTGCTGCGGTGGCGCTCCGTACTGGGGGGCCGCCTGCTGCGGCGCTCCGTAAGCTGGCTGCTGCTGTGGCGGCGGCTGCTGGTACACCGGCGCAGGCGCACCCTGCCACAGCACGCCCAACTCTCTTTTTCTGTCCTTGTATAACATTCCAACCTATCCAGTGTAAAAATACAGATCCCCCCAAACTAAAGTTTCTTCATATTCATGTGCCCCATTCAGCATCAGCAAAGAGTTTCGCCTAAGGATCCAGAACACGTGCGCGATCATAGCGAGCGTCGCTGCGTTTCACCTGGATACTCTTCGAGGTAGTTCTCAGCACCAGGACATTAAGAAAATGAGCTTTCAATTGTCACTCACATGCAAGATTCCTGGAGCCTGAGAAACAGCAACCAACAGCAGCAGCAGAGCCAAGCACCTGGGGCTGGTAGACTGGAGCGGGGGGACCCTGCGGGGGGTACGCAGGGGCAGGGTGGCCGTACTGGGCGGGCGGGGGGCCCCGGTGGCCACCGGGAGGGGGGGCACCCGCCGCCAGCGCAGCCTGCGCCTGCTTGGCTATGTTGTCATGCGCAATCTCATACTCCAGACCTGCCAGCAGCCGACTTCATAATTCAAACCGAACTGCAGTGTTGCTGGATTTTCGTCATATAAGGTGCCATCCCAATGCTTTCCTGTTGACCCGTCTGGGCACTCATGAGTTTTGTTGCATGCCTCTAGCAGCCCACGCTTCCTTCTATGCACTCTAGTGTGCAGGAAAATTTATGTGCTCTCTGAATTTCCCAGAGCCAGACAGCTTGCAGCAAGGCTGTCCTATGACAATTCCCCTTGAAAGTTACAACTCGAGGGAGATTATAGCGCACCTGTGACAATGACAGGGTCTCCATGGTGGCCGTGCTGGGGGGCATGGTAAGCTGGGGCGGCCCCGGGCGCCGCATAGCCGCCATACGCCTGGCTCGCTCCATTCTGTATGATCACAAGCCACCAAGTCAGCAATTACGCGAGTTGTCCATTTGAAGCTCCGTGTTGAAAAGGACATTTCGCATGACAAGGAAAGTGAAGAGACAGTGCAGAATACAAAAAGCCGAATGACATTCACTGATCACAGACTTAAGCAACGCCCCAACTTGCGGTGATGTTGTCAGTGCGGGGTGTGTCAGCAATGTCCTATCAGGCAGACATCGGCGTGTTCTTGTATGCTGACACAGCACAGAAACAAAGACCGGCGCAAGTGGGGACGCGGGGGGACTGGGGGGAACCTGCTGGTAGCTGTGGTCGGGGGTGGCGGCCTGGGGGGCGCCAGGCTGCAGCGTGTAGTCGCAGCTGCGGTCGTTGTTGGCCTTCACATTGAGGTTGCGGTGCACGCTGTAGCTGATCTTCAACTGCGCACAAATTGCACCACACCTCAGTGAGCAATGCTTGGCAGGCACCTCCCAGAATACAAAAGGGTTGCCCTAAATGGGGGGTTGTCTCAGGCATAAGAAAGTACTACAGTGGAGGCGCAGACAGGCATTCATGGCATGCTAATCCCAAACAGCATGCCTTCCATCTGCAGGGCTCGCATGCATCCAAAGTTTTCTCCAGGGAAGTATTCACCCATCTTCGGTCACAATTTGAGGAAGCAATCGATCTTGGTGGAATCTACAGATGTGACACATGAAGGAAGCGCACCCTGTTATAGCCGCCGTCATAGATGGCGTGGCCCTCCAGTGCGCTCTTGGCATTGGTGGCGCTGAGCGGGTCCGGGTACTGAATCAGCGCCTGCATGCATTGAATCCACCTCAGCCAATGCCAACACGAGTCTTCCACTCACCCACCCCTACACTTCCCCAATGCCTTGAGAAGTCCACTGGACTTCTGCAACAAGAAAGCGAGTCGCCTGTACTACGTTTCCTAAGTGTGTAGCTCGGTTGGTAGTGTTGGAATGCAGCTGCGCACTTGAGCCTTGCAATAGCGACTTGCATGCTTGTTGCAGCTCGATTGGTAGCATTGAAGTAGAGCTGAGCGCTAAGGCATCACTGTAATGATGACTTGTATACTTGTTGAAGGTTCGAGGTGCATTTTGACTTGCTATACATAAAGGCATCTCCATACTATGGCGCAGGGGAGCAATTAAATGTGGCCCGGCAGGGGAGATAACAGGCGACGGACCTGGCTCTGTCCGTTCTTGTCAAAGATGGCGATCTTCTGCACAAAGCCGTAGGGAGAGAACACCGTATTCAGCGCATCCACATTGACCGGGTAGGCCTGGTTCTCGATCTGCATGCGCACACATTGGGTCAGACACCAAGGCAACATACAGATGTCACTGCAATCTAAGCGGACCACAGCTCCTAGAACAAGTAAAAATGACAGTGCCACAGCAAAGGGGTGATGGCTGCTTGATGTTCCTAGATACAGGGTCAGATGGAATGATGTGAGAGGACCTCTACATCACATAGAGCGCCCGCAGCGCCTCACAGGTCCACATCTGACAGTGCATTCCGAGACATTGGCACACCCACGGCTGACAAGTAAAAAGTCGCAACCCAGGGGATTGACGACGTGCTTACCTGGCACAACAGCACATTTCCCTCAAGAGGGTTGCCGCTGATGGGGGCCTGGATACCGAGCGCCAAGTTTGGGTCGCCGCCAGCTGGCGCCGCCGGCAGGTACAGGTTAGTGTAGTCCCTGTCATGGCGTAGTCACCCATTAGTCAGCCATCACCATCCGTGCAACCTGGCCGATCCCTATTGGGTCTGCTAAGATGGCCTCGAGTCCACATTTCATTCGATAGACCCAATTTCCTGATGCTCGTCGGTATGAACAGACATTGGCATTTTCATCATGAGTTCTTTTGCCCGCAAAGGCGTCCAGTAGCAAGGCTACTTCTGAACTTTGCATACCGAAGACGGCTGATTGCCAGCTTCAAGATACACCCTGGATTCTAAGATTCTGATGGACCGCAAGGACTTCCATTGACTACGTTGGACACAAAGGTATTGCAGTTAGAAAAAGACCTGGATCGGTGGGACTGGAACTTGACGTTGAGGTCGGTGTGTTGGGAGTAGGTGATCTTGAGGGAGGGTGGGTTGGGCGTGTCGTTCAGCAGGTGCTTGGGGATGTGGCGCCCGTCCAGCGCCAGCCGCACCTGCGCGCATGTGCCGCCACATGTTATGCGCATGCGCATGCAGCCGGGATTGCTTTGCAAATGGGCCATGCAAAGCAGTGTGCCATCTGTTCACAGCCCCATGACACATCTTGTCACCACACCTGCTGTTAACATCAGCTGATCTGCAAAATATGCAGCAGCAGAGTGAGCACCCAGGCGCGGAATTGACATAGGCCAGCAGCGGAATGCGCCAGTGACATGTCCGAACACTGTTAGCAAGTGTGCATTTCACCTGCTCTGCTGTCTCAGCATCAGCGTACTGCACGAGTGCCTGGAACCCCTGGCCCTTCTCAAAGGTGGCGATCTTCTGCACCAGGCCAAATGCAGAGAAGACCAGGTGCAGCGTGTCCAGCGTCACATTCATGTCCGGCTGCATGCAGAGTAATTGGTGAGTCAGCAGCGAGTCAGCAACTTACATCACCCCACGGCAGAGTGGGGAAGGCAAGGCAGAGGAGAGGGTCAGACAGTCATGTCGACCACATCCCAGCACAGTGGCACAGTAATAATACAGCAGGTGACTAAGCCACTTTTAAAGCGCCAAGGCAGTTAGGGAAAAGAGGTTGCCAGGCCGTTATTGCGCGCACTGCAGCACGTCTTTCGTCATGCTGTGTGTCGGCCATTGCCAATTATGGCTTAGTATGGATCCCCCCAATTATGTGGCCCGCGCCAAGAGAAGGGAAATTGTGCAACAATATTGGGTGCATACTGGCACATGTTTTGACTCACCGCCAAGTTTTCCAGGGACACAAGCAGGACATTGCCTCCCTGCTCTGCGCTGCGAGTGGAGTTTACAATTTCCTGCCGCGTGCTGTACTGCAGGTACACTGTCTTGCCGCGAACCTACAAACAGCATGCATTGCGCAGCGTGACTTTTTGTGCCCCAGGAAACCTCAATGAGCCTCAATGTGTGTGGAGCAAATGGTGCAGATACCAGCGCATTGCATTGGTTTAACTTCCTGAAAATGTTGTGCCAGTGACAAGCATGACACTCTGTGATTCATGCAGTGGGGCCTCAAGTTGTACCTAAATGGTGTCGTCAATGAGTTTATATTAAGCAAGGCATGCATGCATGTCATTTGCAATTTTGCTGTAAGCTAGGCAAGACGGTGCCTGCTACACTCATGAAAGTCCACATAAAAATACTCAGCTAATGTAAGGAAATGGTAAGAGTGTATGTGTGGCTGACCTTGGCTGGATCTGCGGCGTTTGCAAAGTAGGAGACCATTTGGATGGCCATGTTCATGTCAGGGAACTCCACAAAGGCCTGGTTCTTGTTTGTGCCCACATTGAGCTTGGTTTGCACAATGGGGCCAAAGTTGGAACATAGTTCTCTCAGCTCTTCTTCTGTAGTTTCGTAGGGCAAATTTCGTATGTGGAGCACCTGTGAAACAAGAGTGGCAAGTGAAGTAGATGTCAAAGGTATTGGGTACTGTCAGAAAGCTGCGAAGGCAGGATTGCGAGAAGTATCAAATGATCGTCACTGTCAGGGCAAGGAATGCGATATTGATAAGGAATGCGACACTTTGTGTTGTGAGGATTAACCTACGTGCAAATTATGGTCCTACATCTGCTCTGTGGGACTCTGAGCTGTAACGATGACAAGGCCACAGTCGAGCCGGTTTGCACCACTACAAGGAAAGGACGAGGAAGTAAGACTTGCCTTTGACGGTGGCTGGGAGAACCTATGGACAGGCTGCTCGGACATCTTGCAGATTATCCCAGAGGGTTGGAAAGGTGACCTTAGTTCCCTTTGGAATGCCCAGCAACTCCTTTATTATTTTCGGTTCAGGTTATGAATGAAGTGTCGCGTTACGGGAGTTGTGGTGTACGGGAGCGAGCTCGGATCAGAAGAATTTGATGAGAGTGAGCTCCAGAACAGAGGAATCCTTAGGATGGGTATATTCCCCGCGCGTCCCCGGAACCTTCACTTCTATTGCCTAGATTTCCACTTTACAGCGTGAACCAACATGCATTTGGGAATACCATGGCGATACCAGCAGCCCTGCCTGCAGGCTGCAGCCCACGTTCGATACTTCCACGACCCCCTGCGCAGTTGCCAAAACAGGAATAGAGCTGAATCCATCTTGGACCAGAAATCTTGCTTGCTCGTGAGGACTAGTCTTCTGCCACAACAAATTGTGAATGCGTGCGATTTGCACTCTCACGTTCAATCTCCTCAGATGTCCTTCATGCCTTTCAGTACAGTGAGGCAGCATGTCAGGAACGCATGTATAGGGAGTTTCGATGCAAGGCATGTGAGGAGTGTTTCTTGTTCTCGGAACAGAATTACTTCCTACAATCAGAAAAATGAACAAACAAGGTGATGATTTTCAATCTTACTACTAGCTTTCTCCAAGTAATCCTGCGATCTGCATAAGCCTGATCTAAGTATGTGAAGTAACACAAATATCTGTAGCAAACTGAGGACCTATTGTGTTCCTCCAGATTCGCACAGAATAACCAAAAGCAGATGAGAAGCATGGCTGGTACGAGGAAGGCCGAAAGAATACAGCACAGCACCAGCTGCTTACCGACAGCAGTGGAAGCAGCTGAGACCATAGGTCTCAAAGCGCTCATCTTTGACTGCGACGGTGACATAGTTCTCACCATCTTGTGTGAAATACTTGCTGGTGTACATCACTGTCTTGGGCTTATAAGATTACTGAGGGCTGCAGTGTAAAATGCAGGGGTCATCCTTTTGTCAGAAGATCTGCATAGGGTAGCCTACAATGCGGCATTTGAGCACTTTCAGATCAAATGCAATGGGCAAGAATCAATCGCAAATTGGTGAGTGACAAGGCCCTGGTGTCATCAGTACACGTGCTGGCTTAGCGAAAGTTTGAAGCCACACGACTTGCTAATGATCATGCACTGAGCCCTGAACCAAAACAATTTTATCACAACATAAGTGGACAAAGTCATTCTGCTGCCGGCAGGTCCGAGGAGTTTTATGACAAACTGCAAAATAGCATTGGCGGCGGGAAGCCCAAGATGAGGTGGTTCTTTGGTGCGCCACACTCCTGTTTCTCGGTGCTCCACATTTGAAATGCAGCTGCATGTTCTAACTGTCTTGACAGCCTCACAGCCAACACGGTAATGATCTGCGCCTGTCTGAAAAAATGACAAGCTTAGAGGATAAATGACAAGGTTGCAGGTGAGTACGGCTGGCCAATATCCACAGTGCTGCAACGGATACCGGAGACAGATGAGGAGAAGGCGCAGCTTATAGACACCCTGCAGGACTGGAAGACGGACAAGTACCAGCAGATTGTCTGTACGCCCCTCTACCATTTGTCCTGAGTCCCAACAGCATAACCCTGGCCTGTAGATGTGCATCCTTGAGCAGCTGGTGTGAGTGCGAGGGGCGCGATAATGAGAGCATGAGGCAGCGACCCACCATGCATGCAGCAGACTGAAAGTGCCTACATAAGAACCTTGCAGAAAGCATTGTTGGTCAGGGTATAATGACCGTAGCTCAGTATGGACTCTATACTATAGAGGACGCTGACCAAGAGCCAGCTTGTGATTTGCTGCGTCACTTGTGCGCCTGCAGCATACACTTGCCTTTTGGCACACTTGTCAGTCATGAGATTGCACATGAAGAGCTGTTGCTCAAAAGCAGGCCTTTGCCGGACGAGCTCTAGTGCTGTCGGCCGCCACCATTTCGGGTGTTGTTAGATCCAAGCATCTGGGTAAACCCCTACAATACCCCTTCCAAAAGCCCACTTATTACATACATATTCTTGGGTTTGTGCAGCGAGTGGGGAGGTGCCGGCGCGAGAGGGCGTGCTGCGGCTGATGGATGAGGCACGCGCTGAGGGGCTGCTGGTCGGCGTCTGCTCTGCCGCCACCAAGTCATCTGCCATATGCGTCCTGGAATCCCTGCTCGGAAAAGAGCGCTTCCAGGTGGGGAATCCCGGCGATGTGAATTTGAACCTTCTTTTGAGTCAAAAACCCTCACGCCCTTCCTATGCCCGAATTTGTAGGTGGCCAGATGTGGAAATCTGAGGCCACCAACCTGATGGAGGCATCATGCATGCCTGCTGCGTGTGCAGCGACAAATTAATGGGTACCTGCATTTTGCGGTGCCACTCAGACCTTCTAAGAGGCTGCTTGTGCAGCTTGCTCGAGCCTAATTCTGTGATGTGTCATTGCTTCTGCACAGAGCTTGGATGTGTTCATGGCGGGGGATGACGTGGAGAAGAAGAAGCCTGACCCATCAATTTACCGCATTGCAGCGCAGCGATTGGGTGTGGACCCCAGCGAATGCCTAGTGGTTGAGGACAGCACCATCGGCCTCAAGGTGCGCAGCAAATCCATCACAAGTCTCCAGCTTCATTGCAGTGCGTATGAGAGGGTTTCCTGTAGCGAGAGACCTGACCAGAACACTGCTGTCCTTCTTAAAACCATGCTTTTGGCTGCCACACAGTTTGTGCATTACAGCAATCTATGGTGGAGCAGCATCGGCCGTTGCAAAATTTGACAGAATTTGGCAGAAAACGTGGGTCAGGGAAGCAGTGTGGATTGTCATGGGAGGTATGTGGCAGGGAGTGCAGATTGTCATGCATCGCCGGCTCTTTGAGCATTGTAACTCCAGCGCCAGAGAAGTCACGCAGGTGCCAAGATGCGCTCAGCAGAGCTTAAGGTGATGTCTGGAATTCAAAATCTAAGTTCTCCTCTGAGCTGTGTGCACTGGTGTCTGCAGGCGGCCCTGGGCGCAGGCATGCGCTGCATAATCACCTACACCAGCTCCACAAGGGACCAGGATTTTGATGGCGCAGAGCGCATCTTGGAGGGTCTTGCAGATAAAGCCACGCTCGCAGTGCTGTCTCGGGGCGGCCCTATCTTTGATGACCGCATTGCAGTTGTGGCTCCTGCATGAGCCGAAAGTCTCTGAGCACATTACTGCAGAGAATCTGACAAATTATAAGCAGGGTGAGCATTGCCAGAAAGGCCATGTTATCATGCTGGCGCCATGTAAGCAGTGCTGGCACTGGCAGAGGAGCGCTCCAGAACATGCACGACGCCATTCAAACCATCAATGAACCCGCTTCGGGGCCCCGACCCGGGGACGCACGCCGGCGCCGTGGCGCGCACCTTCATCTAGATCCTCTTCTATTGCATCAGATGACTTGATCAATTGGGGAAATTAATGGCTGCTGCGGGAGAAGAAGGACAGAGCAGCATGCATGAAACCTGGAATCTATCACAGCTAAGGCGAGGAGTCTGCCCTGTTGCATTGAACTAAGAAATCCTCACCATTGTGCCAAAATAGGAGCTGAATCCCAATCAACATGCCTTGAAGACATCGCGTCTGAACTGAATGCTTATGAGTAGGACTGGATGAGATTTCGGAAGGGAACATATTGTTCAGATTCCAGAAGCAAGCTTGTGCTATCCTGACTGAACACTTTGGGAACCCAGCATGATGTAACTAAAGAACGTTCACATAATAGCTGCATCTTTGACATCATTCGCTTGATAGCATGCAGTCGCTGATGCTCACAAGAGGCGTGCTTTGTAACATTCAGCAAGCAGGCTTCTCAGTGATGCTGTTTTCAAGAAGGCACATGTCGATGGAAAGGATTGCCCGCGAGTTGAGGAGAGAAGATGATGGGAGGGTGCGATTGATGACCCAGAGCTTTTATCGTTGGTATCATCTGTCATTTAAGATTTTAAGCCATCCATCAGGTTGAAACTAGCATGAGATAATGTGAGTCCTCGTTGGTGCAGGAGGTTCTCAGGTGGAACGAGAGGACGAACCCCTTGCAACTACATCCTTACCTTCAAGCTCAAGAACATTCGAGATCGTATCGTCAAGGCAGGAGCAGTGCCCCGAATCTCGCTGCTTTCACTGTTGCAGCTGCAGCAGCTGGAATGGTCACTGCCCTTCTGTTTGAGACGAAGGTGCGTGCTTGCGTCATCCAATTAATTTAGCATACATTCACATCCAAATATCTGTATCTGGCATCCAAGGTTAGAGCTCGATGTGCCTGAATAGCTTGGTGCGTGAGTCATAGCATGTTGTTTCCAACAAGCCTGGCACTTTCGAATGATCACAGATCATCTGCCGAAGACATTATGTGTACAAGTTCTGTTGGAGTGAGGGAGTGCCTTGCTCTTGAGGCAGCTTGGGTTGTTTCTGTGCAGGAGCAGGAAGAGTCCTGGCTGGGGAGGGGCATTGAAGGCAATCGCTCACCCTACCCTCTGCCACAAGCAAACACAGCACCATTCAGCCATGCACCCAACCCACTGCGGGCAAGTCGCGCATCCTGAAAATGACATGCCAACGCATTTTGGAAACGCCACCATGCGAATTTGGACAGCGCCTCTCCAGCTTTAAAATGTTGCTGCGGCACATATCAATGCCATTTCTAAGCGGAGTGATGCAAACAACGGATCATGCACAAGGTCAAATCACGCACAGTGTTCACAGTGTACATGGTAATGCCGGGCCAAAGGTGATGTTATTTGGAATATCCAGCTGGCAGCAGATATAGGCTGACTTGTGCATTCTGCAGGTGAGGCTGGAGTTTCTGATGGCAGAGCAAGAGCGTCTAGGGGCTGAGCTGCAGGCTCTTGCAGAGCATAGGTGGTCCAGGAAGGCCAGCAGGAGAAAAAAGGTGGGACAGCTTGATTGACTGCTCATGGCAGCTTGCTAGAATAAGTCATGTTGGTAGACCGCCAAATCACAGCACCTTGTTGCAGATGTGACATCTATCTGAAGCTTACTGGGGTCCATCATGATATTTGTGCAGCCCCAACACCTAGCAGTAGTCTGGAAAAGTATGTGATTCTGGTGCATGTTAAGGAACGTGGACATGGTGTGACTTGCAGGAGTTGACCCGCGCTCTCAAGGATTTGGAGTCGGAGCAGGGCAGCCTAGTGGAGGAAGCCAAGAGGCAGCTGCTGCGCCAGGCGCAATGAGTCATTGCCCACACTCACTCTTGAAGAGCACATTCTTTGGTGTGTACTAACAAATCTCTGGGGTCTTTGCTACAATAAAACGCATTTCAGGGCCTCGTACGCTAAAGAAAGGTGACACCGCGGAGCTTTGTTGGGATCCTTGTATTTACTGTACCACAAGATGTGAGCATGCGCCGTGGGGCACTGAGTGTGCCGCACATAACATGTACCCTGATGTAGAATACTCGCTGAGAGCCGCTCGTACTTTTTGGACTCTTATGCTGATTAAGCGGGTGCAGAAATTTTAGCTGGGTCAAGCGGGGCCAGCAAGAATTGTGTGCATGGGAATATGATGCTAAGGTGGTGGAATTGACAGCAATCTTCAGAGGCCTCTTAGGAGGTTCTCTTGATGATGCATTACGCTTGAAGCATGGACTCTGCAACGAAAGTATCAAAGGGATCGCGCAGCCATAAACTTGCCATAAGAAATGCGCTGTGCATGCATGTATGTGTTGATATGGTTTATGGGCACAAAGCAGGCTTTCATGAAAGTAACTACTGGCATGTTTCACATAACGTCATAGATTAAATGATGAAGCAAACATTAAGGATTCTGTCCTACAAAATGCTCCCTGAGCTTCAAAGGTCGCTTCAAACATCGCTTCAAACATTGATGACATCTGCATCAACATGCTTGGGCATGTGGTGTAGGATGCACAGTATGTTTCGTTCAGCCTTCGCACACATTTCCATGCAAGCCAGCCAAAATGTGTGGGGGTATCATATTGACTGGTGGCAACAAGTAAATTGCTCAAGAGCAGCTGTGCCTTGCTGCTCCCTGCCAACTGCCTACTGCTTCCATTGTGCAGCAACAAAGCTCCAGACTCAGCCAACTACACCAAACGCCACTGCCAGGACCGCAAAGCAACTGCAGGCGGAGTCTTATTCCACCGCACTCCCCCTTTGCCGCACTGATTTGGAACCGCCAGAGAGTGTAAATATTTGTGGCGCCGTGACTGATCGGCGGCGACTTGGCGGTCCAGTCAACCTCAGGCCGCTGCTGGCCTTGGGTGGCGCTGCGCCGGGCTGGCTCTGACTGGGCAGCACAGGCGCGCTGCTGTTAGTCGCTGTCCTGCTCTGACCTGCCTTAATTGCATTGACTAAGAACGCGGGGGTGGGCTCTGAGCCCTTGAAAATATCCTCCGGCAGGGGTCCGCGCTGTGCCACCTGTCGAGATGGAAAGTGACACATCAGATCAGAAAATGAGACTTTTAAATCAGAGGAAGGGAGACATGTACAAGACCTAGTGAGTATTGCGATTGCAAAAAGACAGCAGAAAGGAATACCTCGCTCTGTACTTACTTCAGATACAATGTGTGCAACATACAGGTGGTGAAACTTGACAATATATTCTAAAGTCAGCAACATCATGCACGCACTTGTTCCCTCCAGACCAGCTCCATGTGCTGGGACGTGTAGGAAGCTGGCAGGTGCACTTCCAAGCAGTGCTCTACCAAATCCTGCCCGATAGTACTTATTTTCTCAAGGGCAATCCACACACAACCCCTGGAGTAGCCCGTCAATGCCCACAGGACATGGCGGGGCCCGTAAATAAGGAGCCGCTTCAGATGCATGTCCAAGACAAAGGCGGCATCGTTCGAGTACAGAGGCAGCAACATGGCCTCTAGCTCATCTGCAAGACACCCACAACATGTTATGATCTGAGACTATACAGTCCTTGCAGAGTCAGTGAGGCACCATCAGTCAACACAAATCTAGGAGCGCAAAGTGTAAGCAACTGACCAAACAAGATGAGCAGAGGGCATCTTGTGGCCTCCAGCAGAGCAATGATGCTTCCTGACAATGTAAAATCACGAGTGCCCCAGCTCCTGCAAGCCTGATTCCACTTAAGTGGATCAACCGGGACATTGAGGTCTACCAATTGCATTATCAGCGTTCCTGAAATTTCTTGCAAGAGCTCTCGTGCGTTCCCCTGCACCCAGCAACACAACTTGTCGTCAGCCACATTGCCTAAAGTTGATTTCATGGGGGATGAGATGTGAACTCGAGATTCGAGCGGTTGCAAGAGTGAAATGAAAAGGGAGGGCAGGTGCTTTACTGCCCGTGCGAGGGAACGGCCATTCAAGAACAAGACAAGCGGCTCGCATGGCTTCCCGACGCCAAAACGCTCATGTTGCGCGATGACTGATGGCAAGATGGTACCGAGGGTGAAGCTCTTGCCCGTCTGCATGGCAAACGCATAGGTGATCAGAAAGAACCCAACACCATAAATCATAAGGCCTAGGCCACAGGCCTGATATGGGCAGAGGAGGGGTTTGCCCTGGAGTGATTTGCGCGTGTGACTTTGAGTGATCGAGCATGGATGTGGTCTTCCACTGACTTTTATCACGCTTTTTGCTTCGATTGGGCGTGCATGCTTGCGCCAATAGAGTGCCTAGATCTTACTGAGGTCTGATCAGTCTCAGGTGGATCAATGCAACTACCTTCCTCAGGCCACTCAGAAACAGCAGCACCGGCCGTCCGTCCCCAGGGTGTATCACAGCGTTGTCCTGCGGCAGGCGAAACCAGTGTTCCACTCCTTTGCACAGCCACCGCTCGATGGCCTCCACATTGCCGCCAGGATCCACATATATCTCCCTCGCTTTGTCACGAAACAACAGCACCCATGTATCGCCATCCTCTGAATGCACCTTCAGTGTTTGTACGGCTAAGCTGCCCAAGTTGTGCTTGGGAGGACCTGCGAAGAAGTATTTCATTACATGAGAAAATGACTTATGCCACACCTAGGGAGGATCACAGACCACACAATGTCATGGCAAGGATGCGAGAGATGATGTCATGAAGTTCAGTCTATGGGGAGGTGAACCTGTTGGAGGGTCGGGCCAGAAGGGGTCTGCGCTTGGTGATGACTCAGCACTTCGCCCAGAATCTGCAGCACATGGCATGCTACCTTAGCAGTCCTCAAAAGTGACTTGAAAACATCCCAATCCCAGCATAGCAGTAGTGGTAAAATGGTAGCTGCGCATCACACACAATAGAAGAGCACCTGGCTGGAAAGCTTTGATCAATATTCGCGCCCAAAGATGGGGCAGAGCTGCGCCGGGAGGTCCTTGCAAATCACTCACTGTGACCAGTTTGAGAACTTCTGTAGAGTTGTATCCTTTCTCTACCAGGAGCTGCAGATGCTCCGTTTTGAAGAGGGAATAGTCAGCATCAGGTAGCCTGCTGCGAAGGAGTTTGCGCAGGTGATTCAGATCCTCTTGAGAGGCCATTGCCTGCACTAGGGACACTGTTCAGTGACACTGGCCAGGAACGGTTTTCAGCGTCATGCTTGACCCAAAACACACCTTAAAGTGCAACCGAGCATATCGAAATTACCTTATAAGGAATCCCAGCAATGCCACCCTCTGACTACACACCAAGCACGTTATGAGCAACGAACGAGAGAGTAAGGTCGCAAGCGTACACGACATCAAAATTCCTGAGGAACACGGGCAGAAAGTACAAATAGCGATACACCCAATGCGACCAAGGTATCCTTATTTTGGAAACCTCCGCTAAAGAAAGGACAGCACACTCCTAGAACAGTGGATCTCTTTGGATATGATCCTTCAAATTCTTCCAATAAACCCGATTACCATAGTCCCCTTGTCAGCACTGCTGGAGAAGAATTTCAGAGGTCAAATCTTGCAAAGCAGAGCGTTTAGAATGAGACTCACCTGGAGGATGAGAGAAAGAGGAGCTGGGAAGGTTTCAGGACATCCTTCCAGGGAACTAATTCAGGTAGACAATGTTCCTGATAGCGTTTGCACTGCCTTCAACAATTGATTATAGCCTTTTTGAATTCGGTCAGCTGCATGCTCAAGTTGTGGGCGCGGCCCAAGTGGAAGCATGCCGTAGGGCGAGAAGGATAAGAAGCAATTGTATATCAGACCTCTGACAGAGGTGCACTTTGTACACATCATAAGAAGAAAAGTTTTCTTCTTATGATGTGGAAATGTAGAGAGTGACATATGTAGACAGTGAAACCATGCCAGCGTGGATGCGCATGTCAACACGATGGTAGTGCGTCACGGTGACCTTGGCTACACCTATTTCCGGCTGAATATCAGCACTGCAGTTGTGGGCATTTGTGAAATGCAATATCACTGATTAGGCCTGCAATGATATTACAGGTGCCCAGCTCGACTATTCGTGGTCTACCTTGCAAGCTGAGAAAGAATGGAGGTTGAAGCACAGCTGATTTGGCTACATGCACAACAACCACAAGTCACAGCGCGAACACAGCAAATTATGATCTTGACTCCTGCCTAGAGTGCTCTTGAAGGTCCTTCTTTCACCACAACTTGGCTTTCTGCTGTCCTCATGATTTCATGGAAACCCATTCCCCCAGGTCTCACTCTTCTCTTGGCCTTTGCCCAAGAACCGACCTGGCACTGCCCCACCACGACCTCCTTTGCACAATGCAAGGACCCCTCAACCCCACATAAGCTATGGACAACCAAAATCGCATCGCAAAATCACATCCAAGAAACAACCCGTCAGCCATGCACCAATCTAACGGTCAGACTAGCAGAAGGGCCCGGTCATTCCCTTGGTGCATGCATGGGACTGGCTAGCCAGCGCCCACGGCTGTCATCCATCAGGTAGCACTCACGAGGCAACGTTACAGAGCCAGCCGGCTATGCGGCCAGTCAGGCTTTGGTCATCGCACTCACGAGGCGGTATTATCATGCTGATGAAGGAGCATGTGATTTCCTGGTTAGGCAACCCCCGTGGCATGCTAGGGAGGCCGCGGGGGGTGTAAGCGGCTATGAGGGAGGTGCCTAGGATTTGGACTCGGCCATCTCCTTGGCCATCTTGTCGGCCTTGGTCTGGACCTCGCCAATGTCTCCCACCATGTAGAAGGCCATCTCCGGCAGGTCGTCGTACTTGCCGTCCAGGATGCCCTTGAAGCCCGCCACCGTGTCCGGCAGCTGCACGTACTTGCCTGCACGCACACACATGCACGTCAGAAGAAATCTCGCTGCATGCAGACAGGCTGACTGGACTGTCCCGTTACAGACCCTCCCATTCGCCCCTGCTCTCTTGAATTTGGTGTCTTTCAGAGTTAGTCTGACATAGTGAACAGATGACCTGCAAGAGTTGCAGTCCAAAAGCCGAGGCAAGTTGTCACGTTCACACCATCAGAAAAACACCCCTGACCTGAACCCTTTGGCAAAAGTAATCTGACAGCACTGCAGAACAAAGGCAGAGTGGTCTAGGAGGGTTCAGATGGAGTAGAAGAAGAATCGATGAGAGATCACAGAGAGGGCTGCACAACGCGCGCACCTGGGGAGCCAGTGAAGATTTCGGCGACCTGGAATGGCTGGGAGAGGAAGCGCTGGATCTTGCGCGCGCGGGCGACGGTCATTTTGTCCTCCTCGCTCAGCTCATCCATGCCCAGAATGGCAATGATGTCCTGCAGGTTCTTGTAGTCCTGCGCGCAATTTTATGCAGCTTCAGACACGCAGTGCGCTGAGCCTGACCTTACTTTTCGCATCTGCATCGCTATGGCCCAAGGATGAGCGCCTTTGTCGCTTCTGTGTTTGTCACATACGCAAGGTCCTGTGTCAATCCTCAGATGGTGGCCGGCATCCAGAAAGCAGATAAAGGTGCACTTGCCCATAAGACAGGCACAGCAGACTGCAAAGGCAGCATTCTCCTCGCCAGCAACCGCAATACCCACGCACTCCTAGCAAGCACAGGCATTATTTGAAGGCCAAGACGATGAAGGTCAAAGACTATTCAGCTGACAGAGTATGTCCGTCATTAGCGTGCGGCCAGTAGACCAAGAATTCCTCCTACATCTAGCTAGCTGCGACGCCCTCCTATGACTATGTGGCAGTAGAACCTGCAGAGACAAGTGGCAGAAAAAAGGTCAAGGCATGCACCTGGAGAACGCGCTGGACTCCGCGGGCGACGTTGTAATGCTCCTCTCCGATGATGCGCGCGTCGAGCATGCGGGAGGTGGAGTCCAGCGGGTCCACGGCCGGGTAGATGCCCAGCTCGGAGATGGCACGCGACAGCACCTGCGCGCACGCGCTCAAATTTAAACATGAATATAACATCCGCCCGCATCCGCTTGCACAGCAAACAAAGCAAACGCACCAAATTTGCAGTCACCCATTTCCAAATTAAAAATTGCAAGAGGTGACTTCAGCCCTAGATTCCATGTACCGCAATGGAAGATTCAAGACCGCATCATGAAGTGTTGTGGCCTTGACGCAGCACAAGCAGCTTGACTACTTGTTGTTATTAGATTTGTGTTAGTGCAGCACCGTGGTGGCGTCCAGATGTGCGAAGGTGGTGGCGGGTGCAGGGTCCGTCAGGTCGTCAGCCGGCACGTAGATGGCCTGCGCAGCACGGAAGCGGTCATAAGCGTCGACCCACAAGAGTCTGACGAGCAACAGTGAGTGCTGCCACTATGATTTTGAAACACCATGAACAACTTCAACAAATGTGCAGCCCCGATATGTGCAGCAAGTGCCCTGCAGCCTACTACCTGCACAACAGAAAGGAGAGCCACGCGCTTGCAATGCTTGTCCAATGAAGATCCTGGCATTTTCTCTGATGTGTTCCTGTGTTCCTTGATTTTGAGTAACAAGCAGAAGAAAGGCTGACCTGGACGGAGGTGATGGATCCCTTGTGGGTGGAGGTGATGCGCTCCTGCAGGGTGCCCAGGTCAGTAGCCAGCGTCGGCTGGTAGCCCACAGCCGAGGGGATACGGCCCAGCAGCGCAGACACCTCAGAGTTGGCCTGTGACACCACAGCGCATGTCAGCTCCCTCCAGCTTGCAAGCATGCATCTGTCACACTCAGTACAACTTAAAAAAGTCAAAATGCAGCATGCGTGCAAGAAATTCCTTGCAAAAATGATTAGGTCAACCCCACAACCCGGACCACAAACTCCATCTTCAAGCATCACGCCAAAATAGAGCTCAGCTTACTTGCATGCAAGAATCTATGCAGCGCTGCACTGCCTCAATTTTTGCTTTTTAGCAGTATGGGATGGCCAAAAGTATGAGTTCAAGGTGCTTCTAGGCAGCACCTGGGTGAAGCGGAAGATGTTGTCCACGAAGAACAGCACGTCCTGCCCCTCAGCGTCACGGAAGTACTCGGCGATGGTGAGTCCAGTCAGCGCCACACGCGCGCGAGCACCTGGCGGCTCGTTCATCTGCCCAAACACCAGCGCGCACTTGCTGTCGGCCGCGTCCTTGCCGATCTTGTTCACGCCCTGCACAGCAGCAGCATATGTTTGTCAGACATCAGGAGTTCTGGGGAGGCCACGCACATTCTCATTGTGGATCTGAAGATGGGGTGCATCTGGTGGCTGCATCGCTTCTGCCCTGGCAGAACAGGTGGCACAAATCATGACAAAGCTGACACTGCCATTATTTCATGCCTGGTGGCGACTGGCATCTGTTCGTTTGTTTGCTTGTCTGCAAGTTTAGAAAATTTGATATCATATGAGTGCAAGATGAGGAGAGAAAAGAGGGCTCACAGACTCAATCATCTCCTTGTAGAGATCGTTGCCCTCACGCGTGCGCTCTCCGACTCCAGCGAAGACGGAGAAACCACCTGGACACAACACGCATGCCCTTCGCCATTTGACTACGAACAGCAGCAGCCAAGACATGCTTTAAGAGACAGCACCGTATTCCTTTTCGGCCATGCGAGAAAGACATGGTAGGTGGCCAAGCACAGAGTGCGCATTGACACGTACCAGGGCCTCCCATACAGCAGAAGAATACTATTGGAATTAGACAATGAGAGAATGCAAGACAATAGGACATTGCAAGCGCCAAAGAAGATATATATGAGCCGCCTCATTGTGGAATCAGGGGAGCATCAAAGACAAGTAGCTTAATGATTACAGTAACATAATGCAGGCAAGTCAGGGACCGCACCGTGGCCCTTGGCGACGTTGTTGATGAGCTCCATGATGAGCACAGTCTTGCCCACGCCGGCACCGCCGAAGAGGCCAATCTTGCCACCACGCTGGTAGGGAGCCAACAGGTCCACCACCTGACAATGCACACACCTCCATTCAAGGTGTTTTCATTCCCTCTTTCTCCATGCGACAATGTTGGGAACCATGCATGACTGGTAGTCAGGCAACATGTGACATCAGATGATAATGGTGTACGTACTGTGGAAAGAAGCCATGCATGCACATGTTCCCTGCCGGGCAACATACCTTCGCAGCATGCTTGCACCATCAGCACTTCAGCACGGTGAAGTAAATTCTTAGGACACTGCATTGCTGCAGAGGATAGCACGGATAGGGAATGTGCAGTGAGTGTGCCTCCGCACAAGTAGCAACAAGCAACAGGGTCACAGTGAGCAGGAAACAGTCACACACCTTAATGCCGGTGACCAGGATCTCCTGCTCTGTGCTCTGCTCCACGAAGGGCGGTGCTTCTCTGTGGATGGGCAGGTGGTGCTTTGCATCTGCGCAGCATGCATCACCATGAGCCACCCTCCGCCAGCATCTGTTGGCTCACGTTTTTACAGACTTTCTTGCGCGGAGGCCACATGGAAAGGCAGGATCATGCTGCAAATACCCATGCATGCACCGCAATCATGAGGGATGTGTTGGCCATGCTTCCTGATTGAAGGTGACATGGTGATGGACTTGCACAATGCGCTGCTAGAAGGCAGACATGGCCAAAAACTCACTGACTGGGCCCTGCTCATCGACAGGCTCGCCAATGACATTGATGATGCGTCCTAGGGTCTCCTTTCCTACAGGCACCTGCAAATATAACGCTCACGGGATAAGTGTTCAATTCCCATCCACGCCCAGCTGCACAGCTGAAGGAAAGGAGTGGATGAATACCAACAATGCACAACGGCAACACAATAAGATTGCATTGCAAGGAGGCAGGTTTGGGTTCCTGCCACCACTTTCCGCACTCCAAAGAATCGTGCAGAAGAAAGAGTCCTGGCAGATATTCACTGTGCTGTGCTTTAATACTCCATAATCACATGCTGGCAGGCAGGCATCCGCGCGCATCACCTTGATAGGCTCTCCAGTGTTGACGACGGACTGTCCCCTGACCAGGCCATCAGTGGTGTCCATAGCAATGGTGCGCACAGTATTCTCTCCAAGATGTTGTGCCACTTCCAGCACAAGCCTGTGCGTAAAATTCTCGACCTCCAGGGATGTCATGATGGGCGGCAGATCCCCGTCAAATTGCACATCGACGACGGCGCCAATGACCTGATCAAACCATAGTGTGAAGAGCTTTAGGGTTCCATCCCTCCTTCGATGGGATACCGAGCCGCTCTAGGCTACCCAACCTGGCATGCCTTGACTTTTGGCGAGCAAGACCCTTGGGAACCAAAGGCATCCCCTTTCATTTGTCAGCGCTTTAATGGCGCTGTGTTCTCAATCAGAGCATAGATCCCTTTTCTGCAATCCAAAAAGAATATCAGGTTCATCGAAAGCTGAGCAATGCAACTCACCGTCTTCACGTATCCCTTTCCCACAGCTGGGACGGGCGCAGGCTCAGCAGCGGCCGCGAAGCTCCTGCTGAACTGCAGCTCATTCTGCTTGGAGCAGAAAACGGCTGGGCCTTCCTGGCTGGGGTACACGGACCGGGACACCGCAGAGAAACAGCGTGCCTGGCGGGCAAGCCGCGCCGCGGCGGCCAGAGCAGCCCTGCGTGCACCCAACATGGTGGTGCAATTTGGTTGGAGAACTGCAGGCGGAATGGATCCACTTCCCTTTTGGTGTGTCCACGGTATCCGGCGTTCCCCAGTCGCCGAATTGGCAAAACCTAGGTGAAATAGGCGATTATGATGTGATAAAACTGGTTTTACCCCTGTCAAAACTCCGAGACTTCGCGTATTCAAGCTGTCGAAGGCCCAGCTGATGATGCAGGATTTTGCAGGTTTCGGGAGGTCGATCGCATTTAAGATTTGCTGTTGTGATCCCGAGGTGTTGTTGTTAGAATGGGAGTAGCTCGAATTCTAGCCCGCTCCTAGTATTGGCACTGTATCGGTTGAGCGTGGTGCACCACAAACAGCCTCGGCTGTAGGGTTCGATTGCATTGATCAAATTTTTTCTTTAGAGAGAAGTTTCGACCTTGTGTGTCGGTGCATGGCGTTAGTCATCGGCAGAGCGATGGGGCTCGGCACGTATGATGCCAAGCTGCAAAATGCATGCTTCACTTAGGTGTTACTCGGTCACAATACCCTACTAATCAAATTTGCGCATATTCAACGGTTTTCCACGGGTCCCCTTGTTACAGGGCCAGTTGGTGTGTCAGAAGCGTGATCCGGTGCAACTTACATACTACTCCTGCAGGTGTCAGCACCTACAGTGAATTTTTAGGTCCATGGTGTCTAAAAAGCGCCACAAAGGGTGTGCGGTACAGCCCATCCGTTTCCTGCTTCTTGCTCTGCTCCTTGGGGCTGTCTTTGCACAGGACGGAGGAGGTGAGCAAATTTCTCATGTACACCTTGATCCAGACGTGCTTTTGCCGTCAAGTTCACCATTGTATGAAGCTATTTATGATCCCGTGGATGAACTGTGGACATTTGATACCATGCAGACTCCCACAATAAAGAGGGAGTACTGTTCCTTTTCATGGCTCAGGTTCAGATGCGACAGAGATTCAGGAGGAGTCCATCTTGACGGACAACACGGAGGAGACGTATGCTGACACCGAAGGGGGTGACAGCCTCATTGACTATGGAGAGGCAGTAGGGAACAAGGAGCCTGGTGAGGCCACCAGAAAATAGACTGCCATCCTGCTTATTATAGACACCAAGATGGGCATGCATGCATGTTCATATTTCAATTTGCAGAGTCGCTGAAGTTGGCTCATGCATCAAGCAGTGAAGGGCTGGGCCAATGTGTTGTTCTTCTTCGTGTTGAGCTTCAGGTCTAACGTTGGTATGCAGGGACAAACTCTGTCGGTGGGGCGTCTGTCTCGCCGCACTTCAACTTCACGAAAGCTGCGGAGCTTGCAGCTGCTCACGCTGAGGAAGTGGCCTCATCTGCCTCTGCAGATCCGCCAGCCAGCGCCAATGCTGCGAACAACAGACAGCAGTCAGCAGGAGCAAGCACGACAAGCGTGCAGCTAAGAGGGTCTCAGAACGCTGCGGCGGCCGTGGAGCCTGAGAAGGGGAGGCAGCAGGGGGAAAAGGGGGCTACGCCGGCCGGGGGGTATGTCACGGTGGAGTACGGGGAGACCGGGGTGACTGAGGAGGACCTGGCGCCGCCGCCGGACGCACTGGGGTACGTTACAAGTAAGAATGTCTGTTACACGTAAAATTGTATCATTGCCGTATTTCCATCAGGGTAAAGGTGATGAAACTTTGGAGGATCTCCGTCAGGTGATGAAGCCAGAATCACAAGAGAACTCCTCCCTCACCGTAACAAGTGAGGCCCAACAATCACTGCGGGCCACCAAGGGAAATTGCACCATGTCCTTCCTGAACCCAGTGTTCAATGCCGGTCATCTTGTCATGGTTGTGTCCATTACAAGAAGAAAACCCTGTCATGTTACAGGTACATCGCGACCCCGGACCTGGACCTTGCCGGGCTCGGCCGGCCGCCTCCGGCGGCCGCCTCCGCGCCGCGCGCCCCGATCACAAATGAGCTGCTTGACCCGACGCTGCTCTCCGGCACCCGGAACAGCACCGCGGCTGGGCCCCCGAGTCCCCCCGCCGCGCCGCGGGGCCTCCCTGTGGCGGCGGCGACCGCAGGAGCGGTGGCGCAGGTCTCCCCTGCGGTGGCGGCAAGCGCGGGAGTGGTGGGTGCTGCCGCGGCAGTGCGGTCGCCGGATGACTGGGTGGTAAATATCACGGCGGCGGATTTCCAGGGCGCGGCGCACATTGCCAAGCGGCAGGCGCGGCACTATCACAGCCTGCCGGGCAGCCTCACTGCGGAGTGCCAGCAGCGGCTGCTCAACATTGTCAGGCGTGTGTCCTCTTATCCCCAAGTGGTTTTCCTTATGAAGCAATAGTCTCAGTTCCATGGGCGCTACATTGCCTTTGGCTGCATGCTTTGGGTCGAGAGCCTCCCTCGGTACGTGCTAATGGCACTCTTTTGTTGTGGCTGCGCCTCCTCTGTCATTTGTTGTGTCTTCAAGATGCCTCATTTCTTTTTAGTGCACCTGGACCTCGAGCATCATTTTTTGGTGAGTCTGAGTCTAAGCTAAATGGGGAAACGGTGCAGGGAGGCTGAGGGGGCCTTTTACCAGCCCAGCTCGCTAGAGGCGCTGTTGGGAAATGTGTCAGCGGTGAAGATGCAGCAGGCGGCACAGCAGACCAATGACCTGCTGGCCACTGTCTTGGCTGGCAACGCGCCAAAGTGAGCTCTTCCCTCATGCATGATGATTTGCATTGAAAGAAGAAAGCAGAAGCCGACAACATGCATATTTGCCCAATATGAGCATGCTACTCAATGTAGGATTGGGCACCGGATTTAGGCTTGACGGTGCTTTGTTCTCCGGAAGGGACACTGGGACCCCTACATAATATCCCCCTCAGATTCAAATCCATGCGTGCATTCCGGGTGTTTGACAAGGTGCATGCGCACTTGAGCTATTTTGCAGCCTACACCTGAAGCAGTACATGAAGAAGTGTTGCATGCCTGCAGGTACACTGCATTCCACTTGAGCCACATGACGAACAATTACAACGACTGCCTGAAGAGTGCCGGTGTGGAGGCCCTCAAGTCCTGCCTGCGCCGCAACAGGTTCAGACCTACCTTAGATCTGAATTCAATCAAAAAAAAGTGTGCATTCTTCTGCCGCACCAAGAATTATTGGGCGTTACAACTCTCGACGCCAAAAAGCGCCGGATGTTGCATGCAGAAGTACACGCTTGGAAGTGAAGACATGGCTTTGCAGCAAGCAGATGCCAAACTTGGATGGATGCCTGGGCAGGAAGCAGCTGCGCCATGCTCAAATTTGAATGAAGGCGGGCTTGTTGCCTGAACAGGAAGCAGCTGCGCCATGCGGACATAGTGTGGTTTGACGAGAACTTCCTGGCGGCTCTGCAGCAGCTGCTGCCGGAAGTTCGCTCCATGTTCGGCTTCGGCAGCGGCCGCGGTGACTTCGAGCGCTACTTCTATGACCAGGTGCCGCTCCCAGCCCTCTGATTTCGTCACCCTAGCTCTTCTTCGTGTCCCCAGCCCATGTTGAGACGTTGGTCAGAACACTGTTGCCATGCATAGTGGAGATTTGATCATGTTTGCACAATGCATTTCCTTTGCAGGATGTGCTGGTACCCATAAAGAAGTGTATTGCTAAAACTGCAACATATCGAAAGACCCATGCTTTAATGCAAGAGATCTCAGGTGTTGTTCCTAGAAGCCTCCGTGCATGTGTTGAGCAGTAAAGCCTCAGGGTTGGCACATGCAATTTTCTTGAATAGACTCAAACAGACAGCTGAGGATTGTGGAGTGGCTTTGCATACAGCCACGGATCTGGCACCAAGAGACACAATCCATAGATTCACGTCTACCTCATTTCACAATGGCGGCTGACTGCGCTGCAGGGGGTGAAGTACACGTTTGGACTGGAGCCAGGGTACATGGGGGCGTTAGGATTTTACGCCCCCGGCTGGGAGTACAGGGAGGGGCCCGTACAGTTAACAGCGCTGCTACCTAATGCCAGCGGGCTGTCTGAGCTGGCGGACTTCAAGTGCCACATGTTCGGGGACAGCCACATGCGCGTGGACCTCGTGCAGAGCTTTGAGGTGAACCTTATTTTCCTGATCCCTGTACTTTTGAAACTCTTGCATTACTGATCTTGTAGACAAGGGTCGTCGCCTGCCAAAAGATGCAGTGCAGCAAGGAGGGCTCTGAAGCAGATCCACCATCAACGCCACTGCAATCTGCCAGGCTCACGTGCAGACCACAATGCAGGTGACAAATAGATGACCTGGCACAGTCTCCAAAAAAACATCACAACAAGAGCAGGCTAGGACAGGAGAGTGGGAAGGAGGGCAGGGCCCATCTGTTGCAAGCGAGTCTGTTAGCTATGCAAACATCTCTGCTGTGAACCCTGCACAGGCAGGCATGCAGGCCAATGAAAAAGATGTGACAAAGAGAGCTGCATGCAGCAATCATTCTATGTGAAACAGAGTCTGAGCTGCTCAGGCAGGCATGCCAGCAGATGGCAAAGAATTGACCACTGAGATGCGCGCAGGTGTTTGAGGAGATCCCGAGGCATGAGCACTGTGGCATAGCGAATGCACTGGCGGGCCTGGCTGGCCGCTGGCTGGCAGTGACCATGGGCCAGCTTGGGCAGGGAGGAGGGCATCACATAGCCAATCGCCACAAGTGCGCACCTCATCTTTGTCTCAGGAGTCGGCCTGTGTACAATTGGCTAAACATCTATCAGATGTACACTTCCCCTTTTGTCGGACCTTGTTGGGCAATCCTTTGCAGCATCTTCATCCCATAACTGCTTTACCCTGCCACCCTAGCCCATTTCAGGGCCTTTCTCAATCGAATATTATAAACTTTATATAATATAAAGTTGGCAAGTTTAAGCCATTGCAGAGTGAGCAAGGATAAGGCCACGAGTTTGATTCCTGTTTCGCCTGCAATTTCTGAAGGCGCGGCTGGGCACCAGTGTTGCTACCAGGCATGGTGACCCTGCAAGGAAGGCTTTGGCCAAGTGGGAGTGCACAGGGACAGAACACTACTCATGGTCCCATGCCGCCTGCTGTTGCTGCTCAGGGAGGATTTTCTGAGCGAGTGGACGAAGCGGGGCCTGGTTTACCGGCCGGACCTGACGGCGTCCATAGCCAAGGACTGTTACATGTGCCAGCTGCACTACCTGCGCTACAACCTGCTCATCTTTGAGGTCCGCAGCCGTTTCCCCTGCAGCATGCATGCTTTTCCCAATGGTGAAATTAACTTTGGTCTGTATCATTTTGGTCCATCTGCGGAATCCAGGAGAGGTAGATGCATGCAAGCATGGGGTTGCATGTCATGCAAAGCTCCCTCTAAAATCTTATCTGATGGGGCTGACCAGCAATGGGTCATGCATCAACATGCGGAATTGCTTTATCGAAGCATCTGTAAAAGCATGGGAGTGCAAATGAGGGCCTGATTCATGGAATTTGCGCCCTTTCTTCACCCCTGAGACTGTGCAACCTCTGACAAGCCAAGCATGCATCTGAGCCGGGGGATCATTGTATCGAGGTCGCATAATGCATTTGTGAGGCAGCCCTTTCTTTGTGCATGCTGTTTTTCTCTAATTCTGGGATGCAGAGATACCGTTGTTGGTTGCATGCGCATGTCCAAGGTGTTCCTGGTGTGTCTGCAGGTTGACCCCAGCCGAGTGGTGCCCATAGATTGTGCCCTGGAGGGGCCGGCAGACTGGGCTCCCTACGAGGATTTTGAGGAGCAGCTGGTGCACCTGCCAAATGGCACCGCTGTTCCCTCCTCCAAACACCAGCATGACTACGGCGACTGGCAGTACGTGCTGCGCCTTAAAGCCGGCTAGGGGTGGTTGTTACTAATATTACACCCTTTCACTGCCAAAAGGCAAGGTACGTCCTGCAGGCAAGCTGCAGTCCAAGGCTGCCACAATGCTGCCCCTTGCTGGACTCGCCAGATCCAAGCAAGACCCCATCGGTCGTTGTAATACTGTTGCTTTATTAGTTGCTCTTGGGCTGGCTGAGGTTTGCAAGAGGCGGCTGGATGTCACCATCAGAGTTGAGACCGCTACAGACCATGTGACACCATGTGTGCTACCTGTGTGCAAACAGCTAGCGGTCAGTAGGTAGAGCATATAGGTAGCATACATTGTAGTAGTTGCACACATGTAAACTACTACTGGTAGTAGCGTGCATTTAACGGTGATTATATTGGTCGTAGTTGTGACTAGGAGTGACCACAAGAGTGGGCGGAAATCGAGATCTACTAAGTAGGTGGGAGGTAATTTAGTATTTTGGGTTGTAGATGGGTTGCACGTGCGGGAATGACGTGCAGAATACTACTCCCAGAATACTATATTATACCACCTTTATTAAAACCAAAATATTCAGCGGGAATACTTAATCAGGGATGTTTGAGTTGTCCCCTGTAGGGATTGACGTACGTTGTAGAGCAGGTGTGCGGCAATGTGCGGCTGGTCATACGCAGATTCTATCCTGCCCGGCAGGTGCAAACGTGCAGGACTAAACCTCGCAGTTCCCTCGGTAGCCCCCGTGCTTCCAATGCCAGAAGACTCCACCTTGAAATTGGCCAAGCCAGATATAGCATAGTTGAGAATGCCCCGCCATGCGTAGAACAACAAATGCTCCTGGCAGGAGTGCCTCTGGCGCGCAGTGGAAGCACAAGCTAAATTCTCTGATAAAGATTGCAGACGCTGTCCTTGGCATCTGCTGTGGCATTTTCAGGCCTGGTGTAACTGACATGCATGCAATGGTTGCCGTGATTGTATCCTGGGACAAGAGGCGCCTTGCGGTATAATTTACAAGCAAGCATTGCTCTGCAATGTTCTTCTCTGAATGAATATTAATTGCTGGCAGAATCAATGTGGCGGCTGCCTTCTGAACGATATCACTGGCATTGCAGGCCTAAACATATCAGCTGAGCATAACTGTCTGCATTTAGCAAAGCCGCTTGTGCGGCACAGGAATGACTTCATTGAAAGAAGATTTCCAGTTGAACTTGAAAATTCCCGCCTCGTCCAAAGTGCTCATGAGCAACACATGAGCGATGCTGCATGGCACATTGCATCACAGCTTTGCTCCTCCACTTTCCAGTCAAACTATCATGTCTGCATTACCACCCCGATAGAGCAGACTTGCTGTGGTGAACAACACAGTATGTGACCACCTCACGAGGAGTTGACTTTAATGGTCGTGGGCAGGACATCGAGTCGTACTTGATTGAAAGGAAGCTTCTGAAGTGCCCTTTGAACAGGGTCAATCCTGCCATAGAAGAGAAAACCATTACAGGCAGGGAACCGCTGTAAGCTCGCAACAAGGAGGTCACCATTCTTGGACATTTATTCTGCCAGAGGTGTCCGTCTTTGCCTTCATGCCTTCTGAGTTGGTAGTGAGCGTTTATTTACGTGATGGAGGGCGCCCGATCGCGGCTGCAGCGCCTCAGAGGCTGAGGTGCATGCGCATAGCTAGCTCGCAGAAAGTGATGCGCGCACAAGAGGCTGCTTATTTGCCAAAGCAGATGCCGACACAGAAGCCGCCGCGGTCGCCATTGTTCCACCTGCAGAAAAATAATCGTAATTATGATTATTACACGCTTTTCCTGCCAGAGGCAAGGTGCATATGCAGACCAGCTGGCTGCCATATATCCTACCCCTTGATCCACTGACCAGATCCAACCAAGACCCAATCAAATGTGGGCACGGTGCTCATTACACATACCGCCCCCGCCAGCCGGGGCAGAAATGGAAGACGGTGAACGAGCTGTTTCCTTTCCGAGAGGATACTTTGCATTCTTCTCGTGCCAACGGAGGTCTAAGGGGCTTATAAAAGGGCGCGGCATGGTTATTGGAAATAAAGCAACATTTTGCAAGTTACAGGCAGAAGCTGGGATTTGCTGGGTGTTTGGCAAGCACAAGTCTGCTACAGAGAAAGGAAGCTCAAAGGTGATCTGCAGCACACTCACCAGCGGTTGCCGTCCCAGTAGCGCCCATCACAGCCCCAGCGGTCTGCAGTCCACAATACTAGTTTGTCAGTCCTTTGGACCTTGAGCATTCTCATCGAAAACGTTGCTGACCAGCTAGAACACCATCTGGTAGTGGGAGATTACAGAATCGTGACAGCTTCCAGGGGCACAAAAGCCAATTAGAAGGCGCCACTATGCGGCAATGTCATGGCCAGCAGGGCTCAGGGCCGTTGTGTGAAAAGGGCTGCTACAGGTGCTGTGCGCAGATGTGACTAGCTTACTCACAGTTGTTGCACCAGTAGTCGCCGCGGCATCCGTTGTTTCTCCAGCCGTTCCAGCCTGCATATACGTTGTGTTCTCCCTCACGACTGATCATCCTTCCTATCTTTCTTCTTCCCAGCTGAACGTCACGAAGGGTTTACGCGACATCTTGCATATTGGGTTCCATCCATACCAGAACTTAAACCAAGATGCATCCCTGATACAATGTATTAATTCTTAATATGTAGTTCTTCACAGATCATGCCTGGCGAGTTCTTTAGGCAGCTGCTTTTGCTGCGTCGGACGGGATGGGCATGGCAGACACCCTGACAAGGCAGTCCTTACAGAGAGAGAAAAAGGCGAAGACCCATGAACTCTTGTTTTGATTTTGTACAAGTATCCTCACCATTGTAGCAGCTGTCATAGTCGAGTAGGGTCCGAGCTTCGCTGGTCACTGCCAGAAATACGAGCATGACGAGCGCCAGCAGGGCGATCTTCATGACGCTGAGCATCATTGCTGCTAGTGTGATGGGTCAGCACTTTACGTCTCCACAAGCGCCAATGGAGTCACCAAGGATTGGCCAATGCTCTTCTTTACTCACAAAGATCCTACATTCCGGAAGGGGAAGCTTCTCTAGAAGTTGCAGGACACCGTCGAACCGACTCCAATTTGTAAGATGAGGGTTTGAGAAGTTGCACTGCCAAGAGGTAAACAGCCTGTGTATGCTGCTGTGTGCGATCTCAGCACTGCATGTCCAGGCAGACAACGTGGAGATTTGGTAGATGCCACTTGCTAGCGCTTCGAATAGCATCCCCGGCAGGTCTAGAAGCTCTTCAAATTTAAAGTTCCGCGGATTGAGTCATGAACATCAAAATTCACAAAAGCCCGTGCAATGCGCAAAAGGGTGATGTCACCGACGGGATCCAGGATCCTGGGTATCTGCTTGTTGGATGCATGCATATGGACGCATCATGCTAGCCGCATATGGCGTGCCAGCGCTGGCTAGCCTAAAGATCTGCAATCCATTCATGCACAGCTGCTGCCGGCGCACTGACTCAGAAAATGACCTCGGAGGAAATCCTGCAGGTCAACAAAGCATCAGCCGTCCTCGTCTCAAGGGAGTCATGTTCCCCTGCGATTGGCAGGCAGCTGAAGGCATTATGCAAGATCTCACCATGCATTAACTGACTTGTAGCCTGCTAGGAGTCCTACCCTAGTTCAACCCTAAACATGGAGTTTTACAGCAGCACGCCTAGTGCTAGATCACCAGCGAAAAGTCAACCATGCACTGCCATCACCATGATGACCATTGTACTTTGATGTTTGCCATTCTTCTGCAGCTGCCATGAATTTATCAGATTCTACTCAAGATTCTGCTGGCACAATTGTTTGCAGACTCATACTCAGCTCATACTGCAGTGATAAGTTCTCAAAAGTTTGGCAGAGTATCTGCAACAGGCTCCGAGTGAGTCACAGAATGAGTCAGGTCTGACTGTCATCCGCAAGTTGCTGTCAGGACATGCTACAGCGTGGAGTCGCACGTCAGCCTAAGTGATCCATGTTGGACAGCGTCCTAGGGACAAGCATCACCAAGTGCAACTGCTCACTCTTTCTTGGCTGCCAGTGTTCTAAAACATGGGCACAAAAGCTCTATTACAATATTCAAGTGGTTCTGGCACGCATGCAATGCTCATTCGCCCTCTGTTCCAATCATCACTGCACCGACACGCAATCACAGTGCCTGGTCAATGTTGCTCTGCATATCAGTAGTCAGCATTCCGTCACAACCGGAAGCAGCTGTGCTGTCCAAAAGCGCGTCAGCCGGTCATTGCTGATCGCCTCTCAGAATCAACTGGGATAAGTCAGCGATGAGCTCATCCGGGGCAGCCAGGACCCGCGCAGAAGCCGCCACGCTCACCCACACCCCACCTGCGCAGAACTACCTCCTCAGCACTCCCTCTTTTGTAAGGAGTATGGCAGTGGCTATTTCAGTGTACGGCAGTCGCTAGCACTAGTGCTGATGAGATCAGCCTGAGAGCTCATCAAGCAGGAGGACTAGCGCGAATAGAGGGTCAAACATGTACAAGTTGAACTGTCTTCTCCGTGCAGCTAGTCAAGGCAGAAGTGTTTTCTCACCAGCGCCTGCCATCCCAGTAGCGGCCAGAGCACTCGTAGACGTCTGCAGGCACAGAAAACGGGGTCGGAAATCCAGGAGACGACCGTGTGATTGCAGCTGTTGGAATGCCCAGCAAAGCGATGTGGTCTTAAAAGATCAATTCAGTGCAGCACTCAAACAAAGCCTGCTCAGGACGTTCGGCAAGCTAGTGCGCTTGAGAAATCGCAACATTTCCCAAGCAGCTGAGGGACTTACAGCCGTTGCACGTGTACGCCCCGCGGCATCCACCAGCCTTCCAAACGGCCCAACCTGTCAGCATATTCAGGGAAGCTCAGCTGATGTCCCGTCAGCTTGGAATCTTGCTGTTCTCATGTTAGAGTCCGTAGACAAGCAGCAATAGAGTTTGAATGCTGTTGCTAGCCTTCCCGGGCAACAACCGAACGCCACACACAAGCTAGCTTGCCTTTGGGTGGGAAGCTAATCTTCATTTCTTCAACGCATGATACTGGCCTATTTCGCTTTGCAAAGTGCAATCTGCTGCGTCAGCCAGGCCAGGCCGCATTTAGAGCATGAAGTCAATTTTTTTGCCTTAGTGTTGTAACGCGAAGCCTATTCTGTAGACCGTAAAGTTTTGCGTAGGATTCTCACCGTTGTAACAATCGTCGTAGGCGTCAAGCAGAACTCGGGCTGCGTTCGCCATGGCGAACATCGCAACCAAGACGAGCGCCAGAGCGGCAATCTTCGTGTACTTGCCCATACCTGATGAAAATCTGATCAAAGTGTGACAGAAAAGAATTTTTTGTCCTCAAAGTGCGTGTTTCAGCTCTTATAATGACGACCTGTCAGAGAAAGATCATATCATCCCAGATTATGCAGCATGTGGTAATGACGTATCTGCCAAAGGAGGCTTCAGCTCTGAACAGTCATTCGTCTTCCATGGTCACTCATGTGCATGGCACACATGGAATGACCAGTACAAGGCCCTCATACTGGTCTGCTTCATCTGTTTATCTAGTCATTAGTTTCATTCCATATCCCAAGTACTCATGGCCAAAGTCATCTAATTTGCTACCAGTGGTCAGTGAATGAGGACCAACGATACAGCATTGCTCCGAGCGAGTCGCACATGTCACACCTGAAACTCCTTCCACTTTCTTGCAGAAATCCTGTTCAGTACTTGAGGGACCTCATGAAGGCATCCAGCGTCTCAACGGAGGCGCCTCCCGCAAAGACACCGCCGAGTGCAGTGGCCTTGCTTCCTGCCTGCTGCTGCGCGCAGGTGCTTGCCGCCAAGGCAGCTCCCCCGCCGCTTATCCTGGCCTGTAAGCCCCTGAAGTCTGTTGGAGCTGCATCCTTGGCTGCATCCTGTGCAGCTGCTGCTGCTGGTTTGTCTGCTGCTGTCACCTGTTTTGTAGGTCCAGCCTTGGCTGTTGGCGCTGAGGAGGGCTCCTCAAAGGCGTCCTGATTAAGCACTGCATCCATGCTCTCCTCCGTGCGCCAGATGCCGCGCTCCTGGAAGCTGCGCGCGTCTTCCCTCCCCTGCCGCACGGCCGCCGCGGCGGCGGCCGCGCCGGTATCTCGAAACGTGCTGGCGGCGGCCGCGGGTAAGTCATCATGGCGACTAATCCCACTCAATCCGTTTGAAAGCCAGCCGTCCGCCGCGAGCCGCAGCGGGATCGGCGACAGCGCGCCCGCTGCGCCGCTTCCCGGCAGCTGCCCTGAAGCTTCTCCTGGCGACGCGCCGCGCGAGAAGCCATCCACCGTCGGCATCGCGTCCAGAAACGATAGATTGCTGAATGCGGGCGGAGGAATCGCTGCATCGGATTTTGCACTCCCTCTGAAGGAGAACGCTGTCTCTCGAAGGATATCCACAGGAAAGCCGTCCAGTGTGCTGATTGGATTGCCAAAGAAGCAGACGCTGCGCTCTCGGCTTGCCGGCTGCGTTGTGGCCGTAGCACTGTTTTGGTTTCCTTGCTGCGCGCTTTGCCCCTTCTCGCCCGGCGGCGGTGTGTTTGTAGAGACGTTCCCTCCCGCTGATGTCTGCGCGTCCGGCCCCTGTGGCTGCAAGCGTGCCCCAAAGGATGACAAGCCGCCGGTTGCATGCCGCAGAATATCGCCAGGAAAGCCGGCCAGCGTGCTGATTGGATTGCTAAAGAAGCCATTGGTGCCCTCTCGGCTGGCTAGCTGCGGTGCGGGCGTGGCCACGTCTGCACTGCCCCTTCCGTTCCGCTGTGCCTCCGCTGCCTGCTGCACTGGTGGCGACTCTGAAGGAGCTTCTCCTCCCGACAGCGCCGGCTGCGCGGCAGGCTGCGGCGGCTGCGCGGTCTTTGCGGCGAGGATGTGCGCCGGGAAGCCGTCCAGGGTGCTCATCGGGTCTGCCAGGAAGGCGCTCAGCTTGGGAGTGGCCCTTGCCTCAGCGCTCAATCTCCTCTGACCTCTTCTCTGCAACTCTCCTCCTGCTGATCCGCCCTCAGCTGGCGAGCTCCCCGGCGGCGGAGCAAACAACTCGTCGCGCATTGTCGCAGCCGCCGCCGCATCAGGCCCTGCACTGACCGCCCCGGATGCTTCCCTCTGATGCTCCATCCGCTGTGCCTGTGAGGGGCCCGCATGCGGCTGCGCCTGCGGCAGCTGCTCTGGGGCGGTAGAATGCAGTGCCGTGGCTGCAGTGAACGCCGTCGGCTCCAGACTCAGCCGACGGCGAGCCTTCTGGGCGCTTGCCTGTACAGGCGGCTGTGGCGGCAGCTCCCGCGCAGCTGCCGGCGCGGCCTGATCAGGCTCCTGAGTGGAGGGGCATCCTTCCTGCTGGCTTCCTGGTTGCGCGTGATCTGGCTCTGTCAGAGAAGCATCTGCAGGTGGCTGCTCGAGAGGGCCGCCATCATGTGCCTCTGCAAGCTGCATGTCATCTGGCACTGCTACATGCACGTCATCCGCATGGTCGCTGCCTTGCGCATCCTGTCAGCAAAATACCGCAAGCAGCTCAGCTAGGGCCAAATCTGACTTCTGCAACAGGTAAAAAAGGTCGAAGATTCCTGTGCGCATACATCACGTGGAATTCTGATAAACTCTCATTCATGGGCCGCCATCGGATGAGGGCACTTCAAGATCGCTTGCCCTCAGTTGGTCAGTCAGATCATGAAAGGGGTGTCAAAGTTCCATATGAAATATGCCGCAGGAAGTTTCCACATCCAGCAAGCAGCCTGGGAGAGAGCCCATCTTGCGCCCAAATAAGCAAACAGAAAAGGTCACAAAGATTTCCCATTAGGGAGGGCAGACCTGAGAGGGGGCCACGATGGGTTCCAGCAGTGCAGCCATGCCAGGGTCCCCAGTCAGCGACTCCATCCACGTGTTCATCTCCGCCTCATCATACATCGGCAGCCCGGCCGCCGCCTCCTGTGAAGGTACAAACTTTAAGTAAAAACCTGCCCCGATGTCAGCTAAATGCCGATTTGGTGACCTTGGGCAGCGTGAGGGACATGAAAGCTGCACACATTGCTGAAGTGTCTCGAAGCTCCCAGTGGAGTGGATGTGTCTGTAGAAGACTTGATGAGTGCGGCAGAGCCCTTGTGCAGAACATAAGGGGTCATCTCTAATAAAAGAATGCTGCACAGCCATCATGTGCTGCTGCGTCCAGATTTTTGGTGCTCTATAAGCTGAGAGGATATTGGCCCCAGCTGACGGGGGGCAGTACAATACTGAGCACCGTGCCCACAAAATGATTGGGTCTTGCTTGGATCTGGCGAGTCCATCAAGGGGTAGGATGGTGGCAGCCTTTACCTGCAGCTTGTCTGCAGGACGCACCTTGCCTCTTGGCAGGAAAAGCGTGTAATAAAATAATAATATTAATATTAATAAGAGGACTAGGGACACTTCGGCACCTGTGCAGCGAGCTGTTCGAGCTCCTGCTGCTGCTGCGGCCCCAGGCGGCCGTTGATGCAACTCGCCAGACCCTCTGCAAAGCGCCCCTGCACACAGCATTGCCCCTCATTTGAGACCCCTGCCATCACATGCATCTTGCGGTATATTCCCACTCGATGTTAACAAATTGCAGACACATCAGAAGTTTGTGATGTGAAGATGGACAGTGACAGACTGCCCACAAGACCAATGAGCCTTGAGTGGCTCCCAAAAGGTCTCCAGAATAAAATAAACAAGTTTTCTCAAAGCGCAATCTTACAGCACATTCCCGCTCCACTGTTTCCTGCAATATACTTATTGCATCCCTTGGCAGGTTGTTCTGCTGGCGACAAAATCCTTCACGCACATAGCTCCGCTGTCAACCAAGTTCTGTGGCAATTTCACTGTGTCAGGTGCTTTGTTCAAGTCAGTCTGGAGTATGGGATTGGTGGCTGTAGATCAAGGAACCCACCTGCCACTCTCCGGCCAGCAGGCTTTCCAGGGCGCGCTCGTTGATGGGCAGGTTCAGCAGATCCATCATGCTCGCACCATATCCATCACCTGCCGCAGAATACACAGACATTTGCTGTCTCCCCGTGCAAAAAGTGAACTTTAATAAGCCATTTAACCGGATGCCAGTGGGCTCTACGCACAGCATACACTGCATTATCAAGGGTACTTTGCAAAGGGCAAGCAGCCATGCTATTTTCTGATGATGATACAGATGTTGTATTGATAGGCAAGGCTAACAGCTGAAAAAAGCTGGAGGTCATATAGATCCTACCAGCTTGATCCAGCTGCGCCGCAGCTTCCCCGGCAGCTGCCGCCTTCTTGCGCTTCCTGGGCGCGCGCTTGCGCAGCGTCTTGCGCGGGCTGATGCTATTATGCGCATCCCCCGGCTGCGCGTCATTAAAATCCCCGCCAAACCCTGCATCCTCCGATCCCCCGTACATCGCATCCTGTGGGGGCTCAAAGGGTTCTGCGCTGCCGCCTTGCGACTCTTTCGCTGTGCTCTGACGCTGCCTCTTCCTCTGCTGTCCTGCTGGTGCTGGTGTGGCTCCCGGCTGCTGCTGTTGACCACAGCAAACAGTGAGGGTATGAACATGATTTATGGATGTTACTTGTAATATTCTTTTCTACCTTGATTCTGCTGGGTCCCCATAGAAAGTGCTGGGTTTTAATTAGAGAAGGTCCTCGAGACACTGCCCCTCAAAACTGCCCCTACAAATGGTCTCTTCCATGGGAATGCCCTCTTCGACCTCCATACTTGCGGCATGTGCTAATTTTGTGTTCTGACATTTTTTATGGACAGCAGGAAGAGCGCTCATAGCAATACACTCATTTGGATGCTGGAGCGCGAGTTTGATGAGCTCGTACCCGCAGTGTATGATCCTGCAGGGCTGCTGCTTGTGAAACAGCAGCAGCATGGGATTCGATGACATGGAACACATCCCGGAGCGCTGCATTGCTGGCCAGGAGTTGCTCCCTCTGCAGATGGGCCTCCTTCAAGGCCACATACTCCGAGATGATCTCTCCCAAAGGCTTGAGCCCTCGGGGCAGCTGGCCCACACGTTGTAGGAGCTGCTTCGCCTCTCTGCAGGCACAGGCACAAGCTGTGATGAAAGCTGATTAATGGTTGCTGTATGCTCTGAAACTCCAGAGAAGTCCACAGAGAAAAGACACTAAAAGGCTCTTAGAGGCATCCAGGATGGAGTGTGCATCCCCACACCGACGAATAGTGATACACACGACATGGCGAGAGGAGGACTTGTATTTAGAACATTTGTGGTGCCAGCAATCCACTGAGAAGCAAGACTCATCCAGAACTGAAATGCTTTTCCGCAGGAACATCCTTACCGTTTAAAGGACTTGGTAGTCTTGGTGAATTCTGAGTCTGTCAGATACTGCAGGACAAAGGCAGCTGTTTCACGTGCACTGGCATCTTCTCGTGCGTCCATCAGACTGTCCAAGACGGCACAAGCATTATTTCAGGACAGTTATACGTGCAAGATGGTGAACAGTTACGTCCTGCACAAAAATGAGATGTGTCTCCCAAGCACGGCATTTGTTTCACACCACATATATTTCACATAAGGTGTCACGATTTCATTTTTCTTGCTCGAAATCAACTTCCGACGTAACAAAGATTTTGGAGCCCATGCATGTCTATCAATTTCTCGACCCTCGGAACCTCAGTCTTCTTTTGTGATGGTTGCTGGTGGTGAAAAGCAAGGCATGTAATCAGAACGGACTTAAAATTATATATTATAGCTCGACGAAGAGATTCAGAGGGTCCGAGATCATTCTCCTGCCTTTTGAGACAACCCAGATGTGTATATTTTCCCAGAAGGACGCCATACAGTCGTGTCTCACATGCCTAGATACATTTTTTAGAAGTGAAGGCTGCCTAACATTCATACGGTGAACCATCTCGTGCACTTCCATCGTCCACGGGTGGAGGTCCCGAATCCAGTGCTTGAGCATCGGCCCTCTTGGACTGGTCTGTGTTTAACTCAGCAGACCGAAATGGGCGTAATATTGCCAAAGGAGGCCTTCCAAAGGTGACAGAAAGAGCAGTAAGGGCGTGACGATCGCTCAGCAGCAGAAAGGAGTGGCCATGTCTGGGCATCACTTCCTGCCTCCTGTGGCTGACACACTCCTGCTTCAATTCAAGACCATAGCGAAAGGACGCGTGGATCTCGCGAGTCCGCAGGCAAGCCTTTTCTTCTCTCCAATACACCTTCCAGCTCCAGGCACTTTGGTCATCTACCCATGCCCTGTCAGACCACTCTCCACACAGAGCTCTCCCCATTGGCAGCCTGTAACCTGGCTGTCCCTGCAGCAAATCCGTCATCTGACACCCTTAATACTGCATGCAGGATCGCGGAGAAGTGGCGCCCGATCCTGTGTATGGCAAAGTATTGGCAGGGCTCCATCTGGTGTCACGCTATGCTGCCATCCCTCTCTTGGACTCGCTGCTGACATGGCGCAAGGAGTCTCTCAAAGCCGCCGCCAGAGCTCCTGAGCTGGTAGTTCTGCGTAAGCGGGTGCGCAGTTTCCCAGCATCAGGCAATATGTCGCGCATTCACCTCGAGATCATACATATGCAACTTGTCCTTGACATGCATGAAAGCCTGATCCTACCTTGCTTTACCCCCCTTGTTCACAGCTGCATTAAAGGAGGCTGTTGCGCAGTTCATTATGGCACATTATTGACAAATCGGTTCTCACAGTGTTGTTACACATGTGAGGCACTGAGGCGCGAGGCGCACATGTGAGGCGCTGAAAAATGACATGCATGACTGCAGCTTGCTGTGGAGGCAGTGTTTCTGGAGGCAACGCTGCAGCTAGTGGCGCCAGAGAGCAGCCCTCTATCAGACGGCCAGGCTAATGCAGTGGAGATCCTGGTCTTTGACTGGGTGCTGCATGCTGAGAAGTTTGTGGACTCCAAGCACTCTGAGCTCCTGAAGGCCAGGGAGCGGGTAGGCCTCTGACCTCGCTCAGATCTGGCTACGTACATATACTCCTTTAGAAAATGCTGCATGCATGCGCGCGCCGATAAACGTCATGCGCTGCAAGCAGCAATTGATATCAGCAGTGCCCTGAAGCGAAGGCAATCTCAAACAGAAGACCACTGGCTGAGCGCATGTATCACACAGCATGTGTTAGAACACCTGATGTGCATCTTAATGAGTGTTGTGGCCCTGTTCTCAGTAAGAAATGTTGCTCGCAGGTGACGAAGCTGTGTGCTGAGATCATCGGGGCACTGTCTCGCACGCGCCTTGTGGCCATCAGCAATCGCTTCTTCAAGGTACATCCCAGCTTTATGAGGCAAAATTTGAAGAATCGCACACTCTGCTGACCTGCAAATTTTGCTAATTCAGTGATGCAGCAGATTTTGTGCTGCTGATCACAGCAATACTCATGGCTGACTCATCAACTGCACTTCCAGCATTGCATGTGGAAGTCTCTGCCATGTTCAATGACAGCAGCAGCCTGCAACTGTCAATCCTGTATTTGAATGTCTCAGCAGGCTGACGGAGTCAGTAGCTCTCTCTGGTCAACGTGCGTCCAAAGGATGACACATGTATGACAAATGTGACCTAATCATTGACTGTTGTGGGGCAGGAGCTGGAGCAGCGGCTGCGGGTGGATGCCAGCTCAGCGCGGCAGGAGATCCTGCAGATGTGCGAGGGCATGCACTGCATCCGCCTGCCCACCTCCACCGACACAGAGGTGACTCACCCAGCAATCCAAGATTATCATACCCCTTTTGGCTTCTTGATGCTGACAGTCCACTTGCTAGTGACAGATCCCAGATGGGCTGCTGTTTCTATGAGGAGATGCCCATCCCAACCCTGGCGATATGGAAGCAAATTTCTTATCTTCAGGAGCGTAAATGAGCTTCAGAGCCATTCATTACGATGGCCACCTTATTGTGCTCCCATAGCGACGCCTGGGGTTTCCAGCAAATCATGGGAGTGCTTTACCTATCTTGGCCTGTGATGCCTTACGGAAGGGTCATGCCACTCACTTAGAGAGCTCATGCCCGTGGGTTGAATATTTGCAGCGTATTACATCATGGTGACTGGCGCAGGTGTCAGCGGCGACTGATTTCCTGACCCGGATGCACCCGCTGCGCCACGTGGCGCCAGTGCGCAAGAGCCAGGTGCAGCACGCCATCTGCGAGCTCCTCTGCGCCATCCTCAAGCCCAACGCTGTGGAGGACCGCCCCAGGTGAGACACGAGAGAACGACCGCCCCAGTTGTGGTTTTAGAGGATTGTTTCTGTCTCCTGGAGCATGCAAACTGGATGGTTGTGGTATTAAAAGTGTGTCAGGATCTTGCTCAGTTGAATGAACACATATGTACTATATCAGGGCACCGGCGCTAATATTAAAGTGAGACAAGGAATGGCAAAAGGACCTGCTCTAGTAAAGAGCGGTCTGTAGGGAGGAGATACGGATGCTGGAATAGTCGAAATTTGCTGGCTGCCGCTGCATCGAAGTGTCTTGCTTGCTGACTGCTCTGATTCCTGTGTCTACTACCAATTTGCAGATCATCAACCTGGTCCTTCGGGGAAACAAATGCGCTGTCATGCCCGTCTGAATTACAACTGCAATACACTCGAGCTTCAGACATAACCGATGCAGCTGCGTCTACATAAAACCTACAGGCATCAACTTCGGCTCTGGGTCGACAACTGAGCCGTCATGCCCGTGTGAATCACAAATGCATCACTCACATTTCTGAAGAAACCGACCTCTCTGCTCGCTGTGCAGGAGCCTGGCGGGGCGACTGGACCCAAAAGTGCTGAGCGTGTGGCATGCTACGCTGGTGAACATGCGCTCGGAGATTGCCAGCTGGACGGCGCGCGCCAGCAAGCATGCCGGTGTCGGCTACCCGTTAGTCACGGTGCTGCTGTGCCTGGAGGATGCGCCCAGCTTTGGGCAGTTTGTGGATACCCTTGTGGACAACCTGCACCGCCAGCTCAAGGCGCGCTCCAGTCTCTCAGCACTTGATAGAGGGCAGCCAAGATGCAGTGCACTACCTGCTAGAGCACCTGAAGAGAGACTCCGTCTTTTTCTTGCTTGGTACCCGGTTTGAGCTGAAGTGATCATGGGGTAAAATTGGCACACTTGCAAGTGCTGGATGGCAAGGCTTGTTGGTAACTGTGGTCCCCTCGTTGAGAAGCCCAGTTGGTCCTTATAGCATGGGTAAGTTGCTGCAGGCAATGGCAGCCAGATGATAGGCAAAGCCCTGAATTCGCAAGGCAAGCCTGCACAATTTGCTGCAAATTCTGAAGACGTTATCTCCCAGCATCTTGTTGCTTGCGTCACTTGTGAGTCATCTCCAGCAGGGTGAAACGTGGCACATGCCACACGCAGCCCCAACTTTCCTTTGCAGGTAAAAACTCTTTCATCTTGTAGCCTTCATGCAAAGGATCAGCGACCTTCAAACAGCCACTTGTGACTCCCACTGACTGACTGTATATTGCGCGCAGGACAAGCTGCTGCGCACGCTGATCCTGGACTGCCTCAGCCTGACGGTGCGCACCTACCTGCGCCACCAGCCGGCCGAGCGCGCCGCCGGTGGCGGCCGCGGCCGCATGGACGCGTGGCTTGCGCGAACCACCAAACCCATCATGGTCAATGTGCGCAAGGGCAACTTCCAGTTTCCCGAGCAGCAGGTGGGCATTCCAAATGCCGTTACAAAATCTTTGGGATTATCATCACATACGCAGCTTTCAGGACAAATACATCCTGTACCCTGAGCAGCACATGGGGGTTCATTAACGTATGGTGTACATGCCCTGCGTAAATCCTGGGGCTTGGTTTAAGGAGACACATGCCATTGCCAAAGGAAGGAAAGTTGGCGCTTTGTGGCCATGCCTGCACAGATCAGCTTTTCCTCTGGCTGGGTTTGCTAATCTGCACTGGATATTGCAGGGATACATAATCCCTGCTTGCTCTGGAAATGCTTCTCGGTCCTGCTCTCAAACTGTAGGATATGGGCATCTGCTGTTCTTTCATTCATGCGGTCCTCAGTATATGTACAGACATGGGCAACTGAACTGTCTGTCCCTATGGGAGGAGTGCCTCAATCACAGGGGCAACTCTCGTCATGTGGCGTACTCATATTCCGCACCCAATTTACTCTTCACTAAAGCATGATGCACATGCACGTGAAGCATGTCTGTATGCAAGAGTGTCTGAAGATTGTACGCACACAGGACCTGGTGCGGGAGATCTGCTGCATAGTGGCGGACGCGGCGCCCGAGTTTGGCATCGGTGTGCTCATCATGGACCTGCTGAACGTGGACGCCTCTAGCTGGGATGCTCTGATGATCGGGCTGCGCGCGCTGCTGTGCGTGCTGCTCGCTGTGCCCTCACGCAAGGCCGGGCAAGTCTTCATCACAGAGGTGCGCCGATTTGCTGGTTGCTGAGGAGCAAACTTGGCCAGTTCGGCTCCCTCTGCTATGGGCTCAAATATTTCAGCAAGGCCAGGAGGAGGGGGCTGTATTGCTGGCGCCCTTTTCTTCAAGTTTGTAGCTGAGATTGTGAGCTTAGATGGGCGCTCACATACTTGTACAAAACTCTACAATGCCTACGAAGGTCTTCATCATGCTGAATTCTTCTCTGTGTCCCACCTTGAAATGTCGACGCGAGCTGGGGCCCAAAGGGGAATTCACCATCAGATGACGACCTCTCGCAGTCTTTTAAAGTGAGCAATTTCAAAAGTAGGCAAATCCGTATGTGTGTGTGTGCAGCATGAGCCCTGGACCAGGCAGGGCTCCTATTCAGGCGACCTGCTGGCAGCCGTGCGCCAGGGGGAGCACCCGATGGTTGCTTATGGGACGCCAGATCTGGCAAAGCCCCTGGCCAGAAGCCTCAGCCGCATACTCATCAATTGTCACACCCTCTTTGGCAGCTACCGCCTGTTCAACCCCGGCAGGTGGGTGGCCCCTCACATTCATAAAGTATCTGATATATTCTGTAATGCACAGGACATTTCAGGTATATGCTCAGCTTCGTGCCTGTATAAGCACTTCATAAGAGTGCAAATTTGCCCACTTGAGCATTTGACAGACGTCCGCCTGTGCAAAGATATATATCTTCTTGTCCATCAGATGTGACAGGATGCTTGTGTAGTCTGCAGCAAATGAATACCAGAATGTGCACGTATCGAAATCTTTGAGACAATTCTTGCTTGGGCCAATTAGGACTCTGACAGAGGCGGTGCCCAAGGAGCGGGCGGCCGGGCTGCCGGTGTTTGCCGTGGCGTTGCGCTGCGTTCCCTACATCGTCCCCGAGCACTGGGAAGGCTACAAGCTCGCTGACGAGCTGCCAGGTGACTCATTGCGCCCGTTGTGTTTTGCTTTATCAGATAGTAATTGAGGATCTTCAAGTGTTCTCTATAGTCAACGTGCTGTGTCATATTGGATACTGTGAGTCCGCTCTGAATTATGTGATGCAGAAAGCATGTGAAGACTTGGGATTATGATGGAAACACCAATCTCCATGTACAGGCAGACTTGTATGCCTCAGAGGGTGTGATCTAATGTGTGATCTACATTTGTGCTTTGCAAGCTGATCATGCAATGAGAAGGCATGCTGAGCATGCAACGCCTGCGAGAAGAATATGAACATTTTAAGGTCTTCATGGCAGATTTATTATGGCTACATAATCAAGCCTGCCCAATATCATGAGTGCTGATAGATGATGAGTATATAATCATAAGATGACAATGACGTGCGCCTGAACAGGCTACACCATCCACGCGGACCCGGCGGTGCAGCAGGCGGCGGCGGATGTGCTGAGGCGTTCCATGCGCGCGCGGCCCAAGCTGCGCAACTCCCTCTTGCTCAGCATGGCCGCCTTTGCTTCGCGCCTCCCAGAAGATTACCCGGAGGTCCGTTGCATATACCAAGTTGTTTCAAGTATGCCTCGGACCATAAGGCCTGTGAAAAATTCCCAAGTGGTGCAACGTAATTTGCGACATGCGAAGCATGGATGGTTGAAGACACTGCTTGGTTTGGTCCGTGGGCCACCCATTCAGTTTCGGTTTAGAGTCACCCAGAACAGTAAAATTGACGTTTAAGCCAGGAATTCTATGGCATGAACAACTGCTGCTAGCGACCTGGCAGAGGCACCCACAAGTCCCCGGTCCCAGGCTTGAGGAAAGCATGTACCAAGATCAGCTACTTGTTGGCCTGCTGTCGGCAAGCTAGCAGCATGAGTTGCTGCAATACAACCTTTTGGTCTCTGGAGGCTACAATTGGTTAAAAGAAGCCCAGGCACCCCACAACAGACCAGGGTCATAGGCAAGCATGACTTGTTGCAGGTGCTGCGCGCTGCGATCCTGCTCCTTAATGCGCGAGCCATTAAGACCTCACATGAACTGCCAGGCTCCAGAGAAAGCCTGGAAGTTGTTGCGTTATCAAAATTTTGGCATGCAGGCGCTGCGCGCTGCAATTTTGCTGTTGGACGCGCTGGTGCATGAGTGGCTGGAGATCCTGGAGGAGGAGGGAAGCGTTCCCTCTTCCTTGGGGGGTCCCCCCGGGTCCCCTCCTCCTGCCCCTGATCTGGCGCGCCTGGAAGGCTTTGCCGTCTGCTTCCTGTGCTCCACAGACCCGGACGTCCGCCGCTCCTCCTGGAACCTGCTGTCCTCCGTGCGACGCCTGCACAGCAGCCTCACATCAGCAGGTAAGATAGCAGACAGGAAGCTATATTGCAGACATTTTTTGCTGTATAGTACTCTTACTATTACACGTCTTCTTTGCCAATGGCATTGGCAATGGCAAGATGCGTCTGCAGACAAGCTGCAATTAAAGGCTACCAATATTGTACCCCTTGTTGGACATGCAAGACCAAGCAAGACCCAATCGGTCATGGGCATGTTGGTCAGCATTTCTGTCCTTGCGCCAGCCACGCCGCGTATAGGCGGGATAAGGATTGCTTGTGGGGAAGTCATGATTGCTTGTGCAGTCTCAACATAGCATTTCATGTGGAGGCACTGGTGCATTGAAGTCCTGGCTGCTCAACACTAGTTTTAGAAAGTTCTGCGCTGATCGTTTCCACAGCATGAGCAGGATGAACCATCATGCAAGCTAGCCCTACTGAGCATGAGTGTGAGCATGAGCTGCCTGCTGTGGCGGCATCGTACCAAAGCCGTGCAGGTTCCATATCTGCTGTTTTGCCTTTCAGGCGACGAGTCGACAGTGTACATGATGGACATCCTGGAGGAGGCGGGCCCGGATATCGCGCGTCGCTGCTACTGGGACTTTGGCAAATGGTCCGACCTCTGGCGCGTGTGGCGGCCCATCGGTGCCGAGCGGCCATCCCGGGACGCAGCCGTCGGCCTTCCTGTGAGCACCTCGCAGCCCCCTGCTGATTCATTTCTAGCTGGCCCTTGATGGGATCTGCAGCCCCATCCGTGGAAGAGATGCGGAGGTGGGCGTATGGAAATTTGTGTGACCTTTTTTTTGCATTTCCACAGATGGGGCTGCTGATGGGAATTGCAGATAGCAATGGCCATCACCATCAGGCTCACGATGAGCCCCTCTGCCCAAGTGCATCTGCTTTGTTATACCTTGTGTGATTGTTTGCGAAGGAAGGGACTTGATGATGGTTTCCATCGCCGTCATTCATATCTGAGAGTTTCTGAAAGACAAGAGGATTGTGAAGATAGAGGCATCCACAAAATTGGACTTGAACGGAAGACTGGAAGAAGCTAACGACTCTTGGGTGTCTCACAGCAGGACCAATGTCATTCCTTGGTAGGCCTGCATGCATGCTCATAGCCAGCGTCTAATTACGTCGGACGCGGCTGCAGGAGCTGATGCGGCGGGCACTGATGTACGAGGACTCGGTGCGGTGGGCGCGCTGTCTGGCAGAAGTCATGCGCACTGCCTCAGTCATGTGCCCTGCATCACCACGGGCAGCCTACACAGAAATCGTCAGCCGCCTGCAGGTGAGCAGTATTCTGCATCGTACTCTTCTCCCCTTCTCCTTTTCTGACTGAGATTGGTTCTCTCTACTAGCATGGCGTTGTTGTCTATCTTGCTGGCGCTAAGCGTTTCAAACGGATTGATGTGGCGACATCCAGAAGGCATGCATGACATCTTTCGAGCTTTCCATTGCAGACTCTTCGCCACAGCTCACGTGCTGGACTCTGATGTGCTCTGCTTTGTTCTTTCATGAGCCATTGAGCTGGCCGTGCTCAACTGGCATTTGTGGATGTGGATATCTCCACAGGAAAACGTCCCTGTACCTCAATTTCGTTCTTCAATTGGCGCTGTGTGACCCCAGTTCACCACCCTGGATTATTCCACCAATATCTACAGTTCCCTTCAAAAGTTGTTGATTGTGCGTGTTTGATTTCTTCACGCAATGATGTACCTTGACAGCTCAGCGCCTTCTATTGAGCCTCATCCACTGTACTTCTACATGTGTCTGAGCATGCATGTGTCGCTGCATGGAACAGATTTTGCAAGATCTGGTCATGTATCGTGAGCACACATTTCCCATCACTGCTTCAGGCGATGATGTACCGCGACAGCTCGGGACGCGTAGTCCAGCTGGCGGACGCGAGCGGCGACACCTGGAAGGCGGATCTGACGCGCACATACGCCATGGTCTCCTGCGCGTGCCCTCCCCCGGGGCCATCCCCCCAGAAGCCGCCCCCCAGCCTCTCCCACCGCGAGCTCTTCCGCATGATCCTGCAGAATATCAGGCGCGCCACTACCCCGCAGTGTCATTTTTCACTATTGTCATCATTACTATTATCATTCTGACAACACGCTTTCCCTGCCAAAGGCAAGGTGCGTCTGCAGACAAGGTGCAGGTATAAGCCAGCCACAGGCCAGCAGCTGTGCCAACTGTCCTTCCCTTTGATGTACTCGCCAGATCCATCCCGTATCTTTGATGCAGATGTTCAGCTCATTCCAATGGGTCAACATTCAAAAATCTTGCAGGATATTAGGCGCGCCATGCAGCATTGATGTCCACCTTGTCAAGGATTCTCCTTTGCTTTGGTGCCTTGAATGTATGGCATGTAACCAACACGACAACAACAACACCTGTTCAATCCAATGTTGGCTTGTAGCCATGAGAACAGCCCACCCATTCAATTATCCTAAACAAAGCCTTTCCATGATGGGAGCCTGGGTTATCTGGCATGCGCTGCCTGAGAGTCCATTCCCTGTAAAAATTTCTCTAGCCTTGGCATCATCAATCCTTGCGGTGACCATTCACATTCTGTGGGAAGCTCGGCTGATGGGCACATGAAACTTGAAGGAATCCGCTCTCCGAGGAGATGACTATTTTTTATTGAAACAGGACGGGGCCGGACCCGGTGCAGCAGGCAGCGATACTGGCGCTGGGCAGCTGCAACCCGGGCAACATGCCAATCCTGCTGGAGGAGATGCAGGGCATGAGCGAAGACCCTGCCGCAGAGCGCATGAAGGTGAGGACACCTTGTTCTCTCTTGCTTCTTTGGCGAGACAATGATGAACGCCGGGCGTCAAGAGGTGAGGGACATTCCAATTCCAATTAGGCTCTTTCTGTTGGGCGGGTTCGACAGGTCGCCTCTAATGCTTGGTGTCAGCTCGAGAAATAGAGAGACCATTTTGTATCTATTTGCTACTGCGTCCAAGCCGGGAGAAGATGTCGTGCCCCATTCTTCATGGAATCGTTACAGCACTTATGCTGATTCAGCAATGAAGGTTCAATCGGACTTATCAAAGATGCCACCATGCTGGGACCCAGCTTGCATAGCCAGGAAGGGCCGCGGAGCCCGTCCCTAGCGCAAACTTTCCTAGTATTGTAGGGATAGATTGGCTTTTCAAATGTAGCTCCCGGATTTCAAATTCGAATTTGCACTTTTGCGCAGGCCCGAAGCCGGCCGCGGCGGGAGGAGGTACGCGTGGCGGTGGCGCAGGTGCACCGGCTGCTGGCCAACAACTTGGCGCCCGGCTCGCTGCGTACCTCCGCGGCCGACTGCGCCAAGTGCGTGGACTTTGTTCTCGACACCCTCAAGTTCCTCAACAGCTCCTCCTCAGGTGGGTGCATCATGCATTGTCTACGCTTCTTATCAGGTGTTCACCTAACTCCCAGATGGGCAGGTTCAGGTGGAAAGACTGCAGGCTTGGCATCCTCAGAGCTCCAAGAGCTCCGTTTTAGATGGGAGTTGCTGCTCTTTCGTTGGCTGCAGTCAAGTGTGGACTGTCAGGTACCCTTAGCGTCTCCATGCAGGTTCAGCGCCCTCTGAGTTTTTATGCAGCAACTTCTTGATCCAATCCATCCTGCATGAAGAAGTTCTGTGCTGTTGTCTGGACCATCATCATTGCTACCAGTTGTGTGCCACCTGTGCAAGATGGAGTATTCTGGAGCTGGCACAGAATTGGCTGCGTTGATACGCGTCCATACTGACCTTTGGGCATCGATTTGCAGCTGCCGCACATGCCAAGCCAAACGGAATCTACATGCTGTCTCGAGAGAGGGCTCTCCTGATTCCTCTGATCAATAGTCATGTCCTTAATGACATCACATCACATGGTCCTTTCTGTGTCATCTGGGCAGAGGCGTTCCAGGACCTGCTGCTGCTGCGCTACTGCCTCTGCAGCGTGGCCCGGGCGCTCGCGAGAGAACTGGCGGCTGCGCAGCCCAACGCATTCTCGACCCACATCCGCCGCACGCTCTTCTTTGCTTTCTCCTCCTGGACCGAAGAGGGCTCCATCCCAGGTGTGGCACCTGAGCTCATGTGCGGGTGGTTCATCAAATCACATAGAACTTGTTGCACAATAGTCCAGTCTCGATTTCCCTGCGTGTTCAAGCAAATGTTTTGTATTAAGAATGCTTGCAGATCTGGAGTCTTTTTACATGTGTGTCCTGAAATAATTTCCAGAAAGGTGGAAGGCACGCGTGAATACATGCACTCGTGCTGTATCACTTCAAGCTTGAACCTCATATTTGGCTCCAAGCTTCAAGCTGCAGTGTGCCAGCAGGAGTATCTGTGCTGTGCAAGAACCGCATGCGTTCGCCCTTCCTGTGAGGACAGCGTATAAGAAAGGAGAACTGAGGGTGATAAGAAACGAGGGACTGACAGTGGCTCGAGCATTGTGTGCCCTGAGCTCTTTCCAAGGTGTTCATAGTGGAATTTTCACGGTGAGCTCTGCATTATACATGGTGCGCAGGGCGGCACCGGGGGGAGATAGCGAAATACATAGCAGTGGCCAAGGGGCGCGTGAAGGACCCTGACTCGGCGCGCGCGCTGGAGGCTGAGATGCAGGAAGCTGTCGACTACCTGGACGTCAACGCTGCGCTAGCCATGGCCGACATGCTCCTGGTGGGCCCACCCTGTACAAATAGTAAAGAGAATTTATGGCCTGCATTTTGTGAGGTCTCTGGGCTCTGCATAGTCTGCTGAAATGGGCTCGAATGGATGTGACCGGCAGGGTATGTTGAATCACTTCCAGTGGAGGAAGCAAGTGGTGGATGGCATGAATGCCAGTGGGTCAATCACGCCCATTGTACTAATTTTGTGCAGTCTGTCAGCTCTCTCCATCTCTGCACCTTTACACAAAAAATTGTGTGGGGTGTAGAAGCCAATTATGCTGCACATGAAAAGCACCTGCACTGTTTTTTAGCAGCTGTGTGTGAAAGACCCTACGCTGTCTATGACGTGTGTTACATATCTTGTGGCTTGACCAGGGGCCGGCTTTTGATTTGGAGGCGAAGCGGCCGCAGGGGCGAGTGTTCAGCTGGGTTGACCGCATGCTCAGGGCAGCCAACAGCGGCACTCCCACTGGAGCCACTACCCTCAACTTCCGCTCAATGGGCCCTAGCAGGTACATATCTACCTTTAATATACCTTACAAGTACCTGCGCGTTGGTCACCCTACAGGCTTTGACACTGCAGGGCTTTGCCACTTTGGGCTTAGATGACCGCTGACAGCCCTGGTAGGATCCTTTAAAGATGAATGTGTTACACGATTTGAGGCACAGGTACCTTAAATGCACATTGGCTGGAAGCCACAGGTTTGTAACCGGCATGAAAGTTCCTGACATGAAAATTCCTGTGGCTTCCAGCCAATGTGCATTTAAAAGACCTGTGCCTCAAATCATGTAACACATTCATCTTTAACGGGTCCTCCCAGAGCTGACAGCGGTCATCTGAGCCCAAAGTGGCTGAGCCCTGCAGTGTCAAAGGCTGTAAGAGAAGTGTTCCCGTCCTTGCGGTCATGAGCTAAAGCTTTACCCCACTGGAAATACTATCTGCTGTATGCTCTTGCTGCGCCCATTAATTTACTCTGGGTTGCGTCAGTGAGTCAAGAAGTAGGACAGAAGGCATGCTTGTGGCTTTAGATGAGCCTACAACATATCAAGGTCTTGTCACGCTTCCTGACAGATGCTCAGCGATTCCTGTAAAAGACTATTGGCCAGTGTCAGATTTGGCATGAAGAGCTTAAGTATAGCTGACATCAAACTAATGCATTGGGTGGCATTCATCCCTGCTGAAGTCAAGAGCTGGTCTGCAGAGATGGAACCAAGACCAGATATGGCTGGATGTTCTTGGAATTGAAAACTTGTCAGTCTGGTGATGTCTTTGGACAGGGAGGCGATCGGGAAAGCAGCACTGTTGAACTTCCTGTCCAGCAACCACGACGTGCTCAGCGTGTGCGTGGACCAGTGCTACTCCAGAGATGCCGCCGTTGCCAAAGCCTACTTTCAGGTACTTCATGCGCCACACCAGAGCATGACTGGGCAGTTATGCATGCTGTGAAGAAGCAATTCGCATCTCAGAACTGCAATATCGTGGCACAACAAGCTAGGTTACCAATCTGCAACTGGTGTGGATTTTCTTTCCTTGCAGGTGCTGACGGAGGTGTACATGACAAAGGAGATAGAGGTCCAGCCACACACGCTGCTCAGCCTCATCCTGTGCAAGCTGGGAGACTCATCTCTGGTGATCAACCCTTCCCAGAAACCTTTTGTAGCTCGTCATCTGTTGCGCAAAGAATAAATAAGTGCTCTGTGGCTGGTCATGGAGTCATTCAGATAAGTTTTTGAACCTTTGGGTCTCAACGCATGGGGCATGCATGCTACTACCTGAAGTTGTCAACGCGTAGCACATCCATTTCAGAAAAAGCGGAGTTTCCCGCTGTAGGCAACATGAGGTAGTCGTCTTAAGAACCTGCTTGCATGCGAAGTGTGTCAATTCGTCACCTTTCTCTCTTCGCCCATGCAGGAGGTCCGAGATGATGCGCTGCTGCTATTGGACGCGCTCTCTTCACGGGTATGGAAGGAGAGCGGTGCCACGGTGGCATCAGTACGCCCAGGAACGCCCCTGCTGCCCGGGCAGATCCTGCATGCCAGCCCCCATGCAGCGGTGGTGATCGGAGCCCTGCAGGACTCCTTCCAGGACTTCCAGCTACGCCTGTCCAGCAAACTCGCCAGGTGCGGTATTTTATGCATGCTGTGCCCCTCAATGATTCTTACATATGTATATAGAACAGGTGTCTTGCCCAAGTCAAATTGTTTTGCAGCAACTTGCCAGCTGCTGATTCTAATGTACAAGGTTGTGCACCTGTCCAACTATGCAGCTTCACTCTGGAAGCGCTGTTAGTTCTTCCTGGCATGGCCATTTAAGCATTTCAGGGTCATGATTAACAGGAAACCCTTGCTTCTTAGTCCTTTGCAGCAAGCGTGTGGGAGCCATGAGGTGCAAAGAGTGTCCAAAACAAGCGGGTCTCAACCTCCTTGCTGCAATCAGCTGTCATATTGTTATTTGAACCCAAGACGCCTGGTCTGGCGCGGCAGAGACCACCCGGAGCTGAGCGAGCCGCTTTGCGTGGAATTGATGAACCGCCAGCTGGAGGTCGGGGGGTCCCCCGGGTCTCCCCAGCTGCAGCACCAGGTCCTCTCCTGCCTGGCGCCCTGGATGCAGAACCTCAGCTTTGCCGCGCGCTGGGAAGGTGGCACATCCTTGACAATCCTCATTCTTGGATTTTCAACGCTTCTCTGCATGTGCTGGCTTGACTTGTGGCATCTTGGTTGTCTCAAACAAGGTCAGCAGTGATGAGCAGGTTGCTTGCGGCTGGCATGGGAGATCTCTTACATGTCTTAAGCATGCACACACAAATCCCTTCTTTAGTACACATGAGCCTGACATCACTTCAATTGTACATTGTGGCCGATGTCTATCACCGAAGGATGCATGACAACAACGGCTTTGCTTATATTGTTTGCGAGGCCATCTTGCAGAGTGTTTCTGCAGGTCTGTCGTTCATTATAGCTGTGTGCGACAGTCTATCAGCTCCCGCCAAATCAACTCTAAAGAGCGATCATGCCCGGCTTGTACTGCATTCATCAATCAGCTCGAAATATTCCCTCTGCGCGCAGGCAACTGGAGCGAGCAGCTGCTGCGCAGCATGTATTTTCTGACGTGGCAGCACGCAGGCGCGTTCCCTTCCGAGACGGAGCGGCTGTGGACTACGGTGGCTGCCAACAAGCGCAACATCATCCCTATTCTCGACTTCCTCATCGCGCGCGGGCTGCAGGAAGCCGCAGAGCCCCACCTGCAGGCGCGCAACTTTAGATCCTTCCTGGCACTCTTCTGCCTGTAACACTTCAGTCACTTGTTGGGGAGTCAGCCGTCATACCACACTCTTTACAGGAAGGGCACAGCCCCACCTGCAGGCGCGGCAACAATCTCTCGTCCCTGTGTCTTCTGTGCTTCATGAGGCTCTTGGTAAGAGTTACATAGAGGTCAGTAGAGGCCATGCCATGATGTTCAGGAGCCGCAGAAGGACTGTGTTGCATGACAAGGCTCTGTGGCGTTGTTTGTTGTCCCTTGCCACTCACCACTTCAAGCCACACACTTTGCACCAGGAAGCGGCAGGGCCTCACTTGCAGTATCTGCCTGGAACATGGAACAATGAGTGTTCTGAAGTTAAGATTGAAATTTAATATTCAAGTGGAGGGAAATGAGCTGTTACCACACAGATGTTTTAGTCGCTGCTGTAGAAATGCATGGGGTGCGCTTCAACTAATGGTACCCCTTCGGAATACAGACACATATTGATGTCTTGCTTTTTGGTGACTCATTGCAGACACAGGATCAATTCTGAGGGGGCATGCATTGTTGCCTGCAGCTTGCCCGCAGACTCACCTTGCCTATCACGCAAGAAAGCGCGCTTAGTGATAGTAGCACTGATAATTACACTGCTGCATGCAGGACCTGGAGTCGGTGCTGGGGCACTTTGTGGTGGGCAAGCGCATAGCGTTGTACATGGCGCGCGTGCTCCCCCAGCACACCATCGACCACCTCGCCTACGAAGCAGCCCAGCTGCTGCACGAAGAAGACCCCGACACCTCCTCTCCCTCCAAACCCAACCCCGACCGAGCGCCCAAGGTTGGAATTCTTCTGAGCTCACCTGAGAGTTTGAGCACTCTGTAGTGTGTGAAGAAGCTCAACAGAGCGAAGAAAGGAGACCTTTGAATGAAAGCAGAGCCTGCCACAGGTATATGATTGCATATTGTGCGCGCAGCGGGAAGCTCATTGGCGAGTTTTCATGGTGCTGTCCCTAAAGATGGACAGCACATCATGCGTCAATGGAAGTGAAATGTGTCAATATCGATTTTTACTCCGTTTTCCAAATTCACTCAATTCCTACTCGTGTCCTAGCTTCTTTCGATTTTAGTGCTTCATTGACATGTTGCCATTACTGAAGGCGTACGAGTTCCACCATGCAAAGCCGGTGCTGTCGCGCCGGGACGCCAGCTACACGGCAGCTGCCCTGCAGGAGCGCGCAACTTCCCACCAGCGCGCATCCGTCGCGCACGCCACTGCCACCGCGTCAGGTGCTCTTCCCACCACCTAACATCATGTATCTTGAGGCTACAATTTCTGTCGCTGAAGTCCAGTGGGGGCTGAGGAATCTCGCAACTCAATGTGCTGCTTCCTGACCATTGGCAGGACAGTACCGGCGTCCTTGCAATGTTCGTGGTGCAGCTCATGGGTTGCGCGGTAACTATGAAGTTTGCAGATGCACTATCGCACCCTGGACATGCGTTTGTTGCGCTCCAATGAAGGCCGGTGGACGCTTCATTTGCTTGTACCTCAGCGCCTAGGTCATAACCCAGGCCTGCTATCTTTTCTTAATTTCTTGCTTCTGGGAAGCACTTCCTGTTTGGCCAGGGCCCTCCATTGAATCAAATTTTCCTACTTTTGCGGAAGCTGACTGGGTCGCTTTCGTCCAGGGCATTTCCGGCGGGTGAGCGATCTGCTGAGGTCAGCGAGAATGGGGTCTGACATCAGCAACCACTCCGGCTCCTTCACTTCCTCCATCAATGACTCAGCCATGCGGCCGAACTCCGCCTCCTACTCACCCGCCTCCCACAAGGGCTCAGAACTTCTGCACAACTCCGTCCAGCCGAGGTAATCCCCTATTATCTAAGATCCATCGTACCTTTGTGAAGTTCGCCTTGTCAGCCTGTCAGCTTTTCCTTCTTCCAGCTGACAATGTCAATTTTCATGCTGCCCTGGTCGCACATTTTGCCTCCAAAGGATGTGATTTAGCATATCAAGTGGCATTCAATTGCACAAGTATGCTTAGAAGGGTCACAGCTGTCTCTGCAGATGCCTTGTGTGTGTGTCCTCTGTGGTCTCCGGCTTTGGGTTTGTGTATCATGCATTTTAAAGTCACAAGTGCTCACACAGAACCGTTTCTTTGGCATTGGCTCTGAGCGTCACATCTGTTGCACAGACGCTCCAGGCCTGCATCTTCGCTGCTTCTGTCACTCTGAACCTGGGGCTCATCTTGCATCCTGCCTGGTTTTAGGTGCGGTTGATCTCCTCACATAGCTTTGAATGGTCTGACGAAAGATGCCGTTATTACATAATTGCAGGTCGGGGCTGTCACGGCCGGAGATGGCGTTGTGTCTCCTGGCAGAGGTGGCCTATGAGCATGACGAGGACCTGCGGGAGCATGCACCGCTGCTGCTGCATGCGCTGCTCGTGGTGCAGGACTCGCCGGAGCCCATCGTGTACCAGCACGCCCAGCAGGTGTCCCTCGTGCTAAAATATTGCATTATAATATCCCTTAGTTCTTTGATTTGTTTGTTTAAGGGCACCCATGAAAAGCTGTATCTCCAGCTGAGAGCATTATCGCTGGCGGTGCAGTGCTCCATCCAAGGCCAAACACAACACCGGGCGCCGCAATTGTCGTGAAAGCATGCCTTGTGAGAAACACTATTGTGAGAATCTATTTTGTCTTATGGAAACTTATTGGTGTCACAATTTTGAGGGCATTCCATGCAGGCGTTGCTGAACATCTTGTTCTCGCTCTCCACCCGACACCTGGAGAGCGCACTTGGACAGGACGGCTTCCAGGTAAATCCGCTCTCACTGTAATTATATAGTGTTCACCGCTTATGTGCTCATGTATCAAGCTTGCACAGCTACAAGTTCACAGCATATTTGCAGAATGTGCACCCTTCATGGATAAGAGCATCTGGAGGTTGTCTGCAGATCACTGAACACATGTGAAACATGTGAAAAATCAGGCTGCTGCAAGATGTTCAGTTGCGAGGCAGCCTTCTCTCCCTTCTCTGGCGCGTCTATGTAGTGCTGAGAGTGTCCTGTGATGTCGGCTACAGCCCTTTGTTCTGCAAATCTTGGGTCAGGTGTCCAGATCACATGGACAACTTCACTGCTGGTGGCTGCAGGCGCAGCAGGAGCGGGTGGGGCGGCTGATAAAGTACCTGCAGGCGATGCGCGGGCAACAGCTTTGGCCCTACGAGCAAGTCAGCCTCACGCGCGCGCGCGTTCCCTCCGCCAACGCCCTGCACGCCCTCGTCACCTCCCTGGTGATCTCCTTAGATACCTCTTCAGTTCAAAAGTCTCAGAAATGCTCAGTGTATCACTGTACCAGATTCACAATCACACCACGACCCTGCAAGCGCTGATATTGCATGCTACATGTGAAGGAACAGAAAAATCCCGGATTTATTTTTATTTTAAAGAAAAAGGGGATCTGAGTAACTAGAATGCTTCCTGGCTCTGCAAATCTTGCTGGTCTGTTGGCGGTCCATTGGTGTCAATAATGTGTCTTTGCAGGTAATTGACATGCAGCGTGATATGCATGCTGATACCGTCTCTTCCAGGATGACCAGGGCACTCATCGAGAATGGAAGCCCTGATCAATGTCCTGTGGGACTCGTCAGCATGACTTCGCAGGCTGCCTGGCAGGACCTTTGAAGTTGCACAAAGTGTGTATGAAATACCTTGGGGTGTGCAGGTGGAGGCGCTGTCTTTTGAGGAGGAGCTGAGGGAGCGCTGGGCAGCGGAGGCGCTGCGCTGGCTATTGCACTGCTCCTCCCGCCACCTGGCAGAGCGCTCCCACCAGGTACTGCTCTCTCCACACGTATTTAAAATCCCCAGAGACAGCTGATGTCACCAGCCAAAAATGGCGCCAGGTTTTATGAGCCAGTTCACCTTGCATAGTGCAGTACCCAGCTGGGTGTGATATGCAACCCATGGCCTAAATGGGCCATTTAAAGACATACTTGCGATCTGCTTTCCTTTTTAGCGTTGTACACATGTGGGTATAGAGCATTGGCAGAATCTCACCTCATTCATTCTGCTTCATTCAATCGCTTGCAGGTCCAGGTGCAGCCATTCGGGACACCTCTTTAGTTTGAATTAAAGTGCCGTTTGCATGAGTGATTGCATGCTTGTCAGGTGTACCGCGCTCTGCGGCCGTCTGCGAGCGGTGATGCGTGTGTGTCGCTGCTGGCTTGCCTGCACAAGAGCCTGCTCAGCCCGTCACCCTCCTCCCTGCACACTGCAGTGGAAGTGTGCCTCACCCTCCAGGTATGATTGCACACGAAGCTCTAACTGCAAGTTGAGTATGTAAGAGATGATGTTGACGGAAGATGTCTCCAATATGGCTGCTGAAAGAATTGCAAGGCCGTGAACTTTTTGGAGCAGATCCGTGGAAGTGCTGCCGCAATGCACTAGATTTTGAATGGCTTGAAAAGCATGTGGAGAAGATAAAAACAGGGGGGGAAATTGGACCCTCTATGAAAGTGTTTCTGCTCTGCATTGTAATGTCAACACCAATGCTGCAGGTGACCTCCTTGCATGCGCCATGGCACCTATGCAAGGCATGGCATGCAAGGTCCATCATCATTCAAATAAAGCAGATCCATCTCAGATGAAGATCTCACTGTCTTCTGCAAGGTACTCACAGTACCACAGAGGCATGATCGTGGTGGCAAAAGGCATTCCCTACTGTTATTCACACCATGCATTGGGTGCAGGTGGTGATAGAGGGCATGGATGGAGGTCGGCTGGTTTTCTTCCCCCAGCTGCTCATTGCCTGCCTGGCCGGCCTCTGCACCTCCTACGTCCACGTCTTCAGCCTCCTGCTTGACCTCCTCTCACAGGCTCGTAGCTATTCCTCCAGACTCTGTCTTTTCCTGAAAATGGCATGCTCAAACCAGCAATTGCTGGTCAGACAAAAGATGTCTCTGTTCGGCAGAGCAAGATAAACTTCCTGCCACCTGCCCTCCTCGTTCTGCAATGGGATATATCAAGGCATTCTGACATTCTGGAATAGCTAGCTGGGAGGGGGCGTTCTCTTGCCTGCTGCAGATTCTTGACTCTAGTGAGCAGCAGGGACAACAGCTCGTCCTGGCAGCCTGCAGTCTGCACAACTGCAACACAGCTGTGGGAGTGGATGTTCTGAAGCTGGAAATACTGTGCCCGCAGGTGCTGAAGCGGCTGGATCTGAATGACTCCACTGTGCAGAGCGTGCTGCTCGCATGCACACCCTCACTGGAAGACCCGCCCTCCCTACAGGTGACTGCCATGCTTGCCTATGCAGAACTGATCCCCTTTCTCCAGTCTGCAGCGCTGTATATCTGAATTGTCCCTGTGCAAATTTGACATGGCTCTGACCCGAGCCAGGAGACCCCAGATCCAGCACCCCCCTGGCTCATTCATTTCATGTAGTGATCCTTATCATAAGGAAGGGGAGTATCGTATGTGGGCAGGAATTAGGAAGCGGCGGGGAAGCTGAGCTGTCATGGGAGCTGGGCGGCTTCCTGGCGCAAGACGCGCAGCTTCTGGCTGTGCAGCAGCTGCTCATTAAAGGCCTCTTCAAGCCCGAGACTGAGATCTCTACCATCCAGGTGTGTGCTTTTCTTTAAATAGCTGCAGCACTGCATGATAACTTCGAGGAAGTGCAGCAAGAGTCTTACCTTTCCCAAAGAATGTTATCTGTCAAGCTGTTAAGCCTTGCAACACCACGGAATTGTCGTAGCATTGGATGATACCTTCTGGACATTGCTGAGACCTACTCTTCTTCCCAATAGAAGCTACTGAAAGAAGCTTTTGACATAGAAAGCGCTGCAACCGCGCAGCGAAAAGGCTTAGCCTGCATGCAGTGCGCACACAATGGATGCTGCAATGTGCACGTCACAAAGTAGCGCTGATGCCTGTTTTGGCGGTGGCAGGTGCTGACTCTGCTGGCGGATCAGATTGCGGCTACTCCGCAGCTGCCGCGGCACGGCTTAGTCACCAGCCTCAGCGCCATGCACGGCCTGGACGGCCGCCACCTGGCTCAGGTCGATTTGCATGCCTTCCGGCCCTTCTATCCCTCCCGTGGCTCTGCGCCGGTCCTCTTGGGCCTGCCGTGCCCCTTGCCAGCCCCTTCCTGGTTCCCTCTCCTTGCCCCCCCCCATTTACCTTTTAATGACGGGGGCTAGCTGTTAAAAGTGATGTTCCTTGCTCAGCCATTCTGGCTCTGCGCGTATGCATGTTAGGGTCTCCTACGGGGTTCTCTCCAGTGCGTTCTTTCTTTTTTTCTTTTTTTCTTTCTTTGCATCATTATTATTTGCCTGCAGCCTCAAATTGCTACTTACCTGCTGTGATGCGCAACCAGCGCGCCACCAAAAGCCATACTCTTGTTGGGCACAAGATGTTTCGGCTGTGCTTTGGGAGATCCTTGGCATGAAGTACGGCAGCACCCTTGGTAGTCTCTTGAGGGTTACTACCTAACTCACATCTGAAGACCGTGGTTCTGCACACGATGAACGTATCGTGATCCTCAGTATGCATGCAGAGCAGCCCCTTATCGCGAGCGTGCCATTACCTGCAGGAGGGCTTGAGTGCAGTGCTGGGCGACGTGCGCGCGCAGTTGGCGCTAAGCCTCTCTTCGCTGCTGCCCTGGCTCTGCGTTCACTTCCGTGGCAGCCCCCACAGCAGCCTCTCAGCTGTGTGCATAGCGGTGATGCTCTCTTTTGTCAATCATTCTGACACAAACAGATCTGCCTGAACAGACTGCCCATACTATGTGCATTTTGTGCACTGTCATTCCTTGCTTCTTTTCATCTCACTGGCTTATGTGAGTCAACAAAAAAGAGACAGACTTGAGTGTCAACAAAATTGAAGGAAACCCAAACCAGGCAATTGACAGACATGCATCATCCGCGGGACAGATCTGTCGGTTTGTGGTCTCTAATATCATCACAAGGTTCTTTATGGTGAAGAGAATTGCGCTGATTGGGTCTTGCTTGGATCTGGCGAGTCCATCAAGGAGTAGGATTTTGGCAGCCTTTACTGCAGCTTGTCTGCAGACGCACCTTGCTTCTGGCAGGAAAAGCGTGTAATAATAATAATAATAATAATAATAATAATAATAATAATAATAATAATAATAATAATAATAATAATAATAATAATAATAATAATAATAATAATATTAATAATAATAATAATTGCGCTGATGCCTCTTTGTGTTGCTGACAGGCGCATGCAGGGGCGTGTGTGGCAGTGGGGCTGCCAGATCTGGGGCGTTCCCTGTCGCTGCTCAGTGCTGACACAACCACTGACGTGGCGGACCTCCTCTCGCTCATCGCCCCCTCCTTCACCAATGCTTTCTTCCCCCGGTATGGGCAATCCCCCCCCACCAGTTCCATACAATTCCATAGACGTTCGTTGCACATGGGAAGGTTCAAATGGGTCCCAGCCTGTCTTGCCAGGTCTCTGGTTTTCTTCACAGGCAACAACAGTCAACATGTCAAAAGTATAGCCGTCCCCATGCCCGTGATGTGCTTGGCAAGACTAGTGCATGCCTGTGAGCCTGGTCAATGCACGTTGTGGGCTTGTGCTTACTTCGTCCACAATCTGCATCGATCACGCTCACTCTCATTGACTGATGCAACAACGCAAGATCCAAGAACAGTGGCAAACAATAATGCAGATGTTGCCTGACCTGCCTGGTCCTTGGGACTGGAAAACACGAGATTTTCACTATTCAAAAATTAACTTAAATACTTAAACGCATGTATAAATTCCCATCACCTGAGAGTTATGTAATCGCGCGTCCAGATTTGGCCGCCTGGTGCTGGAGCGGCTGATGGAGGCGCTGACGGACGGCGGGGAGGGAACTGCGCTGCAGACCGCCGCGCTGCGCATGCTTCGCGCGATATTTAACGCGCCCACCCTGGACCTGGGCTCGCCTGCACACACCCTGTCGGACTCGCAGCTTTTCTACCCCGTTGCCGCTCTGCTGGAAACCCACCGCAGTGGTCAAGCTTTGGAGGCAAGCCCCCATGCCCCTTAAAATGCTTACCTCTCGTGCCTGTTCTTTGGTTGTTTCCCCCTTTTGAGGGGGGCGGGCGTTCCCAAAATAGCTCTCATTTGTTTGCGCTTCAAGCTTGGTAGAGATGCTCGCCGCTGTGCTGGCAACTGCATGAGCAGGAGATACTATCAAGATAATTGGGGAGTACCATGAGTACCCCCTGCAAAGAGCACAAAATCCTGCGGCATATCATCGGGAGAGGGATACATACCACTGTATCTTGATGTGTTTCTGTAGATTGGTACCCTGCTAGTTCAGGCTTTCACCTGACACGGCACTGCTTGAATTCCTTTGTATCATTTGAGCAGAGTCACTCCTGTTCCTTTGATAATCTGGAGTATTGCCGTAAGCACCTGCACGCCATGCCAGCAGTTGATCCCTACAGGCCAAGTCAACGGCATGACGGCAGGCTCTTGCCGGCAATGCTCACTCCTGGTCGATTTTGCAAGGGTGACTCAGCCTTTGACTTCATGTCGAAACCACATCCGAGCAGCATGTTGCTCACTTACAGATCACCATTCAGCACTCTGATATTGGCAGTCTGCAGCTCGTCTTGGGCATCTGCTTAAAAGGCTGGTGATATCCTTTGATATCTTTGCTGCCAACAACGCCTTCCGAGGCTCCCCTTGTTGATAGCATCGGCATTTGTCACGGCAGGTGTTGGACGCGGTGATGGCCTACGCAGCGCGGCAGCGCGCGGCCGGTGCTGACATGGCGGAGGTGAGTCAGCAGCCGCCGCCGCTGAGCTGGCCGCGCTGCATCGACGATGACGTGGCAGAGGTGACTGCCTGCCACCTTGTATTAGTTATTGAAGTTTTATGCAGTTACAGGGGCAGAAGAATCAAAATATAGGGTCAGAATTGACAGCCGCAAGCCCATTTAGGTGTTGAATTTACACAGTGTATCTGCAGCCACATCTTCTGCGAAGGGAGCTCTTGCAAGCATTTACGTATAGCACAGAGCCGTTGATGCCATTTTGTAGAAGCAAGATGCAGACTGCTGTATGGTCGTCAGTTGCAGCGTGTCTGGCATGAGGCTCCAACATGACATATTCAGCTGTCGACATGATGGCAGGTCAAGGTTACCTAAGGCCTTCGGCATTTGAAATCAAGTGTGAATCTGTGTGCAGGGTGAGCGCGCTGCGGAGGCGCTGGGCCGTGTGGTGGAGGAGTGGCAGGGGCGCAAGCTGGCACACTCGCGCATCATGCCATTCATGGAATCCAGCCAGGCCCGCTGACTCTTATTTCGTGTATAGAAGTTTTCATTTTGACTGTCGGGTCAACTATAAAATGTCCCTTGTGCTAAAGCTGGCTGGAGTCCAACTTGAATGTGATGTCAGGTCCGCTCCAGGGTACGTTGACATAGTCAGCAGTGGTAGGACAAGAAGCTCTTGTGCATGTTTAGCTAGTGGGGCTGAGGGACTTGCAATCGCAAGTTGTTGATGTCTTTGTAGACGTAGTGTTTCCTGAGAAAGTTAGTCGAAAGGAACGTATGTCCTGCACTTGGGTCACATGAAGGGGGCATCGGTCATGTCCATGAGTGTGTGTACAGCTGCTGTACTACAGTATGATGTGTTTGTGTGCACATCTGTTGCTGTGAGGTGGGCTTGTAGTTTGAATGCATGCACAGCGGGAAGGTCGATGCAGGTCTGCGCGTGGTCTAGACCATGCTTAAAGCAGCAGTTTATCAGATAAACTTTATCTATTGTGCACGCTGACTTTAACGCACACATTGTGAGGCAATTTGCTGGCAATACCGAAAATGAACAATTGCGCAGTGGCCATGCATGTAGATGAATCACCAAAGTCACACGAAGATGCATTTCCTATAGCAGATGATGTCAATTTGGCTGACGAGGATGACAAAGTCTCAAATTTTCCAGTTACACTAGTGCCAGTTTGTGACTTTTGCTCACAATGCTGAGTTATAACAGTCACAGTACTCACTAGTCAAAACAGATTCTGGTCCTATACAGGCATCACAGCTGTATGGACACCAGAGGCACGTTTAGGATAAACTGCTGCAGGAAGAATAGTCTGCAATCCCAACACAAAGTAGATGCTTGCGCCTGCACCTATGCTGTACACACGCAAATTTGTGGCTTGTACCGTACGCCTGCAGGCTTTGGCAAACAATGATTCGCATGCTCAAATGTCTTATGGGGCTCAGAGCAAGATTGCAGTTCCCTTATTGCCATGTCCGCTGCAACGCAGCGATCACGAAGAAGTATGGACACAATCCCGCATCAAGAGTCACCCCGCCCACCCAATGTGTGACCCGCGCAGCTTAAAAAGCAATGAGCAAATGGACAGCAGATGAATTCACACAATAAAATAGCAAAGCCAAAATTGCAGGTGGCCTCGCAAGCGCAAGTAAAACCACCTGTCGATTATGTGTAAGCCCTTGAGGGGATGCCCGGGGCTGAATTATGCTGGTGCATCTCTGCACATCCCCAAAAGTAACAGACTGAGCTTCTGACTGCCACAAATGAGGGTGGCATGGGAAGTGCAGCATCATTCAGCCCACAAGATAAGCTAACGCCCTTCGGAAGCAATTGCCAATGCACATATTCCAAACAGTGCACCACAATCTTTTCCTCTCCACCCTATCAAGAGCATCCTCCTAGACTATCATCCTAAATGACTCATGGCGACTAAGCAGCACACATCACGCCTCGCACTTGCCGACGGCGCCGCCCTCGCCGCAGCACAGCAGCCGCCTGCGCGCGTGCGGCCAGTTCAAATTCAACCTCGAACACTGCCTGATCAGGCCGCCCAGCCACGTCTGCTTGTCCCACACGAGCGCTGCAGCCAGCACCGCCGCTATGAGCCATGCCGGGACCACCCACTGCCAGCCAGGGAACCGGTTCCCCCACTCCTCGCAGCGGAAGGACCCGCGGCCCACCGCGGACCGTCCGCTGGCGCCATCGCAGCCGCGCCCGTCGGAGAGGTTCCGGTACACGGTGGCACCGGGGGAACCCGGGGGACCACCGACGCCACTGCCGGGCCCCCCCGCTGGGGCCGCCTTTTCGGCGCGCTCGGCTTCTTCGGCGTCCTTGTTGTAGTCGAAGATGCTGACCATGAAGTCCTCGCGAGTTATCATTACCCCGCTCACCTGCGCACCTCCAGAGGCTTTCAGGTTTCTTTTCCCCATACAAATCATACTTCCAATATGCTCCAAACACCCCGCTGCCAAACAAATCTAAAACAGTGCCCGTGACAGCCCTGCAAGAAACTCAAGGTAGCAACTTGCACAGTTCATACAGCTGCACTGTTTCCACAGGACAGCGTGTCTGTATGTATGATCATTGTCTCCTCAGGGCAAAACGCAAGAAGCAAGAGCTATCTCCTCTGACTTAAATCCAAGGTATAGGAGCTGTTCCCCTCTTGGGCGGATATTCAGGGGGCGAGAGCAGGGGCAACATGGTAGTGGGCAGCATGGCAGAAAGAACCACACACCTTGAGCTTGCTGTCGCTGGAATTGCGCACAGGGTTGCTGACGCGGACGGTGCAGTGGTCCGTGTCGTTACTAAGCGAGACCTCTAACAGGGGCTTCCAGTAGACAAGGGACACGTGGTTCCAGTGGCGCAGGCTGTACTCGCGCGGCTTGCACACACACCCCTCCTCGCACTCCAGCAGGACCGCACCTGCAAACCAATTTAAACTCAGCTACCTGTGCGTTTTGACACTTTAGATACACTACGCAGCTTGCAGTGCAGAAGCACCTTCACTGCAACACGGTGACTTTCTATGCAGAACCAACTCTTGATGGCACATTCGTTGCCTCTTCTGCACACTGTGTCAAAGAACACAACGAGTGTTGCCGGATTGAATGCTGATTTATGCAAGCAGCCTCACCAGTGTGCTCGTAGCTCATGAGGCAGCTCACGCCGATGGTCAGCGGTGCATGATCGATCGGCTCCCCCTCCACCGGCGTAAACCCCTCCGTGGGAACCTGTCACATCAGCAAGCAAATGTCAATGAGAGATATGGAATGCTGACATCAAAGCAGAGCGAGCGCCAAAAATAAGGAGAAAGGGCTGCCTCGCAGTGGAAGTGGAAGGGTTGTAACACACAAGACACCTCCTTCAATGAAAACCCCTGAATCTTTTCCGATGCAAAGTGGCAGAATGCTGCGCAGTGATCTGAGACAAATACTTGCTCAGAAGTAAGGGGTGAAGGAGTGGTTGATGTGAGCCCAGAGCAATGATCTTTCAAGATATTGACAGGGGTACAACGCTGGGTCAAGGACTTGACATGGGCTTCTTTTCATCAACCCCGTGTAAGTGAGAATGAGAGGGTGCGCACCCTGACTGTGAGGCTGTCCCCCTCCTTCTCCGTGACATAACCCCACTTGGGCCGCTCCGGCGATTTGCCCTCATTCACCCACCTCCAATCCTGCACATGCATGAGAGAAGAATGAACAGCTAACAAGCACGTGTCTCCTCAGCCCAAACTTGCTTTCTAAGCCACTACATTGGCTGTGCAGAGATGACCTTGTCCACGTTCGCATTATGGTCAATCCACCAATGTATCGAGCATCTTTCTCTGCAAACATGCTGCTGTTTCTTGCGACCCTCCTTCATTAACAAAATTTCTCACAGAATAGAGACTGTCTCCTAGAATTGCATACTGGACTGTACAGTGTCAGACTCTTCAATCAGCCCCACACCTGCCAGAAACGCCAATCTGACCTTGTCCTTCATAGGAATTTTGAATTGGTGCAGTTTCTGGAATCCAGGGACGTAAGGGCGAAGCACGGGTTGTGCACCTGTGCCTGGCCAACGAGCGCCTTGAAGTTGGCGTCCACGCGGCAGTGGCTCGCGTGCGTCTCCCAGTTGTCCTTGAACATGGGCTCCGGCAGTGCTTCGCGCACGGCGCTCTCATGCTGCAAGGCAACGCCGTCGGACGGGTGGTCCAGCGCATGCAGCGCTATGTTCTGGAAATAGCCGATGATCAAGTCCGCCATGTACCTGCGGGGTTAAACGTAGGGGGTGGTTTATTTACCATAAATAAGGCTAAGAGAACGTTGTGTTCATCACCCCTCGATTGCAGAAACGGTTTGTAAGGGTGGGCATTCGGGCCAGGCTCTACAAGCCTTCTTGTCCTAACACAATGCGCTGGTGGACGAAGCATGCTTCAAGATGTGCGTGAGAATCTCATGCAATCATTCTATCTGCGATGTTGCCAGTGGCCCTTGATCTGTGCGTAAAAATGGGACATACTATTGCGCAGCGCTGCACACTTTTGGAGATAGCCCTTATGGCATCGAACAGAAACACTCCGCAAGCATTGCATTTCTCCCGGTTGAGCATGCAATTCCTCTCATGCTTTCTCAAACAAAAGCAGGACACCCCTGTATCAGAATATCCACAAAGGGAAAGCCAGCACACCTGTGGCCCAGGCAATTGGCGTGGTTGATGTCCGAGCGCCACAACCAGTCGGCCGGCACTGTGAAGTTCGCCACAACATGGTACAGCGCATTCCGCATGGATATGGACGGGAGACCATAATACTCGGGCACCATCTCTATCAGGTTCTCAGGGGAATCGTAGAATTTGAATCCCAGGCGCCTAGGGGTCCATACGTGGAAATACATGACCGCCGGCCGGTTGGGCAGATTCAGCATCTTGCGGATCAGCCGCTCAAAGCCGCGCCTGCGCCCGCAGATGCATTCGTCAGTCTTGTAAGCATGCGGTGATCTGATTCGTTTGACATTACGCTCTCTCAGAGGCCACCTTCCGAAGACAGGAGCAATGCCAGTTGCTGCTATGCCAAATAAATTGAATTGCTTTGCTGCCAATTGCTCCCATCGTCTGCTGTCCCTTTGCTCCAAGAGAATGACCCTCCTCAATGGAATGTTGTCCTCTTGGCTATTGACTCTGGCTTCAACATTGATGTGGCCAAACTTTGGAAAGTGCGCAGGAAGCTGTACCCACTGCCAGTACTGCCAGCCATGCCGGCTTGAAAGAGTTGCTGCGCATGCTTCAATTCATCAGTCCAGTAGCCCTCTTCTCAGCAGGAATATGTCTCAGAACATCTCTCTGCCAAACTCAGCCTGGCAAGGTGCTCACTAAAGGAATGGCAGCAGGGTCCAAAGAAAATATCAGGTGACTCACCGGGTGGGGTCATCTCGCCCTTCAGACGCGCGCTCTGCATCGTTGAAGGTAAACTCTAGCATCACAAAGTCTGCTTCTGGGGGGACCATTTGCAGCGCGCAGGGGGATACGTACGATGACGTGGTGCCGGGCAACGCACGATTGAGAAATCTGCATGCGCGTGAAAACAGGCATGGTCACAGAATGGCCAGAATACAGAGTATGCACAGGTGTATCTGCTGCGTGCTCACTCAGTGCGGCATTAGTGCTGCCTCCATCTCTGCATCCTTGAGGAAAGGACACAGTCGAGAAGAAAACAGCCCCCAGTGTCTCAGATCTCTTCATGTTTTGGTGCAGTGACATTAAATTAGTCCGCCCAAATTAGAGGAGCGCCAGAGGAACTGTGTCCTATGCTTGTTATGGCCTGCCCATATGCAAATCGAGCAGCAAAAACAGGGGCATGGGGCTCGAAACAACAGCAGATGCAAGAATAGGTGAAAAGTGGAGTTCTTGAGAGTATTTATGCAAGTGCCTACATGCGGACCACTCTAGTTATATGTGGAGTCAGAAAGGCCAAAAATAGATGCTCCGTGACCAACGCTTCCCACCTGTGGTTTTTGTGCGGGAACACGCTGCTGACCCACTCGTAGATGCGAGGGATATAAGCGTCGCTCGACACAGTCACCCCCTGCCCCGCCGATATACTCCCCCCCAGGGTCACCATTGTTACCGGCTCTCCTACAGAGCACACACAACCAAGCTATCAACTGGAAATCATTGACTACCGCAATGCACACACGTAATTGCTGATCTGCAAGGGCAGCATCCTCTTCCAATCTGGCAGGCAGCTGCAAGTAAGATGCACTCCCTCCTCAGGTGGAGAGGAGAGACGCTCTGCGAACTCAACCAAAGTGTCACTAAACAAGAATGACTCATGCACCACAAGGAAGAATGTGATAGCAGAGCGTTGTCCCCTCACACCCTGTACCTTTTGTGAATGCAGGAATGTGCATAACAGGCAAGATCCCTGGACAGATTGAGTCGTACACGAGATGGCTGGTGATGTGCTGGAGAGATTATGAGGTCAATCCCTGCGTGCTTTCCCACTTGACAGACAATTGGAGGTGTAATGCAATCCCTCCTCAGATGATCACAGGAGATGCATGGGACAGCTTATTTCTGCGCACCTCTAAGCAGCTTCCCAAAGAAGCGCTCCATGCGTCGACTGTCCCCAACATTGCTGAGCCCTTGGGCCAGCATCTGCTCGGAGACCAGGAGTCGGTATGCCAGCAGCTTCTCCTGCATGGCTGCCCTCCTCGCCTTCATCAAAGCAAACATGATTCAGTAAGAAAGCCATAGAAAGTAGCATGCATTCAAGAACGTTGCTCTGCCAAAAAAAAAAACTATGACCGCTGGAGACCAATGACACAGATGCAACAAGAATTCATTGTTTTGTGATTCTGCATAGCCCCCTTCCAAAAGACAGGAGCACAAGCAAGAATAGTGCTTGCAAGAGCATTAAAAAACAAGCCTCGAAAAGTTCACAGTGAAAATCAGGCTTTTAAATCGGTTGCAATAGCTCTAAAATGTAGTGAAAAGATTTGTACACCTCATCGAATAGCCTTATCGGTGCTCCGAAGCCATTTTCCTCAAATTAGTCAGAGGTGGGAAGTTTGAGGGCCTAGTCACCTGAGGGTGGCCCTCATTCTCGAAGGTCTTCCCGAACAGGCTGTGAACGTGATGCAGGAAGTTGTACTCCTGAGGCACGGGTTCCCTCTTGAACTGCCACACAGCAGGGTCCTCGGGGTTCACGTCCTCGATTGTAGCGTTCGTGCACAATCTAGATGTATTGACAAATTCCACAGTCCACAGAGAGTCTTCCGCTGGCCAGAACCCACGCACGAGTGTGGGTGTCAGAACGCTGTGAAGAATGATGCAGGCTGCAAGCGTGTGCTTGACAAACCTGCCTAGTGAGTTCATCGCCGTAGGTTTGGGAGGGCCAGGAGATCCCTCATACAAGAGAACCCAGCCGATTCTCTGCCTAACATTGCATGGAACCTTCTTATCTCATCGATCTGAGCGTCCTTGGACATTCCAAGAGCTCTGATCTGCTGCAATCCACCAACGGCTCCCGCCATTCGCACGCCCAAGGCCTCATGTGACGTCACGTGCATTTCGGAAGGATCTCCGGAAGAGAGCGAAGCTTTTGCGAGCAACTGTGCAAGTTGTGGAGCTGAAATTGCGGTGTGGATTGAGGATAGCTCAATAAGTGCATCTATAAAGCTGTATCAACCCAGGTGCACGTACTCATTCGATTCATGCCCATGGCGAAGCGGACAATATGACACCAGATTACTGCTGTCTGCAGCAATACTTTCCCTCGGTGTATAGCATCATTCCCTCCAGTTTATATCCGAGACGCCAGCCCAGGGTTCTCAAAAGATCGTTGCCATTGAGGACGTCTCGATTTCAGATCATCAATCAAACCAGCTATGGCAATCCCTTAGACCACGTCCCAAAACGGACACCGACGTGTAGTGTAAAGGGTCTAGCTGCATATCTAGTGCTGTCTGCCGCCTACCTATTCTTCACATGCGGCCATGGTGCGTCCTCACAGCCCTCTCATCAGCCCATCACCTGCAAGTGCAGCGAGCTTCACTGATAGTGGTATAAATGCAGCTCAAGCAGTCAGCGGTGCAAGCACTCAGTTGCCTCCAGCTGGTGGGGCGGATCTCTGCAGTGACCCAAGGTACAAAGATGGCGGCGCCCCAATACCAGCATACAACTACGCCGGTGTGTACTCTGGACCTTCATGAAGCTAATGCTGGACCTGTACCTCCGCGGCAAACATGCCTGGTGTAGCCGAGAAAGCATGTTAATACTGAAGCAAGAAGAATGGCTCATCTATTCTGGGCACATGCTGAATTCTGCACCTTGGGACAGATAGTGGCGACGATTGGGGCGGAGCATGCAGGATTGGCCAGGAGCAGTCCCCAATAGACCTCCCAGACAGGCAAAGTACGCCCTTCTCACAGCACGGCAACCATCGAGACTGCACCCAAAAGAATTGCAACCAGACACATGGCCTCACGCCATCTGAAGATGTTGCACTTTGCGCAAAGTCTTAAAGGGGCACAATCTACCCTGCAACATCTCATTGCAATTGTTCTAGAAATAAATTCACAAGTCCACAGTAGTCCTTGTGTCGAGGTGATGTCTGATGTCCTTGCAGGTGTCACCTTGCAGAGCATTCCCCAGGACAGGCTGATCCACTTTGGGTCAGTCACAGCTTCTGGCAGTGCGCTTGCTCGGCTGGAAGTGCAAGAGGTCATGCTCTTGTCAGCTGACTGGCAGACCAGCGGCTTCTCAATACCAGTGTGCGGTGCGCCAATACAATCATCTGTTGCAATTGACATCCAGGGAATTTCACAGCATCGAGAGTGTAGGAACAGTTCTCAGATCTTTCTTAGAGGACGAGTGATGCATGGCCAATGTTACAAAGCGAGCTCTAGGTGTACAAGCCAGGGTCACTCCAAACAAGCAGAAATCTAATGATATCGAGGACCCCATATACCCTTGTGCAGGGGTGGATGAAATAGGCTGCCTGGCATCCTCCCCAGATGCCAGCGTGCAGTATGAGGATGTCAAGATCCTCAACCTGCACTTCCATGCAAACTCTGAGCACACCGTGACAGGTAAAGATTTCACGCATTTTTTCACCACTTCTTACTCCTGTTCAGGACTTGATTAAAATCTCAGTTGGACACCTGGTAAATAAATTCAACCCAAATTCTAAATTATATAATAGATATTACTGTATATAGTATAATATAGTACTGTGCAGGGGCTTCCTATGCAGCAGAGGCCCACCTGGTGACCAATGTGACTGTCAATGGCAGCCAGCGCCTTGTGGTGTTTGGTGAGAACTCAAATCCAATCTCATCCTGTCAGTCCATCTCTGGATCAAGTGCCAGTCCGAGTGGGCATGCCATGTCTACAATTTTCACAGATATTCAGAGATTAAAATGTGTGGCAGGGATTCGGATGGATGTGGCCGGGGATGAGACCAATGATTTCTTCACCGGCTTGCAGCCATACATCGATGCAACCACAGGCCCTGTAAGAGTCCTCTTAACAAGCATATCCTTTTTGCATCTAATTACAAGGGATCATCCATTCGTGCAATTCACTTTGTCTGGAAAAGAAGACGTCTAAAATATCCAATATGACACAGGCATGTACCACACTCCCAGCAGAGATGCAATTTTCAGTGGACAGCCTCTTTCCCGGCAACAAGGAGTATTTTGCATACAGGTGAGAATTGGAACACTGCACTTCCATCTCAGCATACAAGCAAATCTGCTTTCAAGCAAATCTGTGTTCCTGTATTTGCAAACAAGGAACATTTTTTCAAATTCTTTTGGTTCATCTGCAGGGGAAGCCTTACCACACCCCCTTGCAGTGAGGGCGTGACTTGGGTCGTCTTCACCCATCCGGTCAAGGCAAGGTCCTTTCCCTCTTCAACTTACAGAAGGCACAGACTGTAAGAGGGCACAATGGTGATTTAGGCTTGTTTCTTTGGTGTCTGCAAGATGCTGCTCTCTGCGTACCTATGCTACGAAAGGGGCCTGAGTGTCTTCTGCTTGTGTTGCAGATGTCTATGGCTCAGCTGAAGTCCCTCTACAGAGCAAACGCATACACCTTACAGCCCTGCGCAAACCCAATGGTGATTGAAAAACCTCCCCACTTGTCTGTTCTGACTACAGAACTTCGGTTCTGGTGCACTTAAAATGCTGGGTGTGTTAGGGACATTTTGGACCAACCGATAGGGGGCAGTAATAATATTGAGCGGTGTGCAATTGGAAGGTTGACGCTTGCTTAGATCTGGCAGGTCCAACAACGGCAGGGATTTGCGATTGTCTGTACCTGCAGCTAATCTACAATTTGCACTGTGTGCCTCAGGGTGAAGTGGCCATCAACATAATTTGTCCCAGACATAGTAAGCTTGAACTTTTGATGTGTTGCCGCAGACAAATCAGCTGTGCAATGTGTTTGGCGCCCGCACCAACAACCGCGTGCTGCAGCCCCTGAATGGCCGCAGCGTCCACATAGGAAGCACAGCCATCCTGTAGCACAAAAGGTACCTCTTGTGCAAGCACAGCGGAACTGGCAAGCACCCAGAACTTAGAGAAGTTTAGGTTCAAACATATTTCGTGCAGAGCTGGCTGGCTTGCAGGTGCAGCAGACAATGTGCTGTGCAGACCTGCCTTCTACTGCGCTGTGATGTGGTGGGGAGCAAGCTATTCTGTTTGTACAGTGGATCCTGATTCCATAGTGTGCTAAATTTTACTGCAGAGCTAGCTGTAGCCGTCAATGTAGGCCTGGCAAGTCGTGCACATTTCACAATGGCGGCGAATGGGTGTTGTTGATGGCGTGTAGAGGTTAGGCAGCTGCAAATGTTTTGACTCAAAGACAATACTTGAACGCTATTTGGTTAAAGGCTCGTTGGGATGGGAGTTTAGGTGGTGCTGTGTCTTGATTCAGTATGAGCCAGACTGTGAATGTCTCCGCAAAAAAACGCATGAGATCTCTAGACCGCAGCGTAGTGTAGATCTATGCAGGCTAGAAAGACGATTGTATGTATCTACTCAGAGGCTAAGGAGCAAGCTGGGCGTTGTGTCTGTGGCCCTAATGGCAGGTCATAATAGAGCATGCAGTTTGCTCACTGGCGGAACTATTGATCTATGCACATTTTCTGTACTACAACTAACTGCTGAGCAGTTGTGTAAAGGGCTGCTGGTCAGTCCGCCCAAAGTAGAGGAGCGCCAGCCAAAGCAAGGTCAAAATGTTTAGGTCTGCCCGAAAGCAAACAGAGGTGCAAACACAAACGGCTGGGGAGCTCGAGCAAGAGCAATGTCACAAACAGATGCAGAGTAGAAAAGCTCTGGAAGCAAGCCTTTTAAGCACTTCTTATAGCTCTAGTAGGAAGCACAAAGTAGCACACATATAGCACAGCTTATACATTGGCCACATACCATTCTAGCACAAGGCATGGATGCCATCACGAGGCAATGAGTGGCATGCAGGATGCAGAGATTGTGGCGCGTGCCTTTCTACTGGGGCCAGGGAGGCCCTGCACAGGTCACGTTGACGGTCACAAATCTGCTGACGACCCTGAGGGGTGAGCTGATGACGTGCGATCTGTGGCTCCAAACTCCGGTTGTGGGCTTATCCTCTTGTACGACAGATAAGAGGAGCGCTGGAATTGCCTCAGACACCCATTTTATAATTCATCTTATCTAAAAGAGGTGCCAGACAGCCGAACAGCTCCTCAGGATTCTACCTGTGACCCGACGCTAATCGCCGAACACTAAGATGACGGGCGTTCGGAGAATGTCGGCCCGCGGATCTCAAGCAAGGGAGCAGCCAATGAGCTCAACTGCTGCTCTATTGCTGTCTGCAGGATGCCTTTTCCTCTTCTGCAGCAGTGGTGCGTCCCTCCCAACTCGACCCATTTCGATGATTCCATCGCCGCAGTCGGCCTCTTTAACCGTTACTTCGGGACTTGGAATCTGTCACCTTCCTTCGCGTCAAAGATATAAGCTTGCATTATCTTTGGTGTGATCCCGCAATTCCGCGATAGCAAAGTCATGTAACCCTCCGCACCCGCTGCATGGTGTCACTAGTATCAACATCACTCCATGCGATCGCAGTTCAAGCGGGGAGCGACGGCAACCTGCAGATCCCTGCGGCCGTGAAGGCGAACATCAGCAGCGGGGAAGGACTCTGCATGGAGACCACTCAATCGCGCTACGGCGGAAACGGCCCTGCTCTACCAGCCTTCAACTATGCAAGTGCGTGCATCGAGATTGTGGAAGCCATCAACAGGTTGTAATCTGTGCTAATATCTGCATTCAAGTCGGTCTTGAAGTTAAATGCGCTGGGCGCAGGCAGTGGCGACGACTGGACGGGAGAGTGCAAGACCGGCAAACAGCAGTCCCCCATCGATCTTCCTGAGAAAGACAGTGCGTCCCGTCCCACTCTTTGTTTTGTGCATCGATTCCATGTTCTAGAGACCTGCCACGATCCTGAGCCGATGGTGTCGTAGGCTCGTCCCTGGGCGGCATCCCCGGCAACCACCTTATCCGTTTCGGGTCAGTCACAGCCACTAGCAATGCGGTCCTTCGCCTCGAGATTGACGAGGTGGAGGTGCTGTCCGCAAACTGGACAACAAAGGACTTCTTGATCCCCGTTTGCGGTGAGAAACACAACCCGACCTAGCTGGCAGAACGCCATCGTGTGGCACCCTTGTGCGCTCTTCCTGTTATCAATGATTACTGCACAACAACAAGTCGCAATAGGTTTCCAAAAAAGAACTCACTGATGACCTTCCAGATGAACACTCTGCGATCTGCTGAGATTGCTTGGCTTTACACAGGTGGTGACAACATTGGATGTCTGGAGTCTGCGCCTGACGCGCCAGTTGAGTACATGAACGCCAGCATTGTCAACCTGCACTTCCACGCAAACTCCGAGCACACGCGTGAAGGTACGCCAATTTGACCACTTGTTCTTGTCCTGCTCGTCTGATTGAATGGCTCACGGACTCATGTCCTGAAAGCTTGCGCACCCCCACTCCACCCCTTGCCAGCGTTTCTCCTTGAGAGGCTTGTGGCCTGAGAATTGGTGCACCCCACGCCCTGTTGGTGTGTATGACTGCAAAACTTGACACCTGACAGCCTTTGCACGCCATACCTGCTGGTACGGTATTCAGCGTTCTGCTTACATCGTGCACGTGCAAAACGGAGAGAATGAGCTCCTTGGCCTGTAGATGTTTGTAACCCATCTTCGGGAGCTCAAGGCCTGAGTGCATGTGCATGCTTTGTCATACAGGGGCATTATACGGAGCAGAGGCGCACCTTGTCACCAAGCTGATGATCAATGGCCAGAAGCGCCTTGTTGTCTTCGGTGAGAAACATGCACCAAACGGCTTGCCTCAAATTTTGCCCTATGATAATCACAGCACACCGTATTCTGACAGCAAAGCAGAGCGAGCGCCATAATTGTCATACAGCTTCCATTGTAGAGGACTAGCTTCATCAGGCAACACCTGTATTATTGCTTTCCTATCTTCTCAGTTCTTGCAGTTTCTCCGTCAGTCATAGGCACGAACAGTGGCATCTAGATCTTTCTGACACAGTCTACCATTGCAGACATAATTTACTGCCTTGCTGGCTGCTCTGTGTTGCATTTTGCACTGTGCGGCCCCCTTGAACTAGCGAGGTCCACACGCAGGCACTTGCTTGAAGGAATTCGTAGTCTCTCATCTTCATCTTACTATTAATTTGCTGTTGTCTGTTGTTTTCAAATTCCTCAAGAGGCTATTTTTGCAGCTCGATTTGCATTTGGGCAGGCCATAACAAGCATGGGACACATCTCCTCTGGGGCTCCTTTAGATTGGGCGGACTGAAAACTACATGCATGTGGCAGGTACCTGGATGGACGTTGCTAAGAACCAGACCAATGAGTTGTTCAAGTCTCTGCAGCCGTACATCAATGACACCAATGTTGCCTCAGTCGGAGCTGTAAGTAGTTGCCCATAGCAGACCTGATGCATGACTCTGTAATAGTCAACCAGTCGTTGTTGTGCTCACTGAACCTCTCTCAGACTGTCTCTCCGGCATTCCAACCATCTTCAACCTTCAAAAGTCTTGGATTGCTATCTTCAAAGGGATCTTAAGTTGTCATCTTGTTCATGCAGGTCTGCTCGGCTGTTCCGGACGATGTTGTGTTCAACATTGAGACGCTCTTCCCTGCCTCAAAGTCTTACTATGCCTACAGGTGGGATCTCCTTTGTGACGATGCTTGGCTCGCAATCATGCCTTGATGCCACCATTCTGTCAGAAACCTGGCTGTTGCTGGGCCTGTAGCATGCGTGCTTGTGACTCTTTCATGCAGTGATTACCTGACGCGTGCAGTCGTTACGTAATGATTAGGTAATGTGCAAGTTCTCTGAGGTTGCAAATGTGTGTTCCCAGGGGGAGCCTCACTACGCCACCTTGCACTGAGGGCGTCACTTGGATTGTTTTCACAAAGACTGTCCCGGTAAGAACCACATGTCTTTGCCAACTCAAATAAGCCCATGATGCGTGATGTTTCTCTTTAGTACAAGCAGAATTTTGCCAGAATAGTCCTGCCACACAGGAATCAGGGTACATCTGCAGATATGGGAGATCTGATGGTTAGGTCCAGGTAGCGTGTTATTTTTATTTTTATTATTCCGCGCCTTTCTGATCCAAGATGATCAGGTGCGTCGCAGCAGCGCTTCTGTGACAGCCTTCCAGCCTTCTCTATTCTATATCTACTCCTTGTTCTTTAGAAAGGCATATATATAGATAGGATGCAGGGCTCTGTATAACACTAAATGATAGGTTTCCACATTGACTCTGACCTGATTTTACGTGTGCTGCAGATGTCTACGCTTCAGCTGAAGTCCCTCTACAAGTCCAACGCCTACACCTCCCAGCCGTGCGCCAATGTCACGGTGAGCCTCTGCGTATTTCTCAAACTGCCTTGTGCAGTGACTCTCTAAATTCATGGGGCTTAGGCATCAATGACTTGGAGAAGCCGCACGGAAGCTCTGATTGAGGGACTCTAATAAGTGCATCCTGGTTTTTTTTGCTAATTCGGCACAGTTTTGCATGGGAAGGACTCTAAGAGTCTGGCAGAAATGTGTGCCGGACACTCTGCTGCAATGATGTCTCCTGCCTTGCCAGCACATTGCATTTGTGATTTAAACTGATCCATACTGATATTCACTCTCAGCCACGTCCTCTTGAAGAATGGGGTGCTTTCCATGCTTCTGGGTTTCGAGGTCTCAAATATTGCAAGATGAATTTGAATTCCTGTGCTGGTGCAGACAAACTCGCTGTGCAACGTCTTGGGCGCACGAACCAACAACCGCATGATGCAGCCTCTCAACGACCGCACCATCAAGATCGGCAACATGGGCCCAACACCCAACTAGACATGGCCATACAGACGCCTGCAGTTTTGCGGCTGCAGTTTTGTGGCTCATATCTGTTCTTCCAGCCCGCGCAACGAGCTTGTTTGCGCAAACAAGCTCATTCTGGATTCCGGTTCCTGGGTCCTGGTGTGCCGAAAACTTGTTACTGCATTGACTGCCAGATTTTCCAGGCAGGTTGACAACCCCCGGGTTGCCCAGAGAGATTCAGATCTCTCTGGCCAGATCTCTTTGAGGCACTGTCAGAATCTGGCTTTGAGACTGCCTGGATGCCAGGCTTTACGTGACACTTTGGTTGTCTGCGACACTCTAATCTGCACGCCATTGCTGCTGCGCCGAAAACTGCAGTGATATTGTCAGGTTGTTGACCGGTCAGCTAGAAACATGCCATTTTCTCCTGCTGTGCGATTGAGCGCCAAGGGAAGGGGTTACTAGGGACAAGGAAATCTGTGTCGGCCTTCAGGAGTGCTCAGATTGGGTTGGGGTGTTCAATCCGACTGTGTGCCTACAGTTGATAGTGGCCAGTCAACCGCTATACGCGCAGGTAATGTTTTCGCGTTCAGGAATGGGCCTCAATCAAGACGCAGGCATGCCTGTTAGTATTGCACTACAGTAGGCATAGCACTGAAGTTGTGAAGTTTACATGAAGTGACCGTGGCTGGTACATGGCTGAAGTAGTGGCATTTAGTGTCAGTTTGAAGACTGATGGATACAGCCTTTGGTCATCCGGGGAGGCATCCAAGAAGCTTGCGCGGTCTTTGGTGCGTTGTTCAGCATATGACTTGTCTGCAGCACTGCTCTAGTGACCATTGTTGTGCTCACGTAGTGTTGCATTTGCGTCTGGCAGTGCCTGCGCAAAAGCTTGAGAAGTTCGAAGTGTTCTTTGATGCCAATGTGCTACAGCACTTTGATAGATTTTGTGCTCTGCATAGACGCATGTGTGATTTTGGATGGATGTTTTTTGCCTTCGGGTGGTTGATGTAAGGTCTTTTCTTTTCACAAGTTGATTTTTGTTCTCCTCGTGCACCTCTATGGGACACACTTGCATGCCGGATTGACTTTACTCACCTCTTACTCATCGCCTCACCAGTGTCACCACTAGATGGCAAGTGCTTTCGAAGCATCTCGGCATTAAGATTCTCTTCCCATCAGCTGTACGACTGCATTCAGAAGCAGCCCTGAACGCTGAAAAGAAACAGTGTGCAGCGACTTCTTCTTCCTTCAGCTGAGAGACGGGACTACAGAGTGCGATCGGCAACGCTTACAGCTGAAAGGTGGGGACATGGCGATCCATGCCTCAGTAAGGCAAGATAAGGTTTTCGAGGTAACCGTATATTTTGGAAGTTTGTTAGGCCTTTATTGCCGTAGCAGCATTCATGTTGGACCGGCATCACCATCACCCAGTTCAACCAAGCCCCTCGAGGATTAGTGTCTCAGGGATCTTGTCTCTCGACTCGGGATGTTGACGCGTGTCTTGACCGCCAGCCCAGCTTGTTCCGAATTTGAGGGGTTAAGGCACAAACCATGTGATAATATTTGTATCTATCTGATGTCTGTCGCAGCTCCCACGCTGCCTGGAATTGCGGATGCCGGACACCAAGTCTTTGATGGGTGCTTGTAGGGTCCACGACGCTCTGTAGCAACCATGACGGGAAGCAAAGCAAAGGCAAATGGCACCAATGGAAGCGCCCATGGCATTCAGAAGCAGGTGTTGTTGTCAAGAGAACACCTACCTGACATCCGGCATGTCTTAGCCCACTCTTACCGTATCATTCTGCAAGTAGAATATATACGGCAATGGAATAACTCTGTTGCTCACGTACGATGTACTTTAAGGATTGTTTGGGATTCTCATGAGCTTGTCTCACAGCAAGACTGCGGAATTGGAACATCACGTGAACCTACCTGGATCGCAGCAAGTGCTTCGATGGTGCAGGGATTTGAGCTGTTCAAGAGCCTGAAAGATGTCCTCGACCAGCTGGGCCTGACCGACGACGATTATGCCGCTCTCAAGAAAGCTCCGTGCAGGGAGCGCGACCAAACAGATCGCCTGGCCGACCTGATCGCTCGCTTGAAGAACAGGGGCGCCGGTATCCAAGCGAGCTCTTACGACCTCGAAAGGGTGCGCATCTATATCCAGCACCCTCCTTTAGAGACCTATGGCACATGGAGATTAAAGAATTGGAAGGGAGGGGCTTCATAGCTTCTGATCCCAACTTCTCGGCCTGTCATTGCATGCTTGTTTTGGGGACAACACGACAGTTAGAGGGGCGTTTGTCTGCACGAGGAGCAGGTGCTCAGATTGGCCTCGTTCCTTTGCTTCCAGATCAGAATCGACTATTACCTGGAAAGACCATATCATGGCTCGGTGTTGATCTTATCTCTGCCATTACGTGGGCCAGATCCTGGGAACCAACGATCTGGTTGGAGTCGAGTATCTGACTCGCGGCGTGCGCGCGGCGGCCGCTGTGGGCCGAGTGCTGATCCGGGACGAATCTGACAACACTTCTGGCTACGCCTCAGGTGAGAGGCAAGGCTCTGACAAAGAGAACTCTCTGAGAGAGAATGCTCTGACAAGAAAAGAGGGTGTGCATGCTTGCAATGCAGAGTCCTGGGTTTTGTGAATTAGAGTGACCTTATATTCCGGATTTTTTTAAAGCTCAAGCCACAGCGCTATATATGTGATATTGCTGGTCCTCCGGATTGCCCAGCATCAACTTAGATTTGGATTTGGGCAGGCTACAAGTTACTGACACGCTTTGGCGAGCTCCTCTGTAGTATTGGGCGCATAGAATCCAATGCATAAAGAAGATTCACATGCTTTATGTGCTTAGTATGATTTCCTGCAAATTCTGCCATCAACTTCCCAGGGCTAAAGTGGAAGGAGAAACGCCCAACTGTGAAGCATTATTGAATCTGCACGCACTGAGACAAATGTGCTAAGCCTGCTTGCACGCCGGGATATGTAAGCTATTTCCCGGAACAGAGTACCAGACATAATTTTATACTCCTGTTCGGTTCATGTGGCCCGCCATCGTCATGATCAGAGACTTTGAAGGCATGATTTCAGAACATATTTGAAAGTAGATCTTGAATTTGAAATTGAAATGCGCTGTGTGCAGGGTTCATGGTGTCCCCCCGGCTGCTGCTGACTAACCGCCATGTGCTGCCAGACAAGGAAACAGCTGCTGCAAGCATGGTCGAGTTCGGCTATGAGAAGGACGAACGCGGTATTGCCAAACTGCAGACACAGGTACCGCCCCAAAGACTTTGCCTAATCTTCACTGCTGCATGCCATCAAGAAATCTAATATTGTCCCCTGGAAGTCTCTGTCTGAGCCCTCGGCCACAGAACAACATTGGGGAATGCATGCAGTGAGGAAACCGACGCAACTGGAGTGATGCCAGCGGCGCACCTTCCTTTGCAAAATGCCCGTTGGCAACCATGCGTCGCAAAGTGCACGTTGGCATTACCATGTCAAAAATGTGACATAAACCCTACAACAAAGTCATCTTAAAATACATGCAAAACATTTACTTGAGTAAATCAATAGAGAAATTGCTGTGTTGCAGAGCCATGGCATTGTGACGTCAGCTGTTCGATTGCATGTATAAACGATGCATGGGATCTGCGCATGACAGGTTTACCGCCTGGACCCCACCGCTGCTTACTTTGTTGGAGACACGGATGATTTGGATTTTGCATTCTGCGCGGTGGCTCCTGAGGAGCAGCGCGGCACTGCTGGAGCATATCTGTCGCAGTGGGGCTATCTGCGTCTCGACAAGCAGCTTGGCAAGGTGCGCGCCTCTGTGACTACCTCACATTACCTATAATTACCTCATAATTACCTATGACTACCTCAGAATTACCTCAGAATAACCTTGAGCTCTTCCTTCAGCTTCATAAGGGGGCCGCCTGACTTCCTATGACTACCTCAGAATTACCTCAGAATAACCTTGAGCTCTTCCTTCAGCTTCATAAGGGGGCCGCCTGACTCCCAATCACAATATGTGCTTATAGCTATTTGGTTCTGCACCACCTTGTTTGCATGCCTTCTTGGGCCAGAAGAGTATTAGGATTGCCATATTTACAACGGAATGCAGACACGTGAGAAGTCTTTGATATGGAGATGGGCAGTGACAGACTGCCCACAAGACCGATGGGCCTCAGGTGGCTCCCAGAAGGTCTATAAAATGAAATGCATACAATAATATCTTCTCAATGAGGCTTCCAAGGGGCTGATCAGGAGTTAGAGCAGAGCATAGCGCAGACTTTTGTGCCACGTCCACATTGGTGACCAGTGAGCAGTGTCTGTTTTTTCCACTTCCAGATCTGCACGAACAGTGTCAAGGGCTGGTAAGCATTTCTGCTAACTGTTTGCATGTATACCTAAGCTCTGACTAGGATGCCGCCTCCTCAGTCTGCCATTCACATCAAACTGCTTTTAGCAAAGTCAAATCTCACCGGATGCTTGACTCAAAATCTAAGAGTCACGGGACTCAGCAAAAATTCACTTGTGCGCTGTGGAGTGACGGAATTTCTATCTTGATTTGAGTTGAGTCCCAATGTTGCTGTTCTGTTTTTGAAGCTCTTGCCTTCGGCTTCAGGTTGCAGAGCTGGAGTATGTGACAATCATACAGCATCCGGGGGGAGACTATAAGCAGGTTGCTCTGCGAGAGAACAAGGTGCTGTCCAAAAAGAGCCCCACTGTTCTGCTGTACCAGAGTGACACAGCACCCGGCAGCTCTGGCTCACCAGTCTTCAACGACCAGTGGCAGGTGAGAGCTGGCATCTGTCTTCATCATTACAGGAGTACTCAATGCCACAAACCATCAAGATCCAGGGGATGATAGAGCTTTGCACAATGATACGCGGCAAGAGGGGATTGACAAGGGCCATATATTTTAGGTTTAGATACTCCTCTATTTCATTTACTTAAGGTGTAGGGTTACCCTTAACCCTAAAGTTAAGGAGGGCCAAGCAAGTGTATGAAGGGCCAAGCAAGGATGGGCAAGACAAGGAAATCGACATTTTGGTGCAGTCAGTGAAGATCAAGCATTTGGTCCCTGACGTTGTTGTCTAGAGAGATATAGCTCCTCTTTCACTTGCGCAAAACGTGCGGACTACTCTAGTTCCTCACTTTGCGCTGCGGTGAGCACTCTGTTCGCTCACTGGGAGGGAGGGAGCAGAGCAGACATGTTAGGTATACCCTGTCCTCGTTGCACTGGTGCTTTCGTGTACTCTGCTTGGCAAGGAGTGCGCTAATTAGCCACTCGTCAGTGAAGGCAGGAGTCTTCTTTACATAGTTGTGTGCCCTTACTTGAAGAATCCCTGGTCTCACAACAGCATACAGGTGAATTTGCTGTTGTTTTGAGCTCCCCATCCCTGATTTTGCGGTGGGGTTTACCTTTGGGCAGGCCATAACATGTCTGTCGCACCTTTCTCTGGTGCTCCTCTGCATTAGGCGGCTGCCTACACCAGGAGTTTTGAGCAGCATGTTCAAGCGTGCCCATCAGCCACGCACACAGGAGCAACTAACCCGCACAGTGACTACACATGCAGACACGTGAGATGTTTGTGATATGAAGATGGGCAGTGACAGACTGCCCACAAAGACCAATGAGCCTCAGGTGGCTCCTAAAGGTCACTGAAGAATAAACACAACCTGTATTGTGATTATTCTTCAGGTTGTGGCTCCAGAGGCCAGTGGTTCAGATTTGTGGCTCCAGAGACCACAAAGATACATTGCCTTTGCATGCAGGCCTCTGCTGCTCATGTGATCTGCTCTGTTCCCAGGTGGTGGCCTTGCACAGCCGCGGTGTCAAGAAGGCAGCCGGGGGTGCAAATGGCGTTGCTAAGACCAGCACTGCGCCGGCCGGAGGGCAGTATGAGGCAAATCTGGGTGTGCGAATCAGCGCCATTGTCAACTTCCTGGAGTCTGATGCTGAGGCCAAGGTGCGGCGCTGACAGATCCCCTTCACCCTCATCTGCGCTTTTTTCAAATTGTTTTGAATTCCTTGCGCGAGCTCGGGACCTGTGATCTGTCCAGGCAGCACTCTGTAATGATCATGGAGTCAGCTTTTCAATGCAATTGATTCTTCACCCAAGTGGCTTACGGCAGGCTTTCTGCCACTTGATGATGACAATGGGCTAGGAGGGATTAGAAATCCCGACTCCGGGGTTCGTAGCCACGTGCTCTAGTCCGCTAAGCTTGACAGTATTTTATGTAAAAGATTTTGGATGGAAGCCAATGGCTACAAACATATCCTAGAATAAAATTTTGAGGCCACAAAATGGGCTAATTGCTGGAATTTCTCATGGAATCTGTGATTTGGGTGTATATATGCTGACAAGGGGTGAAATGTGGCTTCCTGTGCTGTTGCGTTTATTTATTTTTTGAAGCCAATCGCGAAGTAGGACACCCTCAGGTAGTTTATGCGCCACAAAAATGACATGTTTACGTGTTCAGAGCCACATTGGCTTCAGGACGCCACTGAAATAAACCCCGGAGCTTGTGGAACAATGTAGCATGGGTGATCAGTGCATCTGAAGCAGTGCCGCCAGATGGTGGGGAGCATCAGTCCGTAACACATGTCATTTCTGCTGATTTGCACTATTCTGTTGGGCGCAGAAGAATCTGCTGGTGCATGCCTTTCTGAGTGATCTCCAGCTTGGAGGTCTGCCAGTGGCTTCTGTCGAGGTAAGAATTGTATGCCTGATGAATACACTGATCTGGTGCATTCTCAGATACAATTATTGTTGTTGGTACATGCTTTTCCTGCCAAGAGGCAAGCTTCATTTGAAGGCTGCCACAATCCTACCCAGTGTTGGACTCGCCAGAGTTAAGCAAGAAACAATCAACCGTGGGCACGGTGCTCAGTATTTATACCGCCCCTGGCCAGCCGGGGCCCTGATAATGCTCAGATATGGCTTTAGCATTTAACAAGGCAGTCTGGCCTGCCCGAATGCATTGCCTAATTGGGCGGTCTAACCTCCGTGAAGCATTGCGTCGTTGCATAGTAACAGCCCTTGCACTGGCCAGAGACTATTCTTACAATCATTTTGATGATAATAGATTTTGACCCTTCACCTCAAATCTACCATTGCATTCCCCGTGAAAACTCAATCCTGTAAAGGCCCCTTCCCCAAACCCTAAGCTAAAAAAATTCCCGTGGCATTGCACTGGCACTCCAGGAGGCCGCCGAGGGGATCGATGCGCTGGAGAGGGCAAGAAAGAAGAGGGGAGCACCAGGGCAGGGGGGCCGCAGAGTCGCCCTTGCCAGGGAGGAGCAACTGGCGCTGCAGTCAAGGTAGTTTCCCAACCTTGTTACTGTAGTGCTCATTCTGAAATCTTCTGTCTGTAACAGAATTGTCTCACAGAGTATTTAGGGCGAATTCTGGAGTGAAGAGTAAAGTATTCCATGGTGACATTTTGATGGGTTGCAAGCATACAGTGCTTGGCCTTACTGCCACATTCCCCTGATGAGGTCATAACCACTTCTCTCTTGCATCCACACTACAGTTGAAGCATCCAGACAGAGTCTCGGGGCAACCAACTACAAATTCTTATGAATGTGACATGTACATCTTGTGCGTTCGAAAAGCTTGAATTCTCGAAATTTGAAAATGGAAATCTTAAAATTTAAAATTGATGGCAAAGCTACATGCTGTTATTGCAGTACTGGTTACGACCCAGACTTCTTGGGCTTGATTGATTTTGAAATTCGAATTCCAAAACTTTGAACTTGCAAGATTGTTAGTGACAAAGCTACATGCTGTGATTGCAGGACTGGTTACGACCCGGACTTCTTGGGAGTGACTATTCTTCTGCCTGACAGCACTGCGGCACAGAAAAAATTTGGTCCGCCTGTCACGGTCGGAGGTGCGGCCAACAAGATCCAAAATCCACCATTTGGCATCATCCTCTTACAATGCAAATACCTGAAAATATTCCAGGAGAATGGATTCTGCGTCTTTGGGCCACTTCATTTGCCCATCTTACAAGCACGGCATGCCATGCTAACATATCTCAGAGACACTGCCGTCCACTGCACATTACCGCGCTGCTGAGTATCCAGAAGTAAGACCATGTTTGCAATGATGTCAAAGATGGAATGTTAGGATTGTTCTTTCATTGTTATTATTCCTAAGGACCAGGTACGTCAAGCAACACCTGAATTAATGTTATTGCTTTCCACTCTTTCCGATTCTTGCATTTTCTCTACAAATCATAGGCATGACCAATGGCATCTGGATCTTCTTGGACATAGTCATTCCACTTCTTCAAGGGACTATTCTTGCTGCTAGGATATACGTCTCTCAATGCTTAGTTCTGCGGAGGTGCATTCAAGTTGATCTGTTTGTCATGCACACGCAGGTGACGCTGTGCTGAACTACATGCACTTCTCGCTGGAGCTGAGTTCCGAGCGCAAGCTGGCTTACTGGACGGCAGTCAACATTGATGGCGCAACCGCTGCCAGCCCAGCAAGGGCCCCCAAATTCAGACTGGACCCCCGGCTGAAGGAAGGGGTGAGCTAAACACACCCTTGGCACCTCAATCTAAAATGGTGATAATATATATATACACATTAATAAAATATAATCAGTCGTCTGTTTTGTGTCAGGCCTGGTAATACTGGATGAAACCCAGAGCTACTCATTCATCTGGAATGTTCAAGAACTATTCAGCTGAAAATCACTGAATCTGGCAGCATAATCACACGCTACTCTTGCCAAAGGCATGCGTCTGAAGAATGAATCTCTCCAGCAGTCAAAATGCACCATGCTTGCACTCGAAATCCGCGCCTGCAGCAATTATCTCGCAAAGATGCAAATAGTCCCGCATGTGTGTTCTTAGTCTGTTTTGATGCTTGCCAGTGATGTAGTTCTTCCACACTTTCCTTTAATTTTCGTGCAGGATATCTTCTTCCGCACGGCTTGATATACCAACGCAGACTACTCCACCTGTGCTTGGCTTTGAGTGCAAGAGTGGCTAGCATGCGAGTTACACATACCGGAATATGCTATAAAACCCGCCATGCTATAAAGAACAAATGTGATCGGCACCTGCTCTAGTATGTATTATCTTGCAGGAATGCATCTTTTTGTCAGCGTATTCATGCTCACTTTGGAGCTCCAGCTGATTTTGCGAGGCTTGTGGTATGTGCTTTCCTTTGCATGGCTTGCATGATTTCCTTGAGTCTGAGTGCAGGAGCAAAGCGGCGACGAGCTGTACACGGAGAATGTCAACTACTTTGACCGGGGGCACATGGTTCGGCGCAAAGACCCCTCCTGGGGTGACAGCTATGAATACAACGCCGGAAACCTGGACTCAATGTACTTCACCAACATTGCTCCTCAGTACTACAAGGTCAACCAGGTGTGTTTGCTCCTAAGTATCATTTTTATTACTACATATCACACGTTTTCCAGGTTCGAGGTATCTAGGATTAAGGTACGTCCAGCAACAAGTGTATCGGATTTTTCCATTCTGCGCGGCCATGGCACTTTTTCCACCAATGCAATGAGGATCCAATGGACTCCAAATCCAATTTCTCCAACTGAAAGAGCCAAGATATTCTCTTGAAGGAGTCTCCTATGCTGCAGCCGTGTCATTTTAATGCCATTTTGTCGCACTCTTTGACTACAATGACATGTCCGGGTCGAGGCCTTGACTAATATTCAGGGGCGTGTGAGCTCCCCTTTGTATTGACCTTATGCTGATGGATTCTAGGATGGGATTTTAGTCTGCCAGAACACCATGCCAGTCAGTTTGACAGGGGCCCTAGGCCTTTAAATAGGGCTAGGGCGCATTAGTAGCTGTGACAATTGGGCATCCCTTGCCCCTAGCCCTGAAAATTTTGGCCAATCCTTTGGGGGCTGTCAAATCCTGATGCCACGTCAATTGTTCAGACCACCATGCAAGTCATAGATGGGATTGCCAGGGGGAGTGTCCCTAGAAGAACTTGTCTACCTAATCCCCCTGGGATTGCCCAGATCTCTGAGGCCATGTCAGACCCCGCAATGCTTGGCCAGAGTTGTGACATAAATAAGGGGTGTTATTATAACAGGTTGGCAAACCCAAATCCAAACCTAAAACCCTACACCCAAAGAACCCAAATCAAATATAAAATAAAATGTAAATACAGAAGGTTGCTGCAGGGTGACCAGCTCTGGGCAGGACTGGAGGACTACGTTCTCAACAATGCCACCAATGACGGCCTCAAGATATCCGTCTTCACTGGACCTGTCTTCAAACAAGACGATGCTGTTCACCGCGGAGTGCAAATCCCCGGGAAGTTCTGGAAGGTACTGGTTTTTCCGCACCCTCCGATATTGTTCTTATTCTTATTATTGCACGCTTTTCCTGCCACGAGGCAAGGTACGCCCGGCAGACAAGCTGCAGTTGAAGGCTGCCACAAGTGTACCCTTGGTTGGACTTGCCAGATCCAAGCAAGACCCAATCAACCGTGGGCACGGTGCTCAGCATTTATACCGCCTCCCGCCACCCCTCCAATATGCAACTCACCCTTGCTGCAAGCTCTGCAGTGGGCTACTGCAGTATACCCCCGGCATTCCATGGGTGCCAAGATAGACCGAGCTGGAAGGCTGTCATAGAAACGCTGCTGCGACGCACCTAAGCCAACTGTGGCTTGGATAGGTGTGTAATAATAAAAATAACAATAATAATTACTCCATCCATAGCCAGTGATGTGAATTTGCAGCACTGCTGGTTTGGGGCTGCACTGGAAGCTCATGAAAGTGACAGCACCAATACTGTGTACATATCATGACAACGCTCCTGTCCCTTTGTTCTGTGTCCCCAGTCTTGCTCACCCTGACACATAGCTACGTAAGAAATGTTTCCCAGTAGCGATGATTTGTTTTCCATTAGCAGTAACCCCTCAGGATACAGTACATACTGTTCCTTATGAGTATGGCTGTTTTGCCATTCTTAGCATGTGTTGGGTGCATTTTTCTTTACTAGTCACACTTGAGGCCAATCTCTTCAAGGTCAGCTCTCACAAAATCATTCCAAGCCCAGCAGATCCCTCACCATCGATCATGCTATCACGTTGCAGGTGGTTGCACTGGTGCACAACGGAGTGGTGCGCTCGAGCGCGTACGTTGTCAGCCAGGAGAAGTTTGTGACGGCTGAGGCGCTGGCCGGCATCGATGAAGAAGTGGAGCCCTTGGGAAACATCCTCGGCTTCCAGGTAACCATGACTCACTCTTACAGATCTGGGCTTGCTTGAAGGATTCCTAGTCTCTTTTCTAAATCATCTGTGAAATTGCCGTCCTTTCGAGCTCCCCAACCCTGCTTTTGCAGGTTTGATCTACAATTGGGCAGGCCATAACACAATTAAGCCACCTATCTCTGATGCTTCTTTAGATTAGGCAGACAGCGGCTGTGTCTGACAATGTCCAATCCCCGCATAGGATAGTAGTGACCATTTGACATCATCCGACCGGTTTGGGCATTAGTGACAATCCTAGACGCCTCCAATGAATTGTTCTAAGTTTGGAGTGCTGTGGGATGCTTGCATGATCCACCTGAAAGGCATGCACCACAGGATTTCATGTTTTTTTTTCTGTATAATATATTGTTCACACAACACATGGCAAGAATTACTCTCGGCCTCAAGATCGGTGTTTGTATTTCTCTTGGCCTCAACATCGGTGTTTGTGGCGCACAAAGACTATAATGCCAGCAGAGTTGGCATTGCCATGTGTTTAGTAATCACATGTAGTAATCAGTAGAAATCAGTGATTCCTCACATGCTTGTCATGCAGGTGTCCGTGGCGTCTCTCCAAAAGCAGATCGGCATCGATTTTGGGCCAGACATCGTGTCAGGCGACGCATTCAAGAAGGGTGCAGCCGCAGTCAAGGTTTCCAAAAAGGGGCCGAGAGGAAAGAAAGAGGCCACAGCTGTGGACGAGGAAAGTCTGGAGGCTGTAGACGTCGCAGCACTGGGAGATCACAAGCTGCTGACCTCCCTGAAAGACATTGATCTGTAGATGGGTCAAATAGCCGGCAAAGGAGTGCGCGCATGGTTGTCTGATTAATGGCTAGCTGCCAGCTGCATGACTTCACCGAACATTACTGTTATCATTATAACACGCTCGTTCCAGCCCTCAGGGCTACGTATGATGATTCCTCTCCAGCCTTCCCTGTCTTGGCATGTTCTCCACCACTGAAAATCACGAAATGTGAAAAGCCTGGCCAGGCTAGGTATGAAGTGTGATGTTTGCTGCTGAAGAAATTTTTGTTTTGTTCTGAAAGTTGTCCTGCGGATGGCGCAATTATTTCAACTATTTAAGGGCGTCAGGTGCCCTCAAGTACCCCTCAAGTTTGCAGAGTATTGGGAATTTTGCTCCGGAAAAGTTTTTCCACACTGCATGGAAGTACAAACAAGTGCAGAGCTGCCACGCATTGGACACAATTATCCTTCGTTTCATGAATGAGTTTGTTCTCTGAAGTACTGATGGCCATGACTGTTCTGATGTCCAGAAGTGCATTAATGAAGTGTACCGTCTGCTTGGTCTCCTTGCTGATTTGAGTTGCCATGTTAGCGCATTTGAAAAGATCTGCTCAGTCATGGATTGCTGAATAATGTGTCATTAGGCATCCTGGGGCTGTCAAGTACATTTGCAAAGGTGTGGTCAATACAATGAGAATGGTCATGTCAGGGGCCAATAATCCTTGTAACTCCTCCACCAAACTTAACGTGTAATGCTTTTTTTTTCATGCTTGTTCCAGCCCACTCAGCTAAGTGCAATGCGAAAGTAATGCTTCGAGTCCTTCAGAAGCCCCAGCTGCTAAGAATGCCTATGGTGTCATAAGGATTCCCTAGAGGCTGGCACCAGCATGAATTAGATCCCTCCCTCCCTCGGTACAGTAAATAAGACTGCGCAGTCTTATTCTCATGCATGCAGTTTGTCACTCAGTCCAAAGGCTCCTCATCTGACATGCCGTCCTTGAGGCGCTTTGAAGGAGGCTCCAGGCCATACTCCTCACCCTGCACAGTATTATATTCCTCTGGTCATTAGTAACCAGGTGACCTCTAGATGGGGCAACCTATAACATCGTGCATAGCAGGGATGCGTAAAAGACAGTTATTGCTCACCAGTCAGAATTTCAAGTTCGAATTAAAAAAAAAATACACCACGCATTACTCTTTCATCCAAACCAGGCTACCCAGCGACAGGTGCATGCAAATCTGATCGCGGCAACTTCAAGTCTGTTCAGCCTAGTGACGCATGGGAAGGCAGCGGACACATTATTGAAAGGATGTTACATGACAAAATATTTCATTAAGGCGCTGACACTGAAGTGGCAGGCAGCCACGTAGATGCTGCTCTACTTGTTGCAAGGTTTTTCACTGGGGCTCACCTCGGCTGGCCTCTTGGCAGACGGCTGCTCATCATGACCTTGAGTCTCAACTGCAGCCTGCTTCTGCTGTCCAGCAGGATGCGCCTCTGCAACACTGGCTGGGGCCGGCTCTGTGGGCCACTGCATGCGCGCTGAGGTCTGCAGATTCATGTTCAAAGCAGTCACATTTTTAAGAGCACCTGCTGTTGCCTCGTCTGGCTCCACCGCTGACGCTGCTTCTCTGCTCTGCTCCTCACCAGCTGCAGAGGCCTGCGCCACCGGCCTGTCAGCTGCTTCTGCGCTGCTTCCAATCGATCGCTCTGCGGGTGCATCCGCCTGTGTGATTTCAGAAGCTGTGCCCCCAGCTGTGAGCGATGCAGGCTGCGCTGTGGCCTCTCCTGGTTGTGCAGCTGCATCAGGCTCGGTGGCCTTAGCAGCATGTGTCGTGACAGCGGCATTAGGCTCTTCTGTAACCACTGCAGGCTGTGCTGCGGGCATCTCTGGTTCAGGAGCTGTGTCGGCCTCTGTGGTGTCAGGGGCATTTGCCTCATCTATCGCGGCTGTAGGCTGCGCTGTGCTCATGTCTGGCTCTGTGGCATTTGCGGGGTCAGGGGCAGTTGCTGCAACTGTCTGCAAACCAGGCTGGGCTGTGGCTATCTCAGGCTGAGCAGCTGTGGCAGCTACTGCTATTGGTTCACTCTGCACATCGCTGGGCGCAGTGTTGTCAGATGCCTGCTTTGCTTGCTTTGCCTGCTTTGCCTGCTTTGCCACACCAGTCGGATTTGCCTCGGTGCCAAGCTCAGGGTCAGACAATGGCCCCCCTGGCTGGTGACTAATAGCCGGAGCTGCCTGTCCCTGCATGCATGCAATAAATATAATGCTCTCCAGTCTTCTATCCATGCTTGGCCGACACAGCATGTCACACAGGAAGTTTTGAGGTGTGAGAGAACTGTCGAGCTGCATGTCTGCACCTGTACAGAGCCGTAAAGGTGCACTCCGATGCAGATGGTCTTGGGTTATCTTATCCTGTTTGTGAACTATTGGCATCAGTTTTGAGTGAGATGAGCGCAGGTCACCGGATCAGACGGTGCTGCAGCTGTGTTCTCCCCAGATGGCACTGTGGCCTCATTGGCCTTCTCAGTTCCTGGTAAGGCCCTGGCTGTATCTGGTGCGTCTGTGCCTGCAGCTGCTGTTGTGACAGGCCTCCCAGCCGCTGCTGCCTGGCCACTGTCAATGTCCATGGGCACAGGCTGCACACAACCATTGAAAGCTTTAGAGACCCACCAGAGAAGTGGCACATTGCGAATGTTGCAGCACAGGGGAAAATCAGCTTGATCACATTCTTCAATTGGTGGGGGGTCACAGGTGCCCGACAGAGACAACAACCACCTGCACAGGATGCTCAGGCTGCCTTGCAATCGGCATTTTCCCCTTGTCTTTCTGCCCAGATGGGGTTTTGATGTTGGGATCGCTGACCTGCACGCAGCAACAGCAGCGCATGCTCGGAACCAATGCCCACCACACAGAAATTGTCGCCTAATGGCAAGCACCGATGCAACGCCTTTTGTATGAACCTCTGAATGCCCTACACACACTCACCGGCTGCAGGTGAGGAAATCTTGGGCCAGGCTTGCTGCCAGAGCGGTCGCCTGGAACACACATAGCAAACTGATTATCTCATGCAAAGGGGTGTACAGTAGTGTTTTTTTCTGGTCCTTCAAGATCACAAAAATTCTCAAATCACAAAGGGAACACATTAATGGGAAGATAGACACCTGTGGCTACCCATTTCAGGAGGGCCACCTTGCTGGAGCCAGGCGTCTTGCCAGGCTCGACCCATTGTCTGATCCATTTCTGGACGTTCCCTTGATACTGCTGCTGCCCCTGACCGCGTGCAAGGCTGCCACGAGTCGTCATTGTGCGGCTATGTTTTGCCCAGATCTAACCTCTCCAGTCTCTAAAATTCAGATGCCCCAGCCTGCCTGCAAAGACTTTGCGTCCATATTGGGATTGGGTGTTATGTCCCCTTATGTGACTGAAAATTTTCCTGAGTATGTCTTTACGTATGCAATCTCAAGGTTGAGCTACTAGATTGAGACTTCTTGATGGTCAATCGCAATACTCGTAATACTTTTTTGTTCCCGAAATCATGTTAAGAGTGACAGGATTTCCGTGACATGAATTATCTTCTTGTAGTAATTGTGAGAAGGTTGTTTTGAACCAACCTTCCCAACTTGAGTTGAGTGGAAGTTGAGCAGGAATAGCAAGTCCTCATTTGGCACCTGTCCAATGTGCAGCCATTTCAAAGCCATTTCTGGTGATCAAACGATGTATCCACATCACTACACTTGTACCTATCGTGAGAGACGCATGACAAGGAAGTTCGCTAAGAAACGCAGGTGACCGAGACCGTTGAAACCAGAGTGATCTTGGTTGCAACCAGCCGTCCTTTTCGTTGATCAAATAAATAACAATTCTTACAAGCGTATAGAACCTCCTACACTGGGTGGGCGCATACCAACTCGCGACTAAAACGGCAAAAAAACTCCTCATGGCACCTTCACGCAAGGCACCGCTGGGAGTTGCGCCTGGAGAAGAAGCGCTGGTTGCAGTTCTTCTTGCTGACAGCTTCAATCAGGTGTGTGATTGCCATCACGGCATGAAGCAGACGTGTTCCATAGGGACCTGGACACAGCATGTTCATGGGTAGATCGGCTCTCCACCAATACATATCCATTCGCTAGATTCGATCGAAGCATATCAATCCGTTATTCCTTGACATTCTTCATAAATCTGAATATGATTGTCTGCATCTTTGCACCATGAAGTGACATGAAGCTGTGCATGGGCTGGCTGCTGCAGCGCTTCAGGCCAATCACACTGGAGCGACCCAAGGTCTTGCTGCCTCTAGCCGGATTCCCTCTCATAGACTACACATTGGAGTGGCTGGCCTCCAACGGTGTTGCCGAGGTGCGGGGGGTACTCATGCTTCTTCTGTATCACAGATGTGGCCTTCCCACTTGCAGAGAAGGTGACAGAGTTGGAATGCTTTCTAAGAACATTGGAAAAGCATTCTATTCAATACCCTTAGTGATGTAATAACGATGGATCGAGATGGAGGATCCCATGTGCTGGTTGATGGTATCGAGCAAGGGGCAAGACAGCTTTCTAGCTCTCAGGTTCCGCACTCCCCACCGCAGGTGTATGTCTTCTGCTGCGCGCATGCAGAGCAGGTGAAGGAGCACCTTAAGGCAGCAGGGTGGCTGCAGGAGCGAGCTTCAATCACTGTTAAGGTGGGATGCACATCTCATCTTCCACCCAGTCCTTGACAACATGCTGTCTGCCCCGCGCAGCTCGTATGGAACCCAGCAGAGGCTGCCATTCAAGAGCAGACAACAAAGCCCTCATCTTGCATGAAATGTTCTAGTCATGCATTCTTGCATGCGTGGACGGAGATGCAAGAGATGTAGCTGGTGGTGAGTGGATGGAGCCTGGTCCTCCAGGGATATTTGGACATGTGGGAGTCCTGGCATCTGGACAAGAGCCACATTCCTCTATGCAAAACCTCCAAAGCTCAATTCCAAGCGCGCAGACAGAGTCCCATGTTGAGCCAGCGTTGCTTTTACTGTGCAGGTGATTGTGTCCACAACATGCAAGTCGGAAGGGGAGGCGTTGCGCGAGATCGATGTGAAAGACCTGGTTAAGACCGATTTTGTGCTCGTGACTGGTGATGTGGTGTCCAATATGGACCTGGGCAGCGCCCTCCGCATGCACAGGGGGCGGCGAGAGAAGAACAAAGGCGCCCTCATGACCATGGTGAGCATGTGCTTGTGCAGATCCTGCATTGCAGACACTGCTTGATTACCAGCACTGCTGTTCGTATTCTGCCTACGCAAATACTGAGGAAAGTGACCTGGGTGACTGGGCTGCTGTGTGGTTCTCGGGCGGGCGCTTTTCTATTTTATGAGTTCAGGCCTCAGCAAACAGCAGTACAAACAAGTGATGGCCTGCCTAGAGCACGTGAGCAATATGGGATCAGAAGTACTACCCAATTCTCTTCTACTGAAACTGTCAGGCAGACATCTTTGCAGCAAAGGATCCAGTCGACAAGAGGAAAGAAGCTGGCTCGGTCCCTAGGAGTGACTTTCCACTTATAGCACCAGGCCAAGTCAGGACATTGCCATGAATTTGAAGGCCCTTCTCTGCCAGAGCAGCAAGGCTGACCTGTCTCACAGCAGTCTTGACGAGTCATTGTTACATAAGTGCTTATGTGGCGACAGGTGATGAAGGCAGGGACCACGCCAGCGCAGAGGAGGCGGCTGGGGGACCACAGCCTCATTGTTGCCATGGACCCCCAGACCAAGCGGCTGCTGCACTACGAGGAGGTTAGTCACTTTCATAGCATGCCAGCCATCTCCTCTTGTGAGGCATGCCTTCATCTCTCATTCATGAATTTTTTATTCTTTGCTTTCGCGTACTTCAGCATTGCATTAGAAGCCATGCAACAGGAGCCTATGCGACAATGCATGGCCACTTGGGCAATGCAAAGAGACACACCAAAGCTTCAATCCCATGTGACATGAGAACAGGCATCCAAGTTCGTCTGTCAAGGTTGTGACGAGAGAATTTGTGTTCTCCATCATCGAAATTGTGCAACAAATGTAAGACAGAGCCGATAGATTAGTAGCAGCACGATAGAAAACTTGTTCATCACGGGGTAGCGAAGAAGATGGCAGTCTAAATTCTTTGCATGCACAGGTTGAGGCAGGGAAGCCGCTGCCGAATCACGCCACGATAGACGCGCACTTCTGGGGAGAGACCGACTCGGTGGAGGTTCGCACAGACCTGGCGGACACCAACATCTACATCTGCGCCCCAGAAATCACAATGCTTTTCTCCGACAACTTTGACTACCAGGTGCGCACCTGCCGGCACATGGCGGCACATGCCACAGATCGACATTAGTGTCCTCGTCCTGCTGTCTAAGCATATTCTTGGTGGAAAATTATTCTCAAAATGCGCTTGTGATTGCGGTGAACAGGTGAAAAACTTGCCGCCTGCTTTAAAGACAGTCCTGCCTCATGCTTTCTTTGTCTCTTTCCATTATGAAAAGGCAGCTTTGGGTGCTCCCAGTTTCACATGCTGTGCATGAAACAACCCCGCTCATCGAGGAGCCCTGGTAGCAGCATGGTTGCTCTCTTGCATATAATTGAGGCTTGGAATACTGCATGTGGCACTCCTGTTTGTGCAGCAACAAGGCCAGTGCAGCTCCATCCCTACCAGTCCTTCTTCCTCACTATTTCAGCTGCAGGATGAGACTTGGAAGTATTTTCAAGACACGCCGTGACTCTCGCTGTTGACTGATGTCATGGCAATTCGTGACACTGTCTTTTTGGTGGCCGCAGAACGTGCGCAAGGATTTTGTGTCGGGCGTTCTAAGCGAGGAGGAGTTGGGCCAGCAGCTGTTTGTGCACGAGCTGCACCGCGACTACGCGGCCTCTGTCCTCAACTTCCGCTCCTACGATGCCATCTCACGCGATGTGCTGCAGGTTTGTGAATCTTTCATGTTGCAGAGCCTGCAGTTGCAGCAGATGCATGCGGCTCTGGTCAACATCTTAGCATGATCCGGCGCATGGCATTGACAGGGAATTAGGCAGAATATGTGGAAGACTCGTTGTCTGTTTGGCCGTGCGACAAGTTTGGTAGGGTCGGAGACGATCTGCTTGCAGTCGCAGCCCTGTTTGACAGCTGGTTGCGTATTGGCATGGGTCGAATTGCTGTCAAATTGAATTTTGTAATTGCTGTGCAGAGGTGGACGTTCCCGTTTGTGCCTGACACAAACTTGCTGCCGCTGGGGGGTCTCTGGGGGCCCTCCTCCTACCGCCTGGGGCGCAACTTCATCTACAAGTGCGCCCCTTCTCACTTTCCATAAACTTGCTGGAGATCTATCTCTGACAGGAATAGTGCCTGAAATTATTTTGTGTCTTGACGAAAAGCAGTTTTGCTCTAATCAGAGCTACACCAGGCCCTCTGGATGTTTTTGGACATTGCCCTGCCTCAGCTGGCAACTTGATGACTTATACGTGCACCCTTTTATATGTGCACCCTTCTCTGTGGACCCTCATGACTCGTGCAACGGATGTCAGAGGTCGTAGAAAAGCGTGCCTGTATGTCCTATACAGGAGGAGTCATAGTATGCATGTTGCAAGACATTTGAGAGGTCATGAGAGTGCATCTGTCTGTTTCTGCTCACAGGGAGCAATCACTGAAGCTGGGGCGGGAGGCAAGAGTGGGCCACTCATCCAGCATCGGGATGGGGACTGTTATTGAGGACGGGGCGCAGGTGTGTGTTTGTACTACTCCCTCACTCAGCTTTGAAATATCCGACTTTTATTGTTTCATTTGTGTTAGTCAGCCTGGGCATCTGCGGAAGATCTCTGCTGAAGATCTCTGAAGGTCCACATGATTTGCAGCCTTGACGGACATTTTCGTGATGTTGCTGCACCACCCAGTCGATTTTCACACACACACATGTGATTTGAAATGCTTCTCTGGCATCCTGTCAAGTGCTCACCGCTTTACTATGCAAGCGACAAACTCAATGCCACTTTATATTGATAGCTTCCATGTGGGGTCTGACCTGGTGAAGATAGACCAGCCGCCGGGACAATTGACGCTGTTCTGAGAAGGCACTGTGCTGGCTGGGCAGGTGGCGCAGTCCATCATCGGGCGCAACTGCCACATCGGGAAGGATGCTGTGGTTTTAGGGAGCTACCTGCTGGAGGGCGTCAGGATCCATGCTGGTGCCCAGGTCAGCACTGGCAGTAGAATTCCTCCACTTTGTGTTTAATAGTTCTTTCGACCCTTCATCGACCCTAAACCCTGAATCCACCATTGCATTCCCCGCAAAAAATAATTACTGTAAAGGCCCATTTCTAAACCCTAAACCCTAAATCACATCCCCTAAGCCCTAAGCGGTTCCTAAGCCCTGAGCCGTAAAGTGGATGAAGAATAAGGTCGGGGCACATGTTCCCCATGAATGGCATTGCTCAGTGGTGCTCTTTGCAGATTCTTGGGCCGGAAGTGTCTTGTATGTTGCACGCAACGCAATATTAAGCGCGGGGCAGTGTTTTGTGCCCACGCGGCGCTCGCACTCCTTGCATGTCTGACACAACTTCTCTTTGTTTTTGTCGCATTTGCGATGCAAAATAAGACAATTTTCATGGCTCCACAAGCGCTCATTGTCTGGCTTTTATGTGCTGCTTGTTGGCAAACACAAGTTTGATGTGCATCCTTGCTCATGTTCCCAAGTTGAACGGTGCATGGCTTTCTGTGTGCCAGGTGTCGCACTCGCTGCTGTGCGATGGAGTTGTGGTGAAGGAGGACGCCACTGTCTGCCCAGGCAGCGTCCTCTCCTTCAAGGTGCACCCTCCTCACACAACCATCCATGCCTATCAATTACCTCTGTCGTTTCTCTGGGCTGAGAACATGGCTGGGTATTCCACTTCTCCTCTGCAAAGCATGGGCTTTACAGCCGTGTCAACAGGCACCCTCTTGCTTGTCTCCAGCAGATGTCCTCATTCTCCACGAGGTCTCATTCCTCGAGCTCTGGAAGACACCAGTTTTGTGCTCAGGGAACATAGCATTTGAGGGTTTGAACCCACCTGAAACTCCTGTAAAAATCTACAATATGGAAACATTCACAAATTGAGCAAATTGTTAAACTAAGAGTGGCGTCGCAGGTGGTGGTGGGGCAGGGGCAGGTGATAGAGCAGCAGACGAGCCTAAGCCTGTGCAGGCAGCTGCAACAGAGCGCATCACTCTCAGACGACGAGCTGGAGTGCGCAGCTGCCGGCACAGCTTCCCCGCCATCGGAAGCTGCGTTTGGCAGCAGCGCGGAAGCTGCGCAGCCCGGCCTGGAGCAGGCCGCTGAGGCCCTCAGCGCTGGTGGGGCTGGCCCCCCCTTCCTACCACATCGTGCTCTCACAGAGTTGATTGTGTTTGAGAGGAGAATGGTCCGAGGGAGTTCAGCGAGCCTCAGCTTCTGTGCATGTATCTGGACAGCCACATGGATGATATGGTTGCTTGGGCCAGCAGCACGCATGCGGTGCAGAAGGAGTTGGAAAAACTTTAGTGGTGGCATACTCTGAAATAGCAGTGATTGTAGCTCTCTTACAATGAGGCAGACACCGTCAATTAGGTGCAATTCATTACTGTCCAAAATCCTAAAGTTGTTGAATTTTGAAATAAGCCCATGTTGCCTGTTCAGGAGACGGTGGACATTACGACGCGACCCTGGTGGGTCCGGACGGCGCAGGGCACCGATGGCAGCCGCACGAAGCCGAGCCGGCAGCTTCCGCAGCAGCTGCCGCGCACTTCTCCATCGCGCCGGCGCCCCCGGGGCCGCCGCCGCCACCGGACGACTTTTCCGACGATGACTCCACCGTCGCCGCTGCCGATGAGGCGCAGGAGGCAGCCGTTGCCGATCCGGAGGTGTGCTGCATGCATGTGCTGACATGTGCCTGATTGTCCAGCTCAGCGTTTTGACTCTTGACGGCTGAGTGGCATGCACGGCTTGTGGCCAGGCATGGTATTGTCTGCCCGCATGCTTGCTTTGCAGGAATATGGGGTACTGTTGTGAGTGCCTTGTATTGCCGCCGCCATTGTACCTAGCAGAACACTGCTTGCCAGGCTCCAGTGATGTCAAAATGAGGCTCAGCTTCGCCCACGCACCTCTGAAGACCCAGGAAGCTCCTCACTTCCTTCTAAGGAGACTGGGCGTCTTTCTTTATCGCATGGGACAACTTTTCACAAAGATTGGTACAGGGAGCACACCAGACATGGCTTTAATGCGTCGTCTTTATCACGTTGATTGAATTTTAATTGCAGGCCAGCTTCAAGCGCGAGGTCTCAGAGACCTTCCTGCGCTGCGTGCGCGACGGCTTTGAGAAGAAATTTCTGGAGACGGAGCTCAACAGTCTCAAGATCGCCGAGCACCGCGATTTTGCCGACTGCGCGCGATACATCCTCACCACGCTGCTCACGCTTTGCCTGCCGGCTCCGCCGCGCGCCAAGGCCGAGTACCGGTCGCTCTTCCCTGAGACCGCCCCCAACACCGCCACGCAGGTGAGCGCGCTTTCACTCGCGCATGTAATTGTCTTGTTTTGTGGCATCAGAACATTGCGTGCAGTGACTTTGAGTCTGCACCAGCCTCAACACTGCCAAAGCAGTGAAGGCCACACTTTCCCCTGCATCAGAAAATCTCATCCTTCCTTGGCTGACGAGGATTATCACTAAGGATTGGTATCGAGCATCCTGTACACATTTGGATCTGGTGTCCATCAAGCGGTAGGGTGTGCAGCAGCCTTCACATGTGGCTTGCCTGCAGTCCATCTTGCCTCTTGGAATGAATATTACTTAGTCGCAACTGAAGAAGGGGACTTGTTCATGGACGGTGTGCCGCTGCGTGCAGGCTGGCAAGACGGAGCTGCTGAGGCGGCTGCAGCGGCTGCTCAACACCTGGACCGAGCTCCTGAAACAGTTCCTGCGCTCAGAGGATGACCAGGTGCGCCTGCACATCTGAATATTCAATGGTGCAGCAAGAGCACATCCTGGCTTTCCGGTCAATCAAGCTCTGATTTACCTCAGATTAATTTGCCACTGGGATCACTTGCCTTGGGTTATCTCTATACCAATCCCCTGGGACTCCAGAGTGGAAGTTCAATTCAGTCGGTTGGCAACGCGGCCACTGCATGCGCCACCCTTTTTTCAGCTGCCTGTATGCTTGGATGAAAGGGCAATGACAGTATCTGGTACCCCTGAAGTATATAGAATCTCTTGTTGTGAGGCCTTAAGGGGTGTTAAATGGCTCAGGTGGACCTTCTGCTGACACTGGAGGAGTTCTGTGGAGAGGAGGGAGTCTTCGAGGGCACCGGAGAGCAGGGCAGCCTCTTTTCTGCAGTCTTCGCCAAGGTAAACATTTGAGTAAATGACATATAGACGCCCCGATGAAGCCTGGGCTGTGATCAAGGATACAGAGGTCAAGCATGCCAAACGCATGACGACCTTGCCACCGTGAGGGCATGGGTCACCCCAAGATATGAAAAGCTTGTATGTCCGGCAGAAAAGCCTCTGTGCTTCCATTTGTCAAGCGTGACCAACCCAGACATGACGAGCTGTCTACAGGGATCAGCACCCTCTTTGCCAGGGTTGGTGACTCTTGTATTGACACCTGTTGCAAGCAGCAAAATCAGGCGGGTGAGCGCAGAATGACAAGGTAGCTGGTTGCTGTTGGCTGGCTGAAACGGTAGCTGCAAGGTGCTGCAATTCTTCTGCACTTGGGTCTGCGATACAAAATCGCTTGACCCTACCAGGTTGTCTCCGATGCTGCCTCCAGTCAACATGAGTCATTGCTAGTCACCAGGATGCCATGTGCGCGCAGGTGCTGCAGCTGCTGTACGACGCAGAAGTGGTGGAGGAGGACGCGTTTATCAAGTGGGCAGAGGAGAAGGTGCACGCAGATGCAGAAGACCGGGTGTTTCTGGACAAGGCGGCCGAGTTCCTCAAGTGGCTGCGAGAGGCAGAAACTGAAGAAGAAGGCAGCGGAGAGGAGGAAGAGGAAGAGTAGCAGTTGGCAGTATTCTTGAGATCTACTAAGGGTGTCGCAGAGATTACGTTACTTCTTGAAAGGGAATTGTGTTATTCTGAGAAGTGTCCGTCCGCTTCAACACTGCCATTGATTATAAACCGCCCCCCTTGCATGCATGCATGTGAGTCACTCATGAGATGCGATGCAGAAGACGATGGAAAGCCCCCATGAAAGGAGGACAAACTATCTCTAGAGCTCTCAGAATGTCTCCCTGATCTTGCAGAGTTCTGATCAGCACCGGTACATTCATCAGCCAATGCGCATTCATGCATGCATCACATTTCCATGGGTTCATGTTGTTTATAAGAATTCATGCCTAGACCAGAAAGCGAGCAATCTGGGCTTTAACGGCGTGGTTTGAGGCACCTTTTGTCGTTTGAGTCCACTCGAGGAGGATGTGACTTGCATTTGGGAATGAGGTGATGTGAGGTCAGAGCGGGGGAACCTTTGCTTCGTGTAATCCCACGTGGATACTGAGTCATCGCTTCGTCCCGCCAGAAACTGGATGCCAGCTGTTCTGCAAGTTCGCTGATCGACGCCCGCGAGAAAGTAAAACAATGTCGAGACGGCAGAGGTAAGGCGCTATGGCGTCACTATGAGACGACCACGCAGCGCCCGGGGGAAGAAATGGCAACACAAACCAGTCCGGCTCGCGCTGCTCTTATTGCTTGCAGCCCTTGCACTTGCTGCCGTCACCTGGTTGGCCGGGAAGCGGTCTAACGAAGCGGACAGGTCTGGTGGGATCGGGCGGTTCCGATCACTTGCACGCCTCTGGGGCTGGCAGCCAAAGCAGGAGGAGGCTTGGCCCGAAACGCTGGTGGTCTACATCTTCTCCAACACTGATCCCGAGTACCTGAACAACCTCAACTTCTTCTTGAAGTGGGGAGTGAGAGAAGGGGATGGAGCGTATTATATTATCGTTGTGCAGGAGGGCGGCAAATCTCCGGTGAGGCCCGCTGAAAATCTCTGCAGGCGATCAGGAAATGTACACTTGCTTTGGGCATTTCTTCCCAATCTTTTTGGCACCCTTCAAATTGCAGTCTGCCGCTATACTTGAGTTGTTTATTGTGATGTTTGGCCGTATCAGGAAGGATGAACAGGTGACTATTAGGCACCTGCTATTGAACCCCTCTTTAGTACTTGCAAGCACAGATGGCAGCTCCAAAGCTTGGCACTGCTGAGTAGTACATGCAATGTGTCCACAACGCTTCGGAATGTCCTTTATGGGATGCCTGGTCTGTATTCTTTGGTGCATTGCTCTGATTAATCAGACACTCCTGTACCGTACTGCCAGTTTCTGACCAGGTCTGGCAGCACAGACAATCAATCAGAACAAAGCCGAACACTCTTCATTGATGTGCCGGTAATGCAGTCGTCCTTTTCAGAGACATGAACGCACTACAAGCCCATTCCCTCCTTATTTGTGTGGCGCCACCTTTCCTTGGTCCATTTACAGAACGTGCACACTGAGGTGAAGTTGCTGGGCAGCAGTTGCAAGCTCTTTGACAAGGCCTCTGCCCCCCCTCTTAGGCAGGGCCCGCGGGTAAAGTACCACACCGCATGCGCAGCGCACTATGCTGTCTGCAGCACATCAGACATGGCGAATCCGCATCCAAGCAGGCCTTCCTGCGGGTAAACACATCAGGCACTTGCGCACAGGCGCTATGGCACCGTGCGGTGTCCCTCTGCAGCACATGAGACACGAAGAACCTGCGCCCAAGCCGGGCTATTTTGCCGATGCACGAGGCGCTTGTGCACAGCTATTTAGGGCTCTGGGTGTTGTTCCCTCTGTTTGGCTTCAGCAGATCAGGCATGGAGCAATAGCACCTGAGCAGGCCGTTTTGCAGGTCAAAACATGAGGCACTTGCCGACAGATTCAGGGCACCAATGGACTCCTGATTCGCAGCTCAAGACGTTCCCACTGACTGTACTCTTTTCTTGCTGTGCAGCTGGTGGATCTGGAGGAGGTGATACTGCCGGGTAATGCGCGGCTGCTGTACCACGACAACGAGTGTTATGATTGGGGCACGCTGGGGTGGATTATGTCGGCGGGCATCGCTGACGTGGACGATTACAAACACTTTGTCATGATCAACTCCTCCGTGCGCGGGCCCTACGCCGCCCCCTTCCAACCGGTGAGTGCGCGATATATTTCCCCTTTCCCAGGGTCATGAAGGTCTTTTGGGAGATTAAGACAGGCGCATGGTTGAATTTATGCGACTAAAAGGATGTAGCCTGCTTACATCCTGGTCGTTACTAGATCCTAGTGACTACAATCACATCGAATCCCTGAAAGCAACCTTGCTTGAATACTGCAGCCTTGAATCCTTGTTTGACATAGAAACAAGCCCATAGCTACCCCAGTCCAAAAGCTAATCTACAGCTGCATGTGCTACCAGTGTGCCACAGCCTCCGTAATATCACTGATCTCATGGGATTGGGCCAGAGAGGGGACCGCCTCTGTCTGGCTTGACGCCTGTGGAACAAGCGTCTGTTGCTTGTGCTACCTTTGGAGACAAGGGTCTGTGCTGTGCAGGCTAAGGAGGGCATCAAAAAGATGATGGGCCTGCAGAAGGAGGTGCCAGCCTGGCACAAGCGGCTGACGGAGCGCCTTGCTGGCGACGTGCACATGGTGGGGCCCACCATCAGCTGTGAGGGAACTCCGCGCGACGGAGGTCCCGCCGCCGAGTGGCTCAGCCTGCCACACGTGCAGTCGCACGCCATCGCCGTCGACCAGGTGCGCCGCTCATTCGCCGATGACACAATTGCATGCTGCCGTTGTTTGGTGGCTTCTGTGCACACTGGTGTGCTGAAGCACCGCTCACAGAATCTCAGCCCTGTGCATGAAGGTTTGTGCATGTGCATGTGGCTGCGTGCCTGCTGCCTGTCAGCAAGACGGGCACTTCTCACTGGACTATCGTGCTGGTGTGATGGGTACAATAATCTGATCCCTAACAAAAGCACTCCTAGTACATGTGTCCGCATCAAGGAATTTGCTGCAGTCCCACAGAGACAACTGGAGCTGTTCACTTCTGTATCAAGCATAGACATTGAGCGTTCACTGTTAAGAGGGGCAATTATTGAAATGCTGGATTACTAAATTCAGCTGTGCTGCTGCCCCCCTGCAGGAGGGTCTGCGGACGCTGCAGAGGGATGGCAACGTGCTCAAGTGCCACAGCAACCACTGGGACGCCAAGTGGTACGCAGAGCTAGGAGCCTCCAAGGCCATCCTGGAGGCAGGCCACAACCTGGACTCCCTCATGCAGCGGTGAGGCCCTGAATAGAACGGCATTTCCGCTGCTTTCTGCCTCTACCTTTGGGCAGAAATGTGCATTGTGCAAGTCTTGTGTTTTTTTCTTTGGGCACCCACCAGCAGACGCTGTTGTGCGGCATTTCTTGCCATCCTTGGTTTTCTGGTCCTTACTCTTCAACCTGCCTGTTGCGGTGTATTGGGCATCCATCCATTCTTCCAACATTGATGCCTACCCTTTCTTAATTTGACATACGCGAGGTTGTGTTTGAAAGTGAGTTTCAGAGAAGCGTGCCTGTGTCAGGTATGAGGGCGTGGACTGGAGGGACCCCACGACCTGGCAGTGCGGGGGGAACCGGGGGGACCCTTTTGCGGAGACGGCGATGGCGGTGGGGGGAGCGGGGGGTCCGCTTTCGCTGCAGGAGGCGCTGTTTGTGAAGGCCAAGGAGGGAACGGTGCAGACGTCCAACTCCCTGCTGCAGATGGCGGAGAAGTATGAGCGCTGGATGGAGGAACAGGTGGGCGGTTTACTGTGTCACTGTAGCTCTTATTTTCCCTGCCACTTATATCAGTTATCCTAACAAGACAAGGTGGAACCGGAGGTATTGATCTGGTCTCTGGACTGGATGTGCTTTCCAGGCACTGCAAACAATGGATTTTTTTGCTTCCCTTTCTTATGTTTGTGGCACATCTGTGGCTTTCAGAAAAATCTAGCTTGCCCCTCTTCTACTGTGCAACCCTTTGGCACGCACAAGTGTTCTGGACGCCTGACATGACTTGCCTAGTAGCGGGGCAGCAGTATCTTTCTGCACTTGGCACTTGGCTCTTTGCATGCTGGAATGGCTGAACGCTGCAAGGGCTGATTTCACGGGGTTTGAATGATCAAAGAGTCGCATAAGAAAGGGGCCTGACTGGTTGTATGCTGTGTGCAGTCGGAAGGGGACAATGATGTGCTGGCGGCCATGTTCCCAGACCCCGAGGAGGTTCGCCTGCCACAGGTGCGCAGCCCTCCCCTGTACAGCTCAGAGCGAAGTACTCAGAATTGTGTCCTCGGCATGAATTGAGACTTTTCCAGTTTGTGATGCTCGCTATTGCTATGGCGCATATGGGTACTGTAATCTGCCACACACTTTCCATGGCAAATCTGTCAGGAATGGTGCGACAGTGCATGTCCAAGTGCAGGGGTGTTCAAGACGCAGCACAAGCTGATTTTGACGCCTGAGATACTCAGTTCCTTGCTTCCATTGCTAAGGATTCACCCAAATGGCATGCAATCTTTGCCGCAACAAGTTCACCCTAAACCCTTAAACTCCCTGAGAATGTGAATAAAAAAGAATACAATATGTTTATAACTATGCATAAACATAATTCATAGTATATTCAATGTGATTGTATGACCATAATTTGAGTTTATACAAAAAGAAAGACAAAACGGCACGCAGGTTGCGGCGATGCAGCAGCGGGGTCCCAAGTGCTTTGACTTTGCGTATTACCGCAGCCTCAACACTGACCTGCAGCACTACATGACGGACGATGCGCTCTGGGGTCACTTCCTGTCCTTTGGCCAGTTCCAACGCCGCCCCTTCAGGTGTCCAATCTCACTCCAATCGGGTCCAAATGCGGCCAATACTTATCTGATATTGTTATCATTTGTACATGTAGAGACCTGTTGGGAGCGACGTGAGGCTCGTTGGCCTTGTGTGCAGCCTCTCACCGCCCATCTCCATATCAGACCCTTCTCAGTTTCTGCACTCCGTCAAAAAAATTGCAATCCTATTACTGCCTGGCCCAAAAACACCTGCAGTATTGTGACGTCTGCTGGGCATGTGGGATGTGAGTGCAGTACTATGTGTCTCCTGTGTGATCTGAGCTTGTCAAGCTGTCAGCAAATAACGTGTATCTACCCATCTTTTGGCTTGCTTGCCACTGCTTTGTTTCAGGCATTGCCCTGATTATCATTTGCTCCTTTTCCCTCAAGGCAGCAGTAGCCTTGAATGGAAGTTCATTGTATCTAGAATCTCCAGTCATCCCCCTGAGAGGTTTGATGCAAGTAGTGCTGAGAAATTGTGATGGGCGGTGCAGGTTTACGTGTGACTGGGACCCTCCGGCAGGCCATGATTGGGCAGGCTACCCAATCCGAGCAGATGCCGGCTTGCAGGGCTCCACCGACAAAACACTCGACCCCAAAAAGCAGTACAGGTGGGATGCCCTTCCCACACTCCTTCATTCTTGAGCAGCACGCTGCAGGAGCAAAGAACATGCCAATTGGCTCCTTGTAAACGGGGAACTTGTTCTGCTCAGCCCATCACCAACAAGATTTCCCAGTTGCCCCCTTTGGAGGCCACTGCTCTGCTCAAACTTCCTGACTGTCAAAGGCATCCACACATCTTGATGATCACACTACAAAACCTGTTGACCGTTTTATCATGCACCCCAAAAGGTGATTCACTCAGCATCTCGTCAGAAATTACAGACTGCATATGCTCTGGCTAGGACGTGGCTTTCTGTGCAGGGCAATCCGACCAGTGCCGCTGCCAAAGGTGGATGCAGATTTCTACAGGGCTCAGCAGGAAGACAGCGCGCCAGATGCACAACACCTAGAATCATCCGCACGGCGCTCTCTGCTGCAAATGAAGCAACCACAGCCGCAGCCGCAGCCGCAGCCGCAGCCTGCTTCCCGGCGGCTGCTAAGGCAAAGTCAGGGGGAAAGCCAGATTAGGACGCCCTCCGGGGAGTCGAGGGGAGCGGCAGGGGGCGCGAAGGAAGGCGGGATGCGGCGGCTGGGGGAAGCTGCCGCGGCAGTTTCACGGCAGCTTCTGGGTGACAAGGGCCTACCAGGTGAATCTCATCGTATTTTCTTCACTGAGAGACAAGTATAATTTGAGTGGCAGCGCCTGAAATTATACATTGCATGCCCTGCTATGTATTTTCTGTTTCTGCAGCTTTACAAGGTTAGGACCTTTTTACGAAAGCTCCATTGCATGCTATAATGTTGTGCCTTAAATTGCAGGCACGGGAGATGCCGAGGCATATTTGTAGCAGCGGCACAAGGAGCAGGACGGATGCATCAACATCAGCTGAAAATTGACAATATCAGTGCATCTGGCTTATAGACATATCAGCAAGGCATTCTGCTTTCTTAGTTAGATTGACGGGCGAGTACAGCACGCGCTTGTGCATCTCCTCGTACACCGGGTTTGTGTCGAAGAGCTGCGCCCTATTCATTCTTGATTTGATTTGGCTTTGATACTGGTGTCTGCTGTACATTTATTTTTCGATGTGGCAGAGGTAACATGGATGAGTCGTGTCAGCCAGGATTGAGTCTGTCATGACGTCAGACAGTGAAAGTCGCGATCTAGGATCTCCTTTTGTGGTGATGTGCAGATCTGTGTAGGCAGCACCAAGACTGGGTGTTGCACAAGCGGCTTGGCTGCTTGAGTAGAGAAGGTTAGGAGGAAACTGATTATAAATACATTGCTTGTCAGAGACAAACTAGTCACGGACTGATGAACAGGATGAAAGAGACTCAGTAGCCAAGTGAGATTGCTTGGTGGCAGGACCAAGCAATCAACTTGAGATTCAAATGAATGATGATATATCCTAGGCTGTAGGTGACAACCACGAGTGCTAGGAGGGTTGGTATTGTATCAGATATTCCTGAGCAAGTGCAGGCTTAATTGGCCACTGCATGCGCACATTGGATGTGTAACTTTACGAGGCTCCCATTTCTCAATTACTTCCCTGCCGCACAATATATCTATGGAGCGCGCTTGTACTTTTCACATGATCTTGCTGAGAACCTTGAGAAATTGACACACCCCGCGGTCGACAGGCATTCGCCTCTTCATACAATCCATTGAATGCCCTACAAACTGCTCTATCTCTGACTGCTTACAGCATTACTATTGATACAGACATGAAACAGCGTATGAAAAGATGTTGCTATTAGCGAGGTGCTATTGCCGCCGCGGCCCCCAGATACCCTCCAGAATCCTTCGGCTGAAAGGCTTGTCTGCCTCTGCACTGCTGCCTGCTGCCAAGTGACCGCCGTCCTCAGCCGCCGGTCCTGTCCCAGCTGTGCCTGCCACTCACCCATCCAGTGTCAACAGTCAGTACCATGGCGTGTCAAAGCAAGTCAGCGCTACCCACACATGACGTGGAAGCGCGGTGTTCAACCTTTGACAGGCACCAGCAAAATCTCTGTCACTGCATGGAAGGCGAGGTGTGCAGCTGGATTGCCCCTGGATATCTGTGACTTATTTATAGAAATTTGTGCAACTGTACAACAATTGTTCTCGTAGACTTCACAGGCCAGCTCTCTCGCCAATGTGCGCAAGACTTTCTCCTCCATCAGGGCAATCATACAGTATTTCCTATTTCTGAGATTATCATGAACGCAAGTCCCCAGCATGGCAGGAGACCTTTTGCAGAGCAGCGCACCGGCAGTGTCTGGGACTGCGAGGAGCTCTAGGTAGGCCTCGTCCCTCTCTGAGAGCAGCCCTTCCACCTCGTCCTTCATCTTCCCAAACCTCTCCACTGCCTCAAGGTACGCCATCTGTGTCTGCACGCACCCGACGTTCCACCTCTCTTGCCTGACAAATCCCATGCGTAGAACGCATCAAATCCCCTCAGGTTGGGGAGTCCAAGGTAAAGCATGGGCAGGGCACCTATTCCAATGCAGATTGTGCTGCTGACTGTCTTCGGATGCCTTTGCGGCGTCCTGACAAGTACTGGCTTCAGCTGAAAGTCACACAAGGGTCGGCAAGCATCAACCTCATCCATTGCCAAGCCTTGCATGCTCTAGGAACTTCAGCGACACGGGAGGAGTGTACAGGGCGGATTGCCATCTCGCACTTTACAGCCTGCCACCAACCTCCCTGCATGCGGCTGCTGCATCTGGACAGGAGGCACAAAGCGCTGCAAAGAATGAGTTCAGTGCCTGAGCTGTGGTTCCTGAGTTGTGGTTCTGTACCTGCCGGTATTCCCGCTCAAAACCCCGCAGCGCCTCCCTCCGTGTTAGCAACTCCCCCTCCACCCTCGTGACTTTTTCAATCGACACCCCCAGCGCGCCCGCGCTGGACGTTCCCTCCCTGGCCCTGCCGCTGATGTCAGCCGCCTTGCTGGCGGCGGCAGGTGCCGGCAGCACGGCCTCTATTGTGTAGCGCACACGGTTGAACCTGCGCGCACACACACATGAATCGATGAAATCTTTCCCAACATAGCTAAATAAGACAAGATTCAATGAATGCCAAGAGGATGGCATTCAACAGCGCTTGCTTGTCGGCGTCTAATTTTAGATGTGATAAAAAATTATCTGTGAGTAGGGCAGGTGTTAATGGGGTTGCCATAAAAACCATGAATGCAGCAGCAGACGTGTGGAAGTGGCTGGGATCAATATATTCAATACAGCAAGTGTTGAAAGCTGGCTTGGGGACGATCAAGAGAACAAACGAAGAATAAGGGTGCCAGCAAGTAGATTGGGGGCGCACCAATTGTCACCGTAGACTGCCAGCAGAAGCTTGCCGGCGCGCAGCTGCAGCGGCTTCTCGCGCGGCTGCATCGACTCCAACCGCCTGCAGCCACACCCTATATAGTCATAACTTGACTTCTGAGAGTCATCACTTGACTTGTGAGATACAAGTCTCTTGAGTGCCTGTCAAGCAAGCGGCGCCTGCCGACAGGCTGCAGGAAACAAGTGCTGCCAAATTCACCCTTGTTTGACTCGCCAAATCTTAGAAAGAGCCATTCAGAGAATGCGCACAGGGAACTGTATTTTGGCAGTTTATGCGGACAGCATGCAGTTGCACGCGATTGGTGAACTTCACTGCCCAGCCAACATCATTTCAGGCATGTATGTAGTGTTGCCAACCTCAGCTGCATCCTCAAGGTAAGACAGCTTGAACGCCAGAGGGGAAAGTGGGCAGGGCGTACTTGAAGAGCATGTTTTCTGGGTAGTCTGCAGTGTCCAGGGCGGAGGGCCTGGGGCCGATGTGGTACGTCTCGCACTGCAGGAAATAGAGTCCAGCAATCTGCGTGTTCTTCCGCACCTGCGCCACAGTTATGTCCCTGGTCATCAGATGATTGTAATTGCAGAGCAGAGCATGTTAGCCTCAGATGCCCATTTAGGTATGGTGCACTATCAGTGCAGCGCTTTGTTGCAAGTGAAAAGATGTGATCTGAGCCACTACCCTTTCGGGGTTGGCTGCATGCGATTGGCCCCCAAGCATTTCCAGGCAAAATGCATGCCCCAAATCTGCAGCCATCTTTTACCCCCACTCTCCTACGCATGTGATTCCACTCTATCATTACCCCATGGTGCATGATACCGAAATAGGTGCTGAGTGGGATCCCATGTACCGGCATCGCTGTGAGACACTGTCGTAAGTCACTGTAAACCTCTCAGAAAGCTCTTTACATTGTTGTATAGAAAGGCTGACCTTGATGCTGTCTTCCTGCAGCAGCATTTCCCATTGGCCCTCCTCCGTCGCCTCAAACATGAGCAGCTTGAACTTGGAGCCTGCAACCGAGTGCGCGCCGATTACAAACCCCTGCAAACCCCATCCAGTCCAGATCAGGCACACGGACTATAAGTAAGTACAATGTCCCTGCGAGAGCGTTATGCAGAGGGTAGGAAAGAGCACTGATGCCTGCACTGCATCAACCCATCACAGAGCTCCCTGCATTGAGCCAGCAAAGGGTGACACAGGAGGGTCAACTCTCCTACTTGCTTCTAGAGTCAACAAATGCTTCCATTGAATCTTCATGCAACTGTGCCATGTGGACATGCTGTGCAAATATCATCTGTTGTCCAAGAGATTTAAGTCATGCAACACAGACTTTGCACCCTCTGCTACAGTCATTGCTGACACTGCCAGATCAGGACAACTCTCCCAAATGCACATTGCATCCGAAGGGTTCTATCTTTTCACCAGACCACTCATGTTGGAAACACTGCCACGTCAGCCGCGCACCTGGTCTATGTGGCGCTGGGTGAGGTCCAGCGTGTAGTATTGGCAGCCGGCCTTCTCCACGCGGTTGGATATGGCCTCACCGAACCGCAGTGGCGCCGCCTCAAAGTTGCCTGTGTACGCCGCCTCAAGCACCTGCAAGAAAGTCAAACACTGCAGCTCGTCAGGCTGGCTGCAACTATGAGACATGTGCAGGGAGCTTACTCGAGCAGCCGGCCCTGACTATGCCCTTCAAGTGCAGCGGCACCTTGAAGCACCGGGCAATGCAACAGGTGTGTCAATCTGACAAACAGCAGACATGACATGAGCTGCAACCTGCATGCTGCTTGCCGATTGCTGCGATCGTCATGTCCACTATTTGGCAGCAACCCCAATAGCCTGACATTGCATGGCCCAGGTGATGCTACATAAAAATACCTTGAGTATATGGCCCAACCTTCTGTGATCTAATCATATGTTCAATATTTGCGAGGTTTTATACCCCAAGACATCCAAGGCAGAGGGGTGCGGGTGCGCATGGGGTTCACAGCCGTCTTGATGGGAAACCCAGAGACAACAACAATCGCGATCAAAGCAATTTGTGAAATTGCAGTGAAGCTCTGGACTCCTACATAAGAAGGACAGGAAAACCCCAGTCAAAGATACTTCAGTGGCCATGGGGAAGGGGTGGTGAAGGTGTTTACCATGGGGGGCACGGCGGTCTTGATGGGGACGCCCAGTTTTGAGAACATGGCGGCCATGGCTGTAGAAAAAGTGCCCAGGCTGCTCAGGTCCACCTCCATCTCCAGATCGCTCTTCTGCAGGCTGCCAAAGCCCCCTGCGCAGCAGTCCAAACAAACTCAAATCCTTTGAGTACTGTGGAGCCTTTTGGAGACTCTTCTTGTGAGAGACAATTGCATATCAGCGGAAGCACTCGCCAAACACATTGAAAGAAGTACTGTTATCGTCCTTCAGGTTAGAGCATTCTCCCAGATGGCATTGGGAGAACACTTCTGTATTGTTTTGCTTTACCCTTCACAGCTTGCCGCTCTAGGCTGGTACACATGCAGGCAAATGCAGACTCGACACATGTTTCCCGAAGACGCACCAGACCATGGAGTATGCTCTTGCGTGATCGAGGCCTGTTGCTCTTCACATATAGCTTGCCATGCATGCACTATAGTGAACAGGGGCTGAGCAGGAGACTGCAGACCTGCGTCATAGCGTCGCCGCTTCTCTGGATCGCCCAGGATGCTGTGGGCTGTGGCGATCTCCTTGAACTTCTCGGCTGCGCTCTCGGCTGTCTCCCCCTGGTTCTTGTCAGGGTGATGCGCCAGTGCCAGCTTCCGATCTGCACATGTCACAAAGAAGCTTTCCTCAGAATCTGCAAAGAGCAGCTCAGTCATTGGCCTGACGCATGCTGAGGGTCTGGTGCTAAATAATTGGTATGCTGCTCAATCGACCTTGCAGTATAAAGCCATTCTCCAAACCAGTGATGCCGAGCGTTTGCTAAGTGGAATATGGTATGAAAATTCGAGAAACGCACAAGCTGTCTTGATCTCCTGCTCGGTGGCTGTGCGACTGACTCCCAGGACTTCATAAGGATCCCGCAAGAGCTCGTCGTTAAGCGGTTCTGGGTCTGGCATCTTGCTGTGTAGGGTATATCAGAAGCCCAGCTCCCCTCTTTATATCTCCAAATTTGCTGTGATCAGCACCTTTACTTGTCTTTGTAGCTTCTAGGGAAGTGTTATATAAAATATCACGACTTATAGCTAGGCGAAATGCCTGAAGCACTACAGGATGTCCTTAATTCTTGCCGCTACCTAGCCTCGATCAAACTCTAACATTACTCTGGTCCAAACCTGTTGAAAATAATAGAAATATGCAAAGAACCTTTACTTGCGAGCTTCACACTGTCAAGGACTACAGATTGTTGCAACCAAACCCCGTGTGATTGACTATACCAGCGAGGCTTTGCCTTGGAGTATGCACTCTCACGGGATGGCAGGAGGAGTGCTAATCAAGTCATAACTAAAGTCAGGTTGAAACTTAATCCGAGAAAAGCATCAACTCCAGCTTGGCTCCCTGCAAGCGCCCAAGGGAATGAATGCATTTGCCACCTGTCCTGAACAGGAAGCACACCGTGAACATGCAGGCAAGATGGAAGATCCTCATTGGAATTTCCCCCTATGTCAGTGAGCTCCGAATACTATACACGGTGTGACACTTTCAGTCCATGTCTGCAGCATGTCTAAGACAACCTCTCAGCTCACTCCCGTTGTGGGCCCAAAGCACACGCAGCTCACCGTGAGCTGTGACAGCACTCAGCAGGCTGCCAGTGTGTGGCTCTAATCATGCCAGCATGCTACTTGCGCTCTCATAGCCAGATTCACTGTCATCGATCTGGCCCTGAACATTTTCCGCTGTCCTCCTTCGGGTGACCACAGTCTCCCAAACCTTCTGATATCCCCTCCAGATCTTCCTCCTGACAAAATCCCCCTGCCCCGCCACCTCAGGCACCGTCTCCAGCAGGGTTTCCTGCGCAACGACCTCAAAACCCCCTTGCCGACCCCTGCGGCCCACCCAAACGCTTTCCACGCTGTTGACTACTCCATCAGTCAACTCCGCCACGGAAAATTGCCCCGCGGTCATCGCCGCGCTTCCCTGGCCGGCCGCCATTTCCCCGTTCGAATTCGAATTCGGATTCTGGGCGGGCACCTTCATGTGCCGGACACGAGGCACGACTGCGGTGTTGAGGTAAACCGTCCCCGTGTCGGGATGAATCTCGATCATGTTGCGCGTCTTCTTGCCGAATTTGAGACTCTCATGCATGTGCCCGAAGGTGACCAGCGGCACATGCAGGCCTGATGCCTCCACATAACCCATTGCCGTCTCTAAGTCCGGATCCCCATGATCTCCTGCACATAATTTAAAGGCATGCTTTAGATGTATATTTGCGATAAACAAGTTGAACATGTTCACCAAGCGTAAGGCAGAACCTAGTAAAATACCATGCGAACTCCCTCTCCACGAGACAGGCTAAAATCCTGATATAATCTGTACACCCTTCTTCTTATTTTAACCCGCTACAAACAGTGTACATGACATCCGGTTGAGCTTTGCAGCCGCCTTGACATTGTGCTGATACAGTGATGAATACCAATCACATTGGAAGATATTGAGGCTGCACCTGCTTTGGGCTTAAAGTCTGCCCCGCAGATGTCATGATGGCTGCTGCCCAAGCCAGAGGGACCGTTGTGCGCTGCCACGATGACTGTGTTCTCCTGAGGTTGAGTTTTCACTGCCTGAGCGATCCTGTATGCAGAATCGCTAAAACCATATACCTGCACCACAAACAACCTCATAGATGATTAAGCTGATTATTACATGTCGAGTCAGAAGCAAGATGCGACTGCAGACAAGCTGCAGGACAAGGCTGTCAAACATGCTACCCCTTGAAGGACTCGCCAGATCCAAGCCAGACCCAACCAAACGTGAGAACCTCTTACTTCTTGGAGCTAGAATTGACATGAGTGATTTTGGGCAGTCGGCGCCTGTGAAGCATGCTACACGCTGCTGCCACATGCAGAGGAGATTCTCTCATCCACCATGCAGCAACAAGACAGAGCCAGTACAGATGTACTTCTGCAAGGGGGCAGGGGGTGTTGCTCACATCATATTTATCGATATAGAATGTAGCCACGTCAGTCCAGGAATTTCCTCCCTGCGCCATGCAGACGAATGTAGCTCAGAGGGGCACAGTATGCTTACAGAATGAATACCATTATGTTTGCTTGGCACCAGCCATCATTCTCACCCACTTCCCTCAGTAGCCCTTATTTGCAGGTCATCCCCACACTTGCTGCTGGCTCGCACATTGAGTACATGTCACTGAAGAGCTCTTTTGGAGGAGAGGTGTATAAACATGGCGCACATTCTCCTGAAAGAAATCCTCAGAAATTATAATTACCAAAGAGCCCGAGCGTGCACTTCCAAGGACTCAATCACCCTCAGTTCCTTGGTGCTCAGACATGCATATTGAAAAGGTCCTTAGGCTACCCCTGACCTTTCCAACAGGGGGTACTAAAGACTACTGGAGGTCTTTAGTACCCCCTATTTCCAAGGTTCTAAGGGTGCCTGTCAAAATGATTGCCAGGCTGCCACCATCACATTGCCAGGCAATATCAGTGCAGACGCGCAAGGAGGGATAGCAACGTTTTCTGTTGAGCGGGACGGATGTCAGAAACAGGTGGCCTGGCCAGTCTCCATGTGCACATGTGCATGCACGCGTGGAGGCACCCGGCTGATCTGGCAGCAGCTCAGCGCCATGCTGGCGTTCATGGAATAGTGTGGGCTGCCTCGCCGCTTGCACCTGGTGCCCACAGAGCAGCTGGCTGACCAGCGCATGTTTTTTAGAGACCGTTTGTTTGTCTGAGACTGCACCTTGGAGAAGGGGCGAGCCCCCACGACGCTGAAAGGGACGCCAGAGGCTGAAACGAAGCTCTTGCTCCCGTAGCCCACGTGGTTGTCCCCAAGGATCTCCAGCTGCTTCGTCACCCCTGCGTACACTGCATCTCCCCGCGCCGCCCCGCTCATAATCCACTTGTTGCGCGCCCATGCCGTTAGCGAGTACCTGAGCAGGCAAGCACGGCAATTTTAAAATTGAGAAGCTGTCGCTGTCTTGTGTGTCTGTCTTTCAGAATGCGATAGCCCTCTCTGTGCCATCCCTGACAAACCTTTTGACAGGATGGGCGCATGTGGGTTTTACCATTTGGAAGGGTCTTGCAAAATCCCTCTGGCCTGTGCAGGAGCGCGGTGTTGCTCAAATGGTAATATGATGGGTTTTAACAATCAATGTCGTGCAACACATATCACTCAAGCTCAAGCTATCATAGTATGTAACCCGGGAAACATCCCCTCAGGGGGTACTAAAGACTACATTGTTTTAGTCTAATTATCTTATGGTAGTCTTCAGTACCCCCTGATCCCCTGAATAAATACATAAGAGGGAGCTGAGGGTTCACCATGCGTCATGATTGCCGAGGATGACAGCCTTCGGCGTGCGCACATCGGCCACACGCCTGATCAGGCCAACTGCCTCCTCCCCAAAATCCCCTGCACAACACAATCACATGTTATACACTGGACCCAGCTTGACCTGCTGAGCACGAAAGCACCTGGTAGGAAAGGAGCATGCAGAGACATTTCGTAGGAAGACCAAATGCAAAATGCATGCTGACTTGGGTTTGAGAGGGCCCGAGGAGGCACACTGTAGGCATGTCCGGCTTCAGAGCAATGCACACAGGCAACTGGTATTGCCTGCTGACCGGGTTCTGCAAGCCACTACTTCTACATATTTAGCTGGCGGTACTAGCTGGCTGTGAATACCATTAATGGAGGAGCTTGTTTACAGAGCAAATCCTACCAATGAACACAGCAGCGTCCACTCCCAGGCTCTCCAGTGCATCTGCATCGTCTTCATACCAGTGGCTGTGCACGTCTCCAATGATGGCTAGCCTTATGGTGCCTGCATCGCACATGCCCCTTGAAAGAGAACGCAAGAGGCCAATTCTCTGCATGACAATCTCAACATGCTGCATATGCGCCATCCACGAGCACCTCTTCATTTCCTGCATCTTGTGCGAATTTGTCACTGGTCATGCTCTGCCATTGAGATGCTGAGCTTTCAAAGGGGCTGGCAAGCTTTGCATCTGGACGCATGCGTACTCACATCTACAAGAGCCTTCTGGTACGATAAGCAGGAAAAAAGTGTTACCTGTGGCCGGACTTCCAGTAGCTGATGCTGCAGCGGAGGCCATTGTTCTTGCCTTCAAGGATGGGGCATGAGCTTTGGTCCCTTGTGACAAGACCTGGCTGGGCCGCGTGAGAGCTGCTGAGCTCACACTGCAACCTCTTGTGGACTTACTTGGCCTCTGGAAGACGATGCCAGAGAATTTCCGGTAAATCTGCGAGAGCAAAACTGGATTTACCTCCTGTGCAACGGATGACCCTCAAGACATCGGTTACTAGGGATGGTCTCCTCCCTGGCAAGACGGGCAGCCCACCTTAAAAGCGAGCCCCTTTATGACAGGGCATCGCAGATCAGTTCGCATCAATAACACATAAGATACTCGTCAGGACATCATCTACGGCTGAAAAAATATTTAGATCAGCACTGCTGCAGCTTCGCACAGAACAGACTGGATAATTCCTTGGTATCATCAAATTTCTGATCGAAGATCTTTGTGTCCTTGATTCGTGAGAACACGAAGGGAACAGTGAGAGCAAATTTGAGATGCGATGGGTTTCCTTTGGCCTCTTCCTGCAGCTTCCCTTTCCAGTCAAGCAGCTTCCAACACATTTCACGTGGACGATAACATGTCGCGCAAGTACAGGAATTTCACAAGAATTTATGTTGTTGAGAGTACTGAAATTATCGCTAGTGCACTCTTCGTCAAGGAATTCTGAAGCTTCCGTCTTCTTTTACTATCGATCTACCCATGGCGCTTTGTGACTTGAAAGACACAATCCACAACTGAGGGGCCGAACTACGAATGCTGCGAATTAAATAGGATGTATTTCTAATGATACAGTGCAGATCTCAAGCTCTCAAGATATGGACCAACGCTCAGCGGTCGCTGTCACAGCCTAGGCACTCCCTTCCATGCAAACGCAGAATGAAAACCTTGAACCAGGTGCAGAGACCTGACGAGAGAGTACAGATCGTCGACGAGTCCAACAAACCCATAGGATCTGCCACACGGGCTGAGATGAGGGCTAAAAACCTCATCCACCGTTGCAGCTTCACCATGGTCTTCAACCAACAGGTGCCAACAATGCTGCCTGTCCTTCACCTTGGGAACTAATTTAACAGTTAAGTCCTTGCAGATTTTCCTGCAGATCGAATCAGGCTTGAACTTGGCTGGTATTTCCGCAGGGTGAGCTGTATGTGCAAAAACGTGTAGCCTTCAAGGAGACCTATCCTTCCCACTATGACCCTGCCCCTGGAGGCGTTGTGGGTGAGCGTTGACCTTTCCCAATCGTTGCTTTATTTAGCCCATTCCAGTAATACAGCACATAAACAAACTCTGACCACTTGTGCTGCCACATCTTGGTGAGCTCCAATCAACAAAATGTCCTGGTCAGTATGTCACTGTGCAGCAAGGTTTTCATGATAGTCAAGCACTCACTGATGACTTAGGTTTACCATTGATCAACAGTGCAATGTTCTTATGAGGGTGCATGTTGACAACAGAGCAATTGGGCTCGCAGGCGCGGGTGAGAGCTATGAGGAGAATGCAGAGAGGGAGATTGCCGAAGAGATGGGCATCACAGCGGTGGAGCTGCAGAAGCAGCTTGACTTCTTCTACAGCGATGATGTCAGCAGGCTCTGGGGCCGCCTATTCAGCTCCAAGTATGACGGCGACATCAGTCTAGATCCTGAAGAGGTGGAGAGCGGCCAGTTTATGTCCATGCAGGTGTGAGCATCCCTGCACTTGCACCGGAGTTTTGCACCTGCGCCGACTGCAAAACTATGGCTGAAAGTTGCAAGGAAAATTTGTGACAAGATTCAACGATCATCATACTTTACCGCCCAACGCTACTTGAATACCCTGAAGTGTCAGATCTGATTAAATGGGAAAGTAATACCGAGGCCTTGGCTGGCCCCGGCTGGCGGGGGGCGGTATAAATACTGAGCACTGTGCCCACGTGCTTGTCTGCAGGACGTATTTTGAATTTTGGCAGGAAGAGCATACTGTATGTTAATAATAATAATTACTATTATTATTATTATTACAGGTCGGCAAACCCAAAGCTAGTAATAATAGTAATATCGAGGGGCCATACCAACGAGCATACTATGTATCTAGTAAGGAGTGTTGATTTGCACGCACTGCAGGAGGTGGCACGACTGTTGAGGAGCGCACCAGTCTGCCCTGACAGCAAGGTAGCAGTGGAACAATACTTGCAGAAACATGCCCCTGAACTGCTCTGATATCGATAGCTTTTGAGCAGGGAAGAGCCTCGGGGTGGCACTGCTGCCAGTCTGCCCTGACAGTAAGGTAGCAGTGGAGAAGTACTTGCAGATACATGCCCCTGAACTGCTCTGATATCGATACATTTTGAGCAGGGAAGAGCCTCGGGGTGGCAATGCAAGCTGGCGCGGCTTCTATCAGACGAATTTTTGGATTTCTCATGAAATGCCATTCAGCAGATCAGTTTGAGACCTCAGATTTCACAGACTAGAAGTCGTGTTGAATGTGTGATGGCAGCCCCTCCTGAGTCAGAGGCTTAATCCCACTGGCCCATGGGCGGCCACTGACTGGGGCGATGTACACAGGTTGGGAAATGAAAATAATTTTCAGAAAATTCGAATTATTGGTGAAGTGTTGAGCCTATATGACTGTGAACATGTGCTTCGGAAATTGCACCAATTTTAGCAACGATTGCCCGTCTCTGAACCATTCGCAACTCTTCGAGGCTCAACTTGAGACGTCTGGGTTGACCCTCCGTGGAGTCCAATGACGCGCTGCGCAGCGTTGGCATGCCGGCAGCCAACTTGTGTTGATTGGTTCGTGAAAATTTGAAAGGCATGTGCATTTCTGTCACACAATTGTCAATCTTGAGAGCAGCAGCAAAAAAGGCAGCCAAAAAAAGGCAAAAAAGGATACTGGGGAATTGGGGGACTCGAACCCCCGACCTCCTGCACCCGAAGCAGGAATCATACCCCTAGACCAAATTCCCAGGGTGCTTCAGATTCTGCTGGATTCCTCGAAATCTCGAGGAGGTGAGCCAGTACATGGTGCCAACGCATCAATTTCCAAGCTATATAAACCTTTAGGTAGCGGCTAAACTTTCTTTCTATCCTTGGATTGTCGGTCGGAACAACGTGTTCCCAAATAATATGGTGCATTCTTTTGGCATCTTTTCGCTTTGCAGGAGAGCGGCAGCACCTCCTGGTCGACTAGCTTGTGCAGGGCTGTACGTTGGCACAGTTCATGCTGGCAGCAAAATTGCGATGTACACTTGCGATCATGTCATAGTAAGCAACTGTTGCCATCGCGATCATCTCAAGATACTCTGTGCTGATCGATCGGAAGCCTAAAGCGATTCTTATCTACCCATATTGCACAGTGTCTTGGCGTGTCCCACAACATTGGCAGCTCGTCTGCAGGGTTATAAGCAGCCTTCGAGCACCGGCGAATCAAAGGGCCAAAAAGTCGCGTGAGGTCAAACCTAGTGCAACAATTGCACTGCAATTTTAGGCCTTAAAGGCCTTGATGCATGTCAAGGAGCAAGTTGGACCCTGTCTAACGGCGTTCCTGCTAGGTTTTGGTTTGCAGAAAGAAAGTGCATCAAACACTAACCAGGAACGCCCTGCAATCAATACAGCAGCCTCAGAGATCAGGATATACGTATTGTATTGTTCTGTCGCATGTAGCGCTACCCAGTTTGATTAGAAGGAGCGCGTATTTTGAGCGTTGTCACACTAGTGGGAGGAGATGAGCGCGCCTCTGTGGTTTCGGTAAGCATAGATCTCCATTATAAGAGATAAAAATACTGCTCTTACGATATGTTACGCCTGTATCACTAGATTCTCGGTCAGATTGCCATTGCTATTACAGTGATGGCAATGTGTGTTGAGGTTTCAGAAGGTTCTCTGCTGAGCCCCTTATTGCCTGTGCGAGCTTTGCGAGATGTTCTGAATATGTTGACAATCGATCAAAGCTTAAATATAATATGCACAAATAGACCACCCTGATTTGTCCTGCAATCTTGCTTGTTCACAGGGGCTTAAAGCGCTCTCTGGAAACCTCCTCAGCCGCGCTGCAACGGACTTTTCGTCAGAAGAGCACTGATGTGAGGGTTCTGAAGGACATACCGCGACCCTTGATGCTGCTTGGCTTCTGCGTGCAAGGGTGAATCCTGGCCTGACCTTAATTTGCTGTGCAGGCACATGAGCCAGCTGTCTTCGTAGACAAGACCACAAAGGTCATCTGCCAGGGCTTCACAGGCAAGAATGGCACCTTCCATAGTGAGCAGGCGAGAAACATCCCTCAGCTCCATGCTTCTCTGTAGACTCAAGCCTTCAGTAGAGACTTTCTGGTGAAAGTCTCTACTTGCAGCATGAAAGAACGATTTCTCTTCTGATCATGAAGCCCGCACATGCGTATATCTCAGCCTGATGTTTTGACGTGTGCAGGCAATTGCTTATGGCACACAGATGGTCGGGGGTGTGACGCCGAAGAAGGGGGGTACAAAGCATCTGGGACTTCCAGTGTTTGACACGGTCAAGGTGCTGCTAAATCTATCAGCATTGCCATGCCACTCAAATTCTTGTTCAAGATAGCCAGCATGCAATGCTACACCGTTGCATGGCAGATTGCTGAGATAGGTGACATTTTGTTGGCGATATTTTTGCATGTCACCTTGTGGCCTGTTGTCTGCTTGCTGAGATAGTGGCATGCATGCAGGAAGCTGTAGCGGAGACAGGGGCTACTGCATCAGTCATCTACGTGCCACCCCCCTTTGCAGCCAAGGCCATCCTTGAAGGAGTAGACGCTGGACTTGACCTGGTAAGGACTTTCAGTGCCCCATGTGAATGACTGTCAAGTGATACGCACACTTGTGTCATTGGCTGTGGCTCCAAAGAATTTGCCAGGCGATTGGCTCAAGTCAATCACCACTTCCACCGTAAGGCCAAACTTTGTTACCTGGACAGCGCAGTGGGTAGAGACTAGGTACAAGATAGTAGGCCAGATTGCTCCAGTGATGGTACATCTTATCAGGGGTCTCCCTGAAGCTTACGTGAGACGTAAGCACGGCATGTCATGGTTACGTAAGGGCATGGCGGCATGTGCACGCAGGTGGTGTGCATCACAGAGGGCATCCCCCAGCACGACATGGTCAAGGTGAAGAAGGTGCTCAAGGAGTCTAAGACGCGCTTGATCGGCCCCAACTGCCCCGGCATCATCAAGCCCGGCGAGTGCAAGATCGGCATCATGCCCGTGCGCCATCCCCATCCTACTTTTCTGAGTGTGTCAATTTTCCCGGACATGCTGAAACAGGCTTTCAGAATGCAGCCCACTTCTCTGCGTGAGATTATGCAGGAAGCCCTGAAGCCGTGCAGTCCTCAAGTGCTGTCAAGCGGCTGACCAGCAGTGCCTGTTCTCCTTACAAATGGGCTGGCCTCGAACTCCATATGCTCTTGGCATACTCGACCTCCGTCTCCTTAAGCGCGCCCCAGGCCAGATAGCATAGTAAAATTGTCGTGGGGTTGTGTGCTATTATCAGAGTGTGTAGGTGAAATTGTTTTGGGGGTGTGTGCAGGGTTACATCCACCAGCCAGGCAAGATCGGGATTGTGTCGCGGTCGGGCACGCTCACTTATGAGGCAGTGTTCCAGACCACGCAGCAGGGACTGGGCCAGAGCACCGTTGTGGGCATCGGGGGAGACCCCTTCAACGGCACCAATTTTGTAGACTGCCTCGAGCGCTTCCTGAAGGACCCCCAGGTCAGAAGCCTATGTAGTGTTATTATTGCAGGTCGGCAGACCCAAAGCCAGAGGCCGTAGGGCATACAGGCAGGGCGTATGCAGCTTGTATGGAGTACATCTCTGGGCCCCCTGAAACCTCAGGTGGCCTCTACTTGGGCATCTGTGAACATATTGATAAGCAGGGATGCTTGGGCATACAGTCTTGGCTCGGTCTACAGTGGTTGGCAATTAGCTAGAGTTCAGAAAGGAAAGAGGATATTTGTTCATGCTCTGGAGGTATCAGTGCCAGGATGTGCTGGAATTTCGATGATTACGCTCCAGCTACCATGGCCGGATGCAGTGGCTGGCGAAGGCCAACGTTTTTATACAGAGGGGATAATTCCATTGTTTTAGGCTTGTCATGGCAGCCGGGGCAGTTGCAGTGCAGCTATGCTAAGTAGTCCAGGATGCAGTGACTCGCCAGCCTGTCTCTTGTTCATGAAACACCCCAAGCAGCTGTTTGAAGGGTTTATGGCATGCTTAGCAATTTCCTCCTTGAACACCTTCGATTACTGAGATCCTAAGCCGAGACTATTGCAATGCAGACGGAGGGGATCATCATGATTGGGGAAATTGGCGGCACGGCTGAGGAGGAGGCCGCGGAGCTCATCAAGGCGTCCGGCACCGACAAGCCAATCCTCTCCTTCATAGCAGGCACGCTCCCCTGACTTATTCTCTATATCCACCCTGTTTCACCGAAGCGCACAGTGTACTGATTCTCGCATGTCCAAGTCACCTACCCCCTGTGAAGAGTACTGGAAGAGTAAGGGCTGAGGAGAACTTTTAAGAAGCCTGGGGCCTCGTCTTGCTGCACGGCCCTGAAGTGTTATCTATGCCTGCTGGTGCATGCTGCTCCACATGACAAGAGACGTGGCAGTGGTGCTTGCACATACTCAACCAGATACGATCTCTCCGACCATAGGCTTAGCATCCCTGCATATAGCCATATGTGGCTCTCTGTGCTTGACGGTCTCTGCCATTCCCTCCGGCAGTTGTTATTTGGCACTACCGAAATTCGCGCAACTCTTGAATCCTGCAACGTACAATCACATTGTGGTCCTGCGGCAGTGTTATCCAGTCACTTGATCAGACTCTGAGTGTACATTGTTAGATTTGAGGTAGCTGATTGGATTCTGATTTTTAATGCAGGGCTGACGGCGCCGCCGGGCAGGCGGATGGGCCACGCGGGCGCCATCATTTCTGGCGGCAAAGGGACGGCCACAGACAAGATCAACGCTCTCGAATCAGCCGGAGTCACCGTCGTGAAATCTCCTGCGCAGATGGGTACCGCCATGAAGAAAATCATGAGCGAGCGCGGCCTCGCTTGAATGATGACTCGCTGATTATGTCATTGCGGTGTCGGATTTCACACGTGGGCTGAGATGGCCTGAGCTTTGATGGGCACTGCAAAAGAAAAAGATCAAGCGCGGCCTTGCGTGAGGATGACTCGCAGATTGTGTCGTTGCCATGTTTCATTAGTCACGGGGGCTAAGACGGCATTAATTGCCATGTCTGGCCAGCGGAAGTTCTCCGTGCGAGTCCTGTGTGGGGTGAGGCTGCATCAACGTTCAGTAGGCAGCATGCGCCACTTGGTGGGCTAGGAGCTCACACAATGGCTGCTTTGATCAGCAGCTGTTCAGTAACCAGACCACTTGTTGCCTGGAATCATAGTGATGCATGCCAGCTGGCTAGCGCTGGATCCCCTAGGACTTTACTTACATTCGATGTACTCTTAAGGTCTGAAGTGTTCCCACCAGATCGGCTTGCCAGCATGTTCCGGCAGCGGCAGCTGTTTAGGAGGCAGATGCCCACTTTCAATGGTTACTTGTGTATTTGCTAGAAGATTGCCATGGCTGATATCACTCAGTGGCTGTGGCGAAGCACTCAAGGTAAACCGGTGTAAAAACTCATGAGACGTGAAGGGGAAAGCCCGGATGCTGTAAAGACCCAAGAGCATGAGGACTCCTAGCTCGGGGCTACATTGATATTGTAACATTGACACACCCCGCCATTACCAAGAGTGCTAAAGGTGTAAGAATTTACTGCCTCCAATGGATAGCTGGGCACTTGCAAGATGCATCCGCTATGGCGCAAAAAGCGAGAATATTAGTGGGTCAAGGGTACCCTACCCTAAACCCTAAATCCCAAATTTACATCTTGCTTACATATTCAGAAGCCACGTGTCCACATTGAGATGTCAACAGGGTTTAGGATTTAGGGTCAACAAAGGGATTGCGAACGAACAAACCCTCCATCGCCATTTGGCAACCTCAAGACATCTCCGGGAATTGCTGTTCTCTCGAACTCCACCTTAGCAGCGAATTCCCTGAAGTTGCTTGCGGTCCTTGCAAAAACAGCGTCCTCGGGCAGAGGCAAAAGTAATGGTAAGCACACCAGCTTGCAAATATTTCGCTATTATATACAGGTGCAAACATTTGGCGTTCCTATAAGACCGCCCTACGGTGCAGGTATTTGGCAGCTGTGTCTACAAAAAATAGCACCTCGCCAAATCCCGTGGCTACTGTACTGATATTTTGCAGGTATTCCTTTGTCCTGAAGGCAGCTAATTAAGCGGGACTTTCTGCCCTCTGCTTTTGACACCCTTGTCTGATGCAGGTCTCTTTAGATGAGGTCTCTCAGCTACCTGCCAGGTTGCAAATGGACCTGCCAAGTGAGGTCTGGGATAAAATAGCTGCCACAATGGCCACAGAAGACATTGCCAGGGCCTGTGGCACCTGCAAAGCGTTCTCTGCAGTCCGGCCGAAAACACTTCAGCTGGTGCAGAGGAAGCGTAAACAAAATGAGATTGAATGGGGTCTGCGCCACGGCAGCGAAGCAATCAACCTGACGCTATACGTTGAGGACTCTTATTGGGATAAGGTCCGACCCCGTGCCTGTCTTCCTGATCTAAAAACATTGTTAGCACTGCTGTTCGTGACCGGTCCTGAAATGAGTCCTGCAATGTTCTGCAGCTGAGCTCGGAACGAACTGCCAAGAGAGCTCAGAAGTTGCCCTTCCACCCAATAATCAGAGGTTTTTGATCGAGACCATCTGTGGATGACAGGTGGATCATGGGCGGCTGACGGCTGCAGTACAGCAGCGGCCCTTGCGCAAAGTCCGGCGCTTGATTTTGCAGCTATCAACGCCCAAGCCTGTGCAGTGGGTCTGTGCATTCATACCCGACATGGACAAACTGGAGACTCTGGCTGTACTTACACCGCAGGGGACGCCGCCGCCCATTTTGCCGGCAGGTCTGAAGCACGTGGCAATTTCGGCCAAATGGCCGCCCTCAGCTTTTGCCCTAGCCTGCATCGCTGGGCTGCCCAACCTGAAGACATTACAGCTCAAGTGCGCCACAGATCAGAAGATGCCAGATCTTGACTTTACGGCTAGTCCCTGCTTGCAAGCAGTCTGCCTGATCAACCTGATTCCTCGAAAAGTGCACCTGCCTCCTGCCACACGGTTCACAGTGGAGGCTGAAATAAGGCTTGATCGCTACTCTCATGGCTTGATTGAGGGATACCCCTGCCATGGAGTGCACTTGAGCAGCTGTTCTTCCATCTATTTAATTGCAACTTCTCTGAACCGGCTCTTGGGCACCAATCACAGCGGGCTGACCTCGCTCTCATTGACACAGTCATACACCCCAGGGGTGACTAGCAGCGATGGGGAGATTTTCCTGGGTAGGTCTGTATCTCAGCTGCGTTTCTTGAGGGTTGAGAGCCAAGGAGACCTCAATATCAGGCTTGCGCTTCCCTTTCTCTCCGGCCTTTCACTCAGCGCCCACGGCAATTTGGAGCTGGAATTTTATGGGCTTGACGCCGTAGGTGCCCGCCTAGAATCATTATATTTGTCATGGGTGACATCAAGAACCATGCCTGCAGTGGCTGATGTCTTGAAGGCGGTCTGTCAACCAAACATAATGGCTGGCAGGATATTTTGTGAGAGTGGGTTCAAGTACATTGGCGTAAAATGCCCTCGTTTGGGACGCCCAAAGCCCATCTTGCACTGTGATGTTGAGAGTGGCGCATGTGGTGCATGCATCAATCCAGGCAGTTTTGGAATATGCGGCACCCACGGCTGATCCGCACATGAAAAAGTTCGGTGGAAATTTCTACTGGTTGCTTGGGTACTGGGTGCCGCAAAAAGGCTGCAAGTAGATGAATAGGCTCCAATAAAGCACTTGCACACGTACCTTGAATTCAGAGGATTTGCATGCTCTCTAGACTAGTTGAGTCTCAACATCTTGGACTTCACCACTGCCGCAGCTGATATACCTGGACATAAGACTGGGTGAATAGTGTCGGAGGGAGAGCTTGAAGCACTGCTCCGGCTGCAGACATTGAAGCTAGCTTATGCAGCTGTGTATTCAACCGAGTTCATGCCGGACTTAGATGCGGGCCTTGCGCATGCATGTGCATATGCGTGCTACAGGCTGCGCTACACGTCAGAATTGTGTGTACAGCATGCATATTGGCCTCAACAGATTGTGGTCACAGGACCGTGGGATTTATGGAAGTTCTAAAGTGGTGAGCATTCTATTGATTTTTCTCAGCTGGGCTATCGCAGGTTTCAACTGGTCTGCTGTGGAATGTGGTCCCTAGCCTATCCTCTCTTGCTGCGCTCATGATAGCTGCACGTTTGTCCTTTTGCTGCCCCACTCTCAGCTGCACAAATGCAGCAAGGGGGTTGCAAGCAAGCCCGTCAATTTCTCCAAGTTCCCACTTGCTGGTGTCTAAGTTTCTGCGCAGACTTCCATGGCGCCTGTCAAGCTACGGTTCTCACTCGCGCTCGGCGCACTTCTGTTCTGCTGCAGTATAAAACAATGCCTGTTCGTCGCTTCAGGAATACCCTGCACATGCGTTGTAGAGTCCCCCCTGCCTGCTTCCAAAGCAACAGAGGCCATAGCGACTGCTGACGGCAGCAGATTGGGGAAGGACATATTTCCGCAGCGTTCTGTGCATCGGCATCGGGTGTTCAATGCCGCATGTTCTGGTAGTTCTTGTGTTTGGCGCGCGTTGTCAGAAGTCAAACTGGTTCAGGGGCTCGTTCCAGAGGGTGGAGGCGTCCAGGAGATTCAGATCAAAGGTGCTCAGATCCGACTGGGTGCCTGCAAGGCACCAGCAACAACACTGTCAGATTTGAGTGGAGTCTCACTAATGCGCTGATATCTTTGCTTCTGCAAAGAAGGCCGCTGGCAAGAGAATCATCAAGACTGCAACATGTTCACTTCTGCTAGCATGCATTTCAGAGGCTCCTTGCAAAACTATTTGATGCATGACTGACTGCAACAGGCCTACCCCGCCTACAGATATCCAGAAGAGGATACTTCTCTTAGGCAGCAAGGATTGAGAGTAACTGGCCATTTTGACAAGAGTCCCAGTCGAGCAATGTGGCTGGAATACTTCTCTTAGGCAGCAGGGATTTAGAGGATAATGGGCCATTTTGACATGAGTCCCATTCGTGTAACGAGGCTGAAAGACTTCTCTTAGGCACCATTGATTTAGAGGATAATGGGCCATCTTGACATGAGTCCCAGTTGTATAACGAGGCTGGGAAAGTACCGTGAAGAGTGAATCCTTCAGTCGCAGTGGGAGGCGCGTCGGGAGCGCGGCCGATGGCGAATCCGCCAGCTGGCGGCATGTGGCAGGCTCCAAAGCGGTACTCCAGTGTTAGCGCGGCCGGCGCTGCCGGGCGCCAGCCGTCAACGGCATGCCCAGCGCCTGACCAGGCTATTTCACGTAAGCATTTGAACTAGACTGAAGATTGAATAAAGAGCATACTCCTATCACCAAAGAGCGCATCTCTAGATTTGCCCTTCTGTGAATGAGCACTCTCACAATAGGCTGACTGAAACGCAGCAATCAGTCATCTCAGAAGTCTGTGGCATCAACTTTGCAGGATTGCCCTTCCCTGGAAAGTCAATGTAGGAACACACCGTCATGATTGAGAGCCAGCCTAGCACACACTGTCTGACATCCTGAAAACCCAACACATGCAGCCTTGGATAGCAGGGTCAGACGTAGCTTAGCGCACAATCTCCGAATAGGTGTGACAAAAACTTCGCAGGAGGAACATGGTCTAAGCATTCGCCAGAGCTCTTGCTGACTGATTGTGCATTGTGCACTGGTCTTCCAGGACCTTCTTGGGCACCGAGCTGAGCTTGATGGAATCTGTGCGCACCTGCACTCTTGGCTGCAGGGTGCATGCGCCCCCCGCTGGTGATTTTGGCGTTGGCAATTACTCGCTGCATGCCGGAGCCGGGGGCCGGGCCGCGCATCGCCCCGGCAGACGCGCCAACCGGGCTGGCCGAGCAGCGCGAGCTGTCCTGGCTGCCGGAGCGTTCCCTCTTCTCCGGGGCCGGTGCCTTGCGCGCCGTCAGCAGCAGATTGTCTGCCCACTCCTGCGCAGCCAAGTTTGGCAGGGGTCTCTCAGGGCCGAGCCTTACTGATCATTAGAGCTTGAACAGGAGATAATGTCCTGGTCAATATCATCTGCAATATCCGTATTGGGCAGCCAATAGTTTGTCCTTGAGGGGCAGCCATTAATCTCCTAATGCGTGCCCATTGAAGAAAATCTACCAAGGCTGTGCTTTGCGGAGAACGCAGAATAGATATGACTCATCTGCAATGCATGCAGGATCATGTTGCTTGCGCATGCAAGCGCGGCGCATTGGAAGCCAGATCACAGGTTTGGCATTTCTACACCGCGAAGAACAGGGCCCACTCAGTGGGCAATCTCGCCGGGAGTCCCTATCTCAAGAGAATGGGAAAGTGGCAGCACCTGGGTGTCGCGGTCGATGGGGGAGTGGGGGGCTGGGCGGTATCCGGAGTGGATCACATCGAGTGCGCCGATATTGCGCAGGTTGCGCGGCGCCAGCGACAGGCTGGGGGACGGCGGCTTCCTCAGCACCAGGTCCACCTGTTGGGCAGATTGGGTTATACATATTTCAATAGAAAACTTCTAATCAATTTCCAGGCCCCTGTTTTGATTGCGAGGTCGCCAAGGATCACATGCCAAGGCAACGAAATGCAGACGAGGACTGAGGTTGCTCTCACTGCTGTCACTGGTATCCAGGTGTGAATCATAATCCTGCTGGTGAGCGTAACATGCCCCATGGCAAGGAAGTATTGCTACTCCGGGAGCAGGGTCTTAGCGTTTGCACCGCAAGACAGCCCTACTTGCCGCCCGCACTGCCACGTGATTGTCTTGAATCCGTTCTTGGTTTTGCTGGCTTCTTCCTTGTTTTCTGATTGGAACAACATAATGGTTACGGATGTACTGATGCACCAGCAGGTTACTTTCCCTGACGTATCTGAATCTGCTTGATGTGAACCTGATTTGCATGACATGAGATTAAAGCTTTTTGAAGAAAAGGGAAACTGAAAGTTTAAGGCTCACGTGGAAGCGGTCCATGTCGCCGGAGTCCATGTCGGAGCTGTCGGCGCCGTTGTCCAGGCTGGCGGCTCGGCGCACGTCCACGTCAGCATTGATGAGCTGGCGCAGCTCGGGTGTCAGGCCAGGAGTGGACGCCGCGGGAGACTGCCCCGGCCCTCTCTGGACACTCGCGGGGGACCCATGCTCCTGCCGTCCCTGGCTCATGCCTGTGGACACATGACAACGTCAGACATTGAAGCATTTTTGGCGCCTGAATATGTTCTTCTCACCAATGTAAGCCTTCTCAAAATGTGTACATTACCCGCCTGCTGCAGGACCCATTCTGTCTGCAAGTGTTCAGCGTATGTTGCAAAGTGTAAGGATTACAGGGCGAGTCATGCACATAAGCCCTGATCCTGCATGTTTAATGACATACAAGCGGATGCAAGGGCACTTGCTGGCAAGCCACCCTGACTCCCTCTTTTGCAAAGGCAAAGCCTTGGAAGACATTGCTGCAGCAATGAAGAGATGCATCCAACATAAGGGGCACATGCTGACTCACCGGCAACTGACAGCTGCCCGGCAGATTCTGGGCGGCTGCCGGCGGGCACCCAGCCGACGGACATGATGCCCTCGCGAATGAGCTCGTCTGTGCACAGGTCCTCCGTCTCCCCAGTCTCATACACCACCTGGCATTGCTTGCTGTTCAGCTGCGCACACACACACACACACATACACGCAATACTCAGCATCAAGACTTGTCTTGCACAATCAATCTGCAATGCTGGCAAGGAGCCAGTCAGAAGAGTTTTTTGCAAGCTGTCGCGCATAGTTAGTGGCATTGTCAGAGAGAGTGATCGCCAAGGAACCCAAGCAATCCATCAATTAGCAGTCAAGTGACGTTTACACTGCAAATCTTATTTCAAAAAGATGACAACCAACCCTGGCAAGCCAAACAGTCGGCAAAAGAGACAAGGTAGCATAGAACAAGTGTTTAGATGGGGAGCATACTTTGATGATGCGCGCGAGCCACCAGGTGGCGTCCTGCGGCCAGAACACCTCCACCTGCTGCCCCTTGAAGTTTCCAGCATGGCTTATGTCCCCCCGCTGCAGCAGCCGCCGCACCATTTCCGGCCTCTCCCCGGGCCCCCCCACTTTGCCAGCGGTGGCCGCGGTCCACCTGGCTGTGGCGGCCGCGGCGGCGGTGGCGGCGGCCGTCGCGTCGAAGGCCTCGGAGAGGGGACGCCGCGTGGCTGGGCGGTCAGGGCAGGTGGAGGGCCGCTTGGCTGGCTTGCCCCAGCTGTTGTAGGTCAACTTCACCGGCTTGGACACCGCCAGCACCTGCAGGAAAGAAACACCAGGCTCATCAATTTTGTTCCTGGGAGTTTAAAAAAACCAACTTCACCAATCAAATAGCACGGCACCAAAAACAGAGTACAGGTACGCAATGTGCATGCATGCTCCTGGCACTGAATAGCTTGGTCTGCCAGACAAGCACCCCCTAAATTTCCATAATTATCATACTGGGGTTCTTTGTGGACATACGGCTTGTTCTTGATCCGTGCCATGGCACTGAATAGCTTGTCTACCTTCCCGCCTGCCCTTTCACCAGGCATGCTTAACAACATGCCACAGGATATGTTACGGAGCACATGCTACACTATACTGTTTGTTTCAAAAAAAACACGAGGGTCCAAAGGGCTCGCACAGAGCAGACACCCACCTTGTGCTGGTGGCGGGTTGGGGTGACCGAGGGTGTGTCGGAGGGCGAGCCTGCCACTGACGCGGCGTCAATGGCCGAAGCTGCCTGCTCCGGCAGCGCGATGAACGACGCGTTGGCCAGCGCAGCGCCATTCTCCACCAGCACCTTCGCCTCAGCCTGGGATACATACCAAGTCATGTATCTCAACAAGTGTGCTGGGGTCTTGGGCATGATTAAGGAAAGCAGAGCATGATTGCCTAAGGATCTTGGTAATCCATTGCCTTCCTCTGCAAGGGCAATGGTGCCGGCGCTTGGAAGTGCTTCCCATGTCAGAGTCTAGCTGTTTGGCATTGTTGTCACAAGGATGACCCGTCAAGTGCTTGAAGGGCAAGTCAGATGGGATACCAGCCCGGGACCAGGCGATGGCATGCTATTATTGATGGTGGTATTCCAAAAAGGCACAATCTGGTGCCCTTTCAGACATTCTATCGCAATTTTCAGAGAGTCCATTGAAGAGCGCACACCTGGGTGATGTTTTTGACGGCGCCGGTGGTCCAGATGGCGGCGCCCGCGTCTCGCCGTCGGATGGACGCGGATCGGCCGCGGCCGCGCGTGGCGTCCGGCTTCTCGCACAGCTTCCGGCGCAGCCAGGCGCCGTTGTTGGACGCGGTGTGATGCCCAAACACCTCCAGGAATATCGCGCGCAGCTTTGGCACTCCCAAGCCCACCAGGTCCCTGCACACCAACTCGCGATCAAAACTTGAAAAGTCATGGTTCACGAATGCTTGATGAAGGACCAATTTCTCCATCTCAAGCAGTGTCTATCAGCATTGGTCAATTTTGCCTGCCTAAAGACAATCTGGCTAGGCTACGAGCTGCCCTGCTGAATTGCACAGTCTTTGGCTGACCATTGCCACTCTTCTGATATAAGCAGGGATCTGGACAGCCTGATGAAGCGTACAACAGGCAACATCTGTGGTCTCAAGCAGCGCCTATGAATGCCACCCAATTTGGGCTGACTAGCAGACCAAAGGTATTTCCAATAACGAAGAAATGTTTGGATCCAGCCATTAAATTACAGTGCACCAATGCATGACCATGTGGCTAAGAAGGCAGCAGCAGGCGGGAAGGGGGGCTCACTGGGGATTCATGCCGCCCCCGCCATACCAAGTCACTGGACGGCCCCCGCGTGTGGTGCCATCACTGCTCTTCTCCTTTTTCCCCTTCTGCAATGCAGCACAGGAAACACAGTCAAGACACAACGACTGCAGCGTACATGTTCCTTTTTCATCTTCCAGGAATCCAGCACACAAAAATAACTCCAGACAAGCACACTGCACTGCTCTGCGGCTCCCATAAACAGCCCTGCCATGAGACTCTCCTGCTGGGCAGTCCATGAGACAGCCAGCTTGCTGCTGTGTCATCAAGAAATGAGGGGTTTGCGAGCTGACATGCGCATGCAGAAAGTCAGAAGACATGAGGGGCTCAAACCTGGCTGTTAGAGGCCTGGTGGGTGATTGTCCCTGCTTGGCAGGGATCTGAGCCAGCTGCTGGGGTCCATGCATAACTTGAAGCAGCCTGACAGACAGCAAGAAAGCTTCAGAAGACTGTGTGAGGCTGGAAAACAGCATGCATGCCTTTTGATAGCGACGCTGCAATGGGCCTGCAAGAGTGGGCTCAGAGTTATGCAGACGTAAGATGTCCGAGGCGAGATAAGCATTGCATGATTATGAGCTGCGCCGTGTGATGTACCTTCTTTCGAGGGTCCGCTGCGGAAGGGTATACTCCGCCAGGCATTGCTTTCCTCTTGCCTGAGGGCTTTGCTGTCTGACCGCCAGCAGCCTTTGACGGAGGTCCACCAGCAGGATTCCTGCATGTCACAGTCCCTTCAGTTCCGGTTTCCTGCCTGGCAGCTGTCCATGAGCTGATCAAAGGGTGCTTGCAGGCTGGCCATCTTATAATATTAAATCACAAAGGTGGGAAGCTCTCACAGCCATCTGTCACTGCAGAAGAGCTTCGAGTGGGAGCATAGACATATGGTGTAATGGTGTTGCTGAATACTTGCTACTTGGAAGAGTATCTCGTCGAAGTGATGGGCAGGGAAAGTGGTGTGAGCTACAGGCATATTGGACGTAGGCACGATTCCTTTGATGCCTGTCAAAAAGCACTTATAAGGCTTGCCGCCTGATGACTGCCCGCAGCTGCCAAACGATATCACGCTGGACTCATAGCGGCAGTAGCGCTCGGGATGGTTCACGTGTCGAAGCTAAGGGCGCCTTACGCAAAACTTCTCGCCAAGTCGGTGGAACACGCTCACCTCATCCATTGCGTCTCCGGAGCAGCATATATTTCCTCCATCACATCCCGCTCGCCGACCTGCAGAGCCAGTTCTCACCGTATGACTCTCTGACAATGACATTAGCGCGTTGTGTCATAGGACAAGATGGTGACGGAGAGTCCTAGCGGGACGATGCCCAGCATATGTAAGAGAGACATAATGTGTGGAACGCCATTTGCGCAAAATTTCGCGCAGCAAGGCACTAAGCCGACACTGGTCCCTGGCTTCATCCAGCAGGTGACAGGTCCGTTGGCTCCAGACATTGGCCCAACTTCAAGTGTCAGGAGGCCAGCATCTGCTCACTCTGAAGGGTCTAGAAACACTCTGTTAGTCTGATGAATGCAGAGCGCGCTTCATATCTGAACAGGAAACTCCTGGAATCCCTGAAAGCAGTTGAGCTGGTGCAGCCCATTATGGACACCTTGTGCAGGAGTCACGGTTTGCAGCTGCGATTGATGACCTCATTACGTACCTTGTCTATGAATACAGGAGATCGCAAGTGTCCTGGACCGTCCATGCCCCAATCCTGCTTCAGCATTGCCTTCAGCTACTTTGTGAGGGAAGATTGTGTGCAGGGCTCCAGACTGTCTACATCCAGTATCTGCAGCCCATCGCCAGGTCCTGCAGCCCTCTCCAGCTTCCAAAGTATTCGAATGGTAATCTCTCAAGCCTAAAGCAGTCGTATTCGTTGGAAAGGACAATGTTTCGAAACACGTTGGCGGCAAAGAACGCCGCAGGACGGGCGACATGTCTTTTGACGTCATCATATTTTTTGGTGCATGCGTATGTTTCCCCAATGCTTCATTGTCAAAGATCCTCGAGAACTCTCCTTTATTTTCTCAAGAAAGTATCTTCTTGGGACCAGACCGCGTTTGCGTGCCTTTGTGCACTCTAACGTGAGGTCCTCCCATTGAGTTTATGCTCAGATCGTTTCAAGGAAGTCTCCTGTGTGCTTCTTGCCATTGGTTTCGTAGTGCCAATATCGTCTCTAGCAGATTTGTATCTCAGAGACAGCAGTCAGCGTTCAATCGTCCAATCCCTGTGAAGGCCATTTCTTGGTCCTGCAGACAAATCTCGCTCAGAGCAAGCGCCACTGACGTCCAAATCAAGCTGCAGGAGTCCAACGAGATTACTGGTGATACGCCGAGCAACAAGCCGCAAGTGATCATACTGACTGGGCCCACAGCGGTGGGCAAGACCAATGCCGCCCTGGCCCTTGCAGAGAGGATTGGTGGAGAGATCATCAGCGCTGACTCCGTGCAAGTGTACTCTGGGCTCGATGTCGGGTCAGACAAGGTACATCGCGCAACATTTGTCGTTTGGCAGAGTGATCATGAAATCTGTAACTGCTTGCCCACTGCTCAGATGCCCACTGCTGTCGCGCAGATCTTGCTCGCAGAAAGGAGGGGCATCCCGCACCATCTCCTGGACATCCTGTCTCCCAAGGAGGAGTTTTCGGCAGGGGACTTCTACACACTGGCACGCACAGCAACTGCCGACATCCTGCAGGTCAGGTCTCCCTGTCTCATCGCCCTGCTGTATGCCTCCTTCTGCCTAATGTTCACATCAAGCAACACCACACCGCATAGATTCCATCCTCCCTAGTCAAACCATGATAATTACATAATAATAGGTGATTTTTCATTTGTTCTGGTCTAAGGTGTCATAGCTTTTGAGTTGCAGAGGACAGGCTCCGGGGAGGCACTTTGAGTGACTTTTCAATCCCCCAAATTCTGCTTCAGACCATTCGGTGCTGTGCATGGCATGGGTGCAGCTAGCTCTGACGTGGGAGTGTATCTGCGCAGAGGGGAAAGGTGCCAATAGTGGCAGGGGGCACCGGCTTCTACCTGCGCTGGTTCATCCATGGCAAGCCGCAGACTCCAGTCTCCACTGCTCAGACAGCCAAGGAGGTGGAAGCCCTTCTGGAGCAGGTGTGTCAGGCCTCACTTCTGCTCTTTTATTAATAATGAGAGAGGGCACGAGTCAAAGGCTGCGCCTTGCAGTCCAAACAAGAATCTTCAACAATGCAAACATCTGAGCCTAGGAGATGCCTTCCTGTTCATCCTTCTGGCTACGGCTACTGTGTCACTGGAAAGGCTGACTGGATGCGCCAAACAAACAGAGCAAGCACGCCTTGCATCCTTGATGTTTTAAGGATCAGCCAGACTTTTATTTTGTATGCAGGCTTGGAAGGATGAGGCTGACAGGTCAGGCAAGCCTCTGACAGCGGAGGAGCGGTGGGAAGTGGGCATAGCAAAGATCGCTGCTCTGGGCGACCCCGCTTCTGCAGAGAGGTGACTCTCGCATTGATAATAATGCACTCATCAGCGTGGCTCCGCACTCTGTCCCATTTTGACAGGACCTGTCCTTCTTTGCCCGCTTCCGTGCTATATTGTAGCTCTACACTTGCAGCATGGTGCGGTGCAGTCAAGGTTCGGTGGCATCAATGTTTCCCCAATCTGGACCCTACAGAGATGCAAAGTTTCATATCATGCGATTGCAGCTACCTCAATTCTCTTGAGTGCTCGTGTTATCTTAATCAGCTGAGTGCATCTCGCTGTAGTATAAATTATACTGTCCTGCCAGGCAAGACAGTCAGCAGTAGCTATGGGCCTGCAGATATGCATTATACTCGTAGTAATGGCTGACTAATTTGCTGTGCTGGCAGACTGAGGGAGGTGCCAGGCAATTACTACCGCCTGAACAGGGTGCTGGAGATCCTGCTGGGGACTGGGGGGAGGCCCCTGGCGGAGCTTAATTTGGACACAGGGGCCCCCCTGGATTACGATTTTAGATGCTTCTTCCTGAACAGGCCGCGCCTCGAGCTGTACCGCCGAATCGACGCGCGCTGTGAAGAGATGGTTGTGGGCGGTCTGCTGCAGGTGCGTCGCAGTTTTGTTATCAGTGCTGCAAAACAATCTCAAGCTCAATCTTACTTATTATAGACCCCGAAATATGGGGTTTGGGGTTATATGGAAACTCTAACTGGGTGGTTGCGGATAGATGGACTTGATTCAAACTTGTGTGTATTGGTAATACCTCAACTTTCTGTGGTCATCTATAGGACGCCGTGCGCAGTGGAAAATCCCGCGAAAGCCCGTGTTTTTCTGCGGGCCGTGTTATGATAGTCTAAACGTTTCTGTGATGACCAGGCAATTCTTGTTTGGAAGGGATAGGTGGAAGGGATAGAAAGCGCGGTTGAAAACCCTTGTGACATTGCTTCATACATTAGGTCGCATGCATAATATGATGTAATGGGCTTGCACCATGTTTATTCTGGAGCTGACAGCGCAATTAACCTTGGGGTAGTTTATCACGTGACGTGCATGCGCCCGGCAGGAGGCAGCGTGGCTATTGGACCAGGGGCTGACTCCGGATGAGAAGTGCGCGGCGCGCGCGATCGGCTACCGGCAGGCAATGGAGTTTTTGATAAGATGCCGGGCCGACGCCGCCCACATCACCGGCGACAATCTGGTGAGTCATGTTGTGAGTTACTGTATCTCAAATGGCGCTGTTCGTTTAGGTCACCTTGGCGCTGTAGGTCTAAAATCACAGTGCCTGTCAGGGATAATCCTGTGCAAATGATCCCACGTCTTTGTCTGCTCTATCGGTAGCAATGGGGCTCTGCATATGGACAGTCAAGGAGCCCTGGATATAGTTCACAAGACGTTTCTGTACTGTGATCCTGCATGGATTGCGCATGAGCCAAGAGCGTTCTACTGGGCAAGCATGTGAACTGCTTGCTTAAGGAAGGCTCTTGGCTTATGTGCAAGCTGGTGACAGGTGAATGAAGCTCTGTACCTCCCATTCACGGTGTCCCCACTGAGAGGATGCTATTCTGACCTCATCAAAAGGCCTGCCAGCTTCAACGTGTTGCCAACCTGCCTCAGAAGGAATTACTCAGTCTTGGTGCAGCTTCTAGAGCATGAGAGTTCCAATGCAGTGTGCCAAATGTGCACTGCGCAGGTACAGATGGTTCGAGACATCCAAAGGGCTTCACGCAATCTGTGCCATCGCCAGCTCAGCTGGTTCAGGGACGAGCCGCTGTTCCGGTGGGTGGAAGCTGGTCGGGAGCCGGCTGACATCGTCGATGACATCATCGCTGCGCTTGCGGACAGCTCCCATAAAGGTGCCCTCGCCCCCGTGCATCAACCTTGCAGGTTGAGAGGGAAACGTAGATAGCGCCAGGCCCTCATCGAACTCAAAAGGGCGGCACATCTCCTTACACGTGAAGATGCTGGTCGTTGGTGCATGCATCCGATGCGTTCAAGTCTCTCACTGGGCATCTGCAAAAGGTTGCTGCACCTCGAGCGCAAGGTGCTTCCTGTTGGAGATCCTGGACTTCCATTTGAACATACTAGTTGAAATGCAACACCTCCCGATCTGATGGAATGTGTTGTGCTGCCAAATTGCTTGATTTACAGACTAAAGGCCGAGTCAGATGCGCCAAAAAAAGGTTGTGCACATGCATGATGCTGAGGATGCTGTGCAGGCAGTTCTGGCGAGGATGGGAGGCTCAGCAAGCAGGAGGAGCGGGAGTTGAAGTCCTACATCACCAAGCTGCAGCTCTTTGAGCGTGAAGATGTTGTGCAGGAGTGCCTTGCAACTGTCCAAAAGCTTTCTTGAGGTCTGCTGACATATAATAAAGAGAGGTTTGGTCTCTAGGTGGCTGGGCGGGACATTCAGTCTTTAGATCTATGATGTCACCTACAAGTGAATATTTCCACTCGTGGGTTGGTTGCAGTGTTGCAAGGTTGCTGAATTCAGTCGCCGAATGCAGTTCAATAGCCACATGTGACTGCATTGAAGAAATCTGTGGACATCAGGCGCTGGTTGCACTCAGGGGTATGGAAGCTGATGCATAGACCTGGAAATAGGCACGGGAATCTGCATGCAGTAAAAATTTCCTTGAAGCCGCTTCAAAGAAGGAAAATTCCTACTACCGGTAAGTACCTTTACAGGAAAATCTTACAGAAATGAGCGATATTCTTGGGAATTTTACACAGGTGTGTTCACGCATGCAGCAGGCATTTTGATCAAGCAGTGTGCAGTAGATCTCTTTAACCGCCAGAATTGTAGTTGCAAGCTAGATCCTGCTGCTGGAATTCAGCCTGCCATGCTGTGCCTGCGTGGCTAGCACAGCACGGCAGTGACGTCACAGAAGTCTTCATCCTGTTCCTCTCTTCTTTCTTCTTGAAACAAATCGGAGCATTGAACACCATTCTGCGCAGGTGAAAGCAAAGAGTGTAGGATAGTTCACCGCTGCAATTTTGGACCAATTTTGCATTGAGAAATGTGCCTTTGAGAAACTGAGGTCCTCCTTCCTGGCTTCTTCCGTTGCCATTGGCGTCGCAACTAGTAAGCTAGATCATGATGGCAATACACTGGATGATGTTCACTGGACCCTGTCGACCAACATGAGCACAACTAAGACTATAGGATGGCTGATGCTATGTGGGCAGCCTGGCCTTGGACGAGGTGAAAGTACCATTTTCTCAGTTGAACAGACTCTTGAATAACAATGAGCCTTGAAGAGGCGCAAGCTGGAAGATGCATCGCGCATGTCGACCTGGACGGTGAGAGTCTCTGTCATCACACAACGATCAGAGGCACTTGTACTGAGCTGCTGCAACAGGTTGTCAGAGACTTACGTTGTCTGCCAAGACGCTATGTGTTGATCTTGAGAGCACAACAGTTGCAGTCGAGAAGAGGGCGCCTGCACGTCCTTGTCCCTTTGCAAGCCATTGCCTAAGCCTATGGATCGTTTGTGGCGCAGCATTCTACGTTCAAGTCGAGCTGAAGCAGCACCCTGCATTGGCTGGCAAGCCGACTGGAGTGATTCAGGTGGGCATGACGTGATGGCACCTTTGCTCAAGACACCTGCCTGTGCTGTGCTCTCAGTGAGTAGGCAATCTGCTTGCCTTGCATGTGCCTCTTTGTTCTGCGCATTGATCCGCTTAGAGTGGGAATACCTGAAAGCGTGTAAATCTATTTCCGAGCGCAACACTGCTTCGAGTGCGCTTGCGGAGTTGCAGTACAACCCGAATGGAGACTTGAGCACATTGCGGCCTGATGAGGAGCGGATCTTCAACAGCAGCAATGGCAGCCTCATTGCAGTCGGCTACGAGGCCAGAGCAAAGGGTGTCAAACGGTGCGTATGCCAACTCCCCATCATGCATCCTTCACCGCACACAAATTCTGTCAAGCATGGCGCCAATCGCCTTGCCAGTACCTCCACCGGTTCTCGTTTCAGGGATGGCACCCTCAGAAATTCCCCATGCAAGCTGTTTGTATTCATTCCACGCAGTTGGGAGCGGTTTTGATGGGCATTCTGAGAGACATGTAGATTTGGTGCATGACATGTAATTCTCTGGACCGTAAGGTCTCGGATGACCTCTTAGTGGGGCTATCTATTGCATGCATGAAAGCAGGGATGCTTGAAGACAATCCCGGCTTGGTCTATGAAGTGCGATTGCACATGCACAGGGGAATGAGGGGGGATGATGCGCGCAAGGTGTGCCCAGACCTAAATCTGGTGCAGGTGCCTGTGGCCCATGGCAAGGCAGATCTGACGCTATATCGAGCATCCGGCAAACAGGTGATTCTGCGCTCGCAATGCCTGACGCTTTGATGCTTGCATGGAAGATTTTTCGAGGAAATCTTTGTGCATGCCAGCTTTTGTAGATGTGACGCAAGAGGATTGACTGCTCAGAAATCGAAGTTACTGACTGCTGCTTCGACATCTGCATTTGGCCAGTCAGAGCTTGACGGCTTCGCACAGGCCAAAATTTACACATTGTGCTCATCACATTTGCTTCAGTAAGATCATATCTCATGTTCATCTGTCCCAGTGTGTACATGCATGGCCTTCTCAATATACATACACCGCTTCTCTGTCATTCAAAGGATGCTTCAGCTAAAGCACATCGTATCTTCATTCGCCCAATACGCATGTTCCCATAGTCAATACTCATACACTGTGTTTCCAATGGTTTGAATGTGTATGCACAGGTGCTCAACATTCTGGCAAGGCTGTCGGTAGCGGAGCGAGCCTCCATCGACGAGTGCTACCTGGACATAACAGAGGAGGCCAAGAGGCGGCTGGCGGCCAGCTCTGCCCACCCGCCCCTTCCCATCAATGTGGGCGAGGTTCATGTCTGCGGCGAGGCAAGCCCCTAGTTTTACCCCTTTTGTCCGCCAAGGACTCTGGGTGTATATAAAGGAAGCAGCTTCTGTTGGGGTGCTGTGGGATTGGAAATGCTGTCTCGGCGCTGCCTCGCCTTTCTGCCTCGCTTCACGAGGCAAGCTGCTGGGTAATCTGTTTTGCATTCAAGCGTGTGTGCCAAAAGGGACCTATGTTGTCGCAGTATGGGACTTCTGGTACTGTGTTTGCCCAGTGATCCATGTGCCCTAAGGCGCTGTTGTGGATCATGGACGAACAGCGGCATGTTTATAGAGAATATACTGCACAGCACCTGCTTCATCAAATCGCCTTGGTGAAAGCGTGAACAGGTCTCTTGTTGCATTCAGGCCGCCTAGGGGTGTCTAATGAATTTTGTGTCTGAGCTGAGATCATGGACATCTTCCTGGCTGGAGGGGAGGGCGCGACGGAGGCATGGTCGCACCGGCCGGTCATTGTCTTTCATGTCAGGTCGCTCTCTGTAGCAGGTCGCCAATTGGTGTCCAGAGAAACCTCACATGAAGTTCATTGTCAACCGCGCATGCATCAAAAGTTAAGGCTGTGACTGAGATATAGCATTTTCCCTGGCAGGAGGGTGAGGGTGGGACGGAGGCGTGGTGGCACCGGCCGGTGGGCGCCTGGGGCCCAGGGCAGCGGCTGCTGGCGTGCGGCGCGGCCGTCGTGGCAGAACTGCGCGCAGCCGTCAGGCGCGAGCTAGGCTACAGCTGCTCCGCAGGTGGGTACCTCTGTTGCATTGCCTCTTTCTTTGGCATTCACTTGTATTACGCCGGCCAAGTTTGATTTTGGAGATTTGGGCTGCGGCTGCTCTGCAGGTGGGAAAGCCACTCTTCATGCCTTCACGTAGAATGCTCACCTGCTTTCATCACAGGCTCCAGTTTCTATCAATTCTTCCTGCGCATGCACCTGTGATTGATGGCTGGGATTCGTGGCTGCTTCTGAACAAAATTGGGTCACAGAGGAAAGGAATTTGGGACCAAAAATGAGTCAGTGTTGTCCCCATTCTTTTCAGGCAGGCATGTTTGGGGCGGGAACTTTAGCCCTTCATGCAACGGGAACATGAGATCATACAATCCACTGCGCAGAGTCCACATCATGCCAGGACCTCTTTGAAAAGCGCAGTGGTCACTGGCTTACCCATAAGCGTGTCCAGCAACACCTATGGACCAGACAAATCTAGCTCGATGGGGGGGTTGGCATAGCTTTGCTGTGCTGCTGTACAAAGTCAAATATTAGCTTCATGCACTTGCATGTGCGGGTGCAGGCATCGCACACAACAAGATCCTGGCCAAGCTGGCGTCGGGCATGCACAAGCCCAGTCAGCAGACATTAGTCACCCTTGACTGCGTGCCGGGCCTCATGGCGGGCCTCCCCATTCCCAAGCTGCGCCAGCTGGGCGGCAAATTTGGCGAGGAGATCATGACAGCGCTCAACATCACAACCGTGGGTGCGTATTGTCTCTGCCTCTGTATTCTCTCTCTGTTCTCTGTGAATTCACTGCGGATCACTGCTTCTCATCACTTAATGTGGTTTTTCCTGCCCTCTAATTTGTATTTGGTGATCAACATCGGGTAATGATATGCTGGTGGGAAGATACCACCTTGTTTTTCTAAAAACGTTGTTCAAACTGGGCGTTTCATGTGTTCATCTGCATGTCAGGCATGTCAGAGCTATTTTCTTTTCAGACTGCAAGCAAAGGTCTGATGCGATCCTGTCGACATGGCCGCCAGTTGATACCCCAACAGTTCCACCAGTAAGAAACACACCCAGATCTATTGAATGCGGGGTAACTGAATTGACGTGACATGCGTGTTGGACTGATCAGGTGAGCTGTCAGCGGTGCCGCTGCGGCGACTGGAGGCGGTGTGTAGCCAGGCCGACGCGCTCTGGCTGCACCGCCTCTCCCGAGGCATCGACGACGAAGAGGTGCAGATTTCCCTCCACCTTTTTTCCCTAATAGCATCAATGCTCATGGATTCTCGTACTCTTCAAAGAGGCCTGCATTAAACCTTTCTGTTGTCCTGTCCATCGCATCTAGCACCCATATCAGCACGGTCTTTGCCCTCTCTGGTGGATGCTTGCATGTATGCATCGCATCTCCCCATTGGATCCATGTGAGCAGGGGGTGGCTACCAGACTACCAGGGGGCACTCGTCAGTACCCTCTGCGGTGACCTGTGTCTCCTGGAGCATGCCATTTACCCAGAATTTCAATCCAATCCGAGATAGGCCACATGTGGCAACACTCATGTTGGCACATGCAGGTGAAGGAGCGGCAGCTGCCGCAGTCGATCTCATGCGGCAAGACATTCCGGGGCCACACGGCACTGAAAGCCTTCCCGGCAGTCCATAAATGGCTGGGGGAACTCGGCGACGAACTTGAAGAGCGCATTACGGCAGACCGTGCTGACAACGAGCGCGTGCCCCGCCTTCTCACGGTGCGTGCCCCCTGAACCCAATCGCTCATTCCCCCTGGGCTCTTCCTGTAAAGGTCTTAACTAACCTATAACGCTTCAGCCTTAATCTACTTGACGAGAAGCATCATAAGGGGGGTAACTGTTTGCAGATGACTTCACCTGCAGCCGAGTCTTCCTAATGGAATTGAGTGGTTTATTTGTCTTCAGAATTCATTGTACACCCTAGACCATGAATTGATGGCTTGACCTGCCCATATTCCTTTTGCAATGCACTGGACCTTTAGCTGGGGTATTCTGATACCTAACATGCATTAGGAATGTGAAGACAGGGCACAGGATCCAAAGGTTAGGGTTCCCTGCTCTTTTGAAAAATGCAGCCGGCAAAGCACCTCCTCTGCAACTAGGAGGTGCTTTTCTGCTGGACATGCCGGTCACGATCCTGGGGTTGAATCGGCGGACACATCATTGCAGAAGGCGTTTGGCTGCTCTTTGAAAAGGCTGCCTGTCACACTCTGCAGAGTCCTGTTCGCCGGTTCTATCCTCCAGGATCCTGACCAGCACAATGCCTCCACTATTTTGAAAAGGTCTTGCAAATCAATGGACTTTGCAGGCGATGACTTGCTACTTACCAGCTTATTTCCTGCCGGCATGAGTGGCTGGCTTCTCTTGCGCACTTGACTCATCACCTTGACTCTTTTCTTCGTGCCAGGTGGGCATGTGGGGGGAGGGGGGCCCGGGCACGTCTGGGGGCAGCGTGTCACGCTCATGCCAGCTGCGCCGACCAGAGTCACAGCCCATGGCAGAAGACGGCCTCAAACTGGTGCGAGGGAACGCCCCCAGGCTCTGCCTCTGCCTTCACCCTGACAGTCGCTGTCAGCATGTCCTGACCATTGAGCCGAGCACAGGAGCATTAATCCCTGTTCAAGTGTTTGTGAAGATGTCATTGTGTTGGCATCTTTGAGCGCGAGCTGTACCATCGTCAGGTACCCTTCGCCCTTGCTTGCAATGAGAATGGCGCTGCCGCTGATGGTGCTATAGATTGCGAGAAAAGCTGATAACACCTTGGCATCCTTGAATGCTCTTTTGCACCTAAGAGTACAGCCTGCTTCTGCTGTGATTTTTGCATGCCTGTTTGGCTTCAATACGGCAAAAGCATCAAGTCCTCTGGCATTATTGTTGATCAGCCACAGAAATTTTGTACCAGCTGACCATCTCATGAATGGCATTTCTGGTCTTGATTCTGCGCAGATCAAGCGGTGGGCGTCTGACCGACCCGGCTGGGCGATCACATCCCTCTACATGACAGCCTCTAACTTCCAGGCGGCTCCCACTGGGTCATCCACAATCACACGCTTCCTCAAGCCCAAATCAGCGCCAGGTCAGCAGTCACCGCCCCCTTCAGGGTCCAGTCACCCTGCCCCGTCAGCATCCGCTCAGCCTATTTCAGTGCACTTAGGTGAGTGTCAAATGCCACCTTTTGCTGTGGGGCAAGTTCCACTGTTGCATGTTTTTCTCTTGAAAGACTGGAATATCAGGACTGTCTGCTGTGTCCTTTATAGGTGAACAGCTAAGGGATGAAGGCATAGTTTCCTGCGCACACTGACGCGCTGATTCAAAAGATCTGATGTGGCTGCAGATGAGGAGCCTGCAGTGACTTCACAGCCCGCAGCTGCAGTATCAAATAGGAGCCACGCTGCAATTGACAGACCAGAAGCTCAGCAGCCTGAACCTTTTACTCTCCAAAATCACCCGTCAGCATCACCAGAAAGTGCCCTGGGAAGGCATGCATCAGAGCCTGCTCAGCTGGGAAGGGAAGCTCTCACAGCAGTTATCAGGCACAGAGCTCAGCCCAGCACAGCAGCTGCAGCACTTGCTGCGCCAGCTTCTGGGGTTGAGGAAGCTAGGCTTGATGATGTCAGCGGAGATGGTGATTTGGGAATGCTTGAAGTGGGGGATGCCGGGGAGCAACAAGAAGGGGCGAATGTGGAAGGTGATGGGGCGGCAGCTTCCTGGAAGCAGGAAGCTGAGGGGCCGGCAGCTTCTCAGAGGCGGGAAGCTGCTGCGCAGCCGCACAGAAGCGGCGCCCTGGACGCTCCGCTGCTATTGCAGTGCACCGAGGAGGTGGGTCGGGAAGTCTCTGTTGTGATGTCAAACTTGGATCTTTTTACTGTAGTTGAGAAGCCAAAGTGCTTCCTAGCGGATTTGATCTCGTGGTTTTTTCTGCCGTCTTCTCATTCTGCCGAGTTTGCAGAACGACGAGACGGAGAGTGAAAGTAGCAAATCAAATCCGTTGGAGACAAACAGGGTCCTCTTAACTGGCCCCCGTGACTGCTCCTAGCGCTCTATGCACGAAAATTGTGAGTTATAGCATCGATCCTAAACCAACCCGGGGGCCACCCTCAACTTGTGTCCCTGCCAACACAAGCATTATGACAAGAGACAGACTGGCCTGAAGAGGTCGGATCGGGCGGCTCTGGCTGCGGGGATGGAATCTCGTCAAATTTTTCTAATGATTCATGTCTCATTCCTTCCGGTGAAATGACATGCAGCAAGGCAGCGCAGCGCCAGAGATAGGACAAAGGGCTGCCTCGCAACTGAATACCATGGCCTCGCAGCGAGTACACAATGAAATCGTACTTGTTTGAAACGGTCTAATTAGAGTATGAAACTGGGCATTGCTGCGTAGGACATGGACCCTGAGGTTTTGGCCGCGCTGCCGGCCGACATTCGCCGCGAGCTGCGGCTGGCACTCATGGCGCGCCGTCCGGCCCCGGCCGCGGCAGAGGGAACGCGTGGCCGCCCCGGCCCGCCGCAGCGCGCAAAGCGTGCGCGCCGCGGCGGCCCAGGTGGTGGCACCGCGCCGATCACCGACTTCTATCGCCGGGCCGCGCAGGGATGATCGAGCGTACCGCGCGGCCGCAACTGTTTGACAGCATCTTCTCTGCCACGCAGGTGTGTTCACACAAATTTCCGAACAAAGTGGGTGAAGCCGGCGCGGCGTGAAAAGCGCGCGCGCCGCGCCGGCGGCAACACCGCGCCGATCACCAAAAATTACCGCTGGGCCGCCCAGGGTGAACGACTGTGCTAAACAGCCATGGCCGCCGTCTCTGCCACCTCGGCAGGTCTGTTAAGGCAGTCCTAAGAAGAAGACTTGCTGAAGGCGAAAGATCTTTTTCGTTGAAACCTCCAGGAGGGAGAGAAAGAGAGGGATGTGGAAAGGGGTGAGGGAGAGACATGTATTTGAGAGCCAGCCAGGCTGGATGAAATGGAGGGCAACCCTGGTGTGAAACCTCGGCAGTTCCCTTGGGCAGGGAGGTATTAAATGGGTCCCGGAACGGAAAGAAGGTGCAATTCCCCGATGGTGCACTTGTCTGCATTGTGTGCAACGATAAAGGCAACCTCACTACATTCTAAAGATGTTGGCCTCTTGTACCCCGCTGTCTTCTGTTGCTCGGATCGGCAGCAACGGGAGGCTCCGCCCCAAACTGCGCCAGGACGCCCCGAAGCGCGCACATTTTGCCGTGAGGGCGTATTCGATCACGTTCAAATATCCCGATGAAGCAGACAAGGTCGTCGAGGTCGACGGTGAGCATTGCAACGGGGGAAGTCTCTTTTTTTGAGGAGTGTGATGCAGTCCTGAAAGCAACCTAGGGCAACACGGCGTAGGGCTTGGCTCGCCTGTATTCGTGATCTTTCTCCGACTTGGCATCCTGCATTTCCCCAAGCCTACACTAGTGATCGCAAATTTACGCTGTTGTATCTTTTGATTCCACTAGAGCTTCACGTGGTTCACGTGATTGCCTGGTGCCGTCAGCGATGGGCTTCTTGAGGTGCTTTGTTCCCCACAACGAGCATCTTGGTAACCCCTTTCATGTTCTTTTTGGACAGAAGTGGTTTCATCGCCAATGATCGGACAAATTTGCTCCAGCAATCTCCTAGGGTTCCTCACCATTCTTGATTACTGGCTTTGTATGCCGCATTCTGCTAAAGCTAGTATCCAGCCTGCCTGGTAGTAGGCTGAGCACTGCGAGCCCTCCCACAAGAAGCTGTTGTGTAACTCAGTGAGAGGCCTCCATGCCAAATTGAGTTTGGTGTACTGAGTAAGTGTTTTGCGCTCAGCAGCAGAAATACATCAAATTCTGAGATGCTAGTAATTTTAGCCATTAGACCTTGTGCGCTTACATGTTACTAAGCGAATGCTGTGTGCATGCCACAGCGGAGACGTACATTTTGGACGCGACAGACGATGCCGGGGTGGACATGCCTTACAGCTGCCGCAGCGGAACATGCTCCAGCTGCACCGGGAAGATTGTGAGTGGGACTTTGGACCAGGACGAACAGCAGTTTCTGCAGGAAGACCAAGTCGCGGCCGGCTACGTGCTCCTCTGCGTGAGTCCTTGTTTTATCGTGTAAAACCTGAATTTGTGCCCTTGCTGGCCCCGTTTAAATATTGCTTGCCGCAGGCTATGTGCTCCCTTTCATAAGCAACCCTGTCGCCCTCTGCTGCCCATGCTTCCTTCTTGGTTCCTTGTTTCATATTCTGCTTTTCAATTTTGCTGCTCCGCTTGAACCCCCCTGCACCCTGCCTCAGTGTCCCGTAAACTCACGTGTTTCAGCCAGACTCCTTGTCAGTCATCTCTTAGTCATCTGCCATGCGTTTGGCACATGCAGGGCAGGTGTTGCGAGTAGCTTGTGGCATTTTGTCTAACGTGTGTTCTGTTTGTTTTGGTGTCCAGGTCAGCTACCCCACCAGCGACCTGGTCATCGAGACTCACAAGGAGGACGAAGTCATGGGCTGAATTGATTCTGCTCTCCCGCTGCGCGCGTGAAGCTCTGTTTGATTTGCCCAATTGGCTTTCTTCTGTCTGATGTCTAATTTGAACCCCGGTGCCAGCGCAAGGAAGTTGCAATACCGTCATGCTTTCTATTGGAAAGAGCCAGTGGGGACCACAGATGATTACAAATTTGAATATTCATGCGGATACGCATCCCATGACATGCCATGCTCATCAATTGGGATTTCTGCTGATCTTAGATTCTGGCCAAGAATTGTATGCGGTGTATGTGTTAGATCAATTGATCAATAAGTAGTAGCAGTGAATGTCTTCAAAAAAATCTGGTCATGGTAGGACTGTCATTTGAAACTTCTGACAGCTCACTCTTGGCTTGCATTTCAATGATAAGCTGAAGGCTTAAGCTTTCGATCTGTAGGAACCAATGGATTTGAGCGTGTTGCTTTATAATGGCAATTTTGCATCACGAAGCGTATCACAAAATAGCCAGTTGCTCTGCAATATTGCTTGCCATCCGTATCAGTTGTAGACCACTCTATGTAATCATCAAAGCGCTGAATTTCAGAGCCAACAAATTGGTTGAAGTACAAACGTACATCAAATTCAAAAGCATGCCGGCTGAACGATCGATATATATCAGCCAATAAAAAGGCTTGCATGTGAAGGTTCTGCAGTGTTCAAGATCATTCCTACGGCACTCCATGCAGAGTGCCTGTTCAAAATACTCAAATCGAGGCGATGGAGATGCTCATGCTGCCGCCATCAAGTTGGATGTCATGGGGCCGTAAACGGGCGTATCCGGGCAGGTAAAGGTGCCCGCGGCCCGTAATGGGCACGCCAGAGGGAACTGCCCCGGATACGCGCACCGCCCACATCAGCACCTGCAGCCGCGCCGCCAGCTGGCGCTTGCCCTTTGGAAACCCTGCACATGACACACCACAATTGCTTTCACCACCCCAATGTGGAAGGGAAGGCAGGATGCTTATGCCAGAGCATGTGTTCACGAGCTCTATCAGAAAACATAACGCTTGAAAACTTTACCAGCACTCTCGGCCAACCTACCGTACAGTCCTGGAGCAAGTGCAACTAAAAGTTTGACCGATGTCATTGCCTGCTCTGACACTGCAATTTCCGACCTGCTCAGGCTGATCTTGCACACTGATCTTTGATCATGGCAGCCTTGAAGCTTGCAGGAGCTGAGCTTCCTTCAATTGAGCGCAAGCTAAGACGGGAGCTTGAGCCCTTGGCTCACGAGTTGGATAGGACAGCTTGCAAGAGCGGCACCTGACTGTGAGGATTTGTATTCAAACACGGAGATGACTGCTGAGTCAGGGAACACCTCCAGAGACCCGCGCCCATCCAGCTCAAACTGCGCGCAAAGCAGCTGCGAGGAAGCCGCCGCCTGCTCACAGCAAATCAGAGAACTGAGCCAAAAAAAGTATTTAGTGTCCCCCAATGTACAACACACCTTCCTACACAATATCAGATGCGCAGAATATCATTCTGCAGCAAAATTTGATCTAGACACGTGATGCCCTGGAGATGAGGTAGATTTGTGGAGAACATGATACCGATGAAGTGTACTGCCGCTTTTCTATATTGCATGCGTTGCGTTCCTAACGCCAGGAGCCCTTTCTCTCTGCATGGTGCTTGCGCCTCCTTGCGTGTCTTGCATATCCTCTTCTTAACATAATGTTGAATTTGCATTTGTTCAAAGTATCATAACCTTGAATTCGAATCTGAACCAACGCACCAGGAGAGCGATGCCGAGGCTGTCGGGCTGCGCCAGGTGGAACCGCAGCCTGATCAGGCCGCCCTTGGCTGCGCGCAGATATCTTATCAACCCCGAGAAGAACCTGCCAGCCCAGTAGGCAGGGGGAATGGCCCTGACGTCCTCAAGGTCCAAGTCATCCACCTGCAAGGTCAAAAAGTATACTTGGGGTTTGCGGGATTTTTATTTGAGATTAGCCCTAAATATTTCACTAGCATGCGCTCCTCTGTAGAAACAAGCTGCCAAGACGTCATTGCAGGCAGTGGCCCTTTTCAAATGTGGTTTCAATATATGCCTGCGTACAAGTAGCCACAGCCTGGTATAAGGACTTTTACAGGTAGTTGATCAGACCCCGGCATGAAATCAAGTCTCCGGGATGACTGGACTTGCAAGTAGAATGTCTACTCAGCTGGCTTGTGGACTACACCGGCGCTACAGGAATTTTGATCTCAACAGATGAGGCTTCAAGCTTGCACCAGTTTTGGGTGCTGCCAGCGCAATGGTTGATTGCCTGGAGAATTGCACTGCTGTGGCACAAATGAGAGAATGAGGCACCCACCTCTGAAAGTTCCCCTTCTTCTATCCCTTCACTGCCGCCCTCCTGGGTCACAACAGCCTCCAGCGTCTGCAGCTCTGTGATGGCAGCCTCAATTACCCTTCCCCTATCAAATCCCCCCTTTTTTCCCAGGTGCAGGCTGGCTTCCTCTGTTGCCACCTGTGCCCTTCTGATGTAAGACAAGGCCCTCCGGTTGCCCTCGTGATAGGTCGTTAACCGCCCCAGAAACAGCCGCACAAAGGCCACAAAGCACTCCTGCCATGGCAACTCCACATACTCATGCCTGCTCTCCATCTTCAGTGAGAAGTCCTGTCCTATCCTTGATATCACCACAGTGAGGAGTCACAACTGCACAGCTCTGTGAGCTGTGGTACTGGCCTGTTTGATCAGGCAATCACAACCCGAGTTGTGCTTTGTAAGTTTGCAAATAGGAAACATGCAATGGGTGCCATCCCAGCGTTGCCCACTTTGTCAATCTGCATCACTATGCAATCTGCATCATTACCTGCATGTTCACTGCATGCATATTTGTGCTGCCGAGGACAGGAGGGATCTAGGGACAAAGCATGCGATGCTGCATACCGGAGTTGCTACAGCCTCCACAAGGGCGTTCTGGCGGGCTGCTAGCTCGGCATCGCGCCTCCTTGCGGGTACATCCTTGGACAGCATCAGGGAGGATAGTCCCTGCAGACTGTGTATGTGTGCCAGCTCTGCGGCTTCCTTGCCATGAATCTTCCCCACTGCTTCCCTGCACATAAAAATTTATTCACTTTGTCATCATTACAACAGCAGGTCACAATTATTATGGGGCATATTCATGAAGCATTGAGAAGAATGGGGCATTATTCTTTGCAGTGCAGTGCAAAGTCTGCATGCATGCTTGCAAGCAATTGAAAGCGATTAGATAATGAGCAAATGAAGAGCCGTCAAAGAGCATGCTTAGGCGAGCAACTGAAAGAGCATATGTAGTCAGGTGAGGGGGGAATGTGGAGCTTGCCTGATGGCAACTTCGTTCAGGTAACCCAGCTGCTCACTCAGTTTCTCATTGCGCCGACGCAAGGATGCTAAATTGCGTTGCAAGACATCCACTTGTCGCGACAAGACCGCTGTGTCTTCTTTGCGCATTGTGATAGCTTCGTTGACCTTGTCTGTCAAAGCCTGGACCTGCATGTATCAGCCAGTCCACATTTGGTAGCAGAAAATGACTGGCAAGCACTTGCCAATTATTTGCAAAAAAAACAATGTGCAAGATACGCATCAGGCGGTGTCAAGCACTAGAAGACGTGCTGTGCCCTCTAAACCGCGTCACTTGCTCTCTGAGCGGACATACCTCTGGATTTTTGAATAGATTGCCCCACAGTTTCGACAGAAATCCAAATCCCGTAAGGCTGCGAACACCCACGCCCAATCGAGTTGACATGCTGACCAGATCCGGCGTCCATCCTGGGGTCGCAACAGCGCTGAACACAACTTTTCGCAGTGCAAGCGCCATGTAATGACCTAGCAGCTATTCTTTCCGCTTCAGCCATGTGGCATGAGGCTAGATGGCCTCAAATTTTCTATTGATGATCTGTACCGATCCTGCAAGGGCGAACACTGTGACCTGTGAATGTGTGCTTCCGACACTCAGATATCCACAACACTGATCACTGTTTGGATCTGCTGCGAGACTGGAGTCATAACGCCCGACAGAACTCTGTGCACGTGATATCAGGTGCCTGAAATCAAGGCGTGACTCAGCATCCTACTCTGTCGGGCAAAATCCACTACTTTAGTGGACATGCACTCCACTACATTAGTGGATTTGGCTCTCTTTCTGAGCACGCCCCTTCGGGGCGTGCAATAACAAAAGCAATGCTGCACATCCTTCAGATTTACCTACAACAATCTCAGCATTGCATAGTACCTCCGTCAAGCTAATTATTTCGGTCAAGCCTGTATCTATAGGATCGTGCGCTACTCGTTTCTGCGAAGACAGCAATGCCATTTGCCAGGTTACCGTTGCAAAGTAGGATTTGAAAGGGGGGTGGGACGGCCGCAAATGTTTATGGGAGTAATTTAAACGAATTCTTGAAGTCTTCTGTCGCTGGCCATGTGAGGTTCGCACTTTTGCCGGTTTTTTGGCATCCCCATCCTTGACTTGTTTGGACTCAGCTAATCGAATGTCACGACCATCGACGTGCATGTCTACTTCTTTCGTAGTGACTGCATGCCCTGCCAAGCCAATTCCTTGAAATGAAATGCGTGCAGGCAACACAGAGCGTTCACCTGAATTGAGCACTGATGCACCGGACAGACACTGAAGTCGTCTACAATCTAAACCAACATCAAGTTCAATTGTTCTGGTGAGCGTTACGATCCCTCTGCTGCTGTGAGTAGCCGTGGGTGTCTGCCCTGACCTGGCTTTGCTTGGAATGCCAATCTGATGAGGAGCATCTGGAGAGGACTGTGCACCCCAAAGAGTAGCAAGTAGCCCAGGTGCTTGTAAGGATAGTTGTATCACTTGTACTAGAAGGCATGCTGCTGATGTACTTCTCATTCCTTTAATGTCCTGGTGGATCACTTGCAGAAACCGTTGTGTGATGACTTCATGCAGGACGAATGGTCAGGAACAAGAGGTGGAGGGTCAGTGTCAAGGTGATACCATCAGCCGACACTCCTGCTCTGCTGCAGCCAGGCCGCAGATTTGGGAGGAACCTAGGCAGCACTGTGGCAACATCTGCACCGAGGGGACCCCGGAGGCCGGCCAGCGCCCTTCCATCCTGGCGGATCCCTGCAAGAAACACAGCTCAGCAGGAAGAACAGCAGGATGGCTTTGCAGATGGAGATGGAGAAGCCGCTGCTGCCTATTATCAGCCTCCGCCCTCACGCCGGCGTCTGCGGAAACAGGCAGCTCAAGAGGATAATAGACGGCTGCACCAAGCATGGGATGCGTGCTTTGATGACAATGTATTCAGGAACACATGTTTCCAAGCTGGTCAGCCTGCACGCCAAGCAGCACTGAAGCAGCAGCTGCAGGCAGAGTTTTTGACAGCTGCCAGAGCAGCCCTGCCCGCTTGCAGTCCATGCAGTCAGGCTGGGAGGGTGGGATCAGTGTGGGAGCAGGTGGAGACGATCAGCAGGCTTGTGTATGTCTCGATCAGCGGCAGGACAGAGGTCAGCCCCCCAGCATTCAGGTGTGGCGGGTGCAGTGCCGCCTTCACAGTCGATCCTGTGAGCATGGGATGCTTTCCTGCAACGCCACAGAGGCCGCTGGTTTACTACTCTGGAGCGCTCATGTTGCAGACGCATGAGCTCAGCCTCGCCAGCCCAACCTCAATGGTCGCCTGGACTAGCGCCCTGGAGGAGGTGCACGTCAGGAACGGCTGTGTGCCGTACGGGCAACTGAGTGGCCTGCCCAAAAATATCTGGAGGAACCTCCCAGTGGCGGTCAGACAGTGGCGCAGAATGGACATCGCCACACATGACCTCAACAGGCTTGGCGTGCAGCCCATCTGTTCGGAGGCAGGGCTCAGCGGTGACTCAGACTTGCAGCTCGGCCAGCCGCCGCCGCCCCAGGAGAACACTCAGAGGGAAGCAGCAGCGTCGTCATCGCCACCAGAAATGGAAGCAGGCAGCCTCGCGGCTCAAACTGGCAGAGATGCAGCTGAGGTGGGCCCGGCGACCCAGGAATCTCTGGACAGTCGTGCCTCCGGGGGCCCCACTGTGCAGTGTCCTTGCTGCTTTCGCACTTGCGTGGCAGCCATTGCTGACGCCTGCCTGGGACTCACGCAGCTCAGGGCGGCGGGCAAAGCCTCTGATTTCCTGCAGCCGAAGCTGCCCTATAGCCCCTTCATTGCTGATGAAGAGGTGAAGGCCTTGCTCGCTCAACGGAAGGCCTTGGACCCGGCGGCGCTGGAGCGGCCGGTCTGCTCTCAGTTCGTTGCTGCCACGCCAACCGCCTCAGACACGCAGCTGCGCCTATATGTGCAAGTGAGTCTCCTCGCATTTTTCTGGGATCTTGTTGCGCTTACTGATGTTGGCATGCATCTCATATATCCATGATTTTTTTCTCTTTTTTTCCTGGCCCCGGCTGGCAAGGGTAATACTTGGCAGCACCCTAGCGTGCCTTGCTTCAGGTGGTAAAAATACTGAATACCATGCCCACGGTTGATTGGGTCTTGCTTGGATCTGGCGAGTTCAACAAGGGGTAGGGTTATGGCAGCCTTAAATTGCAGCTCTGCAGGATGTACCTTGCTTGGCAGGAAAGCGTGTAACAAGAAGATGTGCTGGTGCTTTGGAGCCGGTCTGACACTCCCGCATGTGCTTGTGCGTAGGGCGTGGCAGCAGCAGTTTGCCGCCACGGGTATGTTCTCGTGGCGGCAAACCTGTTCACACCGGAGTGCTTTGTTTACTACGAGTTGCTCCTGCAGCGTCTGCTGAAGGAGTTCAAGCCTGAGGAGGGCAAGGATCTGAAGTACTTCTTCATTGACATTGCTTGCCAGTTTGACCCATATTGGCGAAGGTATAATCTTTCGTCCATCATGCCTGGCGTTTACGTCAAGATGTGCCCTGTACAATTATTGCATGGAACAATTTCACTCCTAGTGTCTAGTACTAGTCATGCTATGAGTGTGTGGATTCGTCGGAGTGCACAGCAGCGTCCCCTTTGAATGGTGATGTGTTGTGCTGGCAGGATGGTTCAAGGAAACGTGGAGGGTATGCCTGGCCTGGCAGTGGGGCCGTGGCATGTGAAGGCTCACATTCCGGCATGCCAAGAAAAGTATGGCGCCCGCCGCATGCTAGCGGCAGGAAACTCCTTTGGTGACAACATTGAACAGGCTTGGGCACATTACAGGAAATTTGCACACATCTTGAAGCGCATGGCGACTGCCACGCGGGAGGACTACATGACGGACCTGGTGAGTTCTCCTTTCATATGATGCAAGCTCTTGTAGCCTTGCTCGATGTTGCAGTTTGTAACCCTGTAGGTGCGAGAAGTGACAATGTTGGTCCATGTGCAGGCGATGGCTTGGCAGCGAAAAAAGGAGCGCAGGTTGCCCAAGCAGCTGCTTGAGTGGCATAGGAGGGCTGCTCGACTGCTGGCACAACTGCGGCAGTCCACGGGGGCCCTCAAGCAGGAGATTGCCCAAATCAAAGCCCCCGAGTTGCAGGTAAAATGCACCCCTCCTAGTTGCTGCACCTGTCTCTACTGATTCTCTGGGGAGATGCCATCTTGATATATCCTGCAGTCTGCAATGCTTTGCATGCTCGCTTATTGGCTGATGAATCAGGTGCAGGGTGGCGGTGGCTCAGGAGGCGTCCCATCACCGGCAGGCCAGGATCCTCTCCAAGGCGGCGCTGGTGCAGGCGCAAGTGACGAAGCAGAGGTGTGTTGGTCCTTTTTGAAGGCTCTTCTCTAGCATGGAATAAGTATCAATGGGTATGCTAGTGAGAAGGAGGTGCTCAGAGGACTCAGAGTAAAGAGCTGCCTCAGAAGAAAGTATGCAAGCAGATTGTTTGTTTTGCACGCAGGGGTCTGCCCGGGAGCAGCGGCAGACATCGTCTGAGGGGGCATCAACAAGCGCGCCCACCATCCCGGTGCTGCTCCACTCTGCACCTTCAGTTGGCTGTACTGGTGCTTGTTCATATGACATGATAGGACATTTGACATGTGACTTATGACATGACAGGACAAGACATGACAGGATGTGCATACTGGTGGAGTTTTTGTAAAGAGCAAATGGGATGCACACCTTTGGAAGATACATAAAGATGCATGAATCACTGATGTCAGGATTCTTACTCGCAGGCCCGTCTTACATGGGAGCACCACTACCAAGGCTGCTTGGAGGAGTTGTACGCGCTGGGTGGCAGTGTGACTCTCGCAGCTGAGGGGCAGCAATCGCTCTCCGAGCAAATGCGGCATGAGCACCGCCGAGTCCTTGAGGGCAAGCTGGCAGCGTGGGAGCGCAGGCACCGGGTACAGCTGCGGTGGGTGGAGGCAGACCGGTTGTACCAGGAGATAGGGGGTCAGCGGAAGAGGTTCATGATTCAGCAGCTACATGCTTCCATTGCAGCCAGGTTCGTGGATTACTACGCCCTACAGAGACAGCTGGAGACAGCGGCATATCGTGAGCGCACTAGCCTGAAGCGGTTGCGGCGCCAGATGGAAGCCATCGTGTCCAAAGTCAGCGATGACATCCTTCAGCTGCGGCGCTGGCATGCCGCCCCTGGGGACTATCAGGGAGCGCAGTATGACTGCCAGCGCTTGACCGCCCCTGGCTTGCTCGCGGCAGACACATTGCCGTGGCAGCGACAATCTGCTCAGGCAGGGTTGCTGGCTAGGAAACTGGCCGCGCTGGCGGAGCAGCAGGAGCGCTTGAAGCGGTGCTCCGAAGAGATGACCATCGTGCGGCGTGAGGCCAGGGATATGGTAGTGTTTTATGAGCACTACGCCCAGCAAGTGCAGCAAGCCGCTGGGAGGGGAGAGCGCCGCCTGCCCAGCGCCCGACAAGTTCCCCATGCGGCGGAGCTGGGGGAGGCGGGTGTGCATGCAGCCCTTGAAGCTTTCCAGCTCGGGCAGCAGGTGGTGCTCCTCTCCAAGCTTGAACAGTATCAGCACTTGGGCGGCATGGCAGGCAATGCT